GATGGCAGTGTGGGAGGGGAGAGGGGGGCACCGTCTGTGGGTAGGCTTGCCGTCCAGTCACAGTTTCACTACTTATGCGGTGCACTTGACTGTTCCTCCTCCCACGTCTTGAAGTCCACTGGGTAGTGATTGGTCCTATAACTGGCGGTTAGGAGCATATCTGGCTCAAGTTCGTCCTATCATCCGAGTCTCATGCTTGGATCGCAACTCGACCCTTAGGATGGGTTAGAAAACTTAACCTGTCGCCTTTAGTCGTCTAGTTACGTGTTTTGTCCACTTGTTCATGCTAACAGCATTCTTTTCTGCAGCAATACTCGTATACTACTCGTATGGCAACTATCCTCGTGCTCTCCTTCTCGCCACCAAAGGCACTGGACAATGGACAGATTGCTGATACCGAACCACCGTCTGTTCTCCCTTGCTTCCACACAGGTCGACGTGCATAACAGCGCCACCTAGTGCTGCATCGAATGTCAGAGAAACGTGTCCTAGATCTATAGGTGGCACAATCCATTCCAGTTCTTGTGAACGCCTAGTCAATTTCCATAACTGGTGTGTATATACTTGGCATTACACAAGGTTACAGCCAACCCGACAAGGATGGAGGAGCGATCCTCCCTCTTTCTGGATGTTGTATGGGCTAGGGACGGGATTCAATCCTCCTGGAGCGGCTACATCCAACTGAACGCTCCATGTCACGGTTAGCTAGTCAACAAAGGCTTCACTCTCCCAATATGAGGTGCAGCCGGGAACGCAAGAAGGCATGGGCATGCCAATGGGCCTAGAAGACAAGCGAGTCGGAAGAGCTCGAGATGGCATGGTGAGGACTGGACTGGAGCGAAATCACTGACACCAGACCAGCCTGTATGTACTTTCTTGTTCCTTCCCCCACGATAGACACTAAGTCCTGCAGGTTGGACCTTTATTGCAGATGTTAAGACTCAGATAGGGGGCTAGGGGCCTGAGAATCCTGAGCTCTGGTGTGCCCCATGATTACCCTCATCTGTTCCTACAGATAGGATCTGGTTGGTGGATGACGAAGAGTCTTACGCTACTCATTTCCCCGGAGGGGACCGTCCGCGAAGTTGACGAGGGTCTAGACGGTATACCTGGGCGTTAATGTGAGCCTTTGCCCTTGGGTGAATCCAGGATCTCAGTATATTAGTCACCTTGTGGGGGAATTCGGCAGGCGAGCTCAGCTCAACAGGACTGACTTCCCACGTATGGCATGCTGACAAGCAATAACCGGGAAGCGCAGTGCAACCCAGACATATGGACAAGGGAGCCCCTCCGGGTGAGCCCGGGATGTGGACAGGATGTGGGCCAGAGGATGCCATGGGCGGCAGCCATGCAACGGAGGGAAGATGGAAAGAGCTGGGAAAGGGTATTGGAGGGCTTTAATGACCACACCTCCTTGACCGACAAGGTTATCCAAGAGGGGAAGATGGAGAGAAGAGCAACCCCAAGCCAAAGCACATCCCATCGACCCCATCCCAGCATGACACCATGGCATGTTGGCGTGACGATCTTGTTCCCCCATCTACAGATCTATCGATCCAAGAGGTAGGTGCTCATGAAGGCTACCGCGGCTGCTGAAGACGATATGGGTAAAGAACCGCGCGATAAAGCTGGCCATTGAGAATCCGATGTCCCCGTTCTTCACACCCTGAGGGTCATAGCTCGTCAGGATCCCTCTTTCACGAAATATCAGAGTTTGAGAAAGAATACAAGCCCGCCAAGCTGGTTCAGCTTCGTGGATTGGCCGTCCAGAGCCCTCCCGATTGGGCGTTTAGCTAAGATCATGTCCAGGCCTCGACCACAACCCCCCTCCCCCCAAACACCCCACAAAAAGACAAGCAGGAAACGGATAGTTTCCGAATAAGGCTCAAAATTGGAAAGGCTTATCATTCGCAGATCCGTTTTACCGCTGAGCGCATGAAGAACATCTGCACATCATTGCGGCAGAACGGGGAAGAGAGAGGGGCTGTGCGAGCAACTGCTGAGGGGTATCATACAGTTGTGCTGTCGATTTGGTCGTGGGACGCCATTCAGCGCTTAAGGACCAATTCAGATATACCACGGGATGCTCTAAAGCGTATCTAAGAGGGATCTATGGCGGTCGAAATTCATAAGAGGTATAATGTGACGCTTGAAATGATGTTCTATTTTGAAAAAGGGGAAAAATAATGTCATGAACAAGCCAGAAATGATTTCTTTGTCTACATACCAACGAATTCCAAAATCATGCCGACGGGAACATATCAGCCGGGTGCTGTAGCCTCGATAAACAGACCCCTGGGTTTTTCTGGGATCCTCTCCTCACTAGCAGACCCTGGAGCACGTCCACGCACTGTGACGCACACGTCAGAGGCAAGTGACACCAACTTGCAAGCTTTGCTCCGAGCAGGTAAGTGCACGTGCAAAAGAAGCCATAATAGGTGATACACAACATGCGACTCACCTGGAGGAGTTAGCGTTAGAAGAGACAACCGGGCTTGTCAATCCGGCTTGCAGCTTGCAGCCTGTCAACTGTCAATATGCCTGACAGGGCAAGTAACAAGCCCTCAAGGTGCACGGGATAAGGGCCGCAAGGTGCCCAAGGTCTCGGGCACTGACGTCTGAGTGACCGGTTCCTGGGAACCTGGGCCCTTGCCAAGGTAGGTATGTAGGCTTGCAGCGGCGTGGATCCGGTGAGTTTGGTAAAGTGAGCGCGGAGAGAAGAGATTAGCGAAGAGGCGCTTGACCCTCTGCGCGGAAAGTAGGCTCGATCTGGACGTCTTCGGGATTGGGACGTGCGGGATGCAGGGTGCAAACGGCGGAAAGTCTGCACTCTTCTCTGCATATCGACACCCACACGACAGCCGGTTCCATTTATCTACGCCATTTGCAGTCCAAATCGTTCTGATGTTATAGCCATAGAAATAATGTGGTAGGCAATATTACAAAATACAAGCCCTTCCTTTTCCCCTCCTCCATTTCCCCAGTCTCCCCACCTAAGAACGTTAACAGAAGTCAGAAACCAACTGACAAATACTTGGGGTACTTTTTGACTTGAGACGGCTGAGAGAGCTCCGAGCTCCCTTGTCAGCGTTGTTAATGCGCGAGTCTTCCCCTCAACTCCGTTTCCCTTCTTGGATGGATAAACGTCTTCCCTTCATCGCTTATACGGCATCCCGACATACTGTAAACTTCCTGGGGTCCTGACTGCTTCCCTCACCTCCTTGTATATTCGGATTGGCAGGCTGGAGGGCACTGACAGATGCTTGAAGAAACTTGACCAGGTCGATCACCGGCAATCACTCCTTGGCTGGATCGGGAAAGGGCAAAGAGACCCATCCCTAGTCTCTTCCAGCACAGTGCCCACACAGCCCAGAAGCCCAGACACCCGGGGCACAGACCCCGCTGTTCGACTGGTCCCTCGGCCGATCTTGGCAGATGTGGTGGAAATGGGGCCGTCATCGCTTGCATGCCGCGCGCAGCGCAGCGTGGTAAATACATACGGCAACCATCGAAGGTCGGCTAAGACAGTGCGGCTTTTCGCTTGGGAAAGCTCGCCGGCGAGGGTCATGATTGCTGGCTTCCCATATTACTCAGGCATTCCTATGGAATAGCAGGTTAGTTCCCTCTTAATAAGTCGGAAGCCGATGCACTGACCGTTTCAGCATCTTGTGGTGCCCCCGGCTTTTGGTTTATCACAATAAATGGGATGGTACTGGAGCCAATTAAGTGATCGCCCCGAGTCCGAGTGTCATATCTCGAGAAGTTGAGCTTTTGCAGAAACCTAGATGTTTGGAGTTATGTTCTCTAGACGCAATGACATGGATTAAACAGATCTCTGAGTCAAATAAACACTTCTTGCACGCAGAACTTGTTTTTCAAAGTAAACACTGGGTCCAAAATACAGGAAGCCAGGTAGTGGTCTTGACAAGACGAGATGTTGTGCAAATTTGGAATAGAGCCACAATGAGAAAGGCATAAAAGGTGTCAGGAATTTCTACCCTGAAGGATAATGGATGAAAAGAGAATGCAGGGAGTCGTTCGATATGTCTGTCCCAAAAATTGGCTGGCAAAAACAGTGAAGAACCGTGCTGTCAGCAAACTTAACACCGTGAGAAAGAACCATGGAGCTTGTAAGGCTGGACCTGCAGTTCATCTCAACAGCCATGAACTGAGAGCTCAGCCTTCGTGGATCTTGTGATATGCATGTCGACTGAGATTTCCGCTTTTTAGTTCATCCAAAGCGAAGTGGTTTTCACAGATCTCCTACCTCAGGTAGGTGTGGTTGATTAAACTTTGGGTTTAGTGTTGGAAAGGCTATGGTGCGAAGCAACTCCCCCCACCAAAAACACTCTAACTGCCGTGCTAGCGTGCCATATGAGTTTAAAAGAAGGTATGCTGCGATATCTGTGTAAATACAACCCCTGTATCGACTGTATCATAACCTTAGGTCCGCGGTTGTGTTAACGCTCTTGCTGATCCTCCCGCTCCTTGTGCTGCCGCCCAGTCAACCAACGAATGGAATCCCTCCGACCATGATCCACGACATGGGTAACATTACCGATTGCGTAATCACGATACAATGTATGGATTACGAGCCTGCTCATCATCCAATTGGAATGTTCTGACGCCAATCTTACCGCAAGCTTTCAAGAGAACCGAGCGCCAAGTATCAACAGTCTCAAGTTTGATGTCAAAGTAAAGAGCCATTGAACCGCCAAGCAACCCAGGTACATCCAGCTGTGCTCTCAGCAACAATCACACCGGCCGAGATGCCGCCTGTTCATGTGTTATTGGGAACAAATACCACAGTCTGATGGAGCGTTCATGACCACACACCACCGACAGCTATGCCGGCTCTAGACCTTTCGCGCCATATCGCGGCCGGTTGTCTGGTCATCCAGAAGGCCGAAACACAAGGAAAATATCCTTCTCAGATCTGGCTACCTTCAGAGTTGTCTTTGGAGCGATCAAGGTGGTACCACTTAGGCCCATTTTCAATAATGAACGACAAACAGAATGTAGGCGGCATCAGCAGCGAGGACATAACTGAAGAATCTGCCCAGAATAAAACAAACCATATCCTGTTCCTTGATTCGGACATTCAGAACCAGCTGCTTGCCCCTTCCGGATGTCTTGCCCAGTATGCTGGACTCCTGCGTCGAGGGTGGGTTCATATGAGCTTTGCCATCAGCTTGAACAACCCTGAGCAGGGTGTCTTCCGAGTATACATGCTTCCAGATGATATCGACAACCGGAGAATTCCACGTTCAGATTCTTCTCTCCGCAAAGCCAGACTCAACTTGCTCGGACAACTCGATTTCTCGAGAGCCACCTGGGAAGGTGAGGTTTCAGGAACTCGATATCCTGATTCTGTTAACTTTGACCCGGAAGAGAGTCGGAAGAATGGAGAACATCTGTCTCTTTTGCATATGTTTAACAACATACCGTCTCCCAATCCTACACCCGAGGAAATACCCGATCTTGATGCTCGTGAAGCGGCCTATAGAATCATGGACGGTGGCATTTTCGGTCTCAAGACGACCCTCTACACATACCAGCGCCGATCTGCCGCTATGATGCTTCAGCGAGAAGTTCAGCAAGAACAAGTTATCGATCCTCGTCTAGTCAAAGTCGTTGACCAACTTGGAAACCCCTACTACTATGATGCTGTCACCGGTACGGGACTGAAAGCGCCAAGGTACTACGACAGACCATGTGGTGGCATTCTTGCTGAGGAGATGGGTGCTGGGAAGACACTTATATGCTTGGCACTCATCCTTGCTACTCGGCATATTCCATCCAAGGTTCCTGATTGTCTCTGGACGGATAGGCTGATTGTTCGTCGCCGTATCGGCACTCTTCTGGACATGGCTGCGGCATGCCTCACCCGGAACTCGGTGCCTTGGAGGAATGTGTTTGGTGCCCTCGACCCAGATGGCATTGAATATCCCAATTGCGTCGAAGCCATACGTAGAAACAAAGCTTGGTACGAATTGCCACCTGCTGATCGTCGCCGAACAAGTCGTCAGCCGTCTAGTTTACCATCACCAAGGAAAATCTACTTGAGCCATACTTCCCTTGTGATCGTGCCACCCAATCTCATTCAGCAGTGGAAGCAAGAAATTTCAAAACATACGTTCGGTCTCAAGATCATCATTTTGGACAACAGCAGAAAGCATGAGCTTCCACCTCTCGAGGAACTCATTGAGTATGACATTGTGTTGTTCTCATCCACTAGGTTTGAGAGGATGTGTGAGAACATCGACTTCGATGTGATCAGCGGCCATGTCCTCAACCACCCCATTGCAAGCATCCGATTTAAACGCTGCATTGTCGACGAAGGCCATAAATTAGGGAATTCCACGCCAAAAAGGAAGAGCAATATCCATCTGCTAGTTGATCACCTTCAGATAGAAGCCAAGTGGATCGTCACCGGAACTCCCTCCAAGGGTCTCTTTGGAGTCCGTGAGGGCGTTACCTCCCAGGCTAGTAATGGCTCCACCGAATACTTACAGACGTCTCCTGATCTGGAGCGGGACGATCTTAAGCGCATCGGCTCGATGGCAACTCTCTACCTGCAAATGCGTCCCTGGGCAAATCTCCCTACCGAAGCTGGAGACACGCCCGCAGACTGGTCTGCCTATGTCATGCAACCTCGACACTCACCGCGGAGCAATGGGCGTGCCAACTGTTTGAAATCTACGCTGCACTCTCTGATTATTCGCCATCAACTGTCCGAGGTTGGGGAGCTGTTCCCGACTGTTGACGAGAAGATTGTGGTGCTCGATGGTTCCTACCAAGATCGCTTGGCGCTTAACCTGTTTGCCATGATGATCATCTTCAACTCTGTCCAGTCACAGAGGACAGATCAGGACTATTTCTTCCATCCAAGACAGCGCAAGGCCTTGATTGAACTGGTTTCCAACCTCAGGCAGGCGAGTTTTTTTGGGGGTTCCTTCTTCTCCTCAGAGGAGATCCAAAAAGCTGTCGAAACGGCAGAAGAGTTCTTGAAAGAGGGGAAGGTCCCTATCAGCGCTGAAGATGAAGTACTGCTGCGCGACGCCATTCAGCTCGGAAAGCTGGCATTGAGAAATGATATCAAGAGATGCGCGAACTTGTTCAGAGAAGTCCCTCTCTATGTCCAAAACTTCCCCTGGAATGCGGGGAAAGAGTGGTCATTGAACTTGAAAGACGGTGATCTAGTCTGTACAGATTCACGAATCATCTTGGCTCTGCAAAAGTTCCTATACCCTCTAGCTGAGTCGCCTAATGCTTTGCAAATCCTGTTCAAAACCGGCAAGCTTGCCGCACGCGGCCTCGAGGAAAGGCAAAAGTGGATCAAAGACCAGACTTCAAAAGCCTCACCAAATGGGCACAATAAAGATCAAAACATGACTCTTGCCGGTAATACTCCCGTCGGCCAGGACAGCAATAGCCCGATGAGGCGACGTTCTGTGATCTTGGTTAAGGAAGGTGCTGAAGGGCAGGGGACCCCTCTGGAGGTTCCTGAGGCCGAAATAGCCTCAGTCCTTGCTACCACACAATTAGTTTCGACAGCGTCTGCAAAGCTCTCGTACTTGATTGACCAGATTGCCAAGCACCAAGAGCACGAGCAGATCATCGTTTTCTATGAAAACGATAACGTGGCGTACTATCTGGCGGGCGTTCTCGAAATCGTCAGTCAGCCCTCCATCTCCTTACATGGCACTCACTAACCTTCTCGACAGCTTCAAATCCATCATCTCATCTACGCAAAAGGACTGAGCCCAGAACGAAGGGCCCGGTATGTCGCGACCTTCAACACCAATCCAAAGTTCCGGTATGCTTACGATTATCCCCTTATCCCCTTCTCTGTCGCTTTCACCCACTAACTACCTAACCTCTCCCAGGGTTCTCCTAATGGACATAACCCAAGCAGCCTTTGGCCTGGACATGCGCTCCGCTTCACGCATTTACTTCATCAACCCCGTCCTCAATCCGCAGGTCGAAGCTCAGGCAATTGGGCGCACGCGGCGCATCAGTCAGCAAAAACCCGTCACCGTCGAGACACTCGTGCTGAGGGGCAGCGTGGAGGAAGTGATCGTTTGCCGGCGCAAGGAGATGACGCAGGCCGAGCAGTGGCGGTGCAAAAGTATACTGGATGATAAGCCGATCTATGAGTGGATATTGAATGTGAAGATATTGGAGATGCCAGGTTTAAGGGAGGGTGAGAGTGAAAGCAGGTCAGAAGAGCAGATGGCCTGGCTGGAAAGGCCGTTGCTTTTGTTTAGAAAAGGGTTTGGAAGGGGGTTGAGCATCCGGATCAGGATCTGGTTGCTTTGAAAAATGGGTCGCCGACCAGGGAGAGGAAAGGTGGAGTGAACGGTGATGAGATGCGGAGAAAGAGGGGCTTGGCATATCAGGAAGATGGAATGCATGGAATGTCTTTGCGGCTCTCGTCAACATCAGGTACTTCTGAGCCAGCAACTGCTGAGGATTCGGGCCTGGGTCCGAGAAAGAAGCGACGGGTACGGTTTGCTATGGACGATGACTAGTGTAGTGCATGCCCATCCAGCATATCTCGTACCGACATTGGGGATCTGGGGCTCCGGTAACGATTGTCCAGGCGTTGATAAAGATTTGTACCGAACAGTATGAGAGGCACGCGTTCGGAAACCATTCACTTTTACCCTTTCGAGGTCTCTGGTTGTGCGAAGCCGAAGGCAGAGGCGTCGGGTGTCGGAGCTAAGATGCGGAAGCACTGGAAAAGGATGGCAAAGCATTGCCTTGTTTTTTTGCCGCTGAGAGCTCCAAATGCAAGGAACGACAAAAAATCGGTGAGAACTTAATTTGGCGGAACGTACTAGCAGTATCCTGTACGGATCCGTACATAAGTGTGCATTAGCCAGCGCAGCCAGCGAGCGAACGACCTGTTGGCATTGTTGGAATACGAAGATGTGATGTACAGAGAGTGTGGAAAAGCGTGTGGTGTGTTGTTCGCCTGTGGGCCAACCCCCCCGGGCGACCCGGCAACATGGGCATGCGGCGCGCCCACACAGAGCCACAGAAGTCCACGCTGAATCCCAGAAGGGCTGAAACTTGCGCCACACTCAACGCTGTGAATGGTCAACTGCCGCGGGCTACAGCGGGCTGCTGACGGGAAAAGACTCGAAGCTCGATTGCCAGTGGACAACTGGCATTGGTCTTTTCAGCTTCCCCGCCATACTTGGGTCCATTCTTTCGGCTCTGGCGCTGCGATGTTGGGTTTCATGAACTGGAGGTCAAGCTCAGCAACGTCCGCCACAATTCAGTCCCATTCAGGCCAGATAACCGTACGGATTAACCCCCCTACCCTGGAAGAACGAGGACGGGTTTCCCGCAACCATGCTGTTAGCCACATAGTACCTGTAGGTCTGCCAGTAGATTTTACCGACGATCCATGGATGAATTGGAAATCATTGGATGACTGTGACCGCAAGGCAACCGCTGGACAAGCATATTGAGCAGTTGCAGTGTCAGAGATGATCTCAGTGCCTGGACCTGAATACTACTGTACCATAGGTACCTCTAAGCCAGCTGCACTGCACGATGATGCTGTGCTACAGTAGAGAAATCGACATCTGCAGACACAATGCACGGCCTGTTGAAGATCCCGTCCTGTAACGGCGGTTTCGTTGGTCTTCTGACGGCCTGAGAAGAGCCTTGCCAGCACCTGGTTCGTCCGCTAAAAAGCTGCAGATAACACTGCACAATTGTAGTATGTAACTTGTAGGTACTGAACGGGATTAGTATTGCCGAGCCCGAGTCGCCCTAGCACGATAGAGCAGCATGTTTCGCTTTCACGGCCCGGGACGAAATGCAGCAAGCTGTGCAAGAAGAGGGCGGCATTCGCTCGTCATGGACTTGATGGAGTCTTGAACTCATGGCCACGGGTGGTTGTGGGATCAGATGGCCCACATGAACCGCAGCGGCTTGATGCTTGGCTGATGGCGGCGAAGCTTGCACTTGGCTTCCATTCCTCGCTTCTTGTCCTTTCTCTCTGCCGCAGCTGCAGCTCAACAGTCCCCAATAGGTACGGACACTGCCCGCATTATGGATTGCGGGACAGAGAGAGCAGGCTTATAGTCACCACAATCCCAAGCTCGTCATCTCTTTATGTCTTTCGCTTGCCCTTCCCCCTCTTCCGGGTCAGCTCGACCCCTCCCCGAGCTGCGTTTCTCCGAGTCATCGCCTCCAAACAGCGACTGGAGATTGGAGGTTGGAGCGAGGGGCTCAGGCGTGTAACCTTTGTCTAGAGGTAGTCAGCGGACGGCTCTGGCACTCTCCCACGTCAGCCCCGGCTGCCACGCCGCCGCAAGAGAGAAAGAAAGCAAAGTAAAAGCAACTTGCCCGTCTGCGTCAGAAACAGACAAGCAGACACACCGACCCCACGACGGGAGACGGAAAAGAAAAGACAACTTGTTGCCGGCTGCAGCAGCGGGTCAGAAACACACGCAAACATCTGGATCTAGATTAAAAAGTTGTTCCTTTCGGCAAATGGACGGCATCGTCAACGTTACCCGGCAACAACAACACTCGTTCGAAAATCGCGACGACCCGGAATTTCGTGATACTGGTTTCTCGACGCGGGGCAAACACAATTCACCTCACCATTCAACGACAAGCTGAAACAGGATGAACGGTCGATGAGCAGATAGAGAAATTCCGTGCATTATCACAGTAGCTCAGCCAGTTCGAATACACAGAGGACAGAGAGGATCAAGGCTGAGGCTTGAGCGACAACACCAACGACAACAGATAGTACATCAGCACGCGTACAACTGCCCATCAAAATGAACACCAGCAGCATTCGCAGCACTTCCTCGGAGGATGCCAACACCACATCCACAGCCGCAACAGCCGCCCCGCGGTCGCGACCGTGGCCCTTGAGCCGGAGCCGACGCAACAGCGAAAGCTCGCTGCACTCCCTGCAAAGCTTCAAGGACTTTGTGGTGGGCAGCATCACCCGACGCCGGAACTCAATCTCATCCGTCGACAGCAAATCCTTCAGCGTACTCCGTGCAAACCTGTCTCAGGTTGCTCATCCTGTCCCAAATGACGATGTTGATGCTGATATTATTGACAACAAAATCGGTCAGCGGCGTCCATCGGTACTGCGCAAGAAGCCGCCACCTAGCGTGGTAAGACGAATGTCAGCACCGGTGTCGCCGGCCACGACCAGCTCGGCATCAGTGCCGGAAGCTGCTGGGCCTGGGCTGCCGGAAGGGATGTTTTTCAGGAGCGGTTCTTGTCGAAATCGAAAGACAGCCACCGATGTCGTCAATGCAAACGGCAACCTTGACAACGACAATAAGAATGCAGTGGAGAACGCCTCGGAAAATGCCAGTGCTGTCGCCAATGGCAACGCCAATATGAATGGGTCCGTCAAGAAGGCGACGGCTCCACCGAAACGACCTAAGACCCGGTAAGTTAAGATGTTTTTGTTTTTGTTTCCATCTGTTCTTTTTGTCGTTTCCGCAATGCTTCGGTCCAAACTTTTGAATTCTCTAGAAATGCCACCTGATGGCCTAAGCGCCGGCACTTGTCATGACTTGATTCTGGACGTGTCAGATCTTGTTTGGAAACAGCCGGTCTGTTACCGCAGCACATGTCCGGGCTGCAGTGGGCGATGGAGCCAGATATGCAACGGGGCGCTTGCTGGACCACTCGCTATTTACAAGGTACACTCCTTACAAGGCCCTACAAGGCCCAATGTCCCCAGTGTGACCCCTGTTGCCAACTGTTCTATCACGCTCTTTTTTTTTATTGCTGGCCACTGGACAGCAGCACGGATGACGTTGCTGCATTCGGCTCAGGGGCAGCGCTGGTCGTCTGTTGACTTTCACAACAATTTCCCGCCACCAGCGTTGACATCTTGAGTTGTTTCATCGAAAAACAACTTGTCCCAGACTTTCAGAGAGCTGCTCTTGTTCTTTGCTCAGAATCTTAAATCTCTTTTTTAGCTTTCCTTTGGGCTCACCTGTGGCGTCGACCCCCGGCTTGGCTTCCCCCCAAGCATCTCGAAAGCGGTTAGATTGCCAATGAATGACAGCTGAGCCTGGTACATCAGCCGATCCAGCAAGTGCGAGTGCGAGTGTGCACAGTTGCTTGGACTTCAAGCGTCCCTTATGTTCCGCGTTGAGCACGTCTGCGTTTTTGCATTTCTCCCTAAACGTGCATGATGACACATACAGTCTTGAATCTTGAAGCAGGCATCGAGACAATACTGTGTATCCTGTCCTTGCTCTACCCTAGCGCCCTTCCTCTAGGCTGCAAGGCTGCCTCCGATGCCGCGTTCCCACCACAGAGTCAAAGCAACAAGGGCATCATCAAAGGCAAAGAGAACAAGCAGTCCGACAATTTGAGCTGAAAAAGTGAATGCGAGCAGCCGCCCATCTGGACTGCGGATCTGCATGTCATTTTAAAAAAAAGCGCGACTTGGCCCGCTCCGTGGCATTACCACTGCGCCCGTTTTGGACACTTTCCCCTTTTTCTTCACCCTTTGCTTTTTTCCCCTGAATATCCAAACCTCTCTGGGTTGGCATTTCAAGTGCAGATCTTTGGCATAAAAAAAACACACACACACACACAACGCAACACTTTCTAATACTGGAAAATTTTCTGCCTGATACAGACCTCCACCGGCCTTTTACAATCGTCAGTATCGCCACAACTTCTCGGCCTCACCCTCGGGAGCCCAGAAGTGGTACACCCTTGGCAACAACAGCAGCAACAGCACCGAGAATGACACTCCGCAGCCGCTAAGCTCAAACTCTCCACGTTCTCGGACCTCTTCCGCTTCCTCCGGCGGCAGCCTCGGGCTCGCTTCCCAACCACAGCCTACACCCGCACCGACCCCGACTCTGACTCCGACTACGTCGTCACCGCCCCCAACTCGGTCCGTAGACAAGCCTACCAATACCCCCAAGACTGTCAAAACCTTTCTGCGTCCTCCTAAGTCGAAACTGGATGTCATCCCCCTCGCCATGTATCCGCCAGAAAAAAATGGGTCTTCTGGCATCAGGACGCAGCGGGTCAGCGCACCCGTGGGGTCCCGTTCTATGGACGAGATGCCCGTGATCCATCGGCCGACCGCTTTCACGGACAGCCCGTCACCGATACCACCGCCAGGATATAACCGTCCCCGACGACTGTCCAACAGCAGCTCCACCTCGACGACCTGCAGTTTCGTGTCTTCCGCCCAAGAGAGTGTCGACAGCAGGATACGGAGTGCATCCATCAGCAGCAGCCAGACGAGCATCGATTCCTGGCCGAGCAGTCCCACAATTGGCGTGAATGGCCGGCCAGTCTCCTCACCAGCCGGCTGGCCATGTGGTCCAGCAGGAGCAGGCTCTGGAGGCCCGTGGCAGAGACCTACGCTTCTCAAGTCGTACCGGCGGCGAGCACAGGGCGAGTTGTTTGCAGCTCTCCCCAGCGAGGTGCTGGACATGATACTCGAGCAGCTACGCAGGTCGCACTTGAAGATTGGCAGCAGTAGTTGCCATACCTGCTGGATGAGGGACTGCTGTGCGATTGCGGTTAGCGCACGGAAGTTTCTCAAGCATGCGCGCGAGGCTCTGTATCGGGATATTGTGCTTGTTGGGCAGGATGGTCCGGCGCTGAAGAAGAGGACTAAAGCATCATTTGGGGCGAGGTTGGTATTGCTGCGCCGGACGCTCAGGGCGAATCCGGATATTGCGGTTTTGGTCAAGTCGTTGAAACCTCCGGCACGACCGGCGCATGTTGGAGTAACTGAGTATAATGATTTGGTTGCGTCGGTTGTCATGGCATGTCCGAACTTCGAGCGACTGGTTGGGTATTATCCGACGTACGATCATACCTGGCAACGATTGTTTCATGCCTTGTCGACGAGGTCGAACTTGAGGGATATGTATTGGCTTTTGGAGCCGCAACAGGCACAGCGACAACCAACGACACGGATCAACGGCCAGAACGGCCACCACGATCAGGAAGGGATGACACGCGAGCAAGCACAGTGGTTCTTGAGTTACCACTTGAACTGGAAGCAGCTGACCACTCTTGTCGTTCACTGCCAGCCAGGAGCTTCTCTGAGCCCAGCTAACCTTCTCGAATGCACGATTCGGTCATTGCCCTCCCTACAGAACCTCTATCTCTCCAAACTACCCTCCTCAAGCTTCAACGACATCCACCTTCTTTCTCTCCCTCCCCTAAAGAAACTCTCCATCAACCAGTGCCCCGGCGTAACAACCGCGGGCCTCTCCTCTCTCGCGTCACGACCCTCGATGTCATGCCTGCAATCCCTAACCCTCATACACATGGACGTTGACTCGCTGCCCGTCATCGCAAGGATATTTTCTTACCTACGATCCCTCGAAACCTTCACGCTCGTGCAGGCTTTCCCCCCGCAAATGCCCCCTGACGATTTCATGATGCTCTTCCCTTATCTGGCCTCACCTTCCCTGCGGAAACTCCACTGGGATATCCCCTTCCTTCCGGACACGGCTACCCCAGCGGATGTTATTCTCGCAAGGAGTATCGGAGCCGGTGGGTTCCCGGCTCTGCGGAGCTTGTGTGCCCCGAACGACCCGGATGGGTTATTCCAGTCGCTGTGTGCGCCCCGTGAAAGGATTGATTATCCTACGGACCGGTTCCGTCCCAGCACGGCTAACGGGACAGGGACCGGAAGCAGGAGCAGTAGTCCCTGGCTGGGACACCGCCGCAATACCTCCAGCTTTTCATCTGTCAACAGCTTATCCATGGGTCCCGGCTCGAGCTTCTTCTCCGGCGGCACGCCCCCCGCAAGCCCCCTCTGGCCATCCACAAATGCCCCATCGTCTCCCCGCCGCCCAGGTACCGCCTCCGGCGCACCCTTACCTTCCCCAGCTTGTGCAGCCGCAAGAGACGGAAACATAAGCAACCTTCAACAAGCCCGGCTCGCAGCTCAAGCCCGATTGGAAGCAGCACAACGCATTCCAAGGTACTTCGTCAACGTGATGGACGAAAACGGGAAAGTTGTCGAGAAACATGGCGTCGGCGCCTTCCTGGGCACAGTTGAGAGCAAGATCCGATATATTCTCACACCCGAGCCAGAGACGGGCGCGACGGATGAGAGCGGCGGGTTGGTGTGTGTGGAGGATTTGTTGGGGTGTGATACGGGAGAGTTGATGTGTGGGATGGGGGATGGGAATGCCAAGAAAGGGGTAAAAGGGGAGAAAGAAAAGGAAGGGAATGGGGGGAAGGAAGGGTGTACGGGGAAGTGGAACGCGTTTTTGGGAGTTGTTACCGACAAGAAGGATCGGGAGAGGTGGTGGCATCAGGAGAGGGTTCGATGGAGGGGCGTTGTGTTGTCGTGAACTTTTTTCTGGGGATAGGTGTGGGGGTTGTTTTGGATACCCAAGGATTTCGTTATGAATGGGAGATACGATGAATAGGTAATTGAGGGCAAGGCTGTAAGTTTTCTTTGAGGGTTGGTTGGCATGGTCTCATGACGGATGGATTGTGGTTGTGGCATCCTGTGGTTCTTGTTGTGAATAACTTTATGTAAGGTGCTGTCTTAATCAATTATGGGGGCATGGGTTGGAATACGAGAGTGTGGGGTACTTTGAATCTGGTAGAGAGAATCAAAATAAAGACACAACATCCCTCTGATATGCGTGCCATCCCTCCAGATCAAGATTCTCTTGATCTTTTTGTGTGGTCTGGCCTGGTCGCCATCTCTTGGAGGATAAGTCAGGGTTAGGGTTAAGCTTAAACGCGGCTTTATCGGGGAGAAGGTGTGGGGGGCCGCGTAACTTACGCCGACGTCATTTTCCAAGCGTTTTCTTGTTCGGCTTCTTGGCTCTTTCGTCCCTCCGAATTTTGCCCTCGCGGCAAGTTGGAGCACTCGGCACTCAACACTCAGCACACGAACTCTCCCACTAAAACACCAAACCATTCACCTCTGACGCAATCACTCGTCTCGAGTTGCCGAAGTACCTTGCATCCACCAGTGTCCGACGAACAGATATAAATCACAACTTTCAAGGAAGCATCGCTGACGTCGCTGCATCGACCTCAACTCGTTACACCTACAAACAAAAAGCAGCAAGCTACAGACAAAACATACACAAAGACAAGTCAAACATGAAGCCATCGCTCCCATCCATCTTTGGGCGCGCAGCAACTTATCTCTGCGCATCCTGTCGCAAAGAGGCCGTGGCGGTGTTGTCCATTCGCCGAGGCACAAGCTTGAGGGGCGCACTTTTCTCAACAGCAACACAAGCATCACGGCAGCGGGATGTTTGCCGTGATCCTGCTGTCGTAGCACAGCGCCGCATTTTCGCCGGAAGGGCCCTCTCAACAACCGCATCGTCCTCCCCTTCGATCGATCCCAACACTGCCGCTCAACCCTCCTCTTCGTCCAACAACATCCCAACCTACTACGCCCTCTTTCCCGAAACCCTCCCCCACGGCCCTCCTCCCAAGGGTAAATTCCACATCGACCTCCGTGCCCTGCGCCGCGAGTTCCTCCGTCTCCAAGCCGCGTCCCACCCAGACTTCCATCACCACGCCGCCCAACAATCTTCCTCAGAGCAAGCCTCAAAATCCGACGCCCGTCTCCGTGCCGAAGCCACCTCCGCCCTGCTCAACACCGCCTACAAGACTTTGTCCTCCCCTCTTCTCAGAGCACAGTACCTCCTCCGCGAGCAGCACGGGATTGACCTCGAAGGCGACGAGTCCACAGTCGGGCATCATCATCACGGCGGTCTTGTCGATCCCGAGCTGCTGATGACGGTGCTGGAGGCGAGGGAAGCGCTGGATGAGGCGCAGACGGAGGGCGAAGTGGAGGAGATTCGGCGGGTAAATGAGGAGAGGATAAAGGAGAGTGAGGCAAGGCTGGGGGAGGCGTTTGAGAGGGGGGATGTCGAGGGGGCGAGGGAAGAGGCAGTTAGGTTGAGGTATTGGGTTAGTATTAGGGAGGGAGTCGATCAGTGGGAGCATAGCGGTCGGAGGAGGGGGCATTAGTTGATGCACTGAAGGTCGAAGGGTCGTGGGACGGTCGGTATGTTAGTAGATGGTGTCGAGATGGGCAGATGATGGACGAAGGGCCCGCTGAAGAGTGTTGTATGGGGCGTTTTATTGGCGAGGTCGTGCGCTGTTCTCGGTAGTATTGTTGTCGGTGTTGTGGAGTTGTGTTTAGCGATTTTTATACGTATCTCTCCTCAGCCATTGTGCATACGTATGGGACTTTCTGGGGCCGATTGTATCGCATGTAACATGCTATCGAGCATGAAAAATCGGCGAGGATGTGTAGGAGGGGTAGTCGGGTCATTCGCGAGGAAACTTTTGATTTGCTTTCATTGGGACGTCGCGCTGAGCATTCATCTCCAGGCAGCATCTTGACATCTGTCGAGAAACATGTAGAATTCAGGAATTAGAAAATTGGACTTGAAGATCGAAAATAGATTGAGAACAAAAATCCACAAACTCGTTGAGCCCCAAAATCGGGATTATGGTGGCAGCTGTGATCGGGATTTGGGGCTGCCGCTCCGAAGATCGTACGATTTTGACGTGTGTGTGGTCGTCATCCACACATGCCGTCCAGCGCCGCGGCGCCCACTCGGTGCACCCAACCTCAAGGCTGAAAGAGGGGTTCTCTCTCGGGCGCCATTGAAGCGAGACGAAGACTCGGGTTTGTTAGCTGGCTGAAGTCGATTACAACATTGCTCGATGGGATTGCATACACTGATGTTTACATGCTATCTGCGGTCCTAATCTGGTTGTGGTTTATTTACATGAATCTGAGTCATGACATAGTTCGAGCTCCCTTCTTGCATGCCCGGTGTCCAGATTAAAGAAAAGGATACTAATATGCAGGACTGCCTTAACTACCTTAGTGCTCACCAGGAACACAGGGTATACCTAACCTCCTTGTTCAAGCCCTAAATTCCCTAGAACACTTAGCCCCCTCTGAAGCCGTCGCCATCTGCACGGCCACAACACCTCCAAACGGCCCAGCCTTGTGCGCATTCGCAATCTTCACCAAACAAACCCCCCTCAACCCCGCAATCACACCATTGCACGTCACATTCGCCGGTACGGCAAACTCAAACGCAAAGTCCTGTTGCACCGTCCGCGCAGCCCTCTTGCTCAGCACCACCGAGCTGGCGGCATCCATCGCCCGACGGAAGATACTCCTCTTTTCTTCGACCTTCTGGTCCTCGGGGAAGATGAAGTTCCCCTTGTAACCCGGCACCTGCTGCACGACGGTCAGCGGGATCCCCGTTGTGAAGTTGCCTTTAGCGGTCGGGTCGATGACGGCGCCAATCGGGCCGGCTCCGTCGGCCGTCACGATGCGCCAGGTGCCGGAGAGAGAGCCGCCGGGGGTGATTTGGGGCAGGATCGGGCCGGAGAGGGCCATGGCGTCGACGAGCATGGATATGGTGTTCTTTCCGGAGCCGGTGGTCTTGCCGAGGCCGGCGGAGAGGAGTTTGGTTGAAGAGAATATTGTTGTGTCGGATTGGGCCTGATTGGCATTGTCAGGGAGGATCTGGAGGTTTGTGACGGGGCTGAGGGCTCACCTTGCCACTGTTGCCTTCACTGGGGATAACGCCGCCCTGGATGCCCAAGGCTGTGCCGTTGCCGCCTGCGTTGCCCGTCACGACGGTGATTTTGCCGTGGGCAGAAACGAGACGGGCAAGGAGGCCGAGAAGGAACAATGAGGGCTGCATTTTGGATAGTCGGAGTGGTAATGTTCGCGAGGGAGCGGCGGTTGTTAAAAAGCAGTTGATAGACCAGCTTCAACCGACTAGAAAAAACGGATCCACCGTTTTGGAAAAGTGAAAGTGGGCAGTGAGGAGAGGAGACTGGTGATGAGCGATGCGATGCTGGCTCGTCGGCAGGAAGAACCGGTGCTATAAGTACAGATCATGATGACCAGCCGCTGCGAGGAGCTACGATGATGCTATTCTACAATTAGATCTCTCGACGGTCAAACCCTAGCGCAAGTGAGGGTAAGTGGGTTGAGGAAAGGGGTTGATACAGTAACCCTTCCTTCTGTTCATGATGGTGAAATGATAGTGTGGTCCGCTGAGGGTAGAGTGGTTTTGTTTCATACCAATCAACATGCCCCAACCAGACGAAAATGCTGATATTGAAACAAAGTAACCCTATATCTCTCCTGAGATCTGGAGTAGGTTCAACATCCTCAAAGCAAGCTGACTTCTAGGCGGCCTAGTAGGTGACCTGTCCTTGCCCTTGAAGAGGGCCAGAAGAGGAAATTGGAGACGAAAGATCTAAGAAATACGGATACCCCGCTCGACCGCTTTGCTACCATCAAACCCCTGCTTCGAAGGTGCGAAATAGGCTACAGTCTCTTTTTGCTCATCAGAGGATTGCAGGGTCATCCTCTGGCCCGCTTCTGGCTTCACTTGGGCTGATAGTAAGGGCTGCCAACAGGAAAGAGGTATACGCCATTACCGTTTACATGCTGAAATGTCAGGTGTTTTGGGGCGGTTACGTTCATAGTGGTCGATGGGATTCCCAAGTTGTTGGTCATTGGGTCTTAAGCGGCAGAAATGAGACTGTTCCATCAAGCGCGCGCTTAGTGCCTGGACAAGAGGCGCTTGAAGCGACCATGCAGGCTTCGATGGCCAGCTGTCTCTGTGACAACGATATATGCAGTGGAGCTGAACTTGTCTAAATTCTAGCAAAGTCTATAAGCTTTTGCTTTCTATCATCTTGGAGAGTTTGGAATGTCAGTTCTCATCTCGCAACCCTTACTGCTCTCCGGAGATGACTATTCAGCGTAACCCTAACACTGAGACACAGCCAGGCTTGGTGTGTGGAGAGAACCACAGAATATAGGCAGAATGACGAAATTGGATTAGAAGTAAACAGCGTAAAAACTCGGAGCATTGAGTCTCTATTGTGTGTTCCTGGAAAAGACAGGAGTTAGAAGCAAAGGGGTTGAGAGCGACGAGCCTGCTCTTCCAGGTTGAGCAGCTTTGACAGCCACCCCACAGAAGCTCTTCTTGAAGACCCACTTAGCAGGATCTTTTCCGCTTTTGGTTCTTGGCATCCCCACCACCTCGCTGACCCCACTGCCAGGCTGAAGCTCCCGACTTGATTGCGAATATCAGGTTCAATCTTCGGTCAAACTCTCAGCAATTACCGTTACGACTAACAAACAACTTTACACTTCTTGTGGACTAGTTACGGAGCCGCGCTTTTCGAACGTCTAATTCCAGATTACAGAGCCTCACGACAGCTAATCTGCAAACCAACCATATTTGTGTCCTCACCAGCAGTACAGCACTTCTCCTCTTTGCCCATCATGCCGGAGCCTGAGCTTGTCGATATGTTGGACAAGTGCCAGGCCGGTGCCGATGTCAGCCAGAATGCAGAGAAAATCTTCCAAAACATCAAGACCCTCACTGCCCCCGAGACAAGAGTTTCGGACTTGAAGCTCATCGTAGAGAAACTCTTCGTCCTGGGCGTCAGCGTTGTGACGACCCGGGAGTTCCTCAACTCCTTCAACGAAGCCTTGCGCGGCCTGGTCTCCTCCGAACCAGAAACTGTAACAGAAGCTGGTGCCTATGCCCACAGATTCATCAGCGAGCAGTCCCCAGTACGCAACTCCCTTATTGAGGGTCTCTGCACCTTAAAGGAAATTATCGCCGAAGCCCACGAATCCCAAGAAGAGTTCGCCGAAGCAGCCAAAGTCCTCCTCGAGATCCCGACCGACACATCACAGCGGCGCCTTGACGATGTGGGCAAGGCCCGTCTGTGGGTGCGCATCGTGCGCAACTACCTCGAGGTCGACGACAGCACCAGCGCCGAGTCGTACCTCAACAAGCTGAAGAACATCATGCACAACGTCCCCGACGAGGAACTCAACCTGCACTTTCGGCTCAGCGTGGCGCGCGTCCACGACGCAAAGCGTGAGTTTCTGCATGCGGCAAAAGCGTACCACGATATCAGCTTCAGTCCGGCCATCGCTGAGGAAGAACGCCTGCACACTCTCGCCATGGCGATCAAATGCGCGATTCTTGCCCCTGCCGGCCCGATGCGTAGTCGGGCGCTGGCGAGGCTGTATAAGGATGAGCGCTCTGTCCAGCTGGAGGAGTTCCCCATATTGGAGAAGATGTTCCTCGACAGGATCATCACGCCTGCTGAAGTCGACAAGTTTGCGAAAGGCCTCAGCCCGCACCAGCTGGCTACCACGGCAGACGGGTCGACCGTGCTGGCCAAGGCCGTTGTGGAACACAATTTGTTGAGTGTGAGCAGGCTGTATAGCAACGTTGGGTTCGATGAGCTGGGATTGCTGCTTGGGCTGGCGCCTGAAAAGGCGGAGGAGACGACGGCCAAGATGATTGAGCAGGGCCGGTTGAGTGGGTCGATTGATCAGATCGATAGGATTATTTGGTTTGAAGGGGGTGATGCGTCCGGGGAAAAGGGGAGCGGAAGGGCTGAGGTGCCGGTCGGCAAGGAGATGCGCAAGTGGGACAGCAACGTGCAAGCGTTGGCAGAGGATTTGGAGAAGTTGACTGATGCGCTGCAGGCCGAGTTTCCGGAGTTTGTGGCGGCAAGGATTGCGGCTTATTAGATACCAGGACGTAGTTGAGACAGCCAGTGTCTTATGAATGGCATCATGACGGATATAGCTGTCTATGTGCACAGCATAATAGGTGAGTTCTGGAAATAAACCGAGCAATGAACAAGACAGAATGTCAAATCTACACTCAGCCCCGTCGATCCGTACCCCAAACGCCTATCCCTAACAGAGCGACCCATACCTTGTATCGCAATCATCACCCTAATACCCTGTAAAACCCCTCTATCATCCATATCCCAAGTTACTCCTCACTCTCAGAACCAACTCTAATCTAAATCCGCCCTCCTGACAACCACATACCCCTTACTGATTTCTGTCTCATCCCCATTCTCCTCCTCAAACTCAAGATCATCGTCCTTGAACATACGCCGGCGCTTGGGCAGCCGAGGTGGCGTTCCCAAGCCCTCTGCTTCAAGCAACTTGACTAATGCCATGCCGACCTTGTTGCCGATCAGGTCGTACCCGGCAGGGGTAAAGTGCACAGTGTCGTCCCAGTAGCGCTGGCGGTCGGAGGGCGTCATGGAAAGATAGGGGAGGGCAGCGTGGAGGTCGAAGACGTGACTGGGCTTTGTCAGTAAGGATACCTCTACATACATAAAGCTGAAAGGAAAGAGTTTACAAGTTATCAGCTTTATGGGAACGGATCAAGTCGTTGAGCTTGTTACGTCTGGCGGCAAGGCGCTCGCGGAGGGCGCTGGGGTCTAGCGCGGCTTCCGGAACGGTGAGGGCGAGGACTTTGGAGTTATTCACAAGGGCATAGTCCCAGACTTCTTTCAGAGTGTTGTAGATCTCTTCGGGGGGCACACCCATAGCAATGTCGCTGTGTGTACAGGTAAGGATGTGTCTCCAGTCAGGGAGTAGGATGTTGCAACATACTTTGTCCCTCCGAGGACAATGGTCCAATCGTAGCCGTTTGTGTCAGCTTGATTCTGTAGTATCTTTGCATTTTTCTGCGGGACTTGATAGGGCCGCGTATTAGCATGAACTCTCACAACAACACGAGTCAGGGGGCCGTAGTCTCCAAGACTGAGCACTTCAAGGATGATAGCACAAGACACAAAGGCAAGGACAAGGCCTCCTACAGTGATGATACATCCTCCCCATGAAGCCAAACCTAACGGTATCCCCTGGGACACCATCTTCCACAGTTTCGAACGCTATATCAGGAAACGCCATGGCCAACATTTGCTCTAGACGCTCGTGGTAGGGGTGAAACATGGCACCCATAGAGCAGTACCCAGCTGTGAGCGAGTCGCCGAAGCACAGGATGCGGAGTTTGCTCGGCCTAGGTTGTTTAGGTAAGGCTGCTGTTGTCATTTTTGCGGCTAAGGATGGGAAATGTACAGCAGTGTATGGAGTTGTGTGTATTGGGGTGAGGAATGAGTGCAAGTCTGTGAGTCTGTCACTTGAGTGTGAGATGGGTCCCGCGGTGCGGTGAGTGAATGCCAAGGGATACGGAGTGCTGGCAGCCGTTTCTCCAGCTGATGGAGAAGACGACCTGTCACCTGGGTAGAAGCGGCTTTACCACGCTGTGGAGATGCGTTCTCACACTGTGAATCGTGTTCGTTGTTGTATGGAAGGGTCTCGAAGTGCACGAGCGTTAGACAGATGTTGAGGATGAAGACTGCTAGAGTCTCTATGGACGGTGCTCAGGGTGAGCTGGACGGTGGAGGTTGCGGGGGCGGGGTCAGGCTCCACCTCTTGAATCCACCACCCGCCAAGCTGGCTTCCCTGTCAGCTGGGCAACTCCACTGACTTCTGGTCTCGATTCAAAGCAATCCTTGGCACGTGGCTGAAGAGTCCCAGGCCAAGCTTCAGCCTGATGGAAGTTCTGCTCAGATGCCTCGACACAAGGAAATCTTTACTCTCGATGACATGCTCAACTTCAAGCCAAGACGTCTCCATTTGAATATGTAGCAGCCTTCTATCTGTCAGTGTGATCTCCTGTTCTCAGATCAAGCAGTTGTGGCAATGCATCCGTTGCAAAGCGACAGCTTCGGTTGGGAATTTTCATTTGCCGATTTTACTGTAGTGAAACTGTCGATGAAGCGACGGTATGCGAAGTCTAACGAGTTGAATGGTAGGCAACCATAAATTGAATTGTGGAGCTCATGTCTCTATGGCAACAGTCCCGGCGTTGTACTTTAACACTAGGCGTTGAAGACCTTGGACATTTACCAGCCCTTTCATCATGACCGTTTCTAGAAAACGAGGCAAAAAATCCCGATCTTGGCTCGGCCACCCGATCGAGATCCTGGCACACCGACTGGCTGGCGATCCACGAAATCGTGCTTCTTGCTGGGATCCAGCCAGCCTTGCAGCGACAAGCAACAGCCGGGGGCCAGTTGATAACTGTTGTTCCTCCAAGCGGAACGCCTGCCGGCCTCGCCCTCGCCCTGCGTGCCTCTACGCCTCTCCAACCAGAGAGAACAACTGCCCCACCGTCGCTAACAAACCTACATACGCCGGTGCTTCCGACAGACGGCGCACGGCAGCCGGTGCGATCCCGGAGGACATAAATCCTCACCCGCCCCTTCGTCGACCGTCGTACTGCGACCGATCAAATCCTGGCTTCAAGTGATTGTTCGAAGTGTCCGGGGGAAACATTTCGTGAAAAATGGCCAAGGAGAAGTTATTCACAGCAGAGGAAGGCATGTTGTCCCGGCTACCAAGGGTCATGCCACGGCAAAGTGGCCATCAAGAACACAACTGACACCGCTACACAGTTGCAAAACACACCTCCCAAGAAAGCTGCTGGGTCGTTCTCCATGGCAAAGTCTACGATGTAACCGAGTTCCTCCCCGAGCATCCCGGTGGCTCCCGTATCATCCTGCAGCTGGCCGGGCGTGATGCCACCGCTGAGTTCGACCCCATCCATCCTCCCGGCACGCTCGAAGATAATCTCAAACCGGAAGCCTGCTTGGGCTCTGTTCCACCAGATGAGCTTAAGAAGCTCCAACGGCATAGCTCGCCTTCCAAAAAGGGGGCTGATAAGGAGGTCAAGGTGCCGCCCCCTCCTCTGCACACTCTCCTCAATATGGACGACATCGAAGCTGCCGCGAAATCTCAAGTGTCCAAAAAGTGCTGGGCATACTACTTCTCGGCTGCGGATGACCTGATCAGCAAGTCCTACAACACGGAAGCCTACCGCAAAATCCACCTCCGTCCCCGTGTCTTTATCGATGTGACCTCTTGCTCAACCGCCACAACCTTACTTGGCCACCCAGTTGGCACACCCCTCTATGTCTCCCCCGCTGCCATGGCCCGCCTCGCCCATCCCGACGGCGAGGCTGGCATAGCCCGGGGCATCTCCCGCTTCGGTGCTATGCAACTCGTCTCACACAACGCAAGCATGTCCCCCGAGCAAATTGTTGCGGACGCCAAACCAGGCCAAATCTTTGGCTGGCAGATCTATGTGCAAAATAACCGCGCCAAAAGCGAAGCAATGCTCGAGCGCATCACACGCATGCGCGACAAGTACAAGTGCATCGTCCTAACGCTCGACGCCCCCGTGCCCAGCAAGCGCGAGCACGACGAAAAGGCCGCCCTCGAAGCCGCCATGCAGTTCAACCCCAACCCTTCCCCGACAGGAGGAGCTGCTGCGAAGCAAACTACCGGATCCGACAAGCCTAACGCCGCCGCCGGCAGCGGCATCGGCCAGCAAATGTTCTTTGGCACGGCCGCTGATCTAACCTGGCACACCACCCTGCCCTGGCTGGCCAAGCACGCCCGCGGCCTACCGATCGTGCTCAAGGGCATTCAGACGCACGAAGACGCGTACTTGGCTGCTCGCTATGCCCGCGCACACCCGGGCACGGTGCAGGCCATCATCCTGAGTAATCACGGAGGGAGGTCGGTCGATACGGCGCCGCCGGCTGTGCACACGCTGCTGGAGATTCGGAAGTACTGTCCAGAGGTGTTTGATGTGATTGAGGTGTGGGTGGATGGCGGCGTGAAGAGGGGCACGGATGTGGTGAAGGCGTTGTGTCTGGGGGCGAAGGCGGTTGGTGTGGGCAGGCCGGCGCTATGGGGATTGGGAGCGGGTGGTTGGAAGGGGGTTGAGAGGGTCTTTGAGAGTAAGTACATCTCTTGGTCAGGAGAAGTTAGCATGGGAAATGCTGACTCTGATGCAGTCTTTCAGGATGAAATCGTCACCTGTATGAAGATGCTTGGCGCAAGGAATCTCTCTGAGCTGGGCCCTCACTTCGTAAGTCTTGCCGTCTTTGGCTGTTTTCCTCAAGTTCTGCCATGATATGACATTCAGAAGATCGTCGTTTATTTCTCATATCCGTGGATTGCCAAAGCTAACCACCATCACCAGCTCAACACCCGTATGGTCGAGCGCGATATTTATGACGGCCCCTCCAACATCGACAGGTTAGGGCTGTGGGAGCCGCAAACCCCGTCCCGCGCCAAGCTCTAAGCTGGGACAGTAACCCGGGGATACAGAAACACGGTATGAGGGGTCCGGTCGGGGAATGCCTGGCCTAGGCAGCTCCATGCGGAGTCTTGCTGCGTCTCCCCTCGTGGGGGATGGGGACCGGATGGGGAATCGTGTTTCTCGGTTGGCGAGATCTAGTTGTCCTCCACGTGCATATGCTGTTGAAGTGGTCTGCTTTTTGGCGTGCCAACCAATCTCTTCCCCACGACATGTGGTAGTGGGCCGGTAAAGCCTACGCGGGGAGTGGTGCCAGAGGCCTACATTAGTATGGTGTAGCTAATGCTAGATGCATGCGTGAGGATTTATGATTCAGGGGAAGCGTGTTTCATACCCAGGTGTGTACGTTAACTTCGTGGAGCCGTTAATGAGTTGTCGTTGTATCGGAGCCTTTGCTGTTCTAGTTGAGCTGGACGGCGAGCAACCTCTTTGCACTACACGACGCCAGCTTAGCTTCTTGCTATTGTCTAACCCGTAGATTAGTCCATTTTCCCGGTCTCCTGTTTTTGGCTCTGAACTGATAATCAAATAACTCTGAACCTTCTTCCTACTGGCCACGCCGACAGGATAGTGTGTACCGAAGAATGTTAAATATCCTAGCTGTCTGCTTTCTTATAGTTCCCAAGTTCTCGATCTTGGGTTAAGATGTTTACACACTGTAAATAAATATTCAAGCCTGCTTGTCAATATCACACTGGTTCCTGGAAACCAACTGGCAGATCGCCGCAGATCCACTCGTCCTGCAGCCACACCAAATCGCTCGCAGCAGTAAAGCTCTGTGATGCTGCATCGTCACTGGCAGCATAGACGATGTTTTCCCATACTGTACTGCGCGTACCGAGCCGATCTTCAGTCAGCTCGGCGTCGAGTCCTCCCGTCGGCTCGCCGCCTGCTGATTGATTCATGAATTCCAGACATCAGATGATCTAGCTTACGAGCTGCGACTGAGTAACATTCGAACACCCCTTTGCAGTCGCCTTGAGATGATCGTGTTACTGCAGCAGGAAATGAGAGTCTAATGAATCCCAGCAGCCCTAATGCACACTGCTCGCTAGGTAGTGTAAGTGCCGAGTGCAAGAGTCAAAAGTTGGCTGATTCAATGTCCAGATGCTACTCTTGAACCGCATGTTAGGTCATTCCCAACATCTGATTGGCTGGACGGGCACAGTTGGATGGCAAGGCATTGAAAGTGTGATCCCTCCCTTTCATCGGCCCAACCGAGCGGCTGGAGCGCCTACGAGGCTGTTAGATCAATTGTACGGCAAGAGAATGTGGAATTGCAGAGGATTCTACACTTCCAGTTTGGAGTCTGGAGGATAGTGTGGTCATTTGTGTGGCTTTCAGAGATCCAGGTTGCAACTGCTTGCTTTAGGGCCCCCAGCAATTGCTGTTAGCCATCTGGCACATTGCCGTCATTACGAAGTCAGGTTTTGTTCATGTTGTCATGAAAATCTGGAGATTGGAGTCAGGGTCGCAACCCCTGGGTACATCCCAGACAGCCAATGTCTTCAATTCCTCGACGCAAATTTCCGGGTGGCAGCAGCCCGCTCTCAACGATTCTTGCGAATCACCTTTCTTGCCGCCATCCATTGTTGAGCTCTTCGTGGAGTAGCAAGCTTTTTTGTTGGAGAGCAGTGGACCTCCATATGGTGGATACCTAGAGTGTGGTGGAGAGGCAGGACTGAAGAAGACTTTTCTTGGGAACCTTGACGGGGACCCTTGACTTCCTATGACAGCCATAAAGCATCGCCGTCTCGCCAAAACTGGCCGAGATGCACTGCGGAACGATTCCCTCAGCTGCGATGCGCCGCGACGGCTGTTCTCAGGTTCGACAACCGAAGCACGTGTCTAACAGACCCGACGGTTGGTTCCCATCTCGTACTCGGGCAAAGGTGGTTGTGCATTGGGTTGTTTTGTTCTCTGGCGTTACACCGAGCACCCAATAGTCGCCCACGGCTTTGTGATTAGAAACTGTGATCTGAAGAAGAGACGCATGATAGCAACCACGCGGGCAGCAAAATCCAAAAGCAATCCAGATTCGACTTTGATCAGATTTGCCAGATTTTTCTCATGTGCCCCGTCCAACACATTGATTAATGGTCACAGTGGTGGGCTCACTACTTGCCGAGACCATCCCGTTAGACCAGGGTTAGATGGGACATTATCCTTGGCGGACCAGGGTTAGCATGCCATCCCGGCGCCTCCCCCAGATAGAAGCGGAGACCAGCAGTGGGCCGATCTCTTGGCGGGCGCCTCTTCTGGTAGTTACGCCGGACCGCGTGAAACCGTTCCTCTGCGACAGAGTCCTGCAATCGTTGCATTCATTCAAATTGCTGCGGCAAGACAGGAGCAAAGTAAAGTCTCCGTAAGCAGAAGTGGCCACTGTACTACATCATTATTGCAAACAACAAAACAAACCAACCTTGAACTCATGCACCAGCCGCCATCCCATCCAACTTCATCCAGAGGTAGCCTGCAACATCGTATCTTCACCACCGCTGCTGCGATGCCTTTGTAGACCGAAATGCCCATGTATCGCCTAAGTAAGTATCTGCCCAAGAAGGGGTCTAACACCGCTGGCGATGCTTGCAATGCCCGGCGATGCTGCCCGAATGCGGCAAGTTGATCGGGGTCGTCAGCTTTTTGTGACTGGCCACGCAGCCCGGGGGTTCGGAGGTTCCCCGCGACTGGCAACGCCGATACCACTCGGGGGACTCCACCATCCCCAGCACCCCAAGAGTGTCAAAAGGCGCGAGATATCATGATGCCACTGCTGATGACTGGCCTGAGTAGCCTCTCCTCCACATTCCCCGCACCTGTCATTGTGCCCTGTCCGGCCCCATATTCCAAGAAGAGACAAGAAAGCCATCGTCGCCGACGCATCGCGGGCGACCGTCAGCACGCTGTTGCAGCGATGCGATTCTTGGGCGCAGAAGGCAGAAGCCCAACTCCAACTTTCAAGTGCAGGACACTGGACACTGTGCGCCGCATGGACAGTTGACAGATCGGCAGCATGTGAAAATGCGAAAGCAATGGCTTGGCTGAAGCGGCAGTCAGAGCGGCGCCATGGGCCGTTCTGCAGCATTCTGCAACCTGCTGCCCCTTGTTCTGCTGGGTGGTCGAGCTCTTTGGCTCTTGGCCTGTATCAATGTAGCCGTCCCACTACGAGGAGCTCAGGGTTAGGGTTTATGCTGTTGGTTGCTGCTGCTTGCCTGTCGCCCCCTCCTCTCCCCCCCCCCTTTTTTTTTTTCCTTTCCGCTCCTTCCCTCGGTTTTTGCGGGGAGAATGCGGTTCGGACGACCTGCTTGAACAGGCTAGCTGACCTGCCATGTGAGACCCCAGAAATGGGGTCCAAGGCCCAACATCAACCTGCCAATAAGTGAGGAGTCCAATTGACGGTCGGGAAAAAGCTCAACTGGCGACTCGGTGGTGGCAACCTGGAACACGGTTCGCCGTTTCCTCCGTCGTGCCCCCTTCCATTGCTGATGATCCTGGCCTCCATCCCCGTGAGCAACCTGCGGGCGACTGTGGGATGCCACTGTGGAAGCTTGCTGCAAAACTCGCATGGAGCCATGTCCCTGCCGATCCGTTCCATCGATCCAAACCGAGTCCACAGTCCACACCTGTTTCCCAACCACTGCGTTAGCGCCGGCTAGCGCAGGTCCTCAACCAGGAAAGTATTTCGTACTGTGTTGTGTAAATCGGCCGTTGTTCCTCCCGGCCTCTCGGTCGTCTCGCTGGACCCCTCTCTGTTATAAGTGCCCATCAGCTCCCACATCTTCCAGTCTTTGTGACCACACACATATGTTCCTTTCAGTGTCGATCACTTCTGTCGATCTGTCCCTGCCATCACCATTCCGCACGTGGTGATCGAGACCCCGGCTCAAGTGTGATCAGTTCTCATAATCATCACCGAGCTCCAACTTGAACACGGCTTGAAGCTTCTTCCCTAATCCCATCGACCCTAATCCCATTGACCTACCTTACCCGCTAATCGAGCTACACTCGAGCTCTTCACTATGGCCGACGTCGATAAGGGCGCCGTCGCCCAGGCGGAAAATGTCTCCGAGAAGCCCCAGCGCCGCGGAGGCTTCCTTGGCCACTGCGCCAGGTTCTGGTGGGCGTATCTAATTTTCCTTTGCGTGGTGGTCGTCGTTGTCGTACCTTGCGTGTAAGTATCCGTAATATCAAGCCCTGGTAGCTTTAGAGCAAGACTCTGACCCCTTTCCAGCTTGTTGGTTGCTGTGCCCAAGTTGGCTCAGGAGAAGCTCGACGAGGCCGAGCTCACTCTTGACAAGATCACTGTCACCGGCACTCAGAGCAAGCGCCTGACCATGAAGATTGACACCCAAATCCACACTGACGGCTCTGTTCACGCCACTGTCATGGGCTTCGAGGGTGTTATGTACCTCACGGACTACGAGCCGCAGACTCCTTTCGCTCGGATCAACTTCCCAGAGACCACCAGCGAGAAGCACCAAGTTGTCAACGTTACTCAGGAGATTGAGATTGATGACGTCGAAGCCCTGACTCGCTTCAACACCTGGTTGCTTCACAACGAAACTGTCCGTGTTACCGTCGAGGGCGACACCAAGGTCAAGGTCAGGGGTATTCCTCGCAAGTATGGTGTCACCTTCAAGAAGACTATTGAGATGCCTGGTAAGTTCCTGTTCAGTCAGCACTTTGCGTCCGCTGAGCTTTCCTGCTGACACGTTTTACAGGCTTGAAGATGTTTGAGGGTCTCAAGGTTAACGAGACTTCCATCAACCTCAACCCCACCGACAACTTCTGGGGCACTGCTTGGATTCCCAACCGCTCTCAGGTCGCCATTGAGCTTGTAAGTTGACTTGAGCATATCCAAACTGCTGAAATTGGCCTGCTAATCATGCTCCCAGGGCAATGTTACCTTCCACGACTACCTCTTGGGTGAGGAGGTTGGTGAGGTCTACCTCGATAACCTGACTCTGCAACCCGGCATGAACCGTCACATTATGCGTGCGACAATCGAGGCCGACCCAGTCTTGAACGCCATGCAGAGCGAGCCTTACTGCCACCCGGGCAAGGGCATCCTGCCCTTCGTTATCCGCGGTAAGAAGGTCGTTAACAACGGCCAGTCGCTCGACTACCTTGCCAACGCACTCGCGACTGGCAACCAGACCGTTCCCATTGACATCGGCTGGACCCTCAAGAACTCGCTCAACATCACCCTTCCTTGCAAAGACGACAGCGAGTAAGCCCATCTCACTCAACGTAGTGTTGAGGGCGTTTGCTTTACATACAATATCGTCCTTTTCTGTCTTAATATTTTTGTCGTCATTTTTATGCGTGGGATCGGTTATACCACTTTTGATGGGTCTACGAGGCAAGATACCATGAATATCGGGGGTTATGTCTTTTGGGAACATATATGATGAGAGACCTTAGTAATATAACTCTATCTGCCTGTGGCAGAGGGCAAGATGCTGCTGCCAAATCGCCTAGTCGGGAACCTATGTTAGATACGTGAGCGGGATCCGGGATCTTGATTTCTGTCGGTAGTTGGCGAGGTACCAGGTTTTCTAGTAGCGCCACATATGAAACAATGATGACCGACATTAGCTTTGACGTCTGTGCGATTTTTGTGCCGACTTGGCATGGGAAACGAATGAAACGCTGAGTTTGTTCTCATTACCGATAGGGTATTCTCGAACAGGGCCAGACTCAGTGAAGAATTCAATCTGCCATCCTAGGACGCTTAAACCTTTTGGGATGCTACTCCCGGCTCGACATTAGTATCTGTTCTCTCTATGCATTTTGAGAAACAAGACCAACGTGGCTGTGATTGAGACTTGATCTGTTCTGCATGTTGGGAAGCTACGCGTCTGTGGGTCCTCGAGGCCAACAGGGCAGCTGAAAGGTGAAACTCTGGCGGCATGTCTGTAGATTAGCATTACTTGAGCCATCGCGATGCTTGTGGAACATGTAAACAATGAAGATATGCCCAGATAGCCTTTCTCCTCCTTACAAAACAAGAATGCTTCACCACGTTGTCATATGTCAATCCCATCTACCTTTCCACTTGACTCCTCCAACCCCAGGTGTGTCCGACCTGCTTCCACTTCGCTCACCGCTGTCAGCCCCAGTGCCCGCAGCAGACCCCGTATTTGAAGACGAAGCCGACACAAACTCAATCGGCTCCCCCGGCTTTCTCGCCCTCTCTCGCTCCGCCCGTTCCGTCAACCTCTTCAACCCCCCTCGGAAAGCCCACGCCGGAAACCCATGCGGATCCCATACTTCCCTTGACAGCACCGTCGCATACTGTTCCGTTGCTTTCTCAACTACCCTTTGCTGCTGCGAAGTTCCTTGACCTTCATAATACTCTGCTTCTCCAAAGTCAATCTCTGTTTCGACCCCGACAAATCCTAACAATCGGTCCATCATCGCTGGGTTGCGCATGCCCTTGCTGTCGGCCAGCCGCTGGTTGAAATGCACGCCTTTGGTGCGCTTCAGCTGGAGGAAGTGTTCAAATTTGGAGGTAAGCGCGTCGTGCCCTGGAGGAGGGGTACCCCCTGGAGAAGGGGGGATGTCGAGGTTTGGGACGGCCGGAAGGGTTAGGTCCCGAAGGAGGGTGCGGGTCGCGGTATAGGGGGATTTAGGAGGGCCTGTTGGGGCGCTGCCGTTTTGTGGGGCATCGTTGTCGAGGAAGGAGAGGTCGACTTCGTCATCGGGGTCGGGGAGGGTTGAGGATTGGCGCAATTGGGAGGGGGAGGGGAGGGAGGGACCAAGGGCTGGGCCCAGGACTGGGGTTTGAGAGGGGCCGGGAGCTGGGCCGAGGGGTTCTTGTTGAGGTGGTAGTTCGGAAGTTTGGAGTTGTTGAAATGTTGTAGCTATAGGTTGTGAGACAGCTGATGGTATGGAGGGGGTACTTGGTTGCTCTGCTCGAGGAAGGTTAGCACATATGGTTGATTGTTGAGGTTTAGCTTCGAGTCAGGGAGCCTACCAGAAGCATCAATGGAGGCCTTTTTCTGTGTTTCTGAAGTTTCTTTTGCTGATTGAACAGAAGCCTGCAATTATGTCTTAGAATGATGTCGAAAGTAAATTAAATTGACCAAATGTAGATTCATACCTGGGGCTCATCTTGCATCTCATCATCGTCGCTGCTGTCGTACTGAACAAGGCCCATGCTTGATTCAATGTTATAATCTTTATACTGTCACAATTCTATAAAGTTCTAGAACAGTTCAAATTTACTTTAACCAGCGCGATGTGATGTGTTTGTTCACTTGCTTCGGTGAAGTCGGTTGATGAAAGTTATGTGCTGATGAATGATGTCACGTGCTCTGGCTTGGCTGAAGCCAGCCCAAGACCCCTGCAAGTGGCTCTACCTGAGTACCGCAGCACAGTCTCGGCGCTTGGCAGCCAAGCCCAACGTCAGCGACGCCTGTGGAAGGCAGCACTTGGACGCGAAGCTCCCAGCCGCATCATCGTCCAGTTCAACAAGGCTTTGGGGTTGCCACTCGCTCCCCTCAACGCACCACCACAACGAGAAATCTCTCAACACCAATCTAATTTCACGGACCTCGAGTGTCAGGCAACATATTTCCAGCGCAGTACTCCTCCATTCCCAATCAAGTCGCTCCCATCAGCCACGGTCGCAGCCCCGCACCGCCCTAAACCATCGTCATGGATCACCGTCCGCAGGCCTGGGGTCGTGTACGTCTTCTCTAAACTCTTCCTCTAACCCTCGCTTGCCCATGCCAGTACCACAGTCGCACTGACCCATCACAGCCCAGAGACGACGTCTTTGGGCCCTACGATCCCTCCTACCTTCAGACAACGGGCCCCAAGACGGCAACACAACAACCCATCGTGACGGGCACATCAGTCATAGCCATCAAGTTTAAAGATGGCGTGGTCATGGCTGCTGACAACCTGGGTTTGTTTCCGTCCTACTGATCTTCATCCTTGTACCGTCCAGTGCCAATGACTAATTCCCTTTCCCGAACAGCCTCCTACGGCTCCCTAGCCCGCTTCACCGACGTCAAGCGTCTTCACCCCTTCCTAGGCCACACGATCGTCGGCTTCGGCGGCGATGTCTCCGACATGCAATATCTAACACGCCACCTCAATGAGCTCGCAATCGACGAAGCCTATGACCACGAAGCGGCCTCAGCTCAGTCGGGTGGCGGCAGCCACCTCAACGCAGCCAATCTGCACAAATACCTTTCCAAGCTGATGTACCGGCGGCGGAACAGCTTCGACCCGCTGTGGAACGCAATCCTGGTCGCTGGGTTTGATAGCCAAGGGAAGCCGTTCCTAGGGTCAGTTGATTTGCGGGGCACGGCATTCACGTCGCCTTCGCTGGCGACAGGATTCGGTGCTATGCTTGCACAGCCTATCATGCGGAAGTATGCGGCGACAGAGGGAGATACGGAGAATATGACCCGGGACGAAGCGGTGCGCGTGGTTAAGGAATGCATGAAAGTGCTGTTCTACCGTGATGCTCGGTCGCTGGACCGGTACAGCCTCGCGGTTGTTACGAAGGATGGTGTGGAACTGAGCGAAGACGAGCAGTTGGAACAGCAAAGCTGGGCCTTCGCCGAGCGCATCCGGGGCTATGGCACCCAGACTGTGTAAGAAGGCTGCATTACAATACAATCCCCAGTGATATCTTTTGCACTTCCTACAGCCTTAAATCTACATATAAGCCATGGACAGGCATGCCATGGAGAGGAGTGATTGAAGCAAAGATTAGCCAGACGGACACAGTTCTAATAAGTACTAGTGAGGCAACTCATGTCGTGAGGTTAAGTATATTCGCATGTCGCTGGCTGCAAACGCCTCCTGACACTATGACGACCGGTCAGGGTTTTCCAATCCAGACCATCCCTTCTCACACTGTTTACCAATCAGCCCCTCACTTTCCGGCTCCGAGACCATCTCGGCGCTGTTGGCCCTGTACCCTTGACGCGACTTGTGTCCTTTTCCCAGCGCCGACTCCTACCGGCGGGTGACTGCAAGGTAACTAATAAAGTACTAGTACATGCTAGATAAGTCTATTATTCAAGGAGAGAGTGACCTCGTCGTGGTCCAACCCTCGGCTTTTGGACGTCCTATCGTTTTTGATTCAACCATGAAGTCCACACCCTGGCCCGCTTCATTCAACAGTCACCGACTTGGCCAGGTTGCGCGGGAAGTCCACATTAAGACCTTCCATGACGGCGAGCCAGTAAGCGATGAGCTGCAGAGGAATGACGTTCAAGATGCCTTGCAGGCAGTCCACCGTCTTGGGAATCTCAATCTTCTCAGCCTGGCTGGACTTGAACTCCTCGTCGCCCTCGTTGCAAATAACAATAGGCTTGCCGCCGCGAGCGATGACTGTAGGGGAAATACCTTGTTAGCCGTTTGTTTAAAGTCTTCGTGCGCATAGGAGAACAAACCTTGTTGGTAAGCATTCAGGCTCTTCTTGAAGAGGTTGTCCCTCGTCAAAATCATGATGATGGGCAAGTTCTCGTCGACAAGAGCGAGCACACCATGCTTGAGCTCACCACTCATGACGGCTTCGCAGTGGAGATAGCTAATTTCCTTGATTTTCAGGGCACCTTCAAGCGCCGTGGCGTGTTGGCTGCCGCGGCCAAGGAGGAGAATGCTCTTCTGACCTTTGAACTTCTTCTCGCACAACTCCTTGATTTTCTGGTCCTGTTCCAGAACAGCCTTGATCTGGTCGCTGATCTTGCTCAGGCCCTCCATGATCTCCTCACGCCGCTTTTGCTTCGAAGCACGATCCTCACTGAGCGACAGCGCGAACATGACCATGGCAATGAACTGAGAGGTATACGCCTTCGTCGAGGCAACGCCAATCTCGGGACCGGCGTTGACGTGGACACCGCAGTGAGTGAGCAGAGAGATGCTAGAGCCCACCACATTCACGATACCGACGGTTAGAGCACCGCGCTCCAGGCAGTATCTGAGTGCCATGAGCGAATCAGCGGTCTCACCGGACTGAGACACGAAGACGCACGTGTCGTCTCTGAAGACAGGGGCTTGGCGGTCCAGAAAGTCGGACGCAAGCTCCACAGAAATCGGTATCTCGACAAGCTCCTCGAAGATGCCACGAACGGCCATGCAGCTGTGATACGACGTACCGCAAGCAATGAAGATGATGCGGCGGCAGCGGCGAATAGTGCTGATATAATTCCTCAGACCACCAAGGGTCACTGTCTTGTTGGCGATATCGAGACGGCCACGCATCGTGTTGATAACAGACTCGGGCTGCTCGAAAATCTCCTTCTGCATGAAGTGATCGAACTTGCCCTTCATAATCTCCTGCAGCTCAAGCTCGAGTGTCTGGATGGCGCGCACATTACTGCTACCATCAGCCTTCTTGAGCCGGTGGATGTTGAGCTGGCCCTCGTGAATGTGGGCGATGTCGTCATCTTCAAGGTACATAACCTTCTTTGTGTGCTCCACAATGGCCGACGGGTCGGAAGACAGGAAGAACTCGGTGGGCATGGGCTGTCCATCGTCTGTCATAAAGGCGCGGGACTGCGAGCGGTGGAGCAGAGACTTGTCAGCAGCGGCCAGCAGGCCATTGGGAGCGAGAAGGCTGCCAGAGCCCGACGACTTCTTCAGAGCCACATTCTGCGATGCCGTCTCGGCGGGAAGTGCGGTGTTCTCATCCGAATATTCGACATCGACGAAGTCAACCTTCATGCGCTTCGAGGTCTTCACACCAATGACCAGGGGTGAACCCTTGCGAGCGGCAATCACTTCATGAGGATAGTGCACGCTCTTGATAAGGAGACCATAGGCGCCCTCAAGCTCGCTGATAACGGCCTTGGCCAGATCGGTGAAGCCCACATTCGGGTGCTGATCATAGATGTATTTAGCCAGCTTGGCGATGCACTCGGTATCCGTGTCGGTCTCGAACTTGAACCCCTTGCTCTCAAGCAAGGTCTTCAGCTCCTTGTAGTTGGTGATGATGCCATTGTGGACGACTGAGAACTCCCAGCTAGGGTCGGAGCTACATTTATCACTTTCGTCAGCTTTGTGTCCCAAATTCTTATTGTAACCTGTGTCCCTGGCCGGGTGTTGCCTTACCGGTGGGGGTGGCAGTTGAGCCGGGATGGAGGGCCGTGAGTCGCCCAGCGGGTGTGCGCAATGCCGCAGTGGGAGTCGAAGGTCTTGGTAAGGTCAAGCTGGGCCTCATCGATGAGTTGCTTCAGCTTCGCGACCTTGCCGACCTCCTTGAAGGCGAAGACCTCATTCTTCTTGTCGCCATCGACAGCAAGACCGGCAGAGTCATAGCCACGATACTCGAGACGGAGGAGACCTAATTGCCGCGGAAGAGCACACGTCAGCACTTAAAGACATTGTGGAGCGAAGTAAGACCGTCCAATGGGTTGTCATCCTGCACCGAGCCTGAGCCGGCGCAGGTCGCTATAGAGCGGTACGCAGGTCGACCGGAGAGCTCCAAACATAAGCAACGTACCATTGATCAGGGTCTCAATAATAAACTTCCGGTCTTTTTCCACCAGATAGTTAACGTAGCCGAAAATGCCACTGCAGAAGAAAATGCGGTGTCAGCACAACCGTCGTCTTCGTGTCGCCGCCACAGGGACCAGAGCGCATCAGGGGGAATTCTCTGTGTCCTGAAGACACCGTCCCTCCCCATTTGAGAGACGCCGCGCACAGTGACCACAAAGAGCAGCTCAGGGCACAACTGGGGGACGGATTCGGGGGGGAAGAGGGGGGAGGCTGTTTCGTACCACATGTTGATAGATTAGACTAGCGAACGACAGGAGGGGCAATTGACAGGACACCGAAGATGTTGGCAGATAACTCAAGCGTAGGGGTATCAGCAATGATTATGAGGGAATCCCCAAAATGCCAGAGGGCGGGCGCAGTTCTGCACGACGACGAGGATGAAGGGAAAAAAATGAAATAATATGGATGGATAGCCAGGCTTGTTGACTGGATAGAAGCTGGGGACGGGAGCTTGACGACTTTATGGTTGGCCGTGGAGGGGGGTGGGACTTGGGAAGGAGCAACGCTGCTGCTGGCGCACCCTCTGCAGGGCCGCAGGCGATGTGGAACCCCCAGCGGCCTGGCAAAACAGGGGTCAGCAGCCCAGCAAGTGGTCCAGCGGCCAGCGGCCAGCGACCGCCGACACGGGTGAGGGTCCAAGTGGCTGTCACTTGTCACCGCAGCGCCTTCTAACTGGAAGGCTAACCGGACGCTGGCCTGGAGCAACACACTTGATTCGGTCACTCAGGAAGGAGATTGCTTCTCTTTGCGTGATGTCCCTCCCTGCTTGCGTCCCCTTTGCATGCCGTTATCAATACATTCGCTTTCTGGTGCCATCTAGGTCCAGTCACCTCGACAGCCAATCCACTTTGACCACAGCTTCAGCTTTCAGCGGCACTGAATGGACACTTTGCGATGCTGGACTGGGTGCTTTTCACCAGAGCACCCTATACTCTGACAAAAAAACAAGCACAAAAGCATGCCTACCCGACAAAAACGCTACTTTTTCCTCCGCTCCGCTTGCTACTGCTTGTTGGATCCCACTTGGTTTCCCAAACGTCCCGTCCTTGGGTACTTTTCAGCTTGCTGACATGAGACGGCGTGCTCTGCTCACCGCGCAGCAGGGATCCCGCGAGCTGGATGTCCCATGTTTTGGTGCAGTGGCGCCTTGCGCAGCCCCTCGGCCCCTCCACCATTCTCAACACCCCACTTTTGCTCCCCTCCCCGGCGCGGTGTGTTCTGACAGTCTGTCCATGTTGGTCTCGTCGCAAGGCTTTGACTTTGTTCAAAATAGATGAGAGAGTCACGCCTCGAGATGGTGAACCCGGATCATGAGCCGGGTCCAGCTTTTTGCTGTTGTGGAAACCTGCAAGCTCACACTTCCTACTGCAACTGAAAACTGGTTGCGCTGCTTACCGGGATTGTCTTCTCGTTTGGCTGCACCGCCTTCGCAATCCATAGCGGGAAGAATTCATCTCGTAGATGGCTAGGTTCTACCTCTTGTATGCCCTTCCTGGACAGCCCCCTAGCTCTCTTCTTCCCAAGACGTTTCCAGCCTGCCCTGTGAAGATGCGTGGCGCTATTAGACTAGCAGTACGCAGCATGCCCCCAATTCTCAGATCTGAACATTGGTCCATCGCAAAGTACTTGGCTCTGCGCCCTTCCATTGGCGGCTGTTCAGCTCTTCCGGATGCATTCCCCAAGCATCCAGCGCAAACTCCTGCGGCTGGAAGCAACGTTGATCTACTTACACTACGTGTCGGATTTTTACAAGCATCTCTCCATCGCATGCTGGCCCGCGGCGGTTCTTCTCGTACGCGCCAAGTCATCTGTTGTGCATCCTTTGGGCTCACCGCCATCCGGCCATTGATCGCCATCCCGACGCGCCCTTCTCCAAACACATACGGCCGGCCCGGACTTGGCAGACGGTTCCGGATACCACTCTTCGACCAAACTGGTGGAGATCGGGAACTTCGTATCGCGTGTGTGTGGGGCGGACGATCTGGAATAGTTGCGTCTGCTGCAACCCCATGGACTTCTGCTTGCTCTCTCGAGATGGTCCCCATCAACCGCTTGGATAGCCCATCATGCCATGAGAGACCCGAACAAGTGATTCTTGCGTACAGATCCTTCGTCCTGTCCATCCTCCAAGCTCTGTAGGCACTTGCGGTTCTCTCTGTACAGCCGTCTGTATGTTTGAACAGACGATCCCCTACCCCTGGGTGGAAAACAAGGAAGAGCCGGTCACCATTTGCCCTGTCGATGCAAACCCTCAGATGGATCTTCCCGCGATGCACAGCCTGTCGCAGTTGTTTCCCAACCAGGCTGTGGCTTTGCAGTGCCACAGGCGCGATGGCGAATGTTCGGTGGGAGCATTTCCCATCATTCGTAATTTACCCCAGGTTCGCCTATTTGCCGAATCAATAGGCCGGCTCTGGTGTAAGTTTTGTTATAATGTGTAATTACCAGCCCACATTTCGAGGCTGTGAAGGACCCGAAGATAGGGATTACCCCTTGGCTTACGTCTATTCTTAGCAGGTGGTGGGCAGTCCCCCCACGAGACCCAGGCCAGCATCTTGATAGACGGGTTTCGAACACGAGGAAGGGAACGATCGTCGCTAAAACAAGCTTTTCTCCGGATGTAAGTAAGTGGGCGCAAACGGAGCGATGGGCCCCTAATTTGTTGACCATACGTCATTGGAGCATGCGCCGAGCAGGAGGGACCGGACAAGGGACAAGATGCAAATGATCACGCATGCAGATTGGCAAGAATGCAGAACTTGGAGCAGGTCTGCGGAGAATGGTATCGCAATATCTTCTGCAGAGAACTGATAAGCGCCATCGCCGTCGTAGTCGTCGTGGCGCGAGTTTTGATATGTGCTACATCTCCGTTTATAACTGACACGCGAATGTCCCCAAACCTAATCACCATCGAGGAGTCAGAAGGGTCCCATAAGTTACTGGATAACACGGTCTTTGTGGTTCGTTGCATTCGCTGCGGTTTTGTTGCTACCAGATTACACTATGTACGTATGCCACCGAACACAACACGAGCCGAAACCGTGTTGAAAATGATCTGGGTGCCCTTTTCGAGTGTATCAAAGCTTTTGATATTCCAGTTTGCCCTCGAGCTTCTTCGCTTCCGCCAATTTGCGAACGGCCTTGTTGAAGTCATCCTGGTTGATGGCATCTCTGCCAGCCTTGATAGCGAACAAACCCCTGAGCACGACAATTAGCAACCGTAGGAGAGTGCTCTTCCAAAGAAATCCCAACAACTTACGCTTCCGTCACCACATTCCGCAGATCAGCGCCATTGAACCCGTCGCTCATCTTTACGATGCTCTCAAAGTCGATCTCACCTTCCTTTGCCACACTGGCAGAGTGGATCTTGAGAATCTCAAGTCTCCCAACCTCGTTCGGCAAGGGAATCTCGATCTTGCGATCTAAACGACCAGCACGCAACAGCGCCGGGTCAAGCGTATCAGGCCGGTTTGTGGCCATGATAATCTTCGTCTTGCCCAAGTAGTCGAAGCCGTCGAGCTGGTTGAGCAGCTCCATTAGAGTACGCTGAATCTCGCGGTCTGCGCTGGTGCCTTCACTGAAGCGACGGCCGCCAATGGCATCGATCTCGTCCATGAAGATGATGCACGGTTCATGTTCCTTGGCATAGCCGAACATCTCGCGGATCAACCGCGCCGATTCGCCAATGTACTTATCAACAATTGCAGACGAAACAACTATTTAGCGGCGGCGTGACTATTAGCAAATCGGAGTCTAGGGTTCAAGGGAAGGAGCACAGACATCAGAGACGTACCCTTGAGGAAGTTTGTTTCTAAGCTGCTAGCCACAGCCCTCGCAAGCAGGGTCTTGCCGGTGCCTGGTGGGCCATAGAGGAGAACACCCTTCGGCGGCTTGATGCCAACTCTCTGGAACAGTTCTGGGTTCTTGAGCGGAAGCTCAATCACCTCTCTCAACTCCCGGATCTGGTCGTTCAGGCCGCCGATTCCAGCGAAGCTAACCTGGCCGGGGTCCTCGAGCGACATGTTGTAGACAAGCGGATCAACCTCGCGCGGCAGCATCCGCATGATGGTAAGAGTCGTCATATCGAGGGCTACACGTGTCCCTTGCTTCAGCTTGGACTTGTCGACCTTTGACCGGCACCCCACAACGTAGCGCGGGCCGGAAGAGGCCTTGACGATAACTGTCGGAAAATTGATGTCAGTAGCTGTGGCGGCAATCGGCTTCTGAAAGCGGGGGGGCAAGCGCACATCTCTCATCGTCAAGCTGCTTCAGCACTTCGCCGACAATCTGACCAACACTTTGTAACGCCTTGATGTTTTCTTCCGTCCTGTCGTACTCCTTCTGTAGCTCCTTTATCTCCAGACGCAGGTTCTTTAGTTTGGTTTCCCACTCTCGGGACTCGATTAACTTCTTTTTAAACTCGGCGAGGGCGTGCTCGCGCTCCTGGTCCGATGACATGGTAGCTGGTTGGAAGTCTAAATCGAGAACTCGGGAGTGGCAGCAAGCCTCGATAGTCTGACGTTCAATCTCCGTGGAAAGGAGCGCAAGCTTGGTCGTGGTGGTGGAGATATTATGACAGGCGAGCCTGGTCGTAGCTAGACGCTGTCAAGGCTGGTCAGATTGGTTGGCGATGGCACTTCAGCTGTAACGTGTAGCGGATGTAATGCAGCCCAGTGGTTGAGCTTACCCAAGCATCTGCTGCCTTAACAAAGTGGGCCCTCCAATTCCTTGGCATACGTGAGCTAGTTGCCTCTAAATTCAGGCAACAAGGCTTGAGCAAGGCTGACCAAAGTCGCCAAGCAACAACCAAAAGCACCTTTGATTCTTGAAGCTTTACCATACTTGGGTCTTTCTTCTGTATTATCATAAACACAGTGGGCTTGTTTTCTCTGTCATGGTTTTTGTTGTTTTGAGCTAATAGTACAGTTCGATGTGACCATATTCTACTTGTTGCTCCTCTTGACAACCACCTCGAGTAGCACGTTTGTGAGTGAAGTCAGTTCTCAAAAATCTATACACCCTTGCGCAGAACACAGACATCCTGAGTGAAGTTTATCTACCTATCCGTCATAAAGGAACTTGAGTGGTGATGTGTGGAGCCCACGGTTGTAAATGCTGGTGATATCTGCTGCAAGTACTGCCCCCAAACACCTGGTTCCTACCCAGCTGAGACTACTACAGCAGTTGGATTTGGACTGGATTTTCAAGCAGAGTTAATTAGAGGAATAGACTTATGTATGATTACAGTATCACATCACTAGGGTCCGTTGCTGAATCCGAGTTCACAACGATAAATTCCCCCCTGTCAATTGAAGCTTCATTCTGAATAGATCAATCAAATCAATACCTACCTATGATGCATCGATTTCCTCGCTGTGTGAATTGATGGCATTAAAAGTGTGTTGGATGAATGGCAAGTACGTGCGTAAGTCAAAAGTTGAATCATCCAACCAAAATTCTTGTCGCTAGGTAGATATGAACCTGTAAATAAGGTGCACATTACTTGCATATCATCCTTTCCCAACGCATATTGGAAACTAGATAGGTATTATTCTTTTCTCCACCCAACTCTTTTTCCTGTTTGGACTTCTCCATTGTGCTGTCCCTAGTTTTTCGTTTCCTTACCACCATTTGTTAGTTGCACCACAATATATTTATGGCTCTCCGATTACGAAGCAGGGCTAACCAAGGGCTAAGCATAGCCCAAAGATTGGAATTTTGATATTTAAAAGTCCCGAAATCTCTTCAAATTCTTTGGCAAAACAGCGCTTCTAGCTTATGCTCGACCTTCTTGATGAAATCTTACAAATGACAAACAAACCGTCAGTAGATGCACAAGTCCTTGACCCATCCGACTCCCAATAAACCCGGTGTGTGCTGTACAGAGAATGACACAAATGCTGACCACCCAACCGTTCTTTGAAACCTCAAACCCATTTTAACCCGAGTCAATCTACTGGCCATTCACAGCACCATCAGCCTTTGACGCATTCTCTCCGTTGGCCTTATCCCCGTTCTCCTGAACTTTAAGCCCAGCCATAGATGTCGATAAACCACTAAAAGGGCAGACGCTGCCAGCAGCGGCAGCTCTCTGGCCTGGGCAACCAGTGGCCGTGTCGTCACTACTGCTGCTCTCCGAGAGGCTCAACTCCTCCTCGGGAGATAGGACCTTCTTGCCATGCAGATAACCCTCCTTCTCAACAATCGCCTCATAGTCCACTCCCTCGGTGTACTCTTCGCCGTCGTGGACATACCACTTGGCAAAGAGGTCGTTCTGGATCCAGATGACCTTGCCAAGGGCCTTAATGATGGCAATCTTGCGGGCGATGTGGAGACGCGGGTGCGACAAAATAGCCTCGGTCAACACGTCCTGAATAACTGCCAGAGTAGCACCAACATGAATATATTCGATATGCAGCGGGTGTGCGCGACCAATACCGGTATGCATCATGCCAACTTTGTCAAGGTACTCCCAAAACTCCATCTGAGTCGGGTCCGAGCACAGCTTCTTAAGATAGGCGCGGAGGAACGACTTGCGGTGCAGAATCTGGGGAGAGGACTCGTCGGGCTGCTCGTCAACAGGTCCCTCGAAGGCCGTGCTCCGGGTCGTGAAGGCGCGCGCGGTAATATCATACTGCAAAAGCTTGCGGTATACAATATTGACCACAGCGGGAATCAGCGCCTGGATGTACTTGGCGCCGCTCTTGAGAGCTTCAATGTCGTCTGGAGGTGTCCTGATTAGCCTTTTGTTAAGACTTGGTGGGGTCCAAAAGACGGGCTGACTTACTGGTCCCAAAATCAAGGAAAGAGTGCAGGTAGCGAATGCGTGCCTCCAAGTTGGTGTAGAGCTCCTTGCGGTCGACGTGCTGCATCGGCCGTGTCCTTGCCGTCGACATCTTGACTTATTGTGTTTTTTGATTATTTTTTTTTTTTTGCTTGCTGAGAAGGAGGGTTTATCGAGTGTCGAAGGTAAAAGACGCAGGAGCTGGAAGCACGAGAAGTTTGGGTGGGGCAGACTCGGACGGCGGGGTTCAGGGTGCGAGGGGCTTTTTGAACCAACGCCTAAAAGGCCAAACTAGAAATAGATCAAATGGGAATCATGGGAATCATGGAATTCATGGCGAGAGACAGAGGATTTTTTAGACTTTTTGAAGGATTGTCAAGATGGTGTCTGGTCGACGTGATGGCAGTAGCATGGTGTGAGCGTGACAAATGAAGTGGTGGTGGCCTGATCCGGGAACAAGATCGAACCATCCCGAGCCGGGCCCGCGCCTGCATCTGTGATTGGCTGAAAGCATGTTGGCGCAGCCGCATCGGGAAAGAGGCAAAACCGGTTTTCCCCATGGCCGCATGGCCGACCAGCCGCTTCCTCCACCTTGCAACGGGCTGACTTTTGCATGAAAGTAGATTGGCAGGCTGCTCAGCCCATCTTCCTATTCTCCCCGACCGGCACCAAAAAATTCAAATGATGCCGCGTGTTAGGTAACTTCCGTCTTCTTTCGACCATGCCACATTTCCGTTGTCTTCAAAGTCGCATTTTTCGTGCTAACGACTATGCGAAAATGCCATTCTGAAACTCCTGATCAATGCTCCGTTCGGGCCCTTCCGACTGCGAAGTCACCCGTTTGCTCGGGGAGTTTTGGAAATACACAATATCGAAACGTCTTTGCTGACGTCATGTTGGCTTTCGGCGGGCACTTTGAGCCAGGGGACGAGGATCGGATGCGACTACGGGTGGTGCCTAGGACAGCTGAAGCCCTGGGCTTGTGGAGCAGAGGTGGAAGTGGGGGCGAGGCTTCTCAAAAAGGAGGGGTTACAACTTCAGGTGAGGGGCATCGCAAATTGCGAGATAAAAGTGCAGATCTGCCTAGAATGATAAGCTTCTTGTGGCCTTTTCACCCTCTCTCTACAGTTAGTAGACTCAATCGTTTCACAGAGACATTGGATCGCCGTTCTGGACCCTAGCCCAGTTGACGACGTTTGTTGACTATTGCCAGAAGTGAACTCTGAATAGAATGTGATCTGTTGTTACATGCTTCTATGGGAATCATAAGTTTGGTGTTGACCGAGCTGTAGAGGCCCAACAAGGAATTTTTGGATCTTGAGAGGTCTTTCGAATTTTATGGATGCCAACATTCTTTCATAGAGCTCCTAGGATCATGAAAGCTTGTTGCTGACTCGAGTGGTAAGAGTTTACTCTTCAGAGTGCCTACTTAACATTCCATATCGTCAAAGGCAAAACAACCTTAGCTGAAAATGATAACCTTTTTTGGAAGTGCACAATCCTCACCATCCCTAGGTTAATACAGGTGAGATTTCTTTTGAAGTGTATCTGTCCATCGTAAGAGGGTCTTGTACACGAACATGACTTTAGTAAGTTTGACAGATGACTATCTGTTTTGGTATTAGGACCGCGAGCTATCCATCATGTCTTCTCTCAACAAAGGCCGCGACAACTTGGGAAGTCATACCATCTCTGAGAATCGCGAGATGTCTCCACGGATCATCGGCTATCAAACTAGTGGCCTAGCTGTCTGTATGTGGATATGGGGATTCTCCACGAATTCAGAGATTGAGAGCCAATGGCTGAATTCCCACTTCCTATCTCTTGTGGCTGAGTTGACTCGTCTTGCGGCTGGATGGATGTTCTATCACCACACCACGAGCTGAGGTCGTCTCAGCAGGCATTTTCCGATTCATTCCACTCGAGTTCAACCCAGCGCACGGATAGACTTGGTGTTATCAGCTGGGGTAGATGGCTCTGTTATGATGTTCCATCCCTCAAGCCAGGCTTTAAAGCATGCAGGTGCACCGTATTTCTCCCTGTTACTCGCTTTCTTTCGTCCAGAGCAAACAAGTCAACTTAAGTCCGCCGAGGACGGTCGGACTGGATGTCGTCATTGGCACACCCTTCAAATGACACTCATCCAATCCACAATGCTTATCAGATCCCTAGGCGCTCACTAGTCTACGTTGTCTATGACTGCCGAGCAAGCAAACACTTAACTCAAGCGTCAGGACAGTAACGGCCCATCATGGAGATGAGGGCCATGAGCCCTGAAGTTTATCACCCAAAGACACTTCTACCAGCACTCCATCCAGTCGAATAGGAAAGGGCTAGGGATTTCGCTCCGAGCCATCCGATGACATAGCTGAAGTTCCAGCCACTCGGGTACGGTACCAATGCGATGGTTTATATGCATAATGACAGAATCTGCCCCTGAGGTCGTTGCTTAGATCTGGGTAGTGGGGTCTTGATCTCGCGTGTTGCTGTGAGAACAGTCACTGGAGTCATGACTTCTAGGCAGATTTTTGGATAACTTATCAAGATGACTTGGCAGTCACAAGTCATCTACATGCTTCTTGATAGAAAAGTAGTTCAACGCGGTAAATGATGAGCAGTTTCCCAATCAAGTCGCAGACGGCGATTGAACGTCATGTTGAACGATTTTGATGGTGACGAACAATCACAGATACGGTATGTTGTTTGAGACCCAGCAGGGCGGAGAGTGACTCCTAATGGAGGGGCCATGTTGCATGTAGGGTGTAACTGTGAAACCGATGACAAATTTCGTTGACTGCTGCCATGACCGGGGCCGCACCAAATCCCCCCGTTCGGGTAACCTGGCCCAAAACACTGTGTGAGGGGCATGTTCAGTGTCATATGGACGAAGCAAGTGAACACAACGTGGAGGAACAGAACTGAGCGGGTGACAAGCAACCGAGCAAACTATGGCTGTGGGAGCTGAAGCGGTGGTCAGTTGAAAGGTTGGGATGATGGAGCTGTCGCGGGGCAGAAAATCCCTCCCGGCGGGGGACGCGGGCTGTTTTTGGATATTTGCCTTGGGGGTCAATAGAAGTAGTTGGGTATGGTGCCAGGTGAGAGACGCTCTAGGATCGGAAGGGAAACTCTATCACAATAGCCATTGCTGGGAAACGGGAGGGCGCATCGAGCTGAATCAACTCCTGGTTGCAGTGGTTGGGGGTCCCGGGCGGCATTTGAATGTCTGGTGTTTAGATCCAGATGAGCGGCGTCTGGGGCTGCTCTGGATGGGTAGCACACCGACGGGTAATAGTGGCGACAGATCCGGGGCTGAGAACCTGTGGTCAGTGTTTTTTTATATAATGATTTCTGGATCGCATTTTGCGGTCTCGATGTCACCGCTCATCACCGTTGCTGACGCTTTTTCCCGCAGGAAGGTTTCTGACCATTTGGACGCATGCGATTTGCTCGGAAAAAGGCGGCCGTTGTGGACGGCGCCGGCCTGCAGGAAGGAAAACAGTGGTAGGCCTGCGATGTTTCAGCAGGCCGCGATAAGCAGGCCGCTTACTTGATGGCGTTTGGAGAACAGTATCACAAGGAGCTCCAGACTGGTCGCAGGCAGACCACTGGCTCGGGTTCGCTAAGGGCCGGCGATGGCAAACCCCTGCTGATCCCATATGGATAGATCTGGCGCAGGCAAATTCTGGGCCTTGCGTTGCCTTGCTGGGCACGAGGTGACCGGCTGGCGAGCGGCTGGCGAGCGCTGCGAGCCGATCTGGGAGCCGGAGAGCAGCGGAGTGCTGCGGTCGTTCGTGCATCTTCCGTCTGCATTCTGTGAATAAAGCATGGCAATGAACCAATAGGAGACCGCCGATAAGGCTGTGTCGCCCCCGCGCGGGCCCCGCGGGGCTGTGGGCAGCGCACCTGCGTTGGAGTGGGCAGGCCTGGCAGAGGTGGACCACGGCACCGTTTTGGCATGTTCGACGCTTCTGGCCTCGTGGTTTCTGAGAAATCGTTTTGTATCAATGTATTGTTGTATCAGCTCCTGTTCGTCCCAAGTCGACGGCTTAAGATAAGGAGCGATGGCCGTATCTCGCCTGCTCCTACGCCGCTATCGGTCACAGGTCTAAAAAGGCCGCGAACCCTCCTCGACCGCAGCGCCCTCTCTGCTCCAAGTGTCACCGTCAACTTCTCTCGTCCATTAACAACAGTCTGCTTCTTGCTCGTCCACCTCCAGGTCGGATTCAGCACCTAGTATTCGTACTCAACCAGTCTTGCACCCGTCTCCGAGTCCCAGGGACCAGACAGCAGCAACAATGGTGCGTACCCCACTGTCAGCCTGCTTGCCGAGTACTGCTGAGTGCTCATCCCTGTCCCTCCCCTTGAACCCCCCCCTCCTCAGCAGTCGACACAAACCCATTGCGCGTGGTTTTTGGTATACTGACAGGCGTTGTGACGCAGGCTTCCTCGAGCTTCACCTCGAACGCCCCCAACGTAGGGACATCCCATATTCATCAATCGACGTGTTTGTCACCAGCAGCATGCACTAACTCCCCGAGCAGCTCCAGAAGTACCTGGACCTCGACCAGAACGGCAAGATTATCGCCGAGTACATCTGGTTCGTCTGCCCTGCTACAAAGAGATGGGATGGGATGAAAAAGGAGATGAGAGCAATGACTGACGACGTTGCTCAGGATCGACTCTGAGGGCCAGACCCGCTCCAAGGCGAGGGTGAGTGAGCTCCAACATCCCGCAATTTCGTCCGATCTTTATCGTCAGCGCCAATTGGCGAATTCACTGTTCTCATTCCACAATCCACAGCCCACAATCACATCAACCCTGCTCCCAGCCCCATGGGTGATGAGCTGAGACTGACGTACTCCACCTCGACAGACCCTACCTGAGAAGGAGGGCGGTTACAAGCCTGAGGACCTCCCTACCTGGAACTTCGACGGCTCGTCGACTGGGCAGGCTCCTGGTGACAACTCTGATGTCTACCTGAAGCCCGTCGCCGTCTTTCCGGACCCGTTCCGTCGGGGCAAGAATATCCTTGTCCTCGCTGAATGCTGGGATGCTGATGGCACTCCCAACAAGTATAACCACCGCCACGAGACCGTCAAGCTCATGGAGGCTCATGCCGAGCATGAGCCGTGGTTCGGTCTGGAGCAGGAGTACACTATGCTCGACCTGAACGATCGTCCATATGGCTGGTAAGCGGTTCTCTGCGTCTTTTATTACTCTAAATAGCCATTAACAGCTCCTTCACAGGCCGCCGAATGGCTACCCCGCTCCTCAGGGCCCCTACTACTGCGGTGTCGGTGCCGGCAAGGTTGTGCAGCGCGATATTGTTGAGGCTCACTACCGTGCTTGCCTGTATGCCGGCATCAAGATCTCCGGTATTAACGCTGAGGTCATGCCCGCCCAGTGGGAGTTCCAGGTCGGCCCTTGCGTGGGCATTGAGAGTAAGCCAAACCCAGCTAGGTCCTGCAATGTTTCACAGAAACTAACCATTAATAGTGGGCGATCAACTCTGGGTTGCTCGTTACCTGCTGCACCGCATTGCTGAGGAGTTCGGCGTCAAGATCTCTGTTCACCCTAAGCCAATCCCTGGCGACTGGAATGGCGCTGGTCTCCACACCAACTTCTCAACCAAGGAGATGCGTGACCCCGAGGTAATTACTTCCCTAACTCTGGACCAATATCAATAGGCAGTGTCTGACTTTCTTTGTAGAATGGCATGAAGGCCATTGAGGCTGCCATTCAGAAGCTTGGCACTCGCCACGCCGAGCACATTGCTGTCTACGGCGAGGAGAACGAGAAGCGCCTCACCGGCAAGCACGAGACTGGCCGCATCGACCAATTCACCTACGGCGTTGCCAACCGTGGCTCTTCGATCCGTATCCCGCGTGAGGTCGCTGCCAAGGGCTACGGCTACTTCGAGGACCGCCGGCCGGCGTCCAACGCCGACCCCTACCAAATCACTGGTATCATCATGGAGACGTAAGTCGGAATCCTGACGTAGAATCATCGTCGACGAGACTAACATTGACCTAGTATCTTCGGCGCTGTTTAAATACCCTTTGGTTTTGGCTTGGATGTGTTTTGGTAAAGGGATTATTCTTGTTCACTATACTTAGTACTTGGTATCAGGTTACCCCGGTAGCGAGGCTTGCGTTTGTTTTGGGTTTTGTGATGACCAGGGATGGTGGACCGGAGCCTCCCATCAATATAACAATTATGACAAAGATCCTGAGTGATATAGTATCCGAATGTGATGTTGACCAGCCCTTCCAGCTATGTTATATTCCCAAAAAAGAAGGTTGCATTGCTGGGAGACATCCCCACTGCCGGACGTTCTGTCGGCATGACTCACCTAAACCTTTGGAGGATAAAAGGAAAACAACTCTCGACATTATTGTATGGGCTCACGGAAACCGAAACGCCATGTCGATGAAGCCTGCTGTGTTGGTTACTGGCTCCTCTGGACATCTGGGCAAGGCCCTGATGTTATCTCTCCCCGAGCTGGGCTATAACCCGATCGGTATCGATATCAACTCCAGCAACACAACTACTCATATAGGCTCCATCACGGACCCCAGCTTCCTCTCCAACGTTTTCTCATCTTACAATATCGCCCACGTCATACACGCGGCTACTCTGCACAAGCCCCATATCTGCTCTCACTCCAAAGCCGAGTTCGTCCAGACCAACATCGCTGGCACACTAGCTTTGCTGGAGGTAGCTTCATCCTCTCCCAATCCCTCTTCCCCTGTTAAGTCCTTCATTTATATCTCCACAACCTCGGCTTTCGGTACATCTCTCAGCCCTCCCGAAGGTAGTCCCGCGGCCTGGATCAACGACGACACCCCAACCACGTCCCACAAAAACATCTACGGCCTGACTAAGTCTACCGCAGAGGACCTATGCCAGCTCATTGCCAAGGAGAAGGGCCTACCGACCGTTGTGCTGCGCACCAGTCGGTTCTTCCCCGAAGAAGATGATGACGAGGCTCGCAGGGCTGAGGTACCGGATGAAGAGAACCTGAAGGTGCTGGAGCTGGCGTACAGGCGGGTTGATGTGGCGGATGTAGTGAGCGCGTGTGTTTGCGCGATGGAGAGGTGTGCTGAGGGCACGATCAGGTGGGGAAAGTTTATCGTAAGCGCACCGACGCCGTTTGGGAGGGAGGACTTGGATGCTCTCAGTAAGGATGCGGAGGGGGTGCTCAGGGGGTTGAGGGTTGGGGTGGGGGTTAAGGTTGGGGAGGTGTTTGATTTGAAAAGGTGGAAGTTTTTGAGAAGGATCGATAGGGTGTATGATTCATCTAGGGCTATAAGGGAGTTGGGATGGAGGCCGGAGTACACGTTTGAGAGGGCGGTTGAGAAAGTTGCTAAAGGAGAGGAGTGGAAGAGCGAGTTAACGAGGAGAATTGGCCGATTGGGCTATCATGCTGTGTCGGTTGGCGTTTACACAAAGAGGGACGACAAGGAGGGGGGCAGCGGGCAGCATGGCGCCCCTCTGGCTTGATGTGGCTTCATAGGGCTGACCAGTGACTCAAAACGCTGATGCGTTAACCTCCGATTCACTCCAGTCCCTGGAATCTAACTCCTTGAGTTGAAGACTTGCATTAGGCGAACTCGCATCGCCTTCGGAGCGGACACAGGCAAAGAATTCGGATTGGTCCTTGCCCTAGGGCTGGAGAGAAAATCTTGACCATCCTCCACATGCGGGCGGTTGCTGTCTCGCTGATGCGTAGAAGATCGAGTCTTGGTTGCCGGAAGTCCTTGTCAGCCGCACTCCACCAGAACAGTATCCCGATGGCCACCTGGAACCGCACAAAACGCCAAATGCAGCAATGCCAAGTAGCTTTGCTTGCTACAAAGTATTCTGATGATTTGAAATCCTGGGACATAGCCCGCTTGCCACACATTCCTGGTTGGAGAAGGCTGGGAGGATATGAAATGAGGTTGGCCAGGGCGTCGCATATTCATCGGGTTGCTCTAGCCTGAGGGCAGTTCAAGGGCCTCTTCTACTTCTTGCTGGGGAGAATAGAGAGGGATCGATATCCACATGTTTTCGCTTTCTTCAACTGTTCAACAATCGTCTTTATATTGCTTTGGATCGCGACCAGGTTTGTTTGATTCTCTTTCGCTACGACCTTCCGAGGACTGCTGCCATCACTGCCACATTTTAAATTTGCTCTTCCATGCTCCAATATAACTCTCATCATGGCTCCTCCTTCGAATAGAAAATCAGTGCGTTGGCAACGCTTAAAGGGGGTAGATGTGTCGAGTACGTAAAGTCATTATTCTATGATGAAACGCTGCTTCACGTTGCTAACAACAATCAGAAAAGGGAAATCCAACTCCAAGACCATTACTCTCCCGCATATACGGAATGCTAGTGGTTCTGATCATTACACTTGCTCTCCTCGGCGTCGTCATATGGCTTCGAAGTACACCTCCATATGGTTCCGAGCCATCTTCACTTCCACAGACAACAGTGACGTTGAAGCAACGAGGGGACAAGACAACAGGCTTGTCGGTTACTGCGACAGTTGAAGCTCGTCCTACTCATACCTACGATGAACTGAAAGAAAGGCGCCAATTGACTTTCGGGCTTCCTATATCAGTTATTGGTTCAGCCCCATTGTTGTGCCGTTGGATACCCACGACTATCTCTTGGTGCAAAGAAGTAGCAAGAGACCTCCATGACCGAAATTTGGTATGCTTTACAAGCGTGTCTGTCACAACAGTTTGCCTTGATCCTCCATCGGTTCCTCCTGTAACCTTGACGACCTCCACCACAATAACTCCACCTCCATTGCCGCCGATATCTTTCAAACATCCTGCGGATTGCAAGACAACCACAGTGGACTGTCAGCGAATCTTAAAAGGCAGAGACCTACAAGCTCGGCAACTGGTATGTTATACATCCACCTTCTCAATCTCTGGCTGCACCCCCTCCATACCGGTCACAACTGCGTCGACTTCATCAATCCCCATCACACGTCCCACATCCTCTACCTCTAGAGGGCATCAATCTTGCATGACAAGCACTGTGATTTGCGATTTTATAGCAAGGGGTTTGCAAGAGCGTCAGCAAGTCTGTTGGACTAGTTCAATTCCAATCCCTAACTGCAGTACCTCCGGTTCTGCCACAAAAACTCTCTCAGTATCCATAACACCACCACCGTCAATCTCTTCAGTACCAGATCCCTGTATTACAAGCACAGTTAGTTGTCAAATTATCAAGGAAAGAGAGATACAGAAGCGCCAGCAAGTCTGTTTTACCAGTCTCTATACGATTCCCAACTGCCCTGCTACTTCGACATCTATTCCAATAACCTCCTTGCACAGAATCAGCTCAACTACTACCAAACCATTCAGCGCTACCAATTCATCGACGTCTCTTGTCCCGTCAAGCACGTCCACAACTATCTCAACAACATGGTCCTTAACATCCAGCGTGTCCCCTTCGAACCTTTTCACCCCAACCTTTGTTCCATCTATCGTTACGAGCTCGACGCTGCTACCTTCTTCCCACTCCAGCAACTCCAGCTCTTTTGTCTGGTCAACCTCTAGCGACACAACGAGCAATTCATCTGTTGTGTCAATGACATCGACAGAGACCTTGTCATCTTCCACATCCCAGATCTTTTCCGCCACGTCCTCAATATCGTCTACAATAACTGTCATCTCTCAAACATTTACATCACTTAGTATCAGCACAGAAATAACAGCCTCAATTCTGTTTCCTACCTCAGTTGGGAGCACATCTAGCGAGTCGCAGACCTTTACTGAAACCTCTACTGAAACCTCAGTATTCACCCAATCGTTGCCTGCAACTTCATCACAGTCATCAACGAGTTCTTTATCCTCTTCCAGCACATCGTATACATCTTCGACAAGATCTTCGATCCTCATGAGCTCGATGATTGCTTCATCAATGAACTCTTTGACGTCACTTGTTGAATCATCCACTTCGGCGATCTCAAGCTCATCCGCAGAATCAAAATTCTTGACGGTGTCTTCCAATTCTCGCGCTCCTTCAAACATGTTTCCATTATCTCCCATGACAACAGGCTTTACTTCCTCCATCTCCGCGGAAAGCTCAACCCTTATGCTCACCCAGTCCACAGCCTCAACAAACTTCCTCCAAGTCTTCATCGGTGAGAGCACACTTTCGACGCTTTCCGCAAATTCCTTTTCATTAGAGACCGCAACACTTTTGTCCACTGCAGCATCAGGCCCAAGCTTTATGATTCCAGCAATCTCCGAGACATCAAATCGACAGATCTCTACTGACTTTTTGACAATGACGCTCATAAGTCTCACAGAACCATCATCCGCAGTGCCAACAATCCCCAATATTCTTACGTCAAGAGAGTCTCCAATATCAGAAATCCTGACGAATTATCAATTCTTTGACCCAAATGCCTGCTGTCGCGCAAACGTCCGCTCAGCCACCTAGTCAAGAACCTTCTACAATGCCAGCCCCGCCGGCAAGCTCTGAGCTCTCACGCAGCTCAAGTGCAGCACCTACCACGGAAGCGCCATCAACTGCCAGCCAAACAGAGACGCCCACAGCAAATGCCTTCTCAAGCACGGGTCCTCCTCTCCCTACAGCTAGTGATGATAGCCCGCAGTCTGACATCAAGCTCTGGCTCGATTGGGACGTCAAGCACACCATCGTGGGCAACTATGTACCTATGGTCGTGGCAAGGGGTTTCGTGGTTCTGATGAATCCGTTCTATAATCAAATGATTACCTGGGAGCCAGTACGTCAGATGCTTGGGGATGGGGCTTCGGGGGCACTGTTGGCTGGAGCATACTTTGGCGCAGCCCATATCGGACTTATCACAGCCAATCTGGGCTCTGTGTTTGTTGCTGCTGGAACATATGTTGATACCGGGTATTGTGAAACTGGACCGGGTACTTGCGAGCCAAAGGTGAACATCAAGCCGTGGGCCTACAATGTCGTAATCACGGCGCTTGGGATCCAGGTTCTTGTAGTTGCACAGGCTGCAGCAAAGTGGTTCCAGAGGCCTGGAAGGGTATCAGCAGACCCCACCACTGTCGCCGGGGTGGTAGCAGTGACAGGACATCCTGCGGTCGAAAGGATGTTTGCCTCGTTTCCTTCAGACATTACAGAGAAGCAGCTTCAAGAAGCTCTGAAGGACTACAAGTTCAGGTTGGGCACATTTACTACGGAGGTTGGAACGACGAAGTATGGCATTATGCCGGTGTCTCAGGAAGAGATCGAAGCATCGCGTCAGAAACAGGGGTTCTTCGCGAAGCTTGGTGTATTCACTGCATTTCTCTCAGAAAGGCTGGCGATCCTGGGGAAGTTCAAGGTCAATACACTAATCGTCGATATCTTGTTTGGGGCTTACCTCCTTGGTCTCCTTGCACTCTGTGTGGTGGCTCTGGCCAAGATTGACGAGCCGAAGTCGATGTTTCCTGACAATCCAATCGCGATGAGGATCGTATTTAGCATTTTGGGCATTATAGTCACAATGTATTGGACAAAAGTGTTTGAAGGTACGTGAACCTCACTTTCCTCACTGTCAACTACAAGGCTAACGTCACTTTGCCCACTGCAGACACTCAAGCGATGTCACCATTCTCGCTCCTGTCGTCAGGCCCATCCTCTCCACACCGCACCATTCTGCTCGCCCGCCATACCAGTCCTATTTGCTCTATTATTCCTTTCCTCCGCCGTGGCCACTTCCCTGCTGCAGCAGTTGCTTTTACAGCCCTAATGGCTGAGATCCTGATTATCTTCCTCGCCGCTCTACCCTACCGGCCTGAAGGGCAGCTGCGAACCGAGTATCACGTCTGCGCAATCGTGTCCGCAATAATCCTTACTTTCATGATCGCGCAGCTCGCCGGTATCGCGATCACATGGCGCAAGACAACCTTGCCCCACATGCCGAGGAAACCGAACACGATCGCGGCGGTCTTGACATACATCTCGCAAACCAGGATGGCCAGAAGGTTTGATGTGTTGGATGGGCTGTCAAGTAAGGAACGAGATAGGACGATTAAAGGATGGGGACAGAAGTACATGTATGGTTGGCGCAGGGAGGAGGTGGTACAACCAGACGGGAGGAGAGGTTGGAGAGGTAGATGGGTAGTGGATGAAACCGAGGGTGAAGGAGAGGCTAAGGCATTCCTATCCGGACCCCAGAAGGACAGAACTGATTGATATTAAATGTCTATCTTTTGTTTGCATTATACTCTAGGTTAAGGTTAACATCATTGGTGTTCAGGCTTGGATAAGGGGCGGAGGACTAGACTGGCTCGAGTGACCAGCCGGTGAGCCGAGCTCGTCAGACATTTAGACAGGTGCATCGTCGGGTTAAGGTCGAAGATCCCAGACTGTATCTTCCCCATGAGATTACTTATTACAAGTGAAGCGGTTCAACTTGATCCACGAAAAAAGAACAGGGACGGCCATGGCCACGTCCTGGTAGGCCCCTGAATGGTTGCTGCGGCAACTCTCAGGGGTAAATCAACAGCAACAGCACTGGTAGCCGGAACAATCTCACTATCCAATGAAGTCATTTAAACGCAAAGGTAAGAATACTGATATAACAGCCTTTCTCCTCAGAATTGTACAGAAGTGAACAAATGCTACTCCAATGACGTAGGACAATCATCTAAAGTGAGAAACACAATCGCTTGGTTCTAAATGGCCACAGCATTCCAATTCTGCGTGCCGTTTTCGCAAATGTTGGCTATCGGTTTCCCCCCCCCAATCCTCGAAATGACTTTACTGCCTCGTAACACAGCAACGACCACGTCCCCAGTTCTACCCGCAAATGGCACACTCCCCGTGTACACTCCAGGTGTTCCGCGTCCTGCTGCAGGAAACTCCGTGAATACCCCTGTTTGCTCGTTGTCTCCAATACGCACGGTAATGGTGACTCCGTGATCAGTGTTCAGCAAGGTGGAGAAAAACACATTGTCATCGACCAAGTGCTCCGGCGGCATCACACTCTCACCATGGGCGGCACTACCACCAGATGTACCACCGTTCGGACATGCATAGGCAGGTGTCGTGCGGTAATAGGCATATACATTTTCGTCAACTTGTTGTGGAGCTTTGCCTGTCTTGTAGACCTCGATGTAATAGGGCAAGAACTTCCTCCAGCCATCATGAGTAACACCCTGCGCGTAGTTAATGGGCGCATTCGCCACTTGAAAGAGCCCTAAGGCCTTCTCCGGTATTGGTCCGATGTAATGTGACTCGCCGAAGTCATTCCAGGTTAGAATCTGTACGAAGTCAGGCTGTATCTTAATTACCTGACGCCAACGCCGATCCCAGAGCCCATCGCCCCTCCACATCCAATTCTTTCCGCCAAAGCCCGGCAAATTCGTGTAGAACCACGGGCTGACTGGCATCATGTACACCCTTCTAGCGCCCAATGCAGCGCGGAATGTGTCATCCATATCGGTAGTCATGTTCTCCCGTCCGGACGGCCAGGCCTTGAAGCTAAACAGGCCGTCCACGACACCCCCAGCTAGTTTAACGGCATGGGCTGCGCTAACTGAACTCCAGTCTGGCACAAAAAATGCGTTTGTGGCGGCTTTGATGGCTGGCCAGTCCTCAGCGCACTCGGCGCCTTCAAAGGTGGAGACGAATGGCCGCTTTCCATCATGTTTAAAGTAGGCCGGGTGCCGGGTATATTTTCGAAGAAGCTCAGTAACCGCGTCGCGGGACCAAGGACCTTGGGCTCGGTAGTCGAACGAAAACAGCAGCTTGAAGTTCCCCACAGCAGAGGCAGCTTCGAAGGCAAGATCGAGGGAATGCTCATTTGATGGGTCATGGGCCGCTATGTTGAGTACAAATCCGTCGATTTTGGAAGATTGTGCTATTCGGATGTCGGATACCCAATCCGTGAAATTGAACGTTCGGAGGTTCCCGACCTGGATTGGGGTCAGCCGGATATATGTCCGTAAAAGGTTGACTTTGAAGCAAGAGCCTTACAATAACATGGGCGAAGACTTCCTTTATTGCATATATATGCAGAGAAAAAGATATCAGCAAGAATGCTGATAACTTGAACCGGAAGCCGCCCATGATATGAGATCCAGGTTGGTTTTGCTGAGGTCGTGGCGAATCAGTAGCTGGTTGAGCTGCTGATGGTAGATACTGAGAAACGATGCAAATGGCAGATCTCCAGCTTGTGGAAACGTAAAGAAACTTGGTCAGCACAGTCTGCCATTAAGATATAACAACTGTAGCTGCTGGCACATGGGATAAGATAAAAAATGATCACTATGACCAAACATCACGTCCATTCATCAGATCTCTAAAGATATAGCTGTAGGAGAGAAGGTTCCTACATATATGCATACAGCCATATGATCCAGTTCACAACGGACTAGCATGTGTTCCCTGCTAATAATAACCGGAATATGCGGATAGGACTATTGAAAAAGTTCGTTGCAGGGCTTCATTGTTGATGTAGGCCAATGAGCAAAGTCACAGTTAAACGTAAGTGGCAGCTACAATCTGTTAATTAATTACAGATGCAACGCATATTGAAGAAGTATACAGAACCCAGGAATCACTGTTGATTCCATTAGAACGGTCAAGTCGTGTGAACGAAATATTTTGCAACCGGGAAGGTATGAACCAATGCATCGGGCCGTTTCAAAGTACTAGACGGGAGTTGTTTGTCGACCTTAGACGGCAGGCTACGGCTGAAACACATTTGTTGGGAGTCTGGCACTACAGGAAAGTCCTATCCATACGGTAATGGATATATAACGTGTTATATAGCATATCCTTGTGAAAGGGGTCTTTGATAGTAGAGTTAAGCCTAATATTTCAAGAAAAGAAGTTCACGTAGCGCATTCCTTGCGTTTGTGCAAAAGTGAGAAACTTTAGATAATGTTGCAAACAATTGACAAGTTTCTGTCAAAGGCTGTTCAGTGTGCGCGCATCTCTTCTTTCCTTTTGCCTTTCTTCAAGCTTAAATGATTTAGCTAAAAGAAGGGCTGAGAGGACTATGCTGCATGGTGGCAAAAATCCACATGTGGCCTCTCCCATAAGTTATCAAAACATAGGGATATGCGAATCTGGGAACAATGATGTGGCGATAATAATAAATCATAAAATCAAATTGAGATGTAGGGTTATGAGGTACCCCACACATCATCAAGGAATCCGTCATTGATCTTTGATTGTGGTATCAAAACGGATTTTATGATTCACTGCGTCTTGGAATATTGAGGGTTAGGGTCGTGACAGCAGACAAGGCCAGTGCGCCCTTGGTACCATCTTCTGCGCCAATCCCCCGCAATGGGGCTCGTTAATTTCTTCCAAGTTATATGCCTTCAGGTGGCACAAGTGTGTGATTATGAATCCTGTATGCAGAATGATAGAAACGCTTCTAAAACGAATCAAGTGTATGGAGATGAAGGATTAAAAGGGTTAAGTAACTACGTACATAGGTCAATGCTCAACTCTGAACCTGTTGTCGAAACCAACCCTACCTAGTTTACCTCGATCTCGTGCACCACCCCGGCGGAAAAAAGGACCGGCCCGTCCAAGTGGGGCCCGCTTCCTCTGAACCCCCAGACCCGGACGACCGGAGACACCAGCCTAGTTAGTGCTTTTTGGACAACTTTTGTGCAAGTCACTCATTATAGAGATTGCCAGAAGGACACTGACAGGTTTGCGTATTGATACGTGACATGATGTGTTCTATGCAGATGTATATTTTAGAGAACAAAGGTGACAAGCCATTAGGAATAGGGGCACTCAAGTGGTCACACAAATAGTTTTGGTCGTTGCATGAATTACTTGCTTACACCTCTAATGGCTTTACTGAACTTGGTATAAAACAAGAAAATAAAGAGCCTGCTAGATCCTCTAAACCTTCTCAAGTTCGCCCCAATCTGAAGTAAGTGGGCAACCAAGTCACTTAGTCAGTGGCGTGATTAGCGAGGCAGTCGTCGCTCATCGTCATCTTTGTGTCGCGCGATCCCTGGCCCTCGGTACCTAGGCTCGAATAGGAGTGTCGTCGATGATGCCCATGTCTCGGAATATCTAGGGGGTTGGACGTTGGGAAGCCGCCAGAGAAGACAGCCATTCGATCTCTGGCGGCCATCTGGCGCATGAAATTCGCGAGCAGTGGCACAGATCTCTGATTTTGAGTGGTTATACTTAGTCTTGTTTGGCTTTGAGAGTCAAGGACGTGTTTCATGCTGTGTCGACGCGAAGTTTGGGTCAACGATTGACGAAAGTATCTTGGGGGTGTTCTTGTTATAGATTCGCTGCTGCGTCTTTGGGGCAGCCTTGTCGGCGTGTCGATGTCTTAGTGTCGGTGACCGTGTGTCGTTTAAAAAAGGTCATTGGAGAGCATATGCCCTCCAGTTTTGTTGGCGGCGGTGCTCGGGAGTGATACCCTTGTACCGACTGGACGGTGTCGTGTGGTGAGTGGGCTTTGCATCATTTTGTTACAGGTAATATTCGGGCTCATATCGAAGCCACTCGTTCTGCTCATCGGAGGCATGGTGCGTGACTCTTGAAGGTTCGACAGGGATCCAGTGCTTGCCTGCTTTTTGACAAGATGCCATAGACTGCAAAGGGAGATCAGAACATGTTTCTTGTTACATTTTATGGTGGGTGTGCAGGCGTTGGACTCCTTCCGCTTGAAGATCAGAAGGCCAAAATTCTTGAATTTAAAGGCTCTCTCCCTCCTTTGGTCGTGTAGGCAATGTAGTCTTGGCTTCTGGTCTCGTCATACCTGTATTCGCTCTGGCACCTGCTTTGAAGTTCCCATACATTACGGATCATCGGCTTCAGATCAAGAGTATGAGAAGGATTGCCGGTGATATCCATCCAGTTGGAGATAGTACCGTTCATGTTGCGGACAAGTTTCTTCAGCTCATCCATGGCCTCACCAGTTCCATAAGCTGTGCAACCCTCAATGAAAAGACCCAGGGAGTTCTGTAACTCACAAGGGTGAGCAATGGTAGTACTGGAGGCACCATAATTGTCAACGAATCTTCAGGAAACCCGGCTTGGCTCTACTCGCCTAATTAGAAGTCTGGAAGAGCAGAGAAGGACTTCCAATGTGCCCATATATTCCCAAAGTGGACATCATCATGTTGTATGAGTTTGCTACTTGCTGTGTGAATATTCGAGCTTTCTGAGAACTTGATCAATCATGTGCGCAACAGTTTGAACTGGGGGCTTAGCTTCTCCATGGACTCAATGGGAGGAAGCGGATTCGCCAATTTAAACTTTCCGTAGACCATTCCCTTCTTGCCCTAGCCAGACAAGCCGATGTCTCGGGCCTTGACGAACTGGACGCCTTCGCGTTACATGATAAAAGGTCGGATACTTGAAGCTTGGAGTGCCGCATGTGGTTGTAATGGTCTGCAAAATCCGAACTTTGTAAGATCCCATTTAAAGAATAGCATAGTATGCTCCCCTCCCATCTTTGTTGAACGTGGATTATGGAACACCTTAAGCACCAGCCGCTCTCCGCTGTCTACATCTTTGACCAACTAAGCTGCGCAATCAGCCTCAATTTCTTTGTTGCAAACGAAGAGCAGTTGGTGGTTGTCCCATCGGAATATATACGTGTATTTCTCCTCCTGTGCAGTGGTGTGCTTGTTGGAGCCGGGTATTTTGAACTTACCGGAGAAATGGGCGCTGTCTTGGAGGATGCCATCTGGGTTCAGAGAGCTATACTAGTTCAAACATTTACAGTGAGTTCAAGCAAGTCTTCCTCTTTTTACATTCTTAGGTCATCGGATGCAAATCTTGAACCAAGTTCCAACACAAAGCAAATTCTATGTTCAAATTTGCCTGCTCGATCATGCTAGGCAAAAGGGTATCTCAAACAGAGAACAAGGGCCCTCTGGACTTTTCTGATATACAAGATTGTAACAGAGTCATGCGGTTTCTTGAACAAAATGTTTCCAAGCATATTGCCAAAAGTCTTCCACCGCGTAGCACATGTTAACCGAAGGTGTGCCAAGCCAAGTGAATGTCAAGTAGAAGACACTCAAAAGAACAAAAGAAGCAGAGCAGGAAGTTACTGCCTGGGAAGAATACAAGAATGATCTCAATGCATGTGGCTTTGATCACTGGACGCAGAAAGGTTGAATTGCTTGTGTATAAATGGCGTGGTTTGAGTTTTGGTCGGTTTGTTTATTTTGGAGCACTGCTCACATAGTGCTGGCTTGCAGCACTGCTGCTAGGTAGTTACCGGATCTTCCAAGATGAGATGCCTCCCCGATGTCTTTTCGTGTTACATCAACAGCTTCATCTCTTGGGCGAGGAACGGGCCCAGAGATGTCTATTTAGCCCCCAGGAACACAGAACGAGTCGCCCTCAAAGCTCTTGCACGTCAAGCCGGAGCAGCAATCGGCAGTGGTACGACAAAATGTCAAGATAGGATGGCAAGCCTGTGTCGGGTTAGGCAAAAACGGTTCGAGATTACGTTATTTTCGGTTCTAGACATACGTCTTTGCGCTGGAACTCGGCAACGGCATAGTGCTGTCGAGTATGGTGGCGGGGGATGGCAAAACCGGCAACCAGGCCGAGCAAGTAAAAGAGGACAACATAAAAGAGTGAGGTTTTCATGTTGCCCGAGAGGTCAAAGCGCAAAAGAAGGAGTGACAAGAAAAGAAAGCAGCTAAACTGCTGACGAAAGGAACGCTGAAGCTTCAAGCGACAGGCTGGCAGCTTACCAAACTCCAAACCTGAGAGTTGGGTGATGTGCCGGGCCGCACCCGCATTTTAAGGCTTCTGCCGGCATGTGCCGCGGCGACAGTTGTTTGGCTCAAAGTGCAACGGATCACCAAGAGGCGCAGTCGCCGCGGGGCTCAGGATTGTTTTTATCCCAGTCTGAGACTTTGGTTCGACCCAAGAGGCCCCTGGGATGTTTGACATGCTAACAGGATTATTAGGGTCTTAAACTATCAGTTGTTAGTGTGACTAACCTCACCACCGCCGCCGAAGGGTTGCATAAAAGTGTAGGTGTTTCAAGTTAAATTGACGGTTGACGGGGTCTTGGCAGCTAGTACCTATTGGGTTTTTCGATGACAGGATTGCAAGACTTGGCCTCGCTCTATTTGTTCGTCGCATGTTGCTTTCCACCACCTTATCGATAATTGTCCATGCGTCATCGACCCACAGTTCTGTTTGAGAAAGGTTGGAATATCTACAGTCCTCCTCCGGTCTTGTTCCTCCGAATACGAACTGTATTGGGCATGTTCAGTTGTCTACATGTTAGCAAAACTTTGCTTCCTTCCGGTATCCTCTTTTCTGATTTTTTCGAGGACTTGGTGCAGCATCTGACGGGAGTGAGTTGCGGCCTGCAGGCAGCAGAAGCAGTATCTTTCGCTCCCATTTTCCAGGGTACGGGAATCCTGGCCATTCCGGGGTTTTCTCAAAAGCCAACGTCTGGATAGGGCTGATGGCTGTATTAAAACCTTGTTGAAACGTGTCAAAGAACCGATTAACTCGATGGATTTTCTTATACTTTGCTTCTATACAGTCTGATCACCGCATAACGATCATACTGTTAACGATCAAAAACATTCTAACGATCAGGCCGACGGCACACTCCACTAGTATATATGTGACGGCCAACGGAACGAGGGAAGCCTGCCAAGAAAAGCAAGACGGGAGATGTCAAAAGGACAGTCCAGTCAAGATTTTCATCACCGCCAAGATCAAATGATTGCGGCGTGATACTCCACTATCGCCGGTGATACTCGTAATGACAGGAATGATACTGGAGGAGATCATCATGTATATAGGACCTAGCTAGCCACTCGCTAGGAGGAGTTCGAAATAGAAACAGAGTCAACCAACAACTGGTGACTGCAGTAAATCACGTACATTATTATGTGAGAACCCCAGTCCCTCAGGTTCTATAACCTAGCTGCTACCTTCGAAACCATCTCAGGAAGTTGTGGTATCGTCACGATACAGAATTTTTGAAACCCTCAATATTCATATCAACGATCAAGATCTTGTTATCCATACAAATCGTTACAGTCAGCTATTTTTAAACGAGCTTTAGCTGATCCTCTTTCCCCTAGACCTTAAAATTCTCGACTAGATTTCAATCACCCCTAAATTATGAAAAGTTACTCTATAAGAAATATGTCTCCCAAAATTTTAGATTTTCAGTTCAAGAATGAATTCTTGAAACTCGGCTTTTTGTTTACTTAGAACTGTCTTGGAATTGTACACAGCCATGGTTCAAGGTCGGTGGCAAAATACACACATGAAGGATATCCACAGTATAACGATCGGAATTTGGGTGACGGATCTGATCGTTACGTGGCGGTTAGAGCTGACTAAACAAATTAGCAGAGGCTCTTTGGTGGCTTCCCGCAACCCTGGCTCTCTCGCGAACCTGATTGGCTAGCTTGGCCTTGATGGTCACGTTGTGGCTTTGTGTCACCATGGCGTAATGACATGCGCATACCGCCTCAGACAGCCTCGTCAGACAACCATGTTTTGACATATTGCGAGGATCAAGTGTGCTGAAACCGCAACGCATCGAAGGTATTGGTTATTCATCTCTCAAAATGTGCCATAAAGTCCGCTGCAGCAAGTGTGGTATGTAACTGTCAAGTGAAGCCCATGAGCTGGCATGCGACTGAGAATAGCCCAGTACTGATAATCCCTCACCTAGGCAAGGAATCATGGGCCGGTTGTGGGAACCATATTCCCAGTGTGATGGAAAAGATACCACGAGATCAATGGTGCACCTGTGAGCCCAAAGTAGAAAAGGACGGAAAGCAGTATCCGCCGATGGGCTCCATTCTCTCAGCTTGTGAGTTGATGTAGTTGGGACAGGGGTGAGAACTGAGGAATGACATTGACTTTGTCATTAGATGACCGGCAAATAGCTTTGTTTGTATGCTAGGGACAAAGTAGTGGCCACGATTTGATTTCAACCAACTTCTTAATTATCACCTGAAGTCAACCGTCAAGTATGCACAAACTGTTAACATGTACACTACAAACAGATAATGGTAAGATGTCCAATGCTATACGAATTCCCACTCCATGTCGCCGATAAGCATCAGCTTCAAGGGGGGAGGGGTGGGAGCTTAACAATCACTCTCCAAATCCGAACAGTCCCTATGCAAAATCACCTGTTAACATAACACCAGGTCATGCCTTTTCAGACACTTGGCTGAACTCGCGATTCAAGAAATCTTGAAATTTCGTCCACTGGCCCTTCACCTTATAGGCACAGGTCCAGTAGTTCCCCTTCTCATCCTTGCCAATGACGAAGAATCCATCAACCGGCTTGACAGGGCCGTGGTTTTCCTGAATAAATACTGGACGACACGGTCTATCTTTCCCTGTCTTAGACGCTGGAGAGAAGTCAAGGTCGAACAAACCAGCTTTGGTCCAGTTGGAAAAGCCGATCTGGTACATGCCGCCATCTCCAAAAATGATGATGGGCAAGCCCTTGCCAACCGTCCGCACCATGTCGTAGTATGCCTCGTGTTGCGCTCGGGTGCCCTGCTCGTTGATGGCTCGTCGGACCTGCCGAGCCAACCAGCTCAACGGCTTGTTCATCACCTCGCTGGCGGTAACAAGCACATTACCCCATCCAAAGGCGTTGCCAATATAAGGGTGTTCCTTTTCATTTTCTGGAAGGAGGTCGCCCTGGAAGGCTTTCCGAAGAGACATGGCGATCGATCCTGCGACCTGTTCGGCCAAAACTGTCAGCACTTCTGCTAGGCAGTCAAGGTGTTCACAACTCCACGTACAACTCTGTTAGGGTCCATATTCATGGACCCAACCACACACTTCATCGTCCATGCGGTCAAGATATCTCCCTCGGTTAAAAACACTTTGTCTGGATCCTCTCCATTTATCTCAGCCTCTTTCCTTAGCTCCTGAAGAGCCTTTTCGAGCTGAGGTTCCCAGAATGACCGCGGCACGCACACCATCCTGTTCTCCTTGGCCCTTACTAACATATCGATGCCGTAACCGGCACCCCATTTCAGCATGCCCCAGATGCCAACTTTTCTATCCATCAACAAGTGTCTCTCGGTGGGCTTGCGTGCACCTGTCGCCAGAGGCTCGAAAGGATCTTTGTCCACACCACAAGGGGTCGGGACTTCGTCCTCTCGCCCCCACAGGACCTTCATCCAACCATTCACGACATGTTGCATGCCAAGTGCATCGAAAGCAACATGCTGCCACTTGAGCACGACGATGGTTCTGTCTGTGAAGGAGTGTACCTTCAGTCCAAGCACCGGCAGGTCTGTGTTCAGGTAGTCTTTAATGCCATTAGGCCGGCGACCCGGCTCCCAGACCAGATCCTCCAGGAGATCCGGATCGCTAACTACCGAAGGACGGATACTGGGCTCGGGGATCTTCGATGCGACTGGGTGCTGCGATGCCGGAATGCAGTGGTCGACGTGTGTGAAGTGGATGGCCGGCCGTGACGGGGTGAACTCTCGGGGGATGTGCCATTCGATTTTTCCTGTGGACGGCTGGTCGAAGTGAGAACTTGCTCATGCATTGTTATCATAACGCCAAGCAAGGAACATGCAATGTCTGTTTGGCTGAGGTTGTGCAGCGGACAGGGGCAAAAGTTGCGGGAACAGATTCAGCCTCTGTAACCGTGATGTAGTCCATGTCTCCTTCGTGTATCATGGAACTCTGGATGTCCCCATGGGAAGTGACCTTGAAAAGAGAAAAATACAATAAAAGCAAAAACTTACGAACATTTTTCCTGAGACGGCCACCGAGCCTCTGCCAGCCGTCTCGCTTGACGAGACCCTCAAGAGAACTTCTCAACATCTCGGGATCCAGCACATCGTCGAACACGAGAGAGACAGCCATGTTGTTCCCCTGGACCAACAGGCTGTCCTCAAAGAAGTGAAGCGGGACGACCCGATCTTCTGAGCCTGTCACTGGCGAGCTGGTAAGTCGCTTTCGCTTAAAGAGCTTTTCCATCTTGTGCACGAGTTGTCAACTTTGTTCGGGTTATCTGCCGGTCACAATCATGAGGGAAATGGCTCTCTCCTTTGCTAGAATCTGAGTGTATGGGTGCATCCAAATTCAAATACAAAGCTGTGATGGAACTGATAAGAGGTCGTGGAACTCGCAAAGTTGAGGCACCCGGGAACTGGGATGCTACTGCTGCACACATCCCTACTGCATCACACACCGTCGCCCCCCGAAGACCCGGCAGGGAGACTCGAAACCCTCGTTACCAACCATTATGTCCGATCATTGCCTATTTTGATCGTGATGATGAGTTATCAATCATGTACGGAGTGCTTTTAGGAAAAATAGGCAAAGCTTCCGGTATGCATTTCAACATTGTGATACCAGGGAGTGATCACGATATACCGCTTGGTTGGAGGGGGCTCTCCGGATTTTGCATCCGTTGGCTTTGTTGGCACGTTTGGTGGGGCAAACCTTTGCATTCACCAATGTCAATATCCATCCGGGGGATGCGGCGGTCCCATACCGGAAACGAGCCGCATCGGACCCTAGTCGTGCTCCGCTCTAAGTTTCCGAATACGTAGTGGTCTCTTGCCGCTGTGGCCTTGTGGGTCCTCGTCCCCAGTTGCCAGGCCGTTCGCCACAGGACTGGGGTTCCTTGACATGGCGTGATGTTTATCGCGATCGACGTTCTTCGAAGGCAGCGGGGTTCCCAGAAAAAGAGGCGGGATTACACAGTACAAGACGTGCCGGGTTGGTTTTTGTTACCAAATCCATGGCAAGCTCTCTTGCCCGATCGAGCCAAAGGACCCCACAAACCCTCGCCAAAGAACTAAAAAAACAAACTCCGGCTCTTTGTAGTTTGTATCGGTCGCCCTCTCGCCCTCCGCATGTACAAACAACACCTACAAGTAATTTGTAGGCGGGTATGCAGAGAGATGTGAGTTGGTGGAGAGAAGTTGAAAACCTTTTCAGGGGCGACTTCAGCTTTTGGGACGGAACTCAGCGGCACCAGTAGCACTGGATCACCGCGAATACCGCTTTTGGCATGCTGCACGATATCTCCGTCATCTGAGCCGATCCTGCGGTACTGCAAACTCTGACTCGAATGCTTAAATGGACCGGTTCCAAGCTTTATTTCTCGTCTCCTCGTGGCCGTCGACGTGTGCCGAGAATGCTTACCACCTTGCCACTGCCGTACTTAAGAACACGTGATTTTGTCAAAATGTTGGGATTCGTCTTCATAATATCCCACAGAGATAAAAAAAGAAAAGCACTACGATCGCCATTATATAGCGAAGAGAATCCACAGGGCCCCGCAAGGCTCTATATTGGTTCATTAAGGCCAAAGGACCTTGAGGCTCCAGGGGCATTGGTGATCACTAACTGGACATAGAATGAAAACTTGCTCGAGGGAAGAGGCAAAAAGGCCCGTTGTCGTTGCTACCTGTTGCTTTTTTCCTGTCAAAGTGCCGCCAGTCGTTTGGTATCCGCTTCATCCCCTAGGAGAAGCCCACTTGCCCTCCAACGGCATCCCCCACACTGTAATATACGAGTGAGGTTGACAGGGATGTGTTGCGCTGTTCGTAACTTTGTCAAGATGCATATTCGTTTTTTAGACCCAGGCGCCGTTCCGGTTGGCCTTCCAGGTGGGTATCAGGCATGGATTATGCCGAAACAGAACGAAATCGACAGTCTTCCGGCGTTGCGACAGGAAGGAAGGAGAAGGCGGAGTAAAAAAAAAAAAGTCTCGTTGAGCATCCTTGTCTGAATGCTTGCTTGTCATTCCACTTGTAACGTGTAGCGAAGAACAGATGATGCAGGGCGTAGGGCATGGGTAGGTCTGGCCCATGAGCTTAAGCTCGGGTTCGGCCAGCCTCTGTCCGCCTACTTTTCCTACAATGTCATGATCGTCTGGGCTGTTCCAGACCGTCGGGTCACACTCAACGTTGTCTTCCATGATTGCGTCTTTACCATCCACCACATCGGTGTCTACGATAGTATATACATAACACGGCTCCCTCAACAGCATAGCATCCTTGGGCAAGACTTACCGTCAGATTTTTGAAAACGCTGTTCTCTGAGTCGGTTACATTATGGATGGACTGTCCCAAACCTCCATTGTGGGGGCTCCCTACAACAAGATCCAAGTAGGGACGTGTGTGTCCTTCGCTATCACTTACTTTTTTGCAACCATTTTCCTTGCTCTTCGATATGTCCAGACTGTAAATATCACGAAAAAATTCGAACTTGATCTAGGTAAGTTTTCTGTCTGCTTGAAAATCAAACAAGGTTGACCAGGAGCGAGCTTTGGTACTAACACTCTGATAATAACAGTGATCATAACCATCGCTTACGGACTTTCCTTGTACTACTTTATCACCTTGATAGAATGTAGGTCAAACGTCGAGGATAATCAGAGAGAGGACCCAACACAGTTTCTGACACGTCTCGGCAGTGATGCGAGTAGGATGGGGCCGGCATATTTGGGAGCTCTCCCTGAGCGACCTGATGGAGTTCAACGAAATTCTCCTCCCCAACACTCTGACGTACCTAATCACTCCATCCGTTACGAAAATGTCTATTCTCTCAGTTCTTTATCTCATCAACCCGTCTCGCATGTACCAGTTCACCATCATCGCCATTGGCATCTGCATCTTGGTCTACACCCTCACCCTGTCGATTATCACCGGCGGCCCATGCGCTCCGACTAAACCTGACACATTGACTTGCCTTCAAAATGTTGCTATTTCCCACGCCGTTCTCAACATCGTTTCTGATTTTGCCGTTATTTTCACGCCGATCCCTACCATCCACTCGCTGCAACTATCGCTGAACAAGCGTCTTTCTGTCGGTTTTATCTTAGCTATCGGCTCAGGGTATGGCTATCTACGCTGTTTTTTTTTTGCTCATTTCCCTTTGATTTACTGCTAACTTTCCCCCTTCAGCGTCGTTATCTGCTCAATCGCACGCCTTCCATACGTCCTCATCCTCAAGAGCGCCACCGACGTCACCTACCAAGAAGGTATTCTTGGCATCTGGTCGCTGGTGGAAATCAATCTTGGCATTCTCTGTGGCTGTCTGATGAGACTGAAGAAGTTGATCGTGGCATATCTTCCCATGTTGGGCTTGGGTACGTCTCTGGCGAAGCACAGCGGATCTGGCACCAAGCCGTTTGGCTCGTCCGTTTCTACCGGCACGATGGGTGGACACCACAGACTGCGTGACATTGAAGGGGGGACGCCATCCCCCGGGGACCATCAATTGCGTACTATGCAGAAAGAGAGCATGGATCACCCGTCATCAAGGGATGGGGGTGCGAGTACGGAGGGGATCTTGACACGGGACGCATGGAAAGATTGAAAGCTGAGACTCTCAAAAGAGTTCGGAGTCGGAATTTTTTTCGTCTTTTTTATACAGTTCTCCTGACAAAAAGAGATGAATGTTTTTGGATGAGGGAACATTGAGGCAAGGGGTATTTTTTCTCTTTCTCCAGGTTTGAGATCGAAAAGCCAGCGAAGCTCTGAGGGCATTGTGTTAATTTAGCACGAGTAAAATGTACATGACACGTAGGATACCTTCAACATAGAGACGACGGTCACACGGAGGAAGATTGATTGTAGAGGTATAGAGTCATCTGGGATTCTTAGCTGACTGCATTGCAACATGAAGCTAGAAGTTGGAGTTCGGTTCTTTTTGAATTTATCTCTTTTATTTATTTATTCCCACCCTTTCACTACTGGGGGTGCTAAGTCGTGCCCACGGCGCCGACGGGCAAGAGCTATCTAAGATATGTCGATTACAATTGACTCCAGAGGAAAACCCGCGTGGGAGAAAACCTACGCAAGATATTGAAGGGCTGTTATGTCACATGGTTGAGGGGAGGGAGAATAGTTCCGGGGAGCCGTGACCGGCCCTCGGGTTCGAAGAGAAATCTGGGAAAGGATGAATGTGGAGAGAAGGAGAGCTGTCACTGAGCCAGGCTTCGCAGGCTACCCCCAGAGTTCGGCTCGTCGGTTCTTTTGAAGTCTCCAGGTGGCGTGGTTTGTGTCGTTGATTAAACATGCCATGTGTTGTGGCTGCGGGAACTTGCAGCTCGGGCCAATTGTCTTGCAGCTCCGGGGTTAGCGGAAATTTTCTCGCAGGCACCAAAAATCCAGCTCCTTGACAACCTGATAGCTGATAACAGGCCGATGTTTTGGATCTCAGACAATTTTAGCAAGTAATCTAAAAGTTGATTCTCATGATGCTGAGGACAAAGAAACTACAAAACGGTATTGTGTAAGAAGGAATTTAGCATCCAGCGCTTGGCACACTCTTTTCTCAACTAACGTGCTGATGAAGACGACAGGAAGGGTGGTGATAGCGCAGTCATGCGATGTGGGAGTACAAGGGGGGTAAATTGCTACGCGGATGCAATCGGACGTACACTCTTCTGGCCTTGGCACATTCTACAATGGTGTAACTGCGCCTGGCACGCTGGAGCGCCGCATGGGACGGGTGTTCCCGTTGGCAGTCCACTGGTAGGTCGCTTTTTCAATCCTGATTTGCTGTTATTTTTGCTGCAATTTTGGATGCAGCTTGTTGCAGGGCTAGGAACTTTCGGGGTACCGGTAGTTAAGGTATTAAGGTAGGGATGGAAGTCGCTCGCAACCGCGAGATGGGTCAGATGGTGGGGGGGGGGTGGTTGCAAGGACTTGGGGCTCTGACGGAGCTTCCAGAACAAGAACGGGAGCGTCGGAATGCGGATTGCGCACAGCCCGTTCTGCAGCCTGTTGCTGCTTCTCGCTCAATTCTGCTTTCTTCTTCTGATAGGTCATGTCTGTCTCGTCATCCAGACCAACAAGATCATCAAGAAGGAAGGAATAAGAAAAGAGGTAAAGGTGGAAAGCACACCACGCTCACGTCTGCAAACGCATGACCGCATGCTAGTGCAGCAATGACACAATGGTGGACCTCCTTCCCCTTGACCAGCCTCTGTCCCCGGAAAAGAGTGCTCTGGGAGCTGTCATTGTATTCCTAGTCCTCCTGATAATCTACCTCGTGAGACTCAATCAACTACTCCTTGGCACCCCCGACGAGATCAACAAGGTTGTACAGGAACCATGGACCAAAGAGGTACTCCTCGAGACATATCAGCGCTTGGAGAAGAATCCCATCACCACGAGCAGTTATGCCGATCGCATCCCACCCAAGCTCGACCGACGGTACATCATCACGGGAGGCTCAGGTGAGAATGCCTCTGCAGAGGTAGTTACCACGCAGACAATTCCTTCAAAAATCTAACCGTGTCGTGATCCAGGTCTCATAGGAGGGTACATCGTCCTCCAGCTGCTTGAGCGCGGCCAGCCCCCATCCAGCATCCGCATCATCGACTTCAAGTGCCCGAGCCGACCAGACCTTGCATCAAACCCCGCGCGCAGCAGGTTGACTTCGTACAGGCGGATATCTCCTCCGCAGCTGCCACGGAACGTGCCTTCTCCAAGCCCTGGCCGGCTGAGGTCTCCCATCTACCCCTGACCGTATTCCACACTGCCGCCGTCATCGTCCCATCGGACCGGTCGAAGCTTGTTTATGGCCTATGTGATGCTGTCAATGTGCGCGGCACGCAGCACGTGGTGGACGCCGCGCGGCGTGCGGGAGCCGATGTGTTCGTGTCGACAACGTCAGCGAGCATTAGCATCAGACCCGTGGAGTTGTGGGTGTCGCCGTGGAGGGTGCTGAGAGGAGAGGGGCCCCGGCGGTTTTGGCAGGCGCTGGATGAGAGGGATTTCTTTGAGCCTATGCGCGAGCACGACGAGTTCTATGCGAATTATGCCGCGTCTAAGGCTAGGGCGGAGAGAATTGTCTGCGAGGCAAATTCTTCGGAGTTTCGCACAGGATGTATCAGGCCTGCGAACGGAGTGTATGGGAACTTCACCGATAATACGGTTGGCGGAGCTCTGGCCAGATCAATCTGTCCAACGTAAGGAGACCGTATTCGTCCCTTCTGTCACCTGTAGGAGGGACAAAACATACCTAGGCTTGCTGACGCTTCTGACAGATGGACCTCCCATATCGTACACAGCTTTGTGCACGGCATCAACGTTGCCATGGCACACCTCAACTTTGAGGCCATCCTCATTGACCCCAAATCCGCATCTTCGCCACAGGCTGGGCGCCCCTTCGTGGTTACTGACCCAAATCCTCCAATCCGATACCGAGACTTGTACTTCCTGCTACAGACACTGGCCGTTACCCCATTCCGGATCCTACCTCTTCAACCTGTGGTCATGGTACTACTGTCGTACGTAATTGAGTGGTACACATTGTTACTTGTCAAGCATCCCCTTCTGCGTAAGATGCTGCCTGAGATTACCGGCGAGGCAAAGCATCTCAAGCCGGGGCTCTTCAGCATCTGCACACACCTGGTTGGCTCCAACGCGGTTGCAAGCAAGCCTGTGTCTGAGGGTGAGCTTGGATATGTCGGAGTCCTGACGACGCTAGAGGGCATGGTACAAGAGGTAATTGAGTGGAATCAAGACCACAAGAACGCTCCGCAAAACATCAAGTCGTACCAGACTAGTGTGTTGTTGGCAGACGAGATAGCACGAGCAGCAGCAGCGGCTGGTGCCGTATCTAGGGGTTGAAAAAAGCCTCAATGTTTGACTACATTGTTCCTGGAATCATATGGGGGTATCAGTCATTAAATCCAACGCAAATCAACCTACAGTTCCTATTACACCACCTCTCCCTCCGTTGTCGGAGTCGTGGACGATTACAGATGTCCAGTCTCACCCACAGCACACTGTCGGCTCCTCAATGCCGGTTGGAGGAGTAACCACGCCCTTATTGGCCTGCGAGCCACCAATGACAACCGTCTTACTCATCCAATCGCACAGGAATTTCCCCAGAAGTGCACCGATCAGGATAGAAAATATGATGTAGCCGTTGTAATACATGGCCAACAGCATGACAATGTATGCCAGGCCGAAGGTCGCAGCGTGAATTAATGCACGAATGAACTGCTGCAACGGCGACGCACGGAAGGTCACCGTTTGCGGGGCTAGCGCTTCCCCAGTCGAAGAGGAGCTGTTCGTGGTCCCGCCGGCGCCGCAGGAAGGGGCAGAAGTGTTAGAGCTGACTCCTTGTGAAAGCAGGGCCACTCGGGCGGCAAACTGGCGTTGTATGTACTCGTCGTACTCTTTGCCTAGTCGACGGAGGGCCTCGAGCGTGATAACCATGAACACCACGCCGATGCAGGTGGCTGCGAAGGCCCCATGGGACTTGATGTGCCACGATTTCGACAGGAAACAGGCATCGATTGTGTACCAGTTCCAAAGCATCTGGCGACGTCGAGTCAGCAATAGCGAAGAAGACGGACTGACAAATCGATACATACGGAAATCTTGCAGGCGGCAGAGTCGTCTGACCCTCCGTGATCACCGTGATTCATTTTGGCAGATGGACCCCGCGAAGACGACGAACAGTTTCAACAGCACGACGTCTTGTCAACCTCTGTTTCTGTTGTCGGTGGGGAGATGGAGAGATGCAGCATGAACCGAAGGACGCCGATGACCTGCCTAACACCAAAAAGCGGCCAGGCGAGAGCCAGTTGAGTTGTCAGCCGTGATTTGGCTTTTTGGTGTTGTCAATGGCAATTATGCCCAGCCAAAGATGCTGAAGTCGGGCTAGTCGACGTAGTCGACGGGCAAGCTTCGCTTAGAGAGCGGCGACAGTGTTTAAGAGGGGAATGCTCGTTCTTGCGTGCAACCCCAAGGCAACTAGTGACCCCTCTGCGGAAGGGAGCCTTTTTCGGGATCTCGTGGTGTATTCCGGCCGCGGCGCAACCATAACTCGGCGTCCGTTGGTGACGTGAGCTGAGCCAATGGCCGGCGATGAGCAAGAATGCGCCAGAATCACGGGCGCTGTAGCCTTGATGATCCTGCTGTCGGCCCCCCTAGGCCGACGGGTGCCAAGCACACTTTAAAAGGCGGGACGCTGGTGTTGCAGGGCCCGTGCTAGACTAGGGTCGCGTTCTGGATCCGGAGACGTCCTCCCATTGGCTGGTTGGTTCTGTAGCTGGTTGATGGTAGCCCGCTCAATCGGGTCCCACCGCTGATGCGGAAAACGTGCTCAAAGCTGCTCAGCTAGTGTAACCACCGCTGTGGATGCGGCAATGATAACAGACAAAAAGAGAGTGATATCGACGAAACACACTGAGCAAGTTGTAACTACAGAAAATTGACAAAAAGCGAGTGCATGTCTATTTACATTACTGCATTCAATCAATTGACAGCTTAACTCTATTTATACGATTGGCTCGTTCCCTGCACATGCAATAATTTTTTGACATGGGATTTTCTTCCCCGCGATCGAAATCTGCTCGAACTTGCTTCCTCCATCGCAACCCTGGATCCCAAGACTTGCCAAGGTCACATCTACCATGACGATGGAGTTACTCGCCTCATGAACCCACGCTCCAGGAAGGGATCTGGGCGCAAACCGCCCGACACTCCGTACCGTATCCCTTGAGTTCAGGCGGCGTCGCTCTGACTAGGCTCCTGCCGTAGTCGGCCACATGCAAAGAGCAGACAGGATAAGAAGCAGTCCGGTCCCCACATGGTCGAGACGGCCCACAGCAGAACTCTCAAAGACGACCTCCCCCCCCCCCCCCAAGAAGAGCAGTCGAGTCAAGGCACGTCTTGTGAAAGGAAGGCCGCTCGACGCCGACTGAGCCAGTCAAAGGAGCCAGGTCGTTGTGATCTTGGCCAGTCATCGTCATATGTTGAATCTTGAAGCATGCTCAAGTCGGCTGACGAAAAGAACCGCTCCATCCGCCCATCATGAAGCTTGAACCGCGCCATATCCAGAACTTCTCCGAGGCAGCCTACCTCGAGCCGCACTGGGGCTATGCCGACCGTGCAAGACCATGCACCAACGACCCGGGCTCGTGCGAGTACCTCGACGTGGTCTACAGTGCCCACGACCGCGGCATGATATACACGGGCATCTTCTGGCTGACCATTGGCGGCATCATCCTCGTCTGGGCTGCCGCGCGACGCCTATTCCCTGCCCGCGATGCTCACGACGACCTCATCGCGCAGCTGGCGTCTTCTGACCCAGAGAAATCGCCACCCCCTCCCCAGTCCCGGACCGCTCGTCTCTTCAACTCCATGCGTTCCGCGAGCCGTCGATATCTCCTTCCGAACGCCCCATTTCCCTTCATCTTCGGCCACACAACCCGTTTGCAGCTGCTGATCCTGGCCATCCTCACCGGCTACCTGACCGTCTGGTCCTTCGTCGGCATGGTGTACAAGCGCTGGTTGACCCCGATCAAGAATCAACCCCCAGATGTATACAACACACGCTCTACACTGGGTCCGTGGGCCGATCGCGTCGGTGTCCTGGCCTACGCGTTGACCCCTCTTTCTGTGCTCCTCGCCAGCCGCGAGTCGCTCCTCAGCATCATGACAGGCGTCCCCTACACCAGCTTCCTCTTCCTGCACAAATGGGTTGGTTACATCATCCTCGTGCAAAGCTTGCTGCATACCTTGGGCTGGGTCCTGGTCGAGGCATGGCTGTACCGTCCGCAGCCCCAGGTGTGGAACACCTGGATTGCGCAGGACTATGCTCGCTGGGGAGTCGTGGCTTTGGTGCTGCTTGTGCTGCTCTGGATCGGCACGCTCGGTGTGGTCGTGCGTCGCGTCACGGGTTATGAGTTCTTTCGGAAGGCTCACTATGTTCTTGCCATGGTGTACATCGGGGCATTGATTGGTCATTGGGAGAAGCTGCAGTGCTTTTTGGTGCCAGGTCTGGTCCTCTGGGGCGCTGACAGGATTGCTCGTGCAGTGCGGACTGCGTTGTTGCATCATGGATACCTGAAGAACAGTGGGAGATGGGGTTTCGAGTCGGTGGAGGCCGTTGTGAAGCACTGGAAGGACGAACAGTTCGGAGATGTGGTCAGATTGGACTTCGACCACGTCCAGGCGCCGTGGAAGATTGGTCAGCACTTTTTCATCTGCTTCACTGAAGGCAGCATCTGGCAGAGCCACCCGTTCACCCCTCTGTCTCTTCCTGTTACCGATACCGTGGGCAAGGTCCGCCATTCGTATATCTTCCGTGCCAAGAAGGGTGAAACGAAGAGAATTGCCAACATTGTGGCTAAGAAGGTCGCTGCTGCCACGAAAGAGACCGCTGTCACCACGAATGTCATCCTTCAGGGTCCCTACGGAGTCGACGTGACCGAAGGGCTTATTCAGGATGTCAACGTATTGTGTGTTGCTGGCGGTACCGGCATTACTTACGTGTTGCCAGTTCTGTTGCGTTTAGTGCGCGGTCCAGTGGGCACGACAGGGAGGAAGATTGAGCTGGTTTGGGCGATGAAGCGGAAACGAGACCTGGAATGGGTTGCTCCTGAGCTGGAGGAGCTCCAGCGACTGGGTGCCGCCCATGGGTTGCAGATTTGCACGTTCGTCACTGCAGACCCGGAGGACTCGAGCTCCAAGGAGAGTGGGGATGAAAACGGGGCGACTGAGTCTGGCGATGATGTCAAGACTTTCCGGAGTCAACGGCCCGATGTTGGATTGGTAGTGCAGGAGTTTGTTAAGAGTGTATCGCAAGGCTCTGTTCGAGTATTTGGGAGTGGTCCCCCGGGCATGATCTGCGACCTGAGGGCTGCTGTGGCAAAGTGCAATTCTGGTTCTAAGGTGTGGAAAGGCGAAGATCGGTTTGATGTGCATCTTGTTTGCGATGACCGTTTGGAATGATACCCTGACCGTTTAGTTCTTTAATGCTAAATTTCTTCTTATTTCTCATCCCAGTTCCCGCCATGCTTTTTGTTTACATGATGTCTCTGATGCCACCCGGGTCTGAGATGACATAGAAAGCCGAAAGACATAAGATCCACATACTTCAACCCACCTACTTGCTTTGGAATACTGCGTACTGCAAACCAATGACGCAGAGCGGTTTGAATCTTCCAAAAAGGAAAAACTGGCTGTAGCAGTGATTCTTCACCCATTGGTTACGGATGTCAGTTCTATCCTGACTGAGTTCTTGAAGAAAGAGTCAGTCGAGGAAGAGAAGTTCCTGACCTCAGGGTATTCCACAGAGAAGGAAACGCCGGAACCACTTATTAACCTGGAACAGCGCTCATGGTTTCCTGTCCAGATGCAACGTTTCCTCTGATCATGCTCTCGCAGCAAAGTCGAACCTTAATTCGAGGATCATACAAATGCTGGACTAGTGAATTCTCTCCTGCAGCATGGTTGTCGAGTCCTGGACGATGACTCTGAGCAATCCGACATGCCTAATTTTCAAGAAGCGAATTTAACAATTCCGTCCCCTGCTAAGATTGCTTTTCTCAAGCTTTACGACTGGAGATTTGCTCCTCAGTTACGTCATGACAGCCGTCTACCGACTTGTTCTCGTGAATTATTTGCAATATATGTCAAATTTGTATAAATGGGCTATTCTGGTGAGTTCATTGCTTTTTCGTGTCACTTCAAGGACGATGAAACCGACTCCATAGAATCGAGCGAGCCAGACGACGACAAAGATGATGAAGAGGATTGGGAAGTTGCAGGGCAAGAAACGGCCGTGGCAGATGTGTTCCTTCTTATGTACGAAGCCGAGATGGCAGTTTACCAGCGCCTGCAGACCTGGTAAGGCAAGATTGTGCTGCGCCTTCTCGCCAATGTGACCATCGACATCTGTCCCCCACCAACCTGAGCACTTCCGACTCCGAGGGATCTTGCTGCAGTACTTGCAAGGTCCGACGCTCAGAAAGATGCTGGTAATTTCATGTCTTTCCAGGAGACCTGACAGGGCATCCTGAATTAGAGTGGCAGGATTTGCGGACATCTTAGGTGACAACAATGTCCTCAACGACGAGGTACGCAGTAGTAACTTCATCGCTGTCTCTTGTGAAGACAGTGACTTATCTCAAGGAAGCAAGGAGTTTCGATTCTTCATCATGACTTTGGCCAGCACAGATTGCGGTGAGAGACCGAGTCGGATAAGCATTGGGGGCACGACAAGTAACGAGCTAATGAGGAGGGTGTTGTAGCGTTGAGAATTCAGCATGGCCTTAAAGCTTGCGGCATCAAAAATGGCCAAGTCCCTCTTATCGCTACATAGAATAGGCGCCAGGAACGGATGATTCAGGTTGGCTAGTCCGTGGTTTGTACAGTCTAGAATCAATTCGACCACCTCGTCCGAATGCGACAAGGTTAGAAACGTCTATTATTGTTATGCACTTAGTCTGTGTTTTGATTGACATATCTTCAAAAGTAATCGCATTACTTCGTCATTTTCATTATACAAATCAAATGGAAATTCAAAGGCAAGATATTGATATAGTAAACCTCTTGTCTGGTTGGAATAAGCAACCGGAAGCGATAGAACCAGCTAACTATTTTGTAAGTAAAAAACCCTTCTGAGACAGATATAGGTTCGCTCATTATATTTAGCAGTACGAATTTCTGGAAAGAAAAATGGTTCAGATAAAGGATTGACATTCAAGCATATCGTAGGTTGAGTAGGGATTGATGATCATCCTGAGCAATGCTCACACACTATCTCCCATGTTGATATGCTAAAAGGAGTGCATACCCTCCAAGTCCTAGTGCAACAGCTCGCTGTGTGCCGGGATGATGAATTTATATGCTGGTGTACTACTTGAGCTTATCATGCACCCATCACGTATATGTCTTGGCCTACGAACTGTCAGAACTTTGATAAAGACTTCTTGGCCTCTCAGGCCTTTCCATATGTGGTGTGCTACCCTTCGTTGCAGCAGGTTCAGTCTTTTTAGGCAGGACTGCCTAGCTCAATTGTCGCTCTTTCAGGGAAGCTGTCCGCACTGCATTGCACGTGCCCCGTCCTCATGAAGTATCAGTCAGCGAGGTAAACTCGACTTGAGGATTATGTGATACTGTCTAAGGCTTGATCAATCGTTCTGACCGTCCCCTGTACTTCAGCCTTACTTGTTCTTTAAACCGGGTTGAATGAATCGAGTTTCTGCCTTCATAAGTACACATCTCGTTTCCATTATCTCCATCGCCAAGTATATATCTGACCGTTGGCTCCCTCCAAATGGCCATGAAAGCCAAACGCCGCGGTATGGTCGTTCAATCCTCTTCCAGCATGCTAAACTACCCCTGACTCTAGGTTACACAGCTAGGTTCATCACGTACATACGCCATATAGCCAGTTGCGTATAAGCGGCGTTGCATTGATGCGTTCTATCTCGCGTGTGAGCAACAAAAGCTGAGCTGGAGGGGATGTGGCGTCCTGATAGTGCGGCTGCGCCGCAGCGTGGGGGAGCAATTCCGAACACAATCACACTGGGGGCTTAAGGCCATGGGCAGCTAGCTGCTGGTGGCAGAGCAACGGAAAACAATCCTGCCTCGAAGCTGCACAATCTCTTAAATCCCCCAGTTTCGCTCACCACGTCGTTTACGTCTTCAGTTATCGAGAGACTTTTGGATGCAGACTTCTTTTTAGGACGGTCTCCACCTCCAAATAATATAACAAGTCTCAGGCTGGCTGACTCGTCTTACCTTATGTTGATCAAGCCAGACAACCGCTCGCAGTCTTCGGATCTCTTTCAGTTCTTAATTTGTCCTACACTGTTACCAGCCCTTATTTCCCTATCAAGTTTTCGGTTTGCACGTTGTCAGGTGTCTAGCTTTCTGTAGCGCCCGCAAGCATGACCAATCGGACAGATGAAGTTTGGGAGCTGTTTCAGACTTTCTCGGGAGAAAGTACGTGGCCAGCAAAATGTGTCAACAAACTCAAAGAAGCTGCAGAGCAAAGCGAGAGCGAACGAAACCACATCTTCGCCGGCTTGGTGGGCATCGACGGCACAAGGGACGTGTTCGCCTCGAACAAGAGCGACTGGAGCACGGATGATATCTGGGGGATCAACCTTTCGCTCTGTAATCGATACTGCAGTCGAGAATCATTTCCAATGGTGTTCAACTACGAGATGTTTCTCACCCGCACGACAAACTATCTCCTTCCTTGGCTGGCTCTGACGGCCCAACTTCCCTATGAAGCCGGCGATGTCATCGATAACACAATGAGCTTCGTCATGGCACTAGGAAGTCCCATGCTCTTGACCTTTTCATTGATGATGACCATACTCAACCGTCGATGGCTCCGGGACAGGGTTCGAAGTATCCGATCAGGCTCGAACGGAAGTTTGTTAAGAGCGCGGTTGCACCACGTTAAAAGGTTCCTGGAAGCTGCACAACAGGTTCCACTGCGCTTAAGGCCCTATCCTGAGTGGATAGCAAGCCTCCTACTTCTCGATGTCAACGACGACTGGTGGGCCAACTTCTCTAGCCGCTTGGACGCGACCCGTCGCAAACCAACTTTGTCGCTCGTTGCACAAATGCTTGTTGCGGTAACAGCCTGGATTCTCACCATAATTGGTTCCTTTGGCTCTTCTCTAGGAGATCACGCAGAAGGTCTTGCGTTATCGTCAAGTTCATTGTGGACTTGGCTTGTGCCGTTGATCCTAGGATGGATCACAGTGGGCACCCAAAGCCGCCCTGACGATATCAGTGAGTATAGTAGTGAGGCCTATTGCGGCCCTTTGGAATCGAGAAGCTTAGCTTCTCGGCACCAACAAAAGGCCTTCAAGGTCCTAGATCCGAAAAACATGGACAAGACCAAGAAAGAGATAGACTATTGTCATGATCCATTGGAAACACTTCTCCGATGTCGACCTAACCAGCACCCGGACATACATACTCGTCCACGCCAAAACAGTACAGATGGCAATAGGCAATCTGCCATTCAACCCGACTCCCAAGGTCCCATCAGCTGGATTCGAAGCGCTTTTCATCCCATCAAAATTGTCAAACGACTTGGCACTCTTCTGAGAATCAGGCAACCCAGCATATCCTTCGAGCCAGAGATCGGTCTGGCCGAAAGCTCAGATGCATCTAAAGCATCTAGTAATGGACCTTCCTCGTTGCGCTTTGAGCGAGCAGGTGCAAATAGAAATCCACCTGCCACCGGTGATATTGGTTGCTTCGAGTCGCTTACTCATCCTGATCTTAGCTTCTTTGGTTTCAACATCCATGGCGATGGCCTTAAGAAAGGACCAGCCTACAACTATGCACGAATCTATACATGGAGGCATGCAGCAAATCAGCTGCTAAAAGCTATGGAGACAGTAAAAGAAAATATGGATGATGAAACTCAACAGCAGCAAGATCAAGGGCAGCAGTACCAACAGCGATACGACCGACCACAGCAAGGGAACGGACAACCGGGTCAACAATCTGAGACCAGCAACAGGAAGCCACCTCCACCACGGCCTTTCAACACAATTGTCTTTCCACAAGACGACGATCTAAGAGCCCCTGACGTAAGGACTCTAGCAGTGTACTGCGGGCTAGTGGAAGAAACCGAACCAGGCTCTAAGGAATCAGACCTGGTCCTAAAAGCCAAGCTAGAAGCATACCCGGATAGAGAAGACCTGGATGACAGGTTCCCGTTGCAAGTTATTGGTGCCATATTAGTCGCTGCGTTTTTACAATGGGGGACAACAAGCCCAGCCATTATCATCTCCATCCTTACCGATGTCAAGGGACTGGGTTGCCGCTCGGGAGGGTATCTGTTATATGGACTTCTGAGCACAGGTGCATTTTTCTGCTTCCTATTCTCTGTTGTAATGACGAGGGAGGCAATGCTAAGAGTACAGAAATTTGAAGCTCAGTTATACTCTGGAAATCCAAAGCATATCAGAGCGAAAGGTCCCGGTTTTTTATTCCATGTCTGCAAAATCATGTCGATATTGCTCCTCCTTATCGGAAGAGTAATAGTCATCGCAAACGCATTGTGGCTGGTGTTGACATCGTTGTTTGAATTGGTTGGATTCTACTATAACTGCTGGTGCGAATCGGTGTATCTTGTTTGGAGAGAGAGGGCTTGGGTGTTGCTATTCAAGGAAGGGGTCGATTTAGCTGAACAATCCAGGGGACCATGGGCTGGGAGTGTGACAATGTCCACTCTTGTTATGATCTTGTCCTATCTTGTTTTCGCTTTGTTGCATTGGGGAAACTGATGGTATGACAGTGAATTGTTTTGTAGGATGTTGTGAGAGCAACTGAGTACCCAGTCTAATGATGTGGAATAACGGAGACAGTTTGACAACGCTAGATCTCATCATGATAAGGATAATACTACTGCTTGTCAGCTTGCTACTCACTAAACGCCAATTTCCGTCAGCCTTCATCCTAATGCTAAAGTGCTAAATAGATAAGTATCCATAGACATCAATTGTTCTCATGCAGCAGCCCAATCGTGAGAGAAAATCCATCCAATATTGCGCGACAGAAAATGTAACATACTCCCAACAACTGTCTTTCGAGTATATAGAGTTAATCTCGTCGAGCTACATACCTACAACATATATGAGCTTTGGGTAAATGCTAACGTCCAGCTGAGCGACCGAAAAGGGATGAGATTGTCGGAGTGAAGTTGTTGAAGACGTGCCAGAGGACTGGAGAAGCAAGTGGGTTCGAGCTTCGATAGGCGATCATGTCATGGCAAAACCCAGAGTCAGTCTGCCAAAATAAGACGGCCGTTTCCGTGGAAACTCAATCCGATGACTTTAAGTCAAATTTTAGGACCGTCCCGATTGTGGAAAGGGGATAAGACCGGGCCAAGAAGACCGTCCACTACCAGATTAAGCCGTGACTTGGTTTCTCTTCTATATCGTGCTCTTTACGCTCCTGTCGCTTCCTCTTCTGCCTCACTTCGTTGCCACGAAAAACGTCGTGAACAGCCATCCAAATCAGGCCAACCAATGCCACAAAGAGCACCACGGCAATGATAACCATAACGATAATGGAGAACCAAAGCGATACTCCAAGGAATCTTGACCAGGCGCCATTCGGTACGCTGTCATTTATTTCTTTGTCGACTTCGAGCGCAGCCAAACCAACTTGCATGCAGCCAAGGACGACAGAGCACACTGCGAATATGGTGAGAAGGGGGGCCAACATATGCTTTAGGAAGTCACCCCATTGAGGGTAGATATGATAATAGGCCAGACTGCGGAATGTCATCATAGCAGCATTGTTGATGCGTGTCAGTCGAAGTTCGCCATAGTGATATCGGCGAGTCACCTCGTCATCGCCAACCTCGCCAAACGGGGCGATGAACTCGCACCACTCCTCGTAGGTCGGATGTCTGCTTCGTCCGTCTGGAGTGGAAATCAAGGGTATCAAATGTTTTTCGCAAGCCAGGGTGTAATCAATCTCGTATTGGATGAGATAGTAGTAGCTGCGCATGAAGCCAAGGCAAGCATGATAGAGATATTTATCGTCCTCGAGGTCTCTCAGGTATTCCCAGAAAGCTTTCGAAAAGAAGTAAAGAGGAACTGGCTTGATAAAAACCATGTTGTAATACCACACCAGATGCAAGCCAGGGTGCTCATCAACTTTGATCTCTCGAGCGTGTGATGTTTGATGATGCAAAGGCATAATATGGTCGTATGATGGCGTCTGGACGAAGATGAATCGTGTGAATGGCAAAAGGCCATCGAGGTGTTTGGTACTATGAGAGTTTTTGAGGTATTTGTACAACTTTGTCTGCGGGTCATCATTTGTGCTTCGTCTGGCATTCTCGTCAACTTCGAGCCGGATCCGGGGCTGCCCGGGAAGATAGCGCTTTTCTTTGTGGTCGGCTTTTGACTTCAAAAGTTTTCTTGTGCTAGCTCCATTGGCTTGGCCGCTGTTCGGGATACTATGACCACAGAAAAGGGTATCAACAAATTCTGCTCCTGGTCCTTCAAATGGCAGCTTACTGCTCTGTCGTTGAGGGCGAGTTGCCTCCATGTTCCTGGATGGCGTTGGCGGGCAAAGGACAGTTGGAGACAGCAAAGAAATCACAATCGTGTGTTGCTGAAACTGGTAGTCGACTTGGATGTCGCCAGTCCTGTGACAGCTAAATTTCTGATGAGCTCACGGTATCTCTTGAGCCGTCTCTGGCAAAAAGCACCATGGGAATTGCGGGTTCATATGAAGACCTTGGATCGCCCAGGCTGCTACGATGAGCAGGGAGAGCAGCGGAGAACCTCGACGCCCTTCAAAGCCAAGTGGTGGCTGCTTGGCGCCAACACCATCCCCATCGTTTCCGCGGTCTGCACCGTCACAGACCCAGCTGGGCGGCTGAGATGCTGGATATTGCCCCACCAATCGACGAAGAGAACACGGACCGCTGACATTGGCACAACATCAGTCCCCCGATCTGCGCCAAACCAAGAAGGGGAACAGCTATGTCGCTCCAGGCGTACAAAAACGCAATAGGACCACAGACATCAAGAAAGATCGAGGCGCTACACAGTACAGTATGTGCCCGCAGTCAAGAAGCTGATGGTGGAAGAGAGGCTGGGCAGGGAGCCAACCGATTAGGAGGTGAGAGCGGCGGCGCTACCCGGCAGCAGTTCCCCGCGCCAGATGTAACATCAAGAACTAACAAGACTCGGGTATCAATTGCCACCCGTCTCACAAGGCTCTGAACTAGCAGGTGTGAACCAAATCACCGAGAAGCATTGGTCGAGGAAATATAGCAAGTGTATATGCATGTGCTCAAGTAAGATATTAACGCAGTGATTCAAGAATATCCCAACCACAAAAAAAATGGTATCTCGTTCAATTCATACAGCAGAATGAATATTCCAAACAGCATGAGATACAAGAAAATATGCAAAAGCATGGCTGGCGGCCTAATTCTACTTGGTCATTGTCGCCCGTCAAATCAATCACAACAACATTTTGCGGCCCAATACGTGATGACGTGGTGTTAGGCACCAGCCCCCTCTTGAATCTCGGATGCGGTTCTGCCTTGGTTTTTGGAAGAGGCTCAGTTTTGACGTTGGCAGTTGGCTCGGCCTTGATCTTGCACTGCCCCTAGGTCAGCAGTGTTGGCGCTGCATGTTGGCGGTTCAAGCGGCTCTAAGAAACTGGCCTAAACCCCCCCAGCCAATGGGGACGAAAGGCGGCGCGGCAACACCCGAGATCGAAGATGGGGAAATCGACGTCGCGGGCGCTAAACGATGCCGCAGTGTTCGGTCCGCGCCATGTGCTCTTCTCTGTTTTCCTTTTACTGGCTGGAGTTTCTCAAAAAACGGGCAGGTTTGACTCGCGGAGTGGGACCGGTCTGCAATGCATGTTCGCCGAACCTGGCTGTCGTTTCATAGTGCTGCCGTTGCAAGTCATTCATTGTGTTCCAATGCCGCATTGTTGCAGCATTAATGGGCCCCAATGGCGGAGGTGGCGAGGGCCGACTTGTCGGGAGTGAATCTCAAAGAGTAGGTCATACCCAGACATCATCGACTCGGGACGGTGAAGAAGGAAGCTGATTGTTGTATCCAGTCGTCTGGTTGACTGGCCTCCGGTAATGGCTTGGGACTCTAGCGTATCCACGGTGTCCGTAGCTCAGTGTCATGTTGGCTGAATGGGACGGTATAGACAAATTGCCAGGTGGTGCCATGGCGCGCCTAATAAATGGTGAAAGTTTGGGGCTGCCTGAGGGCAGTATGTCCAGCTAGAGGATTCATCAGCAACGGAGGACCGCTCTCCAAGAACGGCCACACTCTCGATAAGATCAGGGTCATCAAGTTTGGTTCCCAAACAGTCGTCAGTCAGAAAGCCGAAAAATCCGATAGCGGTCGCTCACCAAAACAGTGCGCAAAGCCAGGCCATTGAGCTTGCTGAGTTTGTGCACTGACTTCTGCCTTCCTCTTGTCTCGTTCTCCTCCGCTTCGTACTGGTCAATATACTCTCTACCTTTCTGCTGATGAGCTCCTCATCCTCTGATGTCAGTCTGTAGCGGAGAAGAACCGAAAGTGGCAAAATGAAAAGGTTGAGATGTGTAAACTCATCCCGGTTGAGCGCGGAAAGCTTGACTGCAAGAGCAGCACTTGCAAGGAGATTTGCGATCCGCGCGCACATCCTGCACGGACAGTCGGTACCCCGATGATAACAGTATCAAGTCCTGGGCATAATCCAACATATTGAGCCAGATAGGATTAGGGTTGCGGCGATGAGGTGGCGATGGCGGGTGCTGGGTTGCAGGAGCTAGTGTGCCTGAAGAACTCCGGTAAGCTTCGCAACAAATGGGAGCCATATTGGATGGAAGCACTGTAGGCGAATGACTCCGCGTCGCGAACTAGCTCGAGCGTTAACCGTTGCAAATAGTTTCCAGACCTTCTGACAGCAAATCCGTGACGAACATGGCAAGATGATCTGCATCATCTGAGTAGTCACAAATTCTTGGTTTCAAAGGCTAACACTATCCGTGAAGCAGAGACAAAAGGTTCAGTCCATCAATGATGAGCTTCGTATGCTTTTTAAAAAGGTCCTTTAGGAGTTTTGGCAGTAATATGCGATCCGCATCCAGGCGACGGAGGGCTGTCAGAAGTCCGAGACCAAACGATGTAAGGTGAGAGTACTTTTCAACTACTGATAGGAGCCTGTGGCAGCAGTTCCGTCAATATTAGTTTTTTTTTTCCTTTTTTTACTCCATAGAAACCCTCTAGCCGGAGGGCTCACTCTAAAGCCAACAGTTTGAGGCCAAGGTAAAAAGGGGGCAGGCTGCCAATGCCTGCCTATCGGCAAAGCAACATAAGATTCCAGGGCGGACTAGATGCAAGGACCGTTTACTATTTACCTTACGGTAAAAGGGGGTTGATGGTTCTGGATGTCAAGCGCTGCAAGCTTCTTGGCCGCATCGCAGACATCGGAGATCGTGGATAGTCTTCATGGCAACGGCCACTAGAATGCCAAGACGTCAGTGTGTTAATAACTTGAGTAAAGGAATTTGGGGGAGACACCTACCCATTGGTTATGTCTGGAAGCGTCAGTTGACCGTTTTCCACTTGCATTACTATCCGAGAAAAGATTTGTGAAATCGATTCCCGCCCGAGGTGATTGGTCGCATTCTCAAAGAACTCCCAATCTTGGAGGTTCAAAACTGTCTTGAGCAGTTATACGTTCAACGACTTCAGCAAACGACAGACCATTTGTTGCGTCCGATTCCCATACCTCAACTCAAAGATCATGGAATAGCGAAAGCAAGCGAGTAGGGTATGGTTGGTCGGAGAAGCGTACAACAAAAATGATTGGTGAGGTATTGAAAAGCAGGAAGTCGAACTGGCTGATGGCGTGAACTTTAACCATGGGCTGCAAACATGTCTCAACAAAAAGTGGATTAGACGCTATCTCGTGTCATAAATTAAAATGGCCTTGATGGAGAACTGTCAGCCTTCTAGTTCGAAGATCTTGGTGATAATCTAAGTTGTTTCACTCACTACCTCACATCAAAGTACTGGTTACTGCTCTCTTGAAAGAGTGGGCTGTAACCAGCTTCCATGATCAATTGGAACATTGAGAAGCAGCTCATCGCCATCTGTATCAGATATCTTGCGGGTAACATAATATTGGCTAGCGTTGCCATCATCTCTGTCTAGCAAAATGAAGAAGACCTCGACTGGAACCTGCTCAATGATGGCTTCAAAAGTTTGGACAACTGCTTAACCGCGTTTTTTAGCGTCACGGGTGGGAATATATCTTCAGAATATCGATGCTCTAGCCGGAAACGGTACTAATTCAATGAAAGGATGTCTTGCTCTGACCAAATAACGTTATAGACCATCACAAACGTTCCTCGTCACATTTTATGCCGAGTGGCTGTCCGGCTTGGTTTGGGATAGAGTGGCTGGCGAAGGTGGTTGAGCTCAAGACCAATATCATCTCTGAAATCTTAGAACACATCAAATTGGAGATAGTCGAATAGGTATTTAGGAAGGAGACGAAGAGTCGTGCCGACTTGCTCAGCTTCGCTGTCTAAGCTCAAGACAATTGGCTCGATGGTCAGACCTTTGGAAATGCTAGCTGAGCCTCCACACAGCTATACTGTGGTATAACTCCGTTTCTTTGATGGTTGCACTGGCAATCAGGATCATTGGTCATTGACGAAGCACATAATGGTGCAGTTGACAGGGTTGAGGAGCGCGGGATGGTGATGTCAGCGCGGTTTGACGCGCTGCAAATGCATCTAGACGCGTGCCCACGAGTCTCCATAACTGAAGGTTCCACCAATAGGGACAGGAATCCCAGACGCACAGGTCACTATAGCGCCTTGAAAGTATTCAAGCTCGAACTCCGAAGGACAGAATGATGCCAAAACTGGGCTTGCTAGCCACACTATCTCCGAAGTTAAGTTTTCCCGAGGTTCTCACCCACACTCTGCTTTCTATAAAATGAAAGCCCCGCATGGACGTTACAATCGGGATCACCGATGTTCTAGAAAATATCAGGCCCCAGAATCCAGATCCGATTGACGGGTCAGTTCTCCAACAGGCTGGGTGAAAACGCTCGATGCTGATCTTCCAAGTCATATCTTGTCATTTATGGCTTGATGCTATGTAAAGTCTGATGTATACCCCGTAGTTCAGTGCCTGATTGGCATCATACATCAAAACAGGTGAACATGTTCCCATCCATCGTTCAAAAAGGGAAAGCCCTTGTAGGTATCCCCGCGCTTCATCCAGGCAATGAGTCGAGGAATAACTCCCACAAAACGACATTGATGAAGCAGTTTATCCCAAATTATTTCTATATGTTGTGCTTACAAAAGATTAGCCTGTGGAAGAGCCATGGTGAAAAGTAGGTACATTCAGCAGCATGTTCGTTGGGGTCTATGACACCGAATCTACAGTTCAACTCAGTAATGCCCAACTCCCTACACCAAAAACCAAAATTAGGATCATTCCAATTCTTATAATAGCAACCGTTTGTTTCTGGTTATTTTTAAAAGCATCCATATTTTACAGGAAATAATGCAGAGTGGAACAATCGGCTCCAGTTTCTCTCTTTCGCTCTTAGCGATGTTACCTGCTCATGACCATTTAGAGATGGCCAGGGGAATAATTGGTCTTAGGAAACTAGATAATACAACACAGATACTTTTTGACCGCTGACTGCCTAGCACATATGTCTCAAGTCATTTCCCAAACCTTGTCTTGTGTGACATCTACTGGGAACACTCCCCAGCAACGTACGCTCTCTAGGCACTTGGTGGGAATGAACATCCGAGTTTGCAGAGAGTAAGGCTAAACCGCCATCCGTGGTGGCACTGGCTAGAAAATTTCCACTCGGCTCTTGAGCATACACTTTCAGATACCTCCATGCTCAGTATCCATCCGGGCAAATATCACTGAATGACCATCCCATTCTCCGTTTTGACAGACTTTTGCTAGCATCAACAACAGGATGTTGCCAGGGACACTTCCATAAGATATAAAGAAGGTTGATAGCTATAAAGACATTGAGTTGGACAAGGATGTTCTCCCTGCTGGAGGAGGTTACTCCCCTAAGGGTCTATAAATCTGGTATTTCTTGACCTGCTTTTGCCTGAGAACATGCTGGCGGAATATGATCGATGAGCGGAGGTTACCATCATGAGACAATGGAAATCTGATGGACATTCATTGATATCTTTCAAGGATTTTGCTAGTGTCTTTGCACTGCCGACTGTTCCACCATCTAAGCAAGGAATGGTTCACGACATCATTAAGGAACACAGTTTACTGCAGTTCTTGGTTAAACGTGGATGTCGTTGACACGATAGGAATTGATAATTCCACACAATACAGACATAACCAATAACACAATCTGACAGTCCCTTGCATTGTTTTGTTATATTCCATGTTCTATGTATATTGAACACTTGTGAGGATATGGTCTTTCAACTAGAGAAAAATGTGAGACCATACTTCTGATCACTCGATATTGATGTCACGTACGCTGCACACTAGTAAATGAGGATAAACCGATATTGAATACATACATATATATCTAGATGATACTGCTTCATACTTTATGGATTGGAAGACACTTTCTCCTCCTTCATTGATCGAGACTTAGCTCCATATAAGAGCACTTCTTTTAGCTATTACCGCCATATATGCGAGAATCATATAGTGACGCACAATCATTGACGGTCTAAAAGTGGCTTGGACCAACACAGACCTTCAGCCATGGCACGTGCTATTCCCAAGGAAATAGATATCTCAGAACACATCCGGGCTCACGATTCAGGAACTGCTACGCAAAAGCAGCCCCTTACTTCAGATCCAGAAATGGCTGAGGAGATTTTCGATAGTAGTAGTCCAAATGAACCGGTTCCACGGCTGCATGCAAAGACATTTCTTGCACTTTTTGCGGTTTGTTTGATCTACTTTGCTCAACTTGTCAGCGTTATTGGCGCGGGAGTGGTATGCTTACTTTCCTTTGACAAATGTTTCGTTACTATGTATTCCAGCAATGCCTTATTGAACGTGAATGCAGGCCTGTGGTAGCGCTAACAAGCAAGATAGCAAGCACAAACAATTGGATCCCACTTTAATGACACAAGCAAGGTCGTTTGGTTCCAAGGCAGCATCGGGCTATTTGCCGTCGTCCTCGGCCCTATTGTCTCTCAAGCTGCAGACTACTGGAACCGAAAATGGTTTCTCATCATCCCGACTCTGTTTGGAGCCGCAGGTAGTGCCATCATCGCCCGAGCTACATCCATCAACATGGTTATCGGCGGTTTTTGCGTTGCTGGTATCGCCTTCAGTACACAGCCCTTGCTTCACGTCGTCACCTCTGAGGTCCTGCCACGCCGTTGGAGGGGATGGGGCCAAGCATCTAACCTCGTCTTTATCACCCTTGGTGGTCTTCTTGGCCTCTTTGTCGGCGCTGCCCTCAACCGTTCAGGATCTGCAGGATCCGATGGCTTTCGATACTATTATTACATGGCAATGAGCTGCTTCTTCATCGCTGCCGTTGTCTGCATCATCGTTTACAAACCTAGGCCTTTGGAGACTCAGACCATGTTTACAACGGCTGAAAAGCTGTCAAGGCTCGATTGGTATGGTTATGCCCTCCTTGCAACCGGGCTAACACTATTCACCCTCGGACTTTCATACTTCTACAATCCATATCCATGGTCAAATCCGCACGTTTTCGCAATATTTACCATTGGACTCGCTATCAGCATCATTCTGGTTATTTACGAAACAGTATTCAAGAAAGATGGCCTTTTCCACCATGGTCTCTTCTCCCGAAACCGCAACTTCGCTATCTCATCTGTCTGCATCTGTTGCGAAGGTGTGGCTTTCACGGCCGTTAACATCTATTTCACCTACCATGTCAACACGTTCTACGAGAAAGACGAAATATTTGTGGCTATCCGATACAGCTTCAAGTATACTATTGCAGCAATCTTCGCATGCCTAGCAGGATGGTTTTGCATGGTCACTCGGCGGACACGTTGGCTCACTACCGTATCCTTCGCGCTCTTCCTTATCTTCTTTATCTGTATGGCTACAAGCGGCCGCGGACTCCGATCGAATCATGCTGTATGGGGATACACTGTTTTCCTAGGCGCCGCATTTGGCATTACGCTTACCACCCTTGTGACAGTTGCCCAACTGTCTACACCTCCTGAACTGATCAGTATAGCCAGTGGCCTGATAATCAGTCTCCGCGCCCTTGGAAATACAGTAGGGCTGGCCATCTACAATGCTGTCTTCCATGAAGCACTTGACAAGCTGTGGGAGAATGTTGCGCAAGCGGTTGTCCCTCAAGGCCTTTCTCCGCCAGACGTCCAGCGGTTCATTGCTGCCTTGGAATCCCACAATAGCACGGATCTCTACGCAATCCCGAACGTTACCGAGAGCATCATCCAAAGCGGGACCACAGCATTTCTTGACACATATGTTTGGGCCTTCCGATATGTGTGGATTACGGCAGGATGTTTCGTCTTTCTATCAGGGGTTGGTAAGCGTTCTCCCGGTTGCCCCAGCAACAATCTATGAGGCGATGCTAACATCATTTTGCATATAGCTGCGTCTTTTCTCATTGATGAACCGGAGCAGTTCTCAATGAGGATTGATCACCCAATCGAGGAAGAAGGTCTGTATGCACTATCTCGAGGGGGTGAGAAGCACCCTGTCTAAGACCCATCGCAAATGAGCATTCTCAGGGGCATCATCGCTCCAATACGATTGAATGAGCACGATTTAATGTTAAATGACAACACACATAGCATATCATGTGTAACAAGCACAACTATTTCTCCTTTCTTTAATTTACTCCATGAGCTGATGAACAACATGAGCTACCAGGGCCTGTTCTAAGTTTTGCTGTCATTATTGAGTGCTTATTCGTCACCTAGTACTTCCAGGAGTTTGGCTCACTGGAGAATGATACATTGCTTGTCTTTGATTCGGGCCTAAGAGCACGTGTGAGCAGCATATGTCAGACGCGAACTATGACATCACGCCAAAAGCTGAGTCGACAGCACGAGGAAGGAGAGGAAGGCTGGTCATGATGTGATATCCTGATCCGTTCAGGCATCTCTATCACTGTTTCTGATGTCACCATCAGCTTGCTTGCCAATTGGAGGTGGGAAATACGCTCTCTCGTAGCTTTCTTAACATTGACCGCTCATTAGAAGTATGATGGAGTACCCAGGTAAAACTTGCTGCAGGTGAGCCTTGAAATAAGCGGCTGGCGTTACATTGTTCTTGTAAAAAAAAGGTTGCAGAAATATCGGGAATCGGGCTTTTGCCCCAATCCGCTCCGTCTTGGATGGAGAGCCAGATAGGACAGGAACCCTATTCACAGTATGCTTATAGAAAACCTTACGGAGTACAGTGAAGAGCCATCCTAAATATTACGACACTGGAGAGCTCGAAACTTCTTTTAATAAAAAATGCTCCAGGTCTACCGCTATTTACTCTTAGCAACCTTCCCCAATTTTTTTCCAGCCATATATATACCTAAGCTCTTCTCCCAAAATATCCTACTCATGATAGCTACTCACCAGCGTATCGATTGTACGTACAACATCTTGCTGACTTGACTCGGGCGACGCAGCCAGTCTACCTCCTGTTAAATTCTGGGGGCATCAGAAAACTTCTATAGAAAATGATGAGCGGCTCATTGATCCTAGGCTTGCCAGGTTACTTACTCTTGCTCAGCCCGTTTGGAACATGGGAGCAACGAAGCCATAAGGAAACCTTACACAGTGTTTCTTCCTGATTACTTCGTTGACCAGGAATGACATTTTGGGTTAGCGCTGCGGATGCCGGCCTAACCCCTCTGTGGAACTGCAGCGGCATCAAAAAGTTCCAGACGCCATCCGGCAGGGAAAACCCGGTAAGTTTTCGAGATCATGCTTTTCTGTAATCTTTTTCTGCGCCTCAATTGTCCTATGTGGGATTTTTGCATCCGCATCTCATTGGGCGTCGGATCCTAAACTGTCCGACTTTGTTACAGAAGAGTCGCGGACCACTAGCTCCTCCCACTACTGGACTTTTTTGGTCAAGAACGGAATTCGCCATGTGGCGGGAGCATCTGACGAGCAAGCTTCTTTTGACCAGAGCCCACAGCCTCTGTGATCGGGTTTACCGGTATCGCATGTAGATGTGGACGATGTGTTTGCCGTCTCGCACAGAGGCTCAAGAGTGCTGTGTTATGGTCACTCGATGCTGTCAAGGTTGCCGCAATACAGGTCACACGAGCTTGTCGCCCACCATCGAAGCCTTTGGCCACACCCCGGCATTGATGGATAGCGGAGGCTGACTGCACAGCAGCATGGAGGAGTCGTCTTTAAAATGTGGTGCTGAAAATTTCTCCGGCTGTCATTGGCTCAGATATACTCTCCACCATTTCCCCATCGCTGGGCTGTGCACATCGCTCACAATCAGGTTCTCCGACTGATCCGGGCCACCAGAGACCAGCGGCCACAAGGTTCGACAAGAACGCGAGCAAGCGCATGTTTGCTGGAGCCTTGAACCCCTTATCCATCGCTTGGGGCTGGCGAATCAACAATGGGGTCTGTTGTGGATTTGTGGATTTCCTGGGCGCTCATAACAGCACCCAGCTTTGTCTCGGACCGTGTTCGGTACGCCATGGACACGGAAGCTTGCTGCTTTTTTGCAGGAAACATTACGCGGCAGCGCGATCGACTGAACAAGGAGTGTACGTACCGTCTACAGTCGAAATAAACAGCTTCGGGACGGATTGTATAGCACACTCCGGCCGCCATGCGGTCTCAGAATAGGCAACAATCCCAGGGGCAGTGTCAAAAGTGTCTATGCGCTTGGCTGCGACGCGTGAGCCTAGGTTTTGTGGCCCCTGCAAAACTCATTGGATGGTGGCGGGATTTGGGTGGCCAGCCGGCAGCATTGATTCGGCCAAGCCCTGAGATTGGGTGGGCTGTGAGCCAGGACGCGGGTGGGTGGTAAGCTAACAGCGACCGGCCAAGAAGCTAGCCCGCAGGCCAACCGGCAACGTTCTGAACCCGGGTGCTCATTTTTAGCGTGGGCTTCGGCCAACTGGACTCCACAAGCAGCGCCAACTAATACCCAGGGCCCGCCCAGACACGCAAACAGGTCCTGAGCGACTCGGCGATCCGTTCCATCGAGGTGCCTGTTTTCCGGGTCCTCTTTCCGGTCTCTTTCCGGTCTCTTTCCTCCCTCTCGGTGCCCGTTGAAGCCCTTTTACCACACCGGGTCTCACACGTGCGGCAATCTGGAACCTCCCAATTCCTCCTGTCGACAACCGCCCCGCCGTCCCTACTTATTCTTTCCTCCCCTCCACTCCTTCCACACCCAGGATGGCGATCGGCGCCATCTTAGAACCGCTCGTTGTGGTCAGCTTGCTGGCCTTCGGCACGCTCATCAATCGTAACAAATACTACTCGTCCGCGCCGCGGTCCCCGGGTGCGTCCCGGCCGTATCCATGGCAGCACCTCAAGTACAGCTCGGATGGCGAGTACGACGATGTCGAAACGGGCAATCCTCGTGAGGACGAGCGCGTCCCTCTGTCGATGCCCCTGAGCCGGTCTAGCAGCAGCTCTGGCAGGACCCTCGCCGAAGACGACATCTTCAAGCCGGTCTCGCCGTGGCGTCAGCGCAAGCTCAAGTTCATGGGCTGGGAGAAGGAGGTCACATCGCCGAACACCGAAGTCTTCAAGGACCGCCTGCTCAGCCGCCTTCTCCAGAGGTTCCCCTTCTTGGTTGAGGTTTGGTATTGGGCTCTGATCTACTGGGTACGTGAATTGTTTCTCGCGGCATTTTCGCGAGAGTTGGCATGTTCCAAGTCAATGAACGCGTAATTGCTAACCTGTCCCTGCTTCAGGTGTACCAACTTGGCCGCGCCTTCACCGCCTTGACCTTGAAAGCTTCGACCGTTGACACCGCACGCGAGCATGCCCTGCAGGTCATCCACGCCGAACAGCGTCTTGGCATTTTCATTGAGCCTGCCGTTCAGCAATGGTTCCTCCAGAGCCCAACTCTCATGCGCTGGACCAATCGCATCTACTCCTTCATCCACATTCCGGGCACCATTCTGTTCCTCATCGTCCTGTACCATGTTACGACCGCTCGGCCGCGACGCAAGTTACAGGAGGAGCAGGGCTGCCGGTCTACGCTTCCTGACAATTGGCGCGAGCTGGCGCCCCAGTTCGGCCCGGCCGTGTACGAGAGGAGGAGGCGGACCATGGCCATGTGCAACTTGCTGGCATTCATCGTTTTTACCTTCTGGCCGTGCATGCCCCCTCGCCTGCTGAGCGACCCCTCGTACAAGGGCCCACACGCCAAGGAGGCTAAGAGCTTTGGTTTTGTCGACACGGTCCACAGCAATGACGGCGACAGCAGCGTGTGGACTACGAACAGATTCTGTAACCAATATGGTGCGTCTTGCTGTCGCAGGTGTTTTCGATGCGCTTGAAACTTTGGACTGACAGCGCCTTATTTACAGCTGCTATGCCGTCTCTGCACTTCGGTTACTCGTTTCTCGTCGGTCTTACAATCGCCACGGTGCCCCTTCGGAAGCGCGGGCGCTTTGGCTGGCGCCGGCTTGCGATTGTCGCGATCGGCATGGTTTACCCATTTGTTATCTTGTCGGCGATTGTTGCTACAGCGAACCACTTCGTCTTGGACGCCGTCGCCGGTGCTACGGCTTGCATAATTGCGTGGAACTACAATGATCTTCTCCTCAACCTTCTCCCGCTTGAGGATTACTTCCTGGCGCTTGTTCGGATACATAAACCTTAATTGGGTCTCGATATTTTTCTGGACGGATAATTGCACCCGCTGCATGGTAGTAGTAATGCGGTGCTTTAGTTACGCCTCGACAGTTGTTGGTAATACCCATCTAATGAATGCCCTGGGTCCTGGGTTTGGTTTGGAACAGTTGGCTTTCTGCTAGAAGGACGGAAGACAGGGAGTTTCCGAGTTTTGGGCTTGTCACGGTGCAGGGCGGATACCACATGGATAAGCCGCTGGTCAACTGGGGATCGCCGGCAAGCGGAAGAATAGGTAGCGATGCTCAGTACCTAGTGATATATACTTAATTTCCTTAGAAGGGGGCTATCGTAGCGCTATTGCTTCTTCCTCTACTTCCACATGTCTATTCAATTCTGAGAATCACGCCGTCAGAGTCTCAGACCCCAGCTAAACTTGACAGCTGCCTCTTCACCGACAGGACCTCTCCTTTGGTGACCGAAAGTTCCAAACATGGTTGTCCCAGATCTACATGATCCACTTGTTGGGTGAATTTCACGGCAACTCCACTCTCCATGTGGAAGAGAGGGGCTGAGAAGATGAAGGGGTCAAGATCTGATGACTGTCGCAAGCGTTCGTAATCCGCGGTCGGGTCGATCCAGATCGGGCTTGGAGTTTTTTTGGAGTCTGTACGGGGTCGGCGACACGGTCTGGGTCATGTGTTGTTTGGCTAGAGCAAGCGCCCGATAACCCAAGCAAGCTACTTGAAAAATAACAAATACATCTCAACGAGCTCCTTGAAGCATACAATTAATATTCGGGACGCAGCTTACCTACCGTAGGTAAGTAGTCCCGAAGTTTGGGACGGGAAGGATTAAGTTCCAATAATTCGGCAGACTCTGTGGGATTGATTGGAGTCTGGGTCTTCGACAACCCCGTTACGTGGGCTTTGTCATCCATATTAGCACAAAAAGCCATGTCAATTGTATAATGCTAACCTTTGGCGAAGAGCAGCTCCATTCATACCGTGGTACTCAACACTCTGTCACAGCCCAGAGTTGAAGGCATCCGTCTTCATATGCATGCTGGAGAGTTTGCCCAAGTGTGCGTTTTGGCACCCTCGCCACACCAAAAAGCAGGCCCACCAGGTTCCATTGTATTTGATTGGCTGGAACTGGAAGACAAAGTCAGCTTTCGGGAAGCGGGATATGCTAGCTGACATTGCGATCTTGCACATCTGAGCATTTCCCTTAGAGAGGACGCAACGGCTGACCGAGTCAGCGCGACTCTAATCTAATGGAACGCGATGCCACGCTCAACACTCATGTGTCACGTCTGTCATGTATAAATGCCACCAGGAGCCTTTATGGATTTGTGGCGGGCTCTGTACTCAACCATCTCCCACAAGTTGAAGCTTGGAAGTGGTTATCCCGTCGTTATTGGTACAAGTCCCTCCTTGAGAGCTCTCACCATCATCACAACCAGCATTCTGGGGTCCCGCCTAGGCACGCTCTTAAAGTATTCTCAGCATGACAAAATTCACAATTCATGGTCACGTCTGTGGTCTGTATTATGCCTTGCCAGCTCCCAATCCCTGGCATACTCCTCTTCGAGAGTACTTGCCCCAGCTTTCCCTTTCGACTTACACCAAGATCGTATCCTATACCAGTCGGACAACCCTTACGCAAATCTTCGCAAATCCCAAAGACCAGGCGATCCCTGAGCTCCGATACACATTCCCGCTGTATGAGGGGGTCTCGGTTATTGGCTTTGTTTGCACCATCAACGATGACCGGGTCATTCGTGGTGTTGTGAAAGAGCGCTCCGAGGCCAACGCCGTTTATACCGCTGCTGTCAAACGCGGCGAAACAGCAGGTCTTCTGGAACAGCTGCCATCTGCCAGCGATGTCTTCACGACTACCATTGGAAATGTCCCGGCCAAGGCTACGATCAAGGTCGTGATCACTTATCTCGGAGAGCTCAAACATGACGGCGAGGTGGACGGCATCCGGTTCACCATTCCAACTGCCATCGCCCCTCGCTACGGAAGCTACCCCGGCCAAGTCCTTAACGCTCATTTCTTCAATGACAAAGCCGGCATCAGCATTGTTGTTGATGTTGAAATGCCAAATGGTTCCAACATCAAGAACATCCAGTCCCCGTCTCATCCCATCTCAGTCACAGTGGGAAACACTTCGGTTGGAGTAGCCTCTGGCTCCGAAATGTCCTTGCAGAAGGCTTCAGCGACCCTTTCGCTCGCAAAGTCCGAACTGGGCGATGACTTTGTGCTCCAGATCGTGGCTACCAACTCTGGGTACCCCGTAGCTGTCCTTGAGACTCACCCAACAATCCCCAATCACCAAGCCCTAATGGCAACTATTGTCCCAAAGTTTTCCCTGCCTCCTGAGAAGCCTGAGATCGTGTTTGTCTGCGACCGTTCGGGTTCCATGGCGACCATGATTCCGGCACTACAATCTGCTGTCCATATCTTTCTCAAGTCACTCCCTGTCGGGGTGAAGTTCAACATCTGCTCTTTTGGCTCTCACTACGAGTTCCTATTCGAAAAAGGATCACGCACCTATGATGCCTCCACTGTGGCCGAAGCAGTCCGTTATGTGGACAGCTTCCAAGCGAACTTTGGCGGTACCGAGATGTATCAGCCATTGGAGCAGACGTTCAAGAAACGTCTCCCTGGAATCAATCTCGAGGTGTTCTTGTTAACAGATGGTGAAATCTGGAAGCAGTCGGAACTTATCGACATGATTAACCGGTACGTGTCGGAGAGCAACGGCGCTGTTCGCGTCTTCACCCTTGGAATAGGGTCCACGGTTAGCCATGCCCTTGTCGAGGGTGTTGCTGCTGCTGGTAACGGCTTCTCACAAACCGTTGGAGACAACGAAAACATGAACAGCAAAGTCGTTCGGATGTTGAAAGCTTCCTTGACCCCTCATGTAAATGACTACACCATGGAGCTCAAGTATCACACGGAAAGTCAAAGCGAAGTGGATATAGATAGCGATTTCGAGGTTATCGAGAAGGTCATGGACGCTCTCGCTATCGAGGTTGAGGACCCATCCCAAAAGCAACAGAAGCAGGCAGCGCCCAAAAATCCGATTTCTCTCTTCGACCCGTCAGCCGACCCTGATGTTGAGAGAACCGACGCGTCCCTTGATCAGTCAGCGGGCGGCAAGTTCTCCCATATTCCTGCGGTTTCAGAGCCGAAGATTCTCCAGGCCCCGTTCAGGATCCCTCCTCTGTTCCCTTACAGCCGCACCAGCATTTACCTCTTGATTTCTCCTGGCGCGATCGATAGGCGACTGAAGTCTATTATCCTCCGGGGCACTTGCTCGCACGGACCACTGGAACTAGAGGTTCCCGTCACCGTCCTTGAAGATAAAGGTGAGACGATCCATCAACTGGCGGCTCGAAAGGCTGTCAAGGAACTTGAGAATGGATGCGGTTGGCTCTACCATGCCAAAGACTTTAAGGATGGCGGCAAGTTGCTGAAGGAGAAATACCCAGCCCATTTCGACGATATGGTGGAACGCGAAGCCGTGCGGCTTGGTGTCACGTACCAAGTTGGCGGCAAATGGTGTAGCTTCGTCGCTGTCGAGACTAATGGTGTGGCTTATGTTACTCCAGAGGGAGGGTCTACATCCCACACGCTCCCTAGCCACATGCTCGGCAGAAATTATAGTTTTAGCGGCACTGGAGGTTCCATATACCGTAAGTGCAACAGCTCCCACTCACATTCTTCATTCCGTGACCGAGCTGCTAAACCTAGTCTATTAGACCTTTCCATGCCGGTTCATGACAAGTCCGATTCGGACGAGGAAGCAGCCGAGGTAGAAACGTGGGGGCCATCGTGGATGCCAGCGTCGCCACCGCCCCCTCCTGCGCCCGCTCCCATGTCAGGGCCCTTTAGTAAGACCGTTCGCACGGCCAATGCCAATATGAACCGTATGTATCTAGATTGTCCCTTGCCCGACGGTCACAACCAACAAGCTAATCTTACCCAAACAGTTCTATCTCGTGATGGAGGATCTTTGTTTTCACATCCCCCTCCACCTTCGTCCCCATCGGTTCCCTTGGTGACCAGCAATGCTGTGTTTTCACAACAAAGTCAACTCATGGCTGGCCATGGAATGACGGCTCCTACTGGTCCGAGAGGCTTTCCTGTGCTCTCTTCTCGGAGAGCACTCAAGGCTACACAGAGGAGGGCAATGCCCAGCATTCCAAGCGGACTGGCTCTGAGCCGTTGCACACCTCCTGAAAGAGAGGTGAACACTCCAACATCAAGAGTTAGCAGCGATGTGCTGTTTACCTTGGTGAAGAAACAGGATTTTTCTGGCTTCTGGTGCTGGAGCGATGAAGTGCTCGGAATTTTGAGGTTGGACAGCCGGCAGAAGAAGGATGCGACTGCGAAGCTTGGCGGGAAGACCTCTTCGGCTGCTACGGCTCTGGTTTTGGCCTTTCTGCGGGTGAAACTCGCTGACCGGCAGGACGAGTGGGAGATGGTTGATGAAAAAGCACGCTCTTGGCTTGAAAGTCAGCCAGAGGTTATCAGCCTGGGAGGACTGGAGGTTTTCTTGGAGAAAGCAAAGGAGATCATGCTTCATCTTTAAATTTGGAGATATGTTGTGGAGGCAAATGCAGGATATTTTGAATCATTGCTCAAGTTATGAGGAGTAGCCTGTCAATTCCTGGTAGTCAAATAGAATGCTGTGATGAATTGACCATCGATCATTGTTCAGCTTACTTTGTCTCCTGATTTTCACAGACATCTTGAGGCCCCTCTCACGCATTTCCTAGACAGTCAACCAAAGCCTTTTCTCTAGACATCTGGGTCCACAAGAACTGAGACACAAAACCAAATAAAGCTTATGAATGTCACATTTGTTGACGCAAGTTGATCTTCCTCAAGTGGGTCATGCGGCATATTTAGAGGTCCCGTGGGTGACGGACTTCTTAACTGAAGCCATTAGGATGTAAGGATTGTGAGAACATTGCATCTACTTAACCTTGTTATGACTGAGTTGCACAGGCAATAGCTATTATGATATGTTAATGCTTACTCAGAATATTTTGTCAGTATTCACATTCTTCCCAACAACGCATGACACTCATCAGCAACAGATTTTCAGTACAACTGAGTATATCACCTGATTACCCAGCCAACAAATATTGGGCTAACTTAGAAAACAAAGCTTGAACTGAGGTCGAAAGTTGAGTGTAAGTTGGTTTTGAACCATGCAACTAACCTCAATGGTATGCGCAATAGCCAGTAGCATTGTATCACAGTTTGGCTAGATATATTGGCCGAACAATGGCAACCCGCATGCTTGATGCTCTAACATTATCTTACTTGTCCCACACTTGTGTCTTAATTCCCATATTTACCGTTCTTTCTTGAATCCAAGGAGTCAAAGAAGCTGATGCTTGGCTTCCACAACAGCTCAACTCCGTTCACCACGTTGCGAAGGTCACACGCCACGAGGTCGCACCAAATGACTGAACTGTACCACAATTTCATCCCCATTCTGTTCACTCAGCCATGTGGCCATTGAATGCCAATCTTGGCAACAATGCGGTGAAGAATTTGATCCTTCTATCATGTTTCTCACTATTTGAGCCCGGGAAGTTGCGGTAGGCTTCCACGAGTTTACCCAAGATGGCTCGACGCTGCGGCACTTACGTCCCTCAACAGATTCCTTCCTATGTTGGACTCCGCTCAATGACATCTAAAACACTGATGATACACTGATACCGGCTCGTTTACCGCCGATCAGTGCCGTCATTGCTTGGTTTTTTTAGTTTGGGGCGGGGGAGGGGGCTTAAATACAGCTGAGGCCCTTCGAAGAGAGGATGTTGAGGTGAAATGCTAAGAGGACCAAGCGCAGTCCAAGTTTTTTGCGAACAATCAAACTTTTCATTTTGATCAAGTAAAACAGCGCTAACAGCTCCATATAACTTTCTATTTTCTGGCTTTTAGGGCCTTTCCCCCTCCCTCAATATCCGTCATATCAGAATTGGGAACTGCTTTGCCCTTGATTCTGTTCCTCGAGGTCCTACATACACTGCCTTCGTTAGTTTGCATTCTGCAAGCTGTACAAGATGCTATCCCTACAACTCGTTCTTATATATTCCTTGCTCTCATGTCTTTCATGGGCTGCTGAGCCATATCAACTACTCGCCCCGCCTCTAGATACCCCATGGACCTCCAAGATCAGAACATCGCAACCATGGATGGAGTACCCGCGCCCGCACTTACGCAGAACTACATGGCAATCCCTCAACGGAATCTGGACATATCAGCCAGCTAAGGGTCCAGATGCCATCAACGCGCTTCCTCAGCTCCCTCTGGCCAAGGAGGTTCGCATTCCCTCCTGTATTGAGAGTGGCATTTCTGGCATTATGACCATGGGAGTAACTCACATGTGGTTCGGCACGACTTTCACCATTCCTCCTCATTGGAAAGATGGTCGCCGAGTCTTGCTAAACTTCGAGGCCGTCGACTATGAAGCTACTGTATACGTCAACGGGGCCAACGTTGGCTTCAATCGTGGAGGTTTTTCTCATTTTACTTTGGACATCACGAAGCATGTTGTTCCAAACAAGATCAACCAGCTGTAGGTGTCTTAAACCTTCCAAAGCCAACAAGGACAACTTCTAACTACCTTTTAAGACATGTATTCGTCTTTGATCCAACAGATGATCAAAGCATCCCCCAGGGGAAACAAACGAAACGATTGTCGCATATCTTCTACACCCCTTGCACTGGCATTTGGCAGACAGTATGGCTTGAGACCGTGCCAAAGAACTACGTCACCGGTCTTGACCTCAGTGCTGATATGAATGGGATTGGTAACAAACCAGCGCTACCAACTTTGGAGACTAGCCCTGCTGACTAGGATTCAGTGACTGGCATCGTTTACTCTCACAACAACTCCTCTACTCCCATTGAGATCTCGGTCACGAACTCAAAGGGAGATATTGTAGCCATCCACAGGCATGTCTCGGACCAGCTTTTCAAGTTCACCGTTGCGTCGCCCCAGCTGTGGTCTCCCGAGTCACCGACCTTGTACAATATTGCTGTGACCATGGGTTCGGACAGGGTTGAGAGTTACACGGGCTTCCGTACCATCTCGACCGGCGTGGTGAATGGAGTCAAGAGACCGTTGCTCAACGGCAAATTTGTTTTTTTGTTCGGCCCGCTCGACCAGGGCTACTGGCCCGATGGCATCTACACGCCGCCGACCTACGAAGCAATGATCTATGACCTCCAGGTCATCAAGCGACTGGGCATGAACCTGGTCCGGAAGCATGTAAGACGATATTATGTTATTCACTAAGAACGTCTTGACTCATTGATGTCGCAGATCAAAGTTGAGCCTGCTCTCTTCTACCATGCTTGCGATGTCCTCGGGCTTCTTGTTATGCAGGATATGCCCTCTATGAGGGTGTACACGAATGCCCGTCCCACGAATTCTGAGCAAGCCGAGTTCGAACGTCAGCTAGAAGTTATGGTTAATCAGCATAAGAACTACCCCAGCATCTTCACTTGGGTTATCTACAACGAGGGCTGGGGTCAGATTACGGACTATCATCCAGAGTTTCACCTCACAGACCGTATCCGCCAACTTGATCCGACGCGTCTGATCAACAGCGTAACCGGCTGGCATGATCATGGGGCTGGTGACTACCATGTAAGCTCAGGAATCACCATTATCGGCAACGTTTACCTGTGCTGACCTTCTCTGCAGGACAACCACCACTACGCCGAGCCTCAATGCGGCACACCATTCCACTCCCTTCCCTCAACGCCATACGACCCTAAGCGAATAGGCTTTCAGGGAGAATTCGGCGGTATCGGCCATCGCCCAGCCGATGCTAAGTACGTCATCTCAAAGAGACCTCCCGTTTCTCCTTTCGACAAGGAATGCTAACCCTAGGTCCAAAACCAACCAGCCTGTGGCCCATCCCGGACGCGGTCAACACCATCAACCAAACATATGAGCTGCATGGAACGATCGAGTCCTATCACTACCGCGCACACGTGCTTCTGGAGCTACTGCGGCAACAAGTCGAACAGTATGCGTGCAGTGGGGCCGTCTATACACAAACGACCGACGTCGAGGGTGAGGTCAACGGGCTGCTGACGTATGACCGGCGTGTGCTGCGCATCAATGAGACGCAGTGGAAGGAAGACATCAAGGCGTTGTATGCTGCTGCTAAGAAGAGGGCGTCGTGAAGTCGAGTGTTGTAATATTTTCTTGGGGAGGGGGGTATAGACTAACTCAGCTGGGAAGGAGGAATAGCGATGATCTTACTGATTGGAGGTGGTTCAACGCAACAGAGCATTTCCCTGAAAGCAGTGCCTGGTACATACGCAATGGTTTATCTGGCATCATCTTTCAATATTATAAAAGTGCTTATTGGTCAGAAAGTATCTGAATGAAATCGATAATTCGTTCGGACGGCTTACCTCAGCATTGCTCTTTCAAGCCTCGTCCAAGCTGTTTGATTCCATTGCTTTTGGGCTCGCCGGCGTGGGCAGAGAGGGTTAAGCGGGGCAAGGCGCGCCTCAGCTGGAGGGTCAGAGCCCGGGAACCGGGCGGCCCCGCGATAAGCGCGTGTTACTGAAGGCAGCCCCTCTCCAAGGCTCAGGGCGCACAAATTGTGGGGTTCAAACGCGCTGCCCAGCCAGGGACCCGCGTTGTCGACGCGTTGCCTGAGCTCTGGCCATCCGAACTTTTCTCCTAAGTGTTTGTCGATGACAATTCTCCGAGACAATGTCCCCGTGTGACAACCATCCATTCCTACTCTCTAAACAGTTCCTTAGGAGGTTTCCATAGCAATATCACAGTGACTGAACATCGAGAGGATCGAAGTGAAAAGGACGCTCAAGTCGGGTGCCACGTACAATTCAATGGGAGGGGAAGAAGCCTGCTCCCGCCTTGCAGTCGGTAGAACTGGACATCACCGGTGCAATCACAACACCATGCAGTGCCCTCCATGCCCTGCAGTTTTTCCTGCAAGTGAGACTGGTCCAGTTTTGTCTGACCACAAGAGTTTGCGTCTATAGCTTGGATTGTTTGCACGCTTGGACTCCATGCATCTTTCCACCACCTCGCTGCCGCATCATAGACACAAATCAACAGGACAACCGAATCCTCCTCCTCCTTTCCTTCCCCCATGCAACGCAACCAATTCCCAAATGCAGTGGACTGGATAGCGTGCATCTTCCCTCCCAAAATTACGATGTTTGCTGCGAGATGTTACTTTTGACCAAAATAGCAATAACGGAAGCTGCTGCGCTGCTCTGTTGAACTCCCGTAATGCAACAGGTAGGGAAGCAAGCTGGCAACGGTGTCGGTTGAAAGCATCAGGAGCGTTCGTTATGGTAATGAGCAAACGATGCAACAAAAGTGGTACAATTCTGTTGATGCCACTGTAACCAGCCGATGGAAAGTCAGCATCCTCTGTGGCGCAATTGGCTAGCGCGTCTGACTGTTAATCAGGAGGTTGGAAGTTCGAGCCTTCCCGGAGGAGTCAATCGCTATTATTTGTCTTTTGCTGTTATCCACTATATTTTTTTGGGACGCAAAGCACATACGTTCGGCCGTTTGGTGAACCCTAAGCGTCACAGCTTGGTCGTGAGAGAGGAGTATACCATTATCCTGGCGCCAGGTCGATGCTGCCACTCTGAAAGTGCGAACCAGCACACCAATGTATCCATAGCCGAGCAACTGGGGAAAAGAAAAAAAAATACAGATGCATTGAGAACTGCCTGTCTAACCTTTACTCGACTAAGCTGTTCCCTCGCTGACGCCAACCACAAACCTTCGCAAAATAAGAACAATGCCAATTCCAATACCGTGCGCGTCTGGTCTATCTCTCCAGGTATCCTCCAGACTCGATTAAGAAACAACCAATGGCTCGGAATCACAAAACCGCCGGGGCTCGCAAGGAGATGATGGGGGAACTTGTCCTCTAGTAGTACTTGCGGCCATCATCAGGAATGCGCAAACCGTCGACGGCACGGCCTTTGGGAGTGTTGCCGCAAAGCTCGTCAAATCGGGAGCCATAGACGCGGTCCCAATAGCGAACAATCGCGTCAAGATCGTCCTTCGTGTAGACTCCGCGCTCTTCGGGCCAGTCGTAGATAGTGTCTTTCATTGCGTTGGTGCAATGGGGATTGGCCCCGTTCTCGACGAGAGTCTTGAAAACGTTCCAATGACCGTAGCGGAGGGCTAGCAGCACGGGATACTCGTTGTAGTGAGCAGTGGGAGTGCTGAAGTATCTAACACGGGCAGCATCAGAGCCCAGGTTCTTGGCTAGATGCTCGACGGCAGCTATACACGAAGCGACTAGTGAGTATATGGTGATTCAAACACAAGACAACATGAGCCATCCTTACCGATGTCACCCGCCTTCGCTGCTCTATGGGCAGCAGTGGGCTCAATCGCGGCCCGGATAGGAGCATCTTCGGGCTCGTGCTCAGAATCGTCACTGCTGGAGGTAGATTCTTTATCTGGATAAGTTACCACCTGGGGCTCAGGAATCGCGTAGAAGAAGTCCGGAACATTGGGCTTGCGCTTCGGAGCAATATCAAGCAGGGTTGGATCAATAAGCTTGATGCGATCAGCGCGCCTTTTCTCAGTAGGAGCCATCTTGATGAACTAATAATTGGGGGTCAGAGTTGTTGGAAGAAAGCTATGAAAGTTGCGAATCTTGGAGTGAGAACTCACATCTTTTTGAGGAGCAGACAATGACGAAGTGTTGGCCATGATGAGTTTTGTTGTGAAGGGAAAGTATGTATGGGTATCTGGAGTGTCTGATTGAGGAAAGCTCGATTCCGATTGTCGGGAAAGAAAGGAAGGGAGCGGTCGTTTATATAATAGTGATCAGGATGGGTATGGGAAATCAGGCTGGTCATTAACCAACAGTCATTTGCAACTGCAATCACATGGAAGCCGTCAATATTTTTCAGGTTAACATGAATATCGAAAATCCAGGCGCATCACAAAATTAGCCCAACGAACGGGCTTGAGCCAGCAAGCTCAGCCCACATGGAAGCGGCAACCAGCTCGCCACCCCAGCTATTTGTGATGCGATGGATGGCTCCAAGAGTTTGGACAAGACTCGCTTACGTCTATATGTACACAGATTTCAAATAAGCCGAAATCTACGTGTAACACAGCGTCATAGGCGCTTAGACCCTGCATATCAAAAAGACGTTAAGTGCTGGGAGTGGATGGTAATGGGTACCGGGTTCCCAAAGGAAAGATAAATGGCAGCATTAATTCAATGTTGCCATTTACCTACTGTAAGTGTCACATTCTGGAGAATCCTCCGGGATCTATCACCACAACTGAGCAGGTTTCACCGATCCGGGCAGTGTGGCTTGTGAAGATAAGATGTATGTGCCACTGTTTAATTCTGATTCTGGTCTCTGTGGCAATGATGATGGATACTCCACCCCCAAATGAAGGCACAATTAAACAACTATTCCATTGAGAGAGCAGCTAGGAAGCTCCGAAATTGATCACTTGCTCTAGATGCCAAAGGTAGCTACTGGCAGGTTGCTGGTAGCAGGAGCAGCATCCAAAGTGAATGCCCTCGCTCTCTACATGCAGGGGCAACCTAATATTCTTGTGTTTTCCAGCAGCAGCGCCCGAGACAGTTGGCTTCGAGTGGGACCTGTACAGTCGAATTGTGAACCTCACATGCAAAATTATGTGAAGTTTCACATGATCGCTGCCTGGACAACCATTTCTCCAACATCTTACCTACGAACATTTCCTTGGCTGTGACGTCATTCGATGTCCCAGCTAAGAGCAAGTGACGTCACTATCCTCGACGCATCAAACACAGGTATAAGAACCTGGTGTCCCAATGTCCCAGGTTTGAACTGGGTATTGACTGTTATTCATACCGGGTGCTAGTATCATTTGAGCTGGTTTCATCAAATTGAATTCCAAATTGGTTATTACCCCCTGAGCTTCGAGTTCACGCTACAGTAAAAACATGCAATGTTTTAAAGTCGCCCTGTTTTTTGGAAAGTCAAAGTGACACAAGACGACCAAGCCCAAAATATATCCTTCACTAATGATTATTTTCCGCAGCAATTTCATGGCTCATTTTCCACATCGGTCTGTTTGCTCTTTTAGAGATATACTGCTCGATCATGGGGTTCGCGATGCTTTCCCACATCTCGATATCCTTCAAGCCGAGCAAATATCGAGGATTGTTCTTCGTACAAGGGTATGGTGTCTACAATCACAATACCTATATATGTCTGGACAAGCAGAGGACAAACATGTGATCATACGCTTGCGTAATTTCAGCGTGATTTCAAATGCCTATGGGACACGAGCATCCTAATCACTTACCAGGGAAACGGACGAGGTGGAAACCCGTCGGATTAAAAGGGACTACATCACTTGCTAACACATTTTAGAACTACCGCAAGGTTGTGTGAATCTGATAATGTTTGTACAGAGGTAATTGTGAGCAAAAATCCGATCATACCTAGACTGTCCAAAATATTGTTCAGCAACTGGGTAGTTATCATGCAGGCCGATTGCAAGAAGTCGATCACCCTATGTTTCCTTTATAAGGTAGTCATTCTTTCCTTCATTACTCCTCATCGAATGGTGCAGCACTAGTGACTTCCTATCTTGACAGCATTGATACCTTCGAGACCCCTAACATGGCAATACGCACTCACAAGTGGAAGCCGTCGAAGCCTACCGTCCCCGACTCCAATTTCCAAAAGGAACTGCAGCATTATGCCCCGAGATTGGGTATGGCTTTCCCATTCGAGAGAAACTTGATGCGGAAACCCAGATATGACGCTATTGTCGCATGGGCGCTCCAGAGGGAACCGAGTTTCACTGCCTGGACGTCTTCGGCACTTGACTTTCGGTTCTGCCGCCTGTTTGAAGGGGCTGGCCTTTTCTGAAGGACGCTCCCAACGGTGCGTTCGAGATCGGCAGCTGAGAGCTCGCCTTGGTAGCCCAACGGCGGCCCGAAGTTGCTGCCTGGGCAGGAGGATTCCAAGATACATCTTTATCAATCTCTTTTGGACCCTCCACAAAGCTCGCTTGGACTGGCGTCGGACCCGGCATCCGGCCTATACGCATCTCTCCGTGAGCAAGACGGCTAAGGCCATTGACACTTTTGAACTACTCCGAGAGTGTAGATGGTATGCCTCATCCCCAGGGCCAAAAAAGCTGAATTTATTGTCTTGATATGATTGGTTGACTAAAACAGCGATATTTCCTTCATTCATCCTTCCGCCGTTGTTGTCGACTCCGGACTTGACCTTGGCCAGGCCAACGCCGCGCCCTCCGTTCCCTCAACAAACGTAGATCGCGAGGTGCTTGCTGAAGGCGGGAGAGTTGATTCCAGTCGGGTCGAAAATATCACCTACATTCTGCGAACAATGCAGCTCGAGGATGCTGACCAATTCATGGCTGTAAGCGTCCCGGTGTCACATCCCAAAGAGACGATGGGCAATGATCCTGGCGTCGAGTGAACTCGTCTGTTGGTCGTCAGTCCACTCCGACTTTCTACACCAGTCATACTGATCAGGCGTTCTGGACTAGATAAGGATGCCCAAATTATTGGATAAGCATAGTTGCCGTAGTTTGGTTGCACATAATGATACTTCATGTTCTTAGCTGCAGACTTGCCAAGTGTTTCTACTCGGAGTAATCCATCATCGAGGGACTATCAGCTTGTGTCTAATTTGTAGCACACAGAAGGATATCGTATGAGAACTTGAGCCACATAGCCACATAGGTCGATACATTATGAACTTTCCTACAGAAGATGCACAAAGCCTTTTCTTTTTTAAAAGGGGATTAGAGTTGTTTGGAATTTTCCTGGTTCGGGATAGTGCAAAGACTCTTGGGAATGGATCCGTACGGCAACGGCACAGTCAAGGATATGAGCTCCACACCAGAAGTTTTTGGGTCACGAATAGCGATGTCGAACTTGGCCAAAATCCGTTGCTCAGTCTTGACTGCCACGTCTCGCGCACGTGGTTTGATACGAACGGGGACCTGATGTGCGTCAGCACACAGCAGCGGCTGGCATTCAGCCACGAGATCCCTGGCAGCCTCAAAGAACAGGGGGAGCGAGCGAAGTGGACCAATGCCTGTAAGGCGGGCGGTCCTATCAAAACTGGACGCCTCAGACCATCCGCCATTATCTCCAACAGCCCATTAAGGCTCGCTGGGCAACGGGCAGCCCAAGCCTGTCATCATCAGCCTGGGGAAGAACTGCTGCGCCCGCTGGCGGCTGCACCACAATGCAAAAGGAAGGGGACGCGTCCCCGCGGCGTTTGGGAGCGTCGCCCAGCAGAGGGCTTGGCTTCTCCGAAAAGGGAAGGGCCCCGGTCCTCCTCCCCCTCCGCACCAAGCGTCGACCATTCACCGAGGTGGCAGGCGTCTTGGGCGATCAGTCCACGAACCTGAAGGGAAGCCTAGTGGGCGTGCTGGGCTGTCGGGCGTGTTTCCGTGGGTCGTGGACCGCAACGCGCAACGATTCGCTGGAGGGCTACCCAGTCGGGGGTGGGCTGAAGCAGCGAACGAGGAGCGACTGGATGGCGCCGTTTTCTTCTCCAGGTTCGTCTGCGAATTCCTAAAACAGACCTCCGGCTGCAAATTTGCACTGCACACACTAAGAGTGTACAGGTTGCGCTGTTGCTTTAGCCCTTGACGTCCACAGCCCACAGGTCTCCGTTCGTCCATTCGATCCAGGCGAAGCGTTGAAGACAGCGGCGAAGAAGATGGTTTGACGGTGTCGCTTTTGAGCTTTACATGTATCAGTCCCCGTGATTGCTGCTCGACGTCCACGGGTCCTCTGCAAACGTGCTGCCGGCGCCCAGTTGACTCGAACGGCTCGTCAATCGTTTTTGTGGGTTCTTGCGTCTTACTACCCCACACCGAGCTCCCGCTGGCGGCGACACAAGCGCACGACGACTCGACGACGGTTATCGCGGCCTCGGGCCTGATACGCGCGAATCCCGAATCATGGGTAAGGGCTACCAACACAGACATAGGATGAACGGGCACCGCTTGATGGAAATTTGCATCGGCATCTGCCCTTGCTCTCAACGTCGATGTCGACGCCGACTCGCACTCGGAGCGCTGATCCCGATGGTCGTGGCGAAGGGTGGATTGTGGACCCCGGATCAACGGTCGGCTGTCATGGATGGACCCAGCTTTAGGACTTCCAGTGTGGTGTGTGTGTGTGTGTGCTGACCGTGCGCTTCTCTCTAGATACAACATATCAAACTGTCGTTCCCGAAGACTCTGGTGTGAGCACTGCCGGCAATGTCTCCGTTGAGTCCCTTGGCGGTTTCGGCACGGTTGCAGGCGTGAAGAATGCCATTCCCTTGACTGGTTCCGGGGCTCCTTCCCTCACGGACCCGATGGAGCTCGATATCGACATCGACACCATCTCGTGGGCTGGAGATCTTGACTTCACTGTCCGTCGTCTCGAACCAGATCACCTCGATCTGAGCATTGGTGTGCAGAATACCAATCAGCCCTCCAACCCCCCTGCCGACGTTCTCTTCGCAGAAGATGAAAGCGTTCTACCCTCTTCGGCCGCGTCCTCTACTTCATTCGATGGACAGCGACGCACAGCCCCGTCTTCTGGGTCTCAGCTGATCCCGGCACCCACCTCTCTGCTGCAGACACAGTCATTCCCTGTCTCAACTCCTGGGATGAACGCAGCTGATCCTCGGCAACTGGACAAAACCCTCTACAACTATGGCCTGGCAAGTGAGAGGCTGCGTAGGCAGTTATCGCTGCTGTCCAAGGGCTGGGCTGGTGATGAGATTCGTTTCAAGAATTGTGACCCCACCAAGGCAGTCATCCTCCACCAGTTTGCGATCGAGCTGGGCCTGGGCTATAATCACGATGTGAGGACTCGTGAAGTGTCGATGTCACGTCTCGACCCCGTTACCCCCGCATCTAACCCACAAACCTCTGCTCGCCGCCCGTCCTCTTCGATGCCACGATCATCTACCGAGCTGGACTCCGCGCTGTGCTTGCCGACTCTTCCAGTATTTCAAGGGACCGTGTTTGCTGAAGCAGCCACCCCGTTTCTTGCTCGCCACGACAGTAATTCCAGTCAACAGCCTCAATCAGCCTCACAATCTGTGACAGCGAAGGATCAAAACTTAGCTCGAAATCCTAGTCGGAGCGAGCGGTTGAATGACTCGATCAGCAAACAGCTCTCGACAATCAAGACCTCAATTTCCAAAGGTGGTCGGCGGGGTCCTCTCAGTGAAAGTGGGCGCCGGGATATGCGAGCTTTGGAAAGTGCTGGCGGTGCTTGTTGGAGGTGTAAGGTTCTTCGACGTAAAGTAAGCAAGCCCCAACCCCCATTAAGGTCGTCCCTCTGTGGTTTCTAACCGGCGTTGTGAAGTGCGACCCGGGAACCCCATGCAGGTACTGCTTGCAGGCCGTCCCGATGCCGCATCTTGGTGACGATGCTCCTTTATGGCCGTTGATTGGGTGCCGACGTGGTCCTCTGCGCGACTCAATCCCACCACAACTACCATGCCCTTGGTCTAGACGCCCTCAAGGCTTTGGAACAGAAGGCCAGTCAATTCCAGCTCGGCGATGCCTCTCTGTCGATGTTGCTGAGCGCTGTTTGCTGTCTGCCGAGAGCCAAAGGCTGGCTGACATGAAGGCGGTTTTCGAAGGCGCCTCATACAAGCTCTCTATCAGTGATGCAAAACACCGGGCTTATTTTGTAGCCTTTATTGAAGCTGGCAGATATCGTGACCACGAGTCTCTCCACACAAGCTATTCTGTTAGCGGCAAGACTTATACGTACACCGAATTGATAGCCATAATCGCCTGGGAGCTCGCAGAGAACCATGGTTTGTTATCTTTGTTGGAGATTAAGGAATGGAACAATTTTATGAATATGATCGAGACTGCTTGCATCTATGAATCCGAGATTGGCCAGGTATGTTAGCTCAGCCATGCTTTGTTGAACGACTTGTTCTGGCTAACAACTTTCCTAGACCTCGCTGGTCATTCTTTCAGTAATCTGCCTAAGACATTGCCTCGAAGCCCTGCGACTTCACTCAGCCCAGTTGCTCACCCCGAGTGCTCATGAGGATTGCTGCGGAGGGCGTTGTCAAGTCGAGTGCATCCAAAACCTCACGACTCGAATCGCAGCCTACATCGATGAGCTGTCTGCAGTGATCTTCAATAAGGAGAACATGCGCGATAGAAGATGGTGGCTATCGACTTTTTACAGCCTTTACATCCAGAGTTATGTACGGCATGCTTTGATTGCCATCGAAAAAATTCTCCGATTTCGAGTTCTCGACGACGCTCCTACTGAAGACCTCGCAGCCACTCAATATCTTCACCTCCCCACAATCCTATTTACCGCAGCGTCTGCCAAATATGACCCTCTCTTTGATGGGCGACTTCAGTATGCCTTGACCGATAATTCAGTCATTCCCGAAACCACACTTCCCGCAACTCATCAGTCTTCTGCACGGGCTGTGTGTGAGGTAGACAAGTGGCCAGAAGCCGGTATCCAGACGCCGTATCAGTTCCTCAGACGACTTCTCCAAATTGGGTCGCTTGACTTCTTTGATTCGTCTCGTGCCACCTTCACCACATCTGGGTCGAGATCTCCTTTGACACTTGACACTTCGCTCGCTACACCCGGAATGAGCAAGTCACCGAGTTTCTGCAGCCCTACTGAAATGTCAATAGATACTTCGCTTTCACCACGGCCGTTCCGCCGCGGACATAACAAGAGAGACTCGGTCGACAGTCGTTGGTCTGCGCAGCCATCCACGATTTTCTCCAGCCACAATCCAAGCCAAGACAGTCTGGCACGAACTATGTCAACCGATATGACCAGTCTTTATGAGCACTCTATCTTTGCTAATGTATCTCGTCCTGATAAGGTGGGCGATATAGATACTGAGATGTGCCTGGATGCCGGGATCATCAATCCGGCCGCGCTGTTTTCACCCAGCCAAGGGCTGTTATTACAACGGTCTTTGGAGCAAATCTCGACTGCGAGCCAACTCGGTGAGGTTACCAGCCAGCCAGCCAGCGTCGAGGCAGCCTTTGTATGCAGCTGTTGTCCAAGGAATCCACGACGTTTCCATACGGCAGAAGAGCTAGCGTATGTTGTGATTGAACCTACTTCTTTCCCTTGAGCTGACAACATCGCTGACTCATTTCACTCTGCAGACAACACGAAGCTGAAAAGCCTCACCCGTGCACCCAATGTAAGAAGCGTTTCAAGTCTCCAACAGAGGCGGAACGTCACATCAATGCTATCCATCTCAAGTCCGATTCTTGGTCTTGCAAGGCGCTCGAGAACTGTCTTCTTGCTTTCCAATCGGAGACCTTCAATGGTGTGGTCTGGGACGTATGTGGCTTCTGTGGTGGTGGATTTGCTCGAAATCATAGCAAAGGCAATAGTGATGAGAATGGTGTTATTGGGGGTGATAGTAATGAGGCCACACCCGAGCATAAGGCGGAGCTGGTTTCACATCTAGAGTCGGTGCACAAAATTGGCGAGTGCGACCGCAACAAAAAGTTTTATCGTGCCGACAACTTCCGTCAGCACCTGAAGAACACACATGTGGCCAAGCCTGGGAAGTGGCTAAAGACATTGGAGAGGGTGTGTAGGACAACGAGGGAAGAGGAACCATCTGCGTAATGATCTTGGTGTCTGTTGGGAAGGGGGTTTGTTGTATATGGCATGGTACTATAGAGGGAAGGGAAGGGCCTGAGGGATGCTGGGTTCACGGGTTTTGGGTTATTTTATTGGGTAATCGTCCAACGAGAGAGCTCTGCCATTTTTTTCGGGCTATCGTGATCTTAGGTAATGGGATCGGGTTGTTTGCATACTTAGGATAGGTTACGGTTGGATAAAAATTGAGTGATGTAATGGTAGGGACTCTGCCAGGTTACCACACAGCTTTGAGGATACACCATTCTCCTGTCCAACGCTCTGTTATATTGCACTAGTGGCCATCAAGCTAGGGTTTCTGTCCACAACCTCAATGATTGAAAAGGCGTAAAGCCCTTATAGTGTCATGACTGGTCACTTATCACTGTTCTATTTCCGAATCATGCAGTGAAAAGTCAAGCTGATTGGTGCTATGTACCTTAAAAGTGGAAATATGTACTGATGGAAGTTGGATCAAACCCCGAACTTAGACACTTTTTCTGAGGGCATTCGTTTTCTCCCCAGAATGCTCCGACGACAAAACTTCCCCCATATCTTCCTCTGATCTAAGGCTTTAGATGCACTGATGATACCAGTCATTAATCTTCGTGCAAGTCGACCCCGCGCATTCAGTGCAACCCGTGTACCCAATGCCGCCGCACTGGCCCCACTTTGCAACAGGCGTGCAGACCGGCCGGGTACTGCTCGTCGTCGTGGTGACCGGGGACTTGGTCGTCGACGTGATCAGGGTTGTAGTCACAGGCAAGTTGGGGCTGTTTGAGCTGGTGGTTGGGTTGCTCGGGTTGGAGGGGTTGCTGGGAGAGGACGGGACCGGGCCGTTGTAGTTGCAGGAGAAGATTTCCGGGCCGGGGACGGTGTAGTTCTTGAAGTTGGTGTAGATCTGGGGAAGGGGGTTGAAGTTAGTCTACCTATGAGGAGAAATGGGCCTTTTGATAAAGGGGCGAGGGCGGCAGGATGGCTTACGTTGACGGTATAGCCGGGATCGGTTTCCTTGAAGGCTCCTGGAATAAGAACCTGGGGACCAGGAGTGCCGTTGCCGCCGCCTGTCACGGTGATTTGAGCACAGGAGATATAGAACTGGGGAATGCCCGCAGGCCAGGGGTTGTGGATGCCTAAGGACTGGATGCGCAACAGGTAGTCACCGTCGGGGATGCAGGAAGGGATGGTGCCCGAGTAGTTGTCTGGTGATGGAAAACTGGGTTTAGAATCACCAGCTTGACAGAAGAGGCTGGGAAACGCTGGAGGGAAACGAACCAGTCAGAGGCCAGGTTGCAGAACCGCCGTTGAAGGTCGGGCCTGAAGATAGGTTAGCAAAAACTGAGTTCCTCGAACCTAGAGAGCTGGATTAAGCATACCCCAATCCTTGATCTTAAACCAGCCACCGCTGCCGTCGTAGTCTGAGGCCTTCCCAGGAGCCTTAGACATGTATCTAGAAAGAATTAGCACAACTCTATAGTGCCTTTCTCCGTCTCTATCTGCAGGACTTACACCGAGATCGGGCCCTGGTGATAGACAGGGGTGTCGGTATAGAAAGTGAAAGTGTCACCAGCCCGGACAGTGATGGTCTCGGTGTCCGCGCCGCTCGCACCAACGTTGCACCTCAGGTCATTGGAGTCGAGGTCGATGACTGGATGGTTAAGGTTGGTGTTCTTGCGGATGTACTTGTAGACAGGATATTTGTTGCCGTTGATGGCGAGCTGCTGGAAGATGTAGTGGGCCGAGACGTCGCTGATGGCCAGCGACAGGGCGGCAGCACTCAGGAGCTTCTTCATCGTAATCTTTTTCGCTTACACTGAGCCGATTTGGCGACAGTTTGGACACTGGGTATTGGGCAGAGAGGTGTCAGAGCCCAAGCGAGAGACCGGCAGGCATATATGGAGCAAACATATATGTGTTCTCTGCTTGAGAGCTAGCACCGAATCACGGAGGTATAGGCCATCCATCACCATATCGGGGCCGATACTCAATAAACAACATTCCATCTCCGGAATCTGGCTCTACTTGAGGTGGCATTGACAATCGTAACAACGTTCAGCGTAAACGACCTTCCCCACGCGCCAACATGCGAGGTCACTTGGGCGTCAAATTCTGGAAACAACGGACAGCAGCCGTCCGGGTACTCAAATCGGAATGGAGGAGATGGTTCTGTCGGCCAATTGGGCTGGGGATAGCAGACGAAAGCAATTTAGCCGCCAAGAAGGGTTGTGTTTCATGCACCCCACAACCGGGTAACCTGGTGAAGCCTGAGCCGACGTCACAATGTCCCACGCCTGATCTTGTGCAGAGTCCCGAGGTATGTGTCATGCTGGCTAATAAGTGATTTCGGATCCGCAGGCCGTTATGGATGGCATACAGCAGTAGTATGCGGGTGTGCGGTATTTCATATATTAGGTATGTCCAAGGCACAATGATGACTACATGGTGTTAATAAGCTTTCCAGATGGTAGCCTCTTCTGAAACAAGCTTTATTGCCAATCTCCCGCGGGCTCATCATTTTGACCCTATAAAACTATAAAGATCAAAAAAGAGCAAGAGCCCCGATTCAGATCAATTTTTTTAAAAAAAATTAAAAACATTGAAACCAACTTTCGTCACTCCACAGCCCCGAACCATATCACCCCCTATGTCCTTATCTTCTCATCCTCCATTCCCCCTCTTCCCTCCCCATCAGTCATCCTCCCCTGACCTCTGCACCAGCCACCATAATTCACAAAAGCTGGGCCTTTATCTAACGGGCACCAACGTTCCTCCTAGGACGGACCCAAAGGCAGAGATGGCGGCCGATAGGTCAACCAAGTACCTCCTCACTTTATCTCCACGACTTGGTCAGCCGACTCGTCCTCTGAAGTGTCAACAGAAGGCATGCCAGGCGGGAAGCGCTGGCAGCGCTGGCAGCGGTACCTCCCGAATGAGGAGCACCGGTAGGGATGGAATGCAGCCCAAGCTTTGCGAAAGCGTAAGCCAGGAGGTCAAGATGACCTCATTAAACGAGAGTCCCACGCCGGCGCAAGCGCCGGCAGAGGAAGCAACCGAACCAGCCGTGGGCGCGGCACTAAAGCTGGGGGTGACGGCGCGAATCAGCTCAAGATCCTCCTCCCTGGGCTGTGGGTAGACCTGAGTGACGAAGAGGATGTTCTTTTTGTCGTCATCGACGTTGACGTCGACGGGCTCAAGGAGCCTTCCGACTCCTCTGCTAAGCACACCAGCCTGGTCTGCTGCTGGCTGAGAATCTCAACCACGCGACGCTGGTGGGCAGACTGTTTTATAAGTCTATGAATAAAAAATGGACAACGTCATCAGTCGTCCTGGAAGATTCTGTTAGCTATCCGTTTATAATAACTACGGAATTTGGGCAGTGGGAAATATTAAATCAATATCCGAATGATACAGAAACAGCGGTACAAAAGGCAGATATGACGGGATGAAACATTCTGCGACATCCTTTGTAGCTTTGCTGCCGCAACCTCACTGCCAGATTGATGTCTCAAGACTTCGTGGAGCACAGAGCTCGACTTTGTGAAGTTGACCTTGTTCTGGTCGATGACTGCTGGCTTGTCTGGTTGCGTGGGTCCTGGGAATATCTCGGTGACTGGGCCGGCGACAGGCGAAACGTGGGAAGAGCTGATTGCTGTCCAGGCATAGAAAGGGGAGGAAGGGGGAAGGGGTAGGCGTCATGCATTTCGCTTCAAGGTCGCTGAGGGAAGGGAAAAGTATGACAAGATGTCAGAGGAGAAACAACGAAGATCTGCTAGCCATTCTAACGAATGCTGTTAGTAGGGGATCGGAGGTGCACCGATAATTAGGGCTAAATCTTGAAAAGAACAGAATTGACTTTAGCATCGAAGATTTAATGGGTAAAAAGATAGAAGGTGATGCTTAGATAAAAACTGAAACCAGAAAAGACAGGCAAGATAGCAAAGCAAATCAAAATGGAAAATAAACTTACCGCTTGAGATCGGCAAATTCTAAAAGTTGTCGATTACCACAATCGCGGCATATTGTCTCGTCAACAATGAGAACGCTTGACTAAAAAGTGACTCATGTTAAAGAGGATGGTTCTCATTTTGTGGGAGGAAGATAAGGAAAGGCATATAAACCTCTATGCAGTCGGTGAACCGATAGCGACCGAGATTGCGGGGTTTGGGAGAATGAACGAACAAACGAAATCGACTGGTGTGAAAAGAAAAGAGAAGAATTACGAGAGGTCAAGGAGTTTACTTGGACAATTGCTGGAAGCATGGACCACTTAGGGCGTAGAGGGGAAGCAACAACTAGATGCGACATGGGATGAAAACCAAGGGAAATCGACGCCAGCAGATTCACCTCCCAGCCGGCCCACGAACTCTGTGTTTTACATACCTTGGTAGATGTCTTGTCTAGGACTTCCAGGTTTTCGACTAGCAAGGGCGATGGTATTGATCAACCTTAGATAGGGATCTATGCTTGTCCATAATTGACACCTGCAAAGTATTTGAGCACTTAACCTTGCGACAATCCAAGCATGCGAGTTTTGAGACCGTACGGATGTTCACTAATAGAAAACAGTCCACTCGGAAACTTGATCTAGTAGATGCGTGTCTCTTGCTACCAAGCAATCATGAAAAAAATCTTTTGTAGAACAGAGAGCGCCAATCCTCGGTATCCCCAGACTCACAAGTGCATGGTTCAAGGCTGTAAGTAGGAAATGGTTCATTCAAGGTGATTACCTAACGAAGTAACAGAATTTCCAAGTGATATGTTGTAGATCCCTAAAGCCGAGAGTACCGTGAACTTGTGGCAGGAGTTCAACCCGCAACCCATTGAAATGGTACGGATGAGGTACCCGAGCATAAACTACTGCGCCACAACCCCGCGTTCTGAGGATATTATTTGAGAAAGAGTAGACAAATTTTTGCCATATATTGTTGCTAGGGTTGGCTGTAGGGCTCTGGAATGGCAAGCATTGCTTATATGCCGCAGACCTCCAAGTCAAAGTTCCTGGGGGTAGTGACTCCACCAGACCAGCACGCATGTGTGACGCTCGACGAAACAGACACATATGAACGTAATTTACGTTTGTCTTTTACTCATAACCATTCACTTTCGATCCAGCCCGTGTTACTGCCCAACTTGAAGAGTGTTTTCGCCTTGCCCCTGAGTGAAGTAAACAGGGGAGATGTCTTGGCATTTGTTTCCTGAGCAACGCAGATCCCATAGTTAACCCTACCCCTGATAAGTTTCTCACCGGAGTATGAGTCTTGAGCTGTGCATGAATTGATGCACTAATAGCCCAAAGTATCTTTTATAGGCAGAAGTATGCTATAAGCCATGCCTGGAGCATATCATAGGTTTCTTCAGTTCCCTGTCTTTCTTAAAGGCTCAGGCCCGGAACTGACACCGGTCAAACCGACGCTTTGAACACAATGTCTGCTGGTAGACATGCCTAAGGACTCGCGGTAAGTTGACGGCCCTTAGTAGTTAACACCGCTGAAAAACTACGGGCTAAATGGGCAATGCCTTGTTCCTGTCATGCCACTATTGCTGCCCGATGCTTGTAAGGTCCGGGTTTTCATCAACTTGGCAAGCTTCCATTGCTCGCTGATTTTGACCAACATGCTTTTCTCTGTTCAGTCGCCATCTGTCATGAAGCTCTTACCCGGCGCAGGCATAGCTACAATGGCCGAGAGAGGCTACTGTTTAAAGTGTCGCAAAACTGTGGAACCACAACGCATAGCACTTAATAGGTATACACTTATGCACAATCCAAGACATCACTAGGCGCTTTACTCCACACACACAGACATATATATAATGAATCTTGTAACGAAGTGCTTATAAAGACCCATTAACCTTTAAGATTATATTTTATTTACCCTACTTGAATTCAATTTCTTTTGTTGTTCGGTTATATTGCGCTTCTATTTGGGTAATTTTAGTTTCTTTCACAGGTATTCACTCCCTAAGTCACAGACTAGAGTTAGAGTCGGAAGTAGGCATGTGGTAAGGCTTGGCATAACCGCCTTGGTGCAACATTAGTACTAGGGTTAGAGTTAAGTGTAGTGGCTTTCCCTAGTATAAAACCACTAGGATGCTTAGAAGCATATTGTGCATGGATAGGAGTATTTCTCTACTATATATCAAGGCAATCTCCACTGTTTCCAGAAGTTGCATAAGGGCAATATGATTGTATTCTAGTGCGCGGCCGCTGGGTTGGACATAGGGGTATTGATTTATCAAATTTGGCTTAGAGACTTGCTGTCATGACCAACCAGGGCTCTATCTAGAGGAGTGGATTCCATACAACCAACTGATCGGAGTAAAAGGGGGTGTGGTGCATCAAACCATGGTATTTGTCCTTAACAACCCCACGTAATGGGCAGGCGTTCCTCAATGCCAAGAGACATTGGTCTTCTACATTCAAATGTGTTGACCATCAAAGGTCCATTCCATTGAGGAGGAAGAAGCAAAGGAAGCCACAAGGGGGTATAAGATATAGATAGATTCCAGGCAGGGTCATCTGGCCGAAGAAGCTCTCCAGTCAGTAATACAAACAATTGTCTGTTCAACTGGTCATTACAGCGATCATTCTAACTCTGTGAGAACTCCTGTCTCTCAGGTCCAGCGGCCTGGCACCTCTGGAACTCATCTCAGGAAGCCTGTCTGGATCATCACACCTACAGTTTTCTGACATTTTGGAGGGCGACTTCTCTCTGTCAGTATAGATGGCTCTCCGTCTCTACTCAACACTGAACTCGGATGCTAGATTTTTTTTGAATCAACTTCAAAAAATGGCACACAATAAACTGGTCATGCAATGCTTTTCTTTTTAGAGCTTCTACAAACACGTGAATCTATAGCACACTGGTCTCAACAGCTATCCCTAGTCTTGCTGGGAAGTAAGGACATTACGCCTATGGGGTGTCATTGACACTCACTGCCGAACCAGAATTTTATCTCCTCGAAGGGCACCACGTTCTTCAAAAATATAGTAGAACTGTAGCATTAGCGTCGTGCCTATCTTCTGTCTCAGCCAACCCTAAGTGCATTACATTACTCTCTTGATGTTGGTCCGCGCACTCGTATTGGCGAAGTGCTGGGCTTCACTTACACCACTTCGTAACTTGTTGATATTTCACTGTTTGTCTGCTCTAATACGCAGCACATTTGTATCAAAATTCATAAATTTAACCAAGATATTGAGATTAAGTTCTGTGAAACATTACATTTGTCGTCAGTTGGTTAAGACCCGGAAACTGAAGCTCGCTGTGCCACAGTAGCAGAGCTTACATTCTTCAGCCTGATAGTCCTCTTAGCCGTGGGGCCGTTTGAGACCAGATGCCATGCAATTCAGGCGTGCATCTGCAGTCAGCCCTCGTGCAGAAAAAGCAAACCATAGGCGATCGATACAGCTCAGATGACCAGGATTACCGCAGTGATACGTCATGATCCTAAGATCCAGGTTCCAGAAATTTGGTCAAGTCCGAGACCAATTAAAGACTAGGCACAGTGCACATGAGATTCGTACTAGATTTGAAGGTTTTGCACGATACACGCCACAACACCAATGAGTGAGATAACAGAGCATTGGCGCTGACTAAATATCCTCCTAATGGAATGGATACAGCCTCAGCACAAATCTTCTGAGGATGTTCAGACATTTACGCCATCAACTGATCAGCTTCGTACCTACACCATGATCATAACTACAAGTCTACATAAGCGCTGCAGTATCGAATGAAAGCGCCAGTGGTTTAGTGGTAAAATTCATCGTTGCCATTTAGGCAACATTCGATGAGCCCCGCGTTCGATTCGCGGCTGGCGCACAAGCTTTTTCACACATCTGTTTCAGCGTTTACCGACTTTTTTTTCCAACTTTAGTTACAACATGTTTAACATCATTTCGGACAGTGGAGAGGCAACAATCTTCTGCCAATCCTGTCCTTTAGCCCACCACCACTGACTAAGCATCATGCACGGCTCTTCTCGGAGGCTATCTCGGTTGCCGAAGCCGGTTGCCTGTCCTCGGCTCCGGGACCCTTGTCCCGAATGCCCCTCTCCACACCCTCCGGCAGGTCCGCTCCAAGAGCGCGAGCCCGGCCCTCGACTGTCTCGTCCGACGTGGTTGCCGTAGCACCCCTGCCCTCGAGCCCGCGTTTTTCGTTACGGTTGCTGCGTAGCTCCCGGCTGGTTTGGCCACCCATGGGACGGGCAAAGGCCGAGTCATTATATACATCAGCGCTACTGGCTCCCCGTAGAGTGTCGGTGGCCGATGTGCGCAGACTTGGGTCCATTATCTCGTTGAGTGCTTGGCCGGGAACCGTGGAGAAAGGATTGGGTTGGAAGGAATGCTCCTTGGGCGCCGTCCCGGGAGGATAGGTTTTGGCATGGAACTCCGGCACACCTTGATGGCCTACCTTTTGGCCGAGTTGGTGCTAATAATAGAGATGATCAGTCGCTGACTGACTCTATCGATAGCTTCGAGCTGAGCAACACCATAAAGCTTACCCCAGAGTTGGTTATTGGATGGGATGGGGGCACTCGAGAGTGGAATAAGCCTTGATTGGCCACCGAATCCGGGTTGGCTGACATGATTTGTTCAATGTATTCACGTTTTGCCTGATCTCTATTGAAACCAGGGAAGAGACCCTATTGACAATATATGGCATTGTTTCGCTCTCCAAGGGTTCAAATATGGCCATGGATCGGTTCGTCTATGATGTCAGGCTGACTGGAAATGGTCCGTTCCCTAGGATTGCGTCACGGCGCGGACAACGGCGACCACTTTGCCCCCAGTTCCCCATTACGAAGGTTAGAACCTGCTTATCAACCCATTCTATGGGAACAAGAGTCAGGCCGGACGAAGAGGCCAGGAGTTGAGTGAATCACAACGTGACTCGATCGAGTCTTTGCCAACCTGAAAGTTATGTCAGACCATGTGCAGTCCAGAGATTTCGAAGTGTCCTCCCTGATTTCAGCCGTGAGCGCAACATAAAAGAGATCGCTGGGGGAATTGTTACGGCCGTTCTTGTTGCGACTGTTCTATCATTCTCAGTGGGAAGCAGAGAAAGTGTGCCTCACGATGGAACTCTATGCGAACATCCGCCAGGTTACAGTGTGGTTACCCTGACAATCACGTTTGACTGCCAGTTGCCGTTGTGTCGTGGGAACTAGGTATCGCAGGGAGGAACACAAAATGATGCCAAGGAATTTGCTCGAGGGCCATTGATTGCCCGACTCCTAGACGCAGGTAATTCGTACGGAATGAATGGGTGGTCAAACGGCTGGCTTGGCAGGAGAATGTGCAGTATATTGCTGTCCGCTCTCTCTAGCTCCTTCACACTCTGCTATCAATGCGATCCAATGTGATATCTGTCCGTAGGACCTAATCAGCCCAGCCATGGCTGCCGACTGTCGCTTCTCCGAGAGGTTTGTGGAACGGTTGAGCGCAGGAACTGCGGGGAAGCGTTTGGGTGGCTGTGGCACAACAGGCCAGAGGGAAATGACAGGGGGTGGCAGCAATGGCAGCCACATCAATTTGGCGCGCCACACGCACGTGAAGCTGAAGGGTTCCTGCCCGACGAGATTCATTCAAACATGTTGCGAAGCTCAATGTCCTCTTCCCACTCTCGAAGGTGTGCCAAGGATCAGCCCGTTGCGCCTGACCAAGGCTGCCTGCCCGTCTCCCAGGCCGCAGGCTTCAGGCCCCTGTTGCATTTGCTCCAGACGGATGCGGCATCCCTCTCGCACCGCGCAACCCAGATCCCCGGTCTGGGCAGCAGGCCGTTGCAACTTGCAGGTCAAGGCTTGGGCATCCAAAACTGGCATGCAGCGCAGATTGCTTCTGGGCCCTTCTTCTCTGCTGTTTCTTCGGTGCAGTTTGACACTGCACTTGGGTTTCTCTTCATATCGGTTGTACTGAGTACATAACTACCTGAGGTACGCATTAGTCTATTGTTAATCGTTTACAAGTTCACTACATCCCCATTCCGTTTCGATGCGATAGATGCTGCTCCGTTCGCTGCCCATGTGTGATTCCCTTAGGATCTGAGATCCAACCCTTTTTTTCTGCTTCTTAAGCGGTCTTCAGTCGCCCACGGCGGCCCAAGAAGGCTCATCAAGCGAGGCCCCAGGTCAGCACGACGCTAGTGTAGTAGGGGGGGCAGAAGTCAAATACGAGAAACCAGCCCCGAGAAAGCCGCCAACACCACGCGGCTTTTCGACACAAGCACGTCTAACAAGCCACGGCTTCTCATTTGTACGCAGGCACTCCGTCCCACACCGTGTTCACCTGACCGTTCTCGCTGTGAGGCGTCCACAATTTCCACGCTGCAAAAACCAAGAAAATCAGGGCCTCGAACACGCTTGGACGCCGAGAATAGCTCCCCACCAGCCCGCTCGCCCATCAGCGTGAGCCGAGACAGCTCGCGACGATCTTGGTGGGCCCCCAGGCTGACGTTCTGCGCCTGGTCTCCCGATCTGCCGACAGTGTTTACCTATGGAGCAGCACAGGTATTATTCAGACGACTTGGGCGAACGCCAGCCGCTCAGCTCAGGCGTCTTCTCATCTTATAGACCTCAGCAGCAGCAGTATCGGCAGCCATATCCTCCTTACCACGACGCGTACAACTCTCATTCCGAAACCTGGGCCCGAGCCCATCCAGACACCGCGTTTGACGGTTTCCAAGGACAGACACACCATAACGGCCGCGAAGCCTCGAATCGATTGGCCACTTCCCCATACGCTGCAGCTGGTGGTGACCCCCCTAAACTATCTCCACATCGGGACCCGGAAGGTCACTACTGGGCTCACAACAGCCCATACCCGCCCGCAACAGCACAGAGCTCTCCTTACGGATATCCTTCTTCTCAGCGCACATTTGGTACCTCTCCCAGCTTCGGAAACGTTAGTAACAGTTTTGTGGCCGGAGCAATGAGCAGCAGTGTTGCCATGAACAGCTTCGAACACCATCCGCGGCGCTCGGCGGAACAAGATCATGGCTCCGTCGACAGGGGGTTGCTGACACCAGGGGAATATCATTCCGGGGATAGAAATTCACACGGTAGCATGCAGGGGTTAGCTGCCACAGCCGCCCCCACAGGTCAATCAACTCCAGGACAAAGAGCATCCTTTTACACGGACGATCCCTATCAGAACCTCTCCCGACATGTCGACTCCGACTTGGGTGTTGTGAACCCTCAAGACATCGCAGACGACGGTGACGACGGACTCGAGTACGGCAGGAAAGGACCAAGGACGAGCATGCTCAGCTTGGGATCAAGCCGTGGAGCCGGCGCCAATGCCGTTGGCGGTGCTGCGAGCAGCGGTATGCTAAACTCCACCTCCGGCCGCAACGGGAGCGGAAGCGTTAACAACCAATACGCGTCAATTAACAACGCAGACGTCACATCGGGGGGTTCTGGAAGTATATATAATGCCGGTGCTGCCATTGGTGGTGCCGAAAAGGGCGAGTGGCAAGCTGAAGCCATTCCTAAGAAGTCTAGGAGATGGAGGTTGGTGGTCATCTTCCTGTTGGGCGCCATCGTGCTCGGTGCCATCATCGTCGGTATTCTGCTCGGCGTCGTCTTCAAGAACAAGGACAAGAATGCCAGCGCGTCAACAGATGACAGCTCATCTGGAAGCTCAGTGTCGACAGCAGAAGAAGACCTTGCAACCAATGGTGATCTGAACAAGAACTCGCCCGAGATCAAGGCCCTTCTGAACAACCCCAACTTGCGCAAGGTGTTTCCCGGCATCGACTATACCCCGCTCAACACTCAATATCCAGAATGCTTGACCTTCCCGCCCTCTCAGAACAATATCACTCGTGACATGGCGGTCCTCTCGCAGCTTACCAATGTCGTCCGACTTTACGGTACTGACTGCAACCAAACCGAGATGGTTATCCACGCTATCGACCGGCTCGAGCTTAAGGGTACCGTCAAGATCTGGCTCGGTGTTTGGCAGGACAACAACGCGACGACCAATGAGCGCCAGCTGAACCAAATGTGGAACATCCTCGACAAGTATGACCATGATTACTTCAAGGGCGTTATTGTTGCCAACGAGATTCTGTTTCGCGAGCAGATGACCATCTGGAGCTTGGGTCAGCTGCTTGAAGAGGTCCGTTTGAACATGACTGGCAAAGGTTACTCCCTTCCGGTTGCCACTAGTGACCTCGGTGACCGTTGGGATGCAACCCTCGCCAGCAAGAGCGATGCTATCATGGCCAACATTCACCCTTTCTTTGCTGGAGAGCCTGCGACTTCTGCGGCAAAATGGACACGTACCTTCTGGAAGAACAAGGCTGGCGACTTCATGAAGAAAGACAAGTCGATGAATATCATTGCCGAGACGGGGTGGCCCTCGCAAGGAGGTACTGGTTGTGGCAACGAATTTGAGATTTACTGCCCCCAAAAGGCAGTGGCCGGTATAAAGGAAATGAATATATTTATGGAGGATTGGGTCTGTGAAGCGCTCGAGGATGGCACAAATTACTTCTGGTTCGAAGCTTTCGACGAGCCCTGGAAGGTCCGGTTTAATACCGAGGGTAAAGAGTGGGAGGACCATTGGGGTTTGTTTGATGTCAACCGGAATTTGAAGCCTGGTCTCAAGATCCCAGATTGTGGAGGGAAGCGGATCTCATAATTCCCTGTCTTTTTCCTCCATTTTTCTTTTTTTTCTATTACTTATTGTTGCTTCCTTTCTCCTCCATGAGTAGCACCGGAGTTTTGGGTCGATGGGGCATTCGGGTTTCAATGATCCAGGTACTTCGACAAATCGGGATCTCATCGTTGGGCTTTGGTTGTTCTCACTCTGGGCAGTGTATATGCATACCTTTGTCGAGCGATCTCGACGTGTCCTCGGTCCTGTGCTCCTTTTTAGCTAATTAGGGGTATCATTATTGCTATGCGTTCGAAAGATAAAAATCGTGTTGCTGCTCCTTCACTTCCTCACACTTTTCATCCTTCCCTGAAATCGTCTAGCACATGCTTCTGTCGTATCACCAAAGGGGTACCAAGGTTGGAAGGCTTGCTGTGTGCCCATGTTCCACAAGTGTTCCACAGCTTCGGTGATACCATACTTTCAATGCCGGGACTGAAGAGGCTGGGAACCTCAAAGTCGGTTGTATGGCTGTGGCGGTGGCAATCTTTCCTTCCCTTGTCCGTAGTATATATGCTTGTCGGCCCATCTTCCCCAGGGGCCTACTTGATATCCTTTCACCGCCAACTGCTTACTGTCTTGAGAGCCATGTCTTTCGCCGCTTCTCTCATTGTAGAATATATAGTCCAATTTTTAACTAACGGTGGTGTTCTGTTTCATGGTGATGTCCAATATCTTGTTGAGAGTATGTTCGGACATGACCCCGCCTGGCTTTTCAAACGAATGCACCGAACTCTTCGCCGCGCTTGAAACACATTCGCCATTGGACCCCTAACGATGTCCTATGTCAAACAGGGACCACTTTTCTCTACAACATTAGCATTGCCTGTTTGGAACCCTTTTCAAGCTCAAGAGGTCTGTCCTTAAGCGTTTTGTACATGTTCTATCTTGCACTTGAACATTTGATGAGGGTCCAAGCCACTGACAAGTGGTACGTTAGAGAACTTGATACAGCAATTAAAATTGCAAGACTATCATCTCACCTTATTATCATTGCAGCAAAGGTCATGCCTGTGACCTGCGATCTTTGTCCTCTGAACGTTCTGGAATTTAGTCAACTTGATTATGAACGCCACATTGCTCAGAGAACTAACGATGAGATTACAAGTCTCCGGATCAGCACCACGAACAAGTACCTAAACGTTGAGAAGATATAGATGAAGACATTGCTCTTTGAGAACAACATCAAAACTTGGGTCAGAGATCAGGATGCACTATCATTTGGTTCTCAAAACACTAATGTGAGTTGCCTTATAGTCACCCTACATTATGATCAAGATGCAGCCCAATGCAAGTCTTGGTTGCTTTGACAGAATTGCCACGCTCTTGTTAGCACCTGCAGATATGGTTGTATACTAATGCAGGCTAGATATCTTATATACCAGGCCTTGATCTCGAACGGGCCAGTGATGATGCAGATCCTCGCAATATCCCGCCGGGTGGCTTGACAACAGCTAATCCGTACCAAAAGGGCTGTTGTGATTCATTGCCGATGTTCTATTCTATGCGTGCCGCCTTCCACAACCTCACATTGATTTTACAACCTCACATTGAACATGACCGCATCTTGCAATTCGATCTCATCTGAACATCTTATCACAGCCATGGAAGTCGCGGGGGCCAATATGCCGATCCTTCTGTACTTGAAGGAAACCGAGTGGTGGGGGCCAACGTTTGAAAGCACCTTGCCGCTAGGCTATGCGCCCTGGGTAGCAGCAAATGGCTTGGTTGGTAACAGTACCAAGATGAGAGTTGATGGGCTTCTCATCCCCCTGCAGGCCGTGTGGGCTGTACGCAACCCTATGAAGGGCGGTTCTTCGGACTTGATTCGCTTCAATCGCTATCCGTACACACAAAGCCGGGGACGAGGAAGCCGAGGATATCACGCAAGACCGGCGGGGTATGCAATTAGGGCGTGCACAGAAACAGCATACCTTGAGGGACTTTACAGTTTGAGTGGTTTGTGCGGGGGTGCTCAGCGCCGTCAACAGCCTGGCCGAATAGTGGACAGTGCTGGATTCTGATGATGTGCCATGCATGCATTATGCCCTGCACTACGCACGCATACGGGTATCGTGCAGTGCGAGTCACCCGAATCAAGTCAAGAGCATGCGTTCTATGGAGTTTTAACAGCCAACGGCAGCTGTCGAGATGCTGTCAGCGATGACCTGAATGGCGCTTCCGAAGGGTCGGCAAAGTCCACCTGCCTTGCATCTTGTCTGACGAAGAGGCCCAGGCCCAGGCCCAGAGCCAAGAAGCGAGCTTGCTTTCGGTTGGGGGTCGGCACCGACGCATGCTTAACGCTACGCGCCTGCCCTTATCTCTACGTCAGTTTGACGGTCTGCCACGTCTACATCATACATGTATCGTGGGGTTACACGATCAGAGAAAGCGTCTTGAAGCCTGATACTCTTTGAGGCCTAACCTCCCCTTGAAGCCTGACATTAGACGTTGTGCTTGTCTGATTTGAAATCTGCAGAATTTATATGGCTGATTGGTTGTGGCTCTGAAACCCTGGTCTCATCTAATCAAGTAAGCAGTTAGAGCCCATTCACATCGACGCTTAACACTTACAATTCGCAAGGTCGTGTCTTTGACCCCATAGATGATAAAGACTAGAATCGACACATATACCAATAGTCGGCGAGAACTCATTCGTCGAAGGCTGGAGAAGCCGCACGTGGCCATAGAATCCGGGCTTGGCGCGAGAGGTAGAAGAATCATTGACCCAGGCAGTCAACGTTATCAGCTCTTTTGAGGCCTCATGGCTCACCCGACTGCGGGCGGCAGTTGTCGGCAGCGTACCAAGGTCGCTCATGATGCGCCTACCAACATCCCCAAGGAAGCACTTCCAGTCGGCCCCAAGGCAAAACTGTCGAGGTCAACCCGATGCCCAGCAAGCAGAGCAAGGACTTCAAAAGAGGAGCATCCGGCAGACGAGGACTCCCCAGATGAGATATCAGTTGCGATTGAGTGGAAGCTTCTCTATCCCTTATTAGCCAGAGGAGCAGAGGACCCACGGCCCACAGACAGCCGGCCGATTATGAAGGCTCATGCCGTTCATCCCGAAAAAGAGTTTGAGGCACTCCGTGCCCAGGCTTATAGTTGCGTTGCTGAGACCATTCGAGACTGCGGTGAGCATGCTGTTATGGCGCACACGATCCCGCAAGGGTATCTTGAGAGAGATTATTGGGAGTCTAGCTGGATCGTCAAAAAAGCAAATTCAGCAATGCCACTTGATGAGGAAAACGCACTTGTGGGTTATATTTGGGTGCCGGTTGAGATATGCTCACCGCGGGTGCGCTTCAAGGCCCCTGAGACCCGGAGCCGGTTGCAACGGGTACTAGAGGCCCTGACTTCTCGCCACCGGTTGGCTGCCAACGCTAGCTGCGAGATTCACATCCACATCGGGCGAATGGATGGGCATACATGGTCGCTATGGACTCTCAAAAGACTCGGGACGCTCGTGTGGGTAGCTGAACCGACGCTGCGTCGCATTCGGGACCCGGCGTCGCCAAACTTCCGAAACATATTCACCTGGGGATTTCCGCTACGAGACAAAAGCCGGCTTGCAAATGCTATTAGTTCCCTGTCTCATATTCGGACCTCGAAGACTCACGATCCCTTGCTTGGAATCCCCGATCAACAGGTGGTGGACAGCTTTCGTAGCCTGCATCGGACACCGGGGCTCGCTCGGGAACTGGAAGCTGTTTCTCGGATTTGGAAGACAACTTCCCATCTAGAATTGGGGCAACTATTATCAGGACCAGAAGAGATGTACAGAAGGTTAGGATTCAACTTCAGCGCCTTTGGTCAAGAGGATGACCGGGCGCGAAGGAACCCTCGAACTGTCGAATTTCGCTTCATGGAAGGGTCGGTCTGTACCAATCTGATCCTCAGCTGGCTGACAATTTGCTGCAGGATTGTTGAAATTGCGCTGTCCAGGCAGGATAACGGTTTTTACTCTGGGATCAGGTTGTCATTACAGCATCTCGCAGAGATTGAGCACCTAGAAATGACGAAGTGGTTTCATTCGGTGCAGTTGGTACAGGGAGCTGTATTTTCCAATCAGTTCAAGGATCTCATGAAAGAGTTTGGTGTTCCACATACAGAGTACGAGGCATTTGCGAAGAAGATAGAACAAGATTGGGGACATACAGGGTGAACAGGTTCATGATGGATGGGTGGAGTATATCCATGTCTTGCTGCTCATACAGAACATGACTGAAACTTTTGGATATGGCCATGGGGGTTTATGTTGATTTTCACGAATTTATGGGAGGATTTTGTGCGTTGATGCATTCATGAGCTCAAGGCCGGGATTCCAATCCTGTATTCAATGGCATTGAATGACTGCAACTTGGAAGTGGACTTCCGCTGGCACTTTAAGGGTTTCATGGGACTTGCCTCTATCTCGTTGTTACCTGTGTCTTTATTAAACAGGTAGGCAGTTCACAGTTGTTGGTTGTTGGAGCATCTTCCAATGAGGTCAACCAGGAGATTATGTACCTGTCTACTCTTGTTACCTCTCCTGGGAAATGCACGACTCAGAGTCGATGACATCACTCCATACGCTGTACTTTCTGTAATATGGATGGAGCATGCAGAAAATCAAGAACTCTATTCGGTCTCAGAGTAAGCTAGATGCACAGACCTTCAAGCTAGCTTTTTTGTGTTGGATGTGAGTGATACATCTTGGCCATTTACTTTCTGCATCTCGGCTTGCAGTTGTCTAGTTTGGCAAAACCCTCAAAACCCATACACCCTGTCCTTGTTTAACAAATAAGGATGACTACAACACGATCAGCATCTAAAAAGCAGGAGCCTTCCACAAGTGCCCCTCTAGCCACTGAGGCGCAGCCCGGATCCAAACACAAAACAGAAGAAGTGGGAGAAGAGCGTGCACCAAGCCCAAAACGGAGTAAGAAGGAAGAACCGGAGGCCTCAGCGAGCGGAAACCCAAAAGAAACCAAAGAGGTACAAGGAAAGTATGTACATTGCTTTTTTTGCCCCAACGGAGGTAGATATTGATCGACATTATCTTAGAGGAGAAACGAAAAAGACTGAGGAAGAGGGTGCAAAGCTGGAAAAGAAAGAGAGTAAGCAAGCTCCTACACCACGATCGAAGGAGGAAGCTTCCGCCGTTGAACCACAGGGCAGAGAGGAACCAGAGGCCCTGCCTGCCAGCATCCTCGAGAAGGGCATCATCTACTTCTTCTTCCGTGGTCGAGTCAATGTGGACCAGCCGTCTAGCGTCAGCGAGATAGCTCGGAGTTACATCATCTTGAGGCCTATTGAGAAAGATGCCAAACTTGGCAGTGGCCCCATTGGAGATGCTGGCAACAGCCGAGTGTGCGTAATCCCAAAGAAAGTCCTTCCTCAGAGCGGCCGTGACCGCTGGACGGGCTTCGTTGAGAAGGCTGGAACTTCTTTCCAGCAAATCAAGGAGGAGTTTCTCGCATCGTCTGAGTATCAAACCAAGACAGCTGGTGAGAGACACGTACCTGCTGCTATACCAATCGGAGAGGGCATCTATGCGATTAATAGCACGGAACGTGAGAGTCATTTGGCCTATCTCTTGACCATACCAAAAGAACTTGGTGAAGTGCAAAAAGAGATGGGTCTAAAAGAGAAGGGCAGCTTCATTATCAGTACAAAGAACCCTGAATATCCAGGTCCTCAGAATGCAAGATTGCCAAGGCCCCCAGAGTATCCCAGGGAGTGAGTATCAGAAAGTTTCCCTGTAGTTCTGATAACATCTTCTGATCAACTCCCAGACTACTCGAAGAGTTTCGTTCTCTTCGCTGGATTCCAACGCAGCCAAAACACCTTAACTATGTCAACACTCAGTTCCTCCTGATTGGAGAATCTTCGGGGATCAAAAAAGCCTTCGAAGCTCAGAAAGAGGACAAGGAAGAAGGAAGGACTGAGCCGACAAAAGAAATGGAGCAGCTGGCAGAGGAGGACTCCAAGAGAATGAAAGAGCTCCGCAAAGATGAATTGGATTGTATCTTCGCTGATCTTCAAGCACATGCAGATGACTATCCGAAGCTTCAGACAACATTTTAAGTTCTTGAGGAGAGACAAAAATTCACTTAGCCTCAGTCCAGGACAAATGTACAACACAGATCGAAGGTAAAGTTTCTTGGGTTCAGGCATCTTGTTTTGAAGTGACTCATGCTGTTCTTCACAGCCAGATTCTCACGGCTTCGGCTTCTGTCCAGTCTTGAAGCTTCTGATGTCTCTTCATCATCCCCTCCCACTCAACTGCAGTCTCTTTGGAGTGTTTGTAGCAATCACGACCCGTTGTTCCTCGAAGGCTTCTTTCTTCGACTTCATTGTCAATTCATCATGCTTTTTTATGGTTTGAAATTTCTGAAGTTTGCGATAAAATCTGCGTCTTGCTTCCACTTGTCGAAAAGTAAAGGTCTCATTCACATCGTCAAGCCATTCTGCATCAGCGAAGAAGCTATGGCCATTCGCAACGCCTAGGGCGGCACGTTCCTATCCTAGAATTTTCATGCTCTCCCGGGTAATGCAGTCCTTAAAAAAGCTGACCAATAATCCATTTTGACGGCGTCCTTGCACAAAATTTTGTGAGCTCCCCGGAAAACGCGCCAACGTTATTCAACTGAGTCGTCACCTAAGATAAGTGTCCCCTGCGTCGTAGCTATCTTCCCCCAAACACAATTGGTCCACAGAACCAATGACCTCCGGCGACCGCGTTTGTCATAGTGAGAGAGGCACTCCAGTCCAGCCCTCTGTCGAGAAGTGCTTGTAGCGAGACCTCACTCAGACTTTACAGAATTTCTGTTACTGATTTTTGAATGGTTGGCTTAGGTCCAGCAACTGAACGAGCTGCACCCGGTGGCAAGGCACAAAGCACCTAAGCAGTTAGAAACTATTACTGGACGCATGATCGTCGCGGACAAATGGTCCTTGGTCAATATCACTCATCAAGCAACATCTAGTTTTCTTACCAAGCCGAAGAATGGGCTCTGAATTGATCGTCAAGCATCACACGCGATAATATCGAAGATATGTCTCTCAGAATCATGCAAAAATAACTTCATGCAGCTCAGGGCGAGGAGAAGGGGGCTCAGTGCAACTGGGAAAAGAAGCTGGAGCCCACTAAGTTCATACGCGGAGGCAAGTTTTGGCTATCACTTAATGCACAGTCCCTCATATGTTGACGCCCTGCTCATTCAATTGAGTCAATTCTTGCTCTTTCCTAATGTTTAAAACTGGATAGGAAAGTTGACTGCATCCGACGATCTCTCTTCACTGCAACAAACTGCGCACGACTCAAGACATATCTCGTAAGGAGGGAAAAGTACTACCCGCCTGCTAGTCAAGGAACGAACAGTTGCAGCGATTGTCGATCATATTCATCACATAACAGCAGCTTTTCACACAGTACTGCTGGTTGTACCGGCCTGCATTCACTTTCTTATTCCTTACCTTTGCTCCTCTGCTTCATTGATCCAGGAACTATTTGTGAGACTGACGAAACCTCTGAGAATTAGCGGGTCGGTTGAAAAAGAATGGAGTGATCGGCTGACATCGTACTTGTTCGAGCAAGAAGCAACAGCCGCTTGCTCGCAGCGAACACCTGCTTGCAATTAAGCTACGAAATGGCGAAGTACGACTTCACGACGCAGCATTTTACAGTAGCTCCGCCCTACTGGGGCATTAGTCCATGGCGACCGAAAGTTCGCCAGTCGTCATTTAATTCGTCATCCTCCCTCTTAGCATCCTGCAGCGTGAAAACTTCTTTATTTGGATTATACGCAATTTAAGAAGGAATTCGGGTGCTTGTGGACTTTAGACCTTGACTGTAACCCAGTCAAGTGGTGTCCTAGCTGGAAAAGGATCCCATCTTTCTCTGCGATTCATGGTAATGCCTGGTCATTTCAGTTAGCGTTTTATCTGAGACAAAACGGGACGCTCTCCTTCTCTGTATCTCTGTTGGATGTAAAAGAAAATGATGAATGTGGATGGGAGTATTTACTTGGGCGTTGCCCTGCAGAACACGCGGCCCTGAGGGAATCTGTCGAGCACAATGGGTGCCGCAGAATAACAACGCTCTACCTTCCAAACTATACGCGCGTGAAGGTGGATGAGCACGGCTCTTATATAAGGTCAAGTGTGCACCTGACCTCAGTGGAGCCCGGGCTGACCGAGGTATGTCAACGGTGACCACACCGTGGTCACTTGCGGCTAACAATCTCGGCTCAGATTCATCAGACAGCAATCATTCGGAACGAGAAACTTGAGTCGTCGCGGAACGCATATGGATTGATCCCTCCCAACTGCTAGCGGCTATGTCTTATCGCGCGTCAGGAGTCCCTATCTGGGACTTGGAACATATTCACAAGCTTGGATAATGTGAGCGAGAAGGCGTCGACGTGTCTTCCGCTCCTGCTCTCGATATGCTATGATCCGGTTGCCGAGCTCAAACTTCTAGCAATTTCGTATAAAGATAGGGATATGTGACGATTCCATAACCTCCTGAGATAGATTCGAAGGTAATGGCCAAGCTGTAGAATCTGAAGAACTTGGGTCCTCACAAAGTAGTGTACGTGACTTAACGCGGCCACTAGCTGTTGGTTGACAACTGTTTCTATTGCTTACTGGGGAGTCTTCGTCATGACTCGGGGGAATGGGCGGTTCTATTTACATATCAATATTCGAAGTCCTTGGGGTGCCTGCCATAGTTCTGAAGTCCTTGCCAAGCATCTTCGTCACCGTCGTCACTCAGCGACGACGGTGATAATTCTTCCTTCTGACTGGTCGCTCCCCGGACCCGTTCTTACCCTGTTTATCGGCCATTTCCTTCAATCCAAGTGGGCTCTTCATTGGCTCCCCATTACACCGCTGCGGGACAGCTGATCCAGACTTCTATCCCTAACAAGATGTCGTCACATGCAATTCACTCGCCCAAAAGCCAAACAGGAAATGTATTCTTCCGATTTCTTCTTCATTCTAGTTGCTACTTTGGATGGGCGTATCTTGGCAGGAGAAGCTGAAGACGAAGGGATGGGTATACTTCTTTTTTGAAACTTTACAGCCATTACAACGGATATAACTGCCGGATGAACAGTTTCGCATCGAGGTACCCACCTTCTCGGCAGACAACCTGTCTTTTTTTGAGATTTGTGGACAGTGCGGTAATGCGTTTGTAAACCATTTACACGAGCCATTTTGTTGCTTCTCATTTATTGGCAAAAAAACCACATCTAGACCCGAGACAATTCACAACAAGTCGGAGATTTGCTTCAGCTGTGCTTAAAAGTTGTCACGATGTTGGAATCAGTCTGTATTATTCATGTAAGCAAAACTGGAAGAAAAAGGAGAAGAAGGATGAGAAAACATCTGATGGACGTTCAGGCTCAATTTCTTGAATCGCTTTCAGAAGTGCTCGCTGCAGAACAATGTACTTGAAGTTGGTGGGACACTCAAACTTGCAACGCCGGCGATAATCTCTCTCCGTGTACTGAATATATTCACCTGATAAACCTGGATATAGAGAATGATGTAATGAGCATACTGTACGGACAACTCGAATGCTCTGGGAGGGAATTGATATGCATACCCATAATGGTTGAGCTTCTTTCAACAATTAGTGAGAAGATCTGCTCTAGACTAGTTGGAAATCCTTCAAAAAGGACCAAAGCCGTGCCTTATTGCAGATATGTCGAAATTCTTCATTGGTTTGCTGATACGTGAAGCACAAGGTTAGGATCCATGAAACGTGTTCTAAGAGTTGATGACTTATGTCAAACGCACTGATTCCAGTTGCTAACTCTCTGATAACAGCCCTCGCTGCTTGTCCTGTCAAAGATCGAATAAGTTTAACTATTCAAGCAGCTATGGCTCCCCTATAATGGGCTCCAAAGAACATAGCGTGACTTCTTCGGAAATCGGAAGCGTACAGCGGATTTGGCTGGCTAGGAGATTTTCCTGTATGACAAAAGGTAACGATTAGTAAGCATTTGCACTTGGCTTGGTAATATTTTTCCCGAGGGAGGGGGTCCCATAAAAGTCAAGCTGAAATTTGCTCTTTTAACAACCAATTCAGTCCCCTCCCCGGTGCTATGGGCAATGAAAACAATTGGCGTCTGACAAAGCGGCATTTAGTGTCAATATGCGGACAGGTTACGGGGTGCTTGGTAACAAGGCAATCAAGGTTGGACTTGCATTCCCATCTTTGCAGAAGTCAGAGCTACTGTCATAGATATCCGCAAGTAAGCTTTACCCCAGGTCATGAATTGTAAACAGAATTTTCCTTATTGGTAACCCAATCTATGTTATAGCCATAACTGTGAACCCGGACATGCTTGATTTCAGGTTCACTGGGCAGCCATGCCCAGTTTTAAAAAAAATATCTCTATGACTTTCGTAACCCCCGAAGAGACCATGAACTTAAGTGATGATTGACATCAAGATGACATAAATTAGGCATATAACAACCTTGGAGTAAGCAGAAGTACGAACAAGGGTCCATCCAAGGCTCCGACGGTTCGTAGAGGAGAGTTAATCCAAGGGATCCTTTCCTTTCATCGTCTCATAAATGCTTGATTCAGATAAGTGAGAGGGCTCAGGCAGCATAGTTTTGTTTTGAACGAAGTTGAGAGAAGCCCATCGATGAACGAGAGGCCTCTTGTCAGTGATAGTTATCTAATCAAGATCAATTGTGTGATTTTGAAACCAAGATGACCAGGAGAGCACGTTAGACACGGCAGACTTCCTTGCTCAGGTGGGGTAATGGCGCTAAATACGGCTGTTTTTGGTTTCGTCTAACCAGTAACACCTACCATTTCGTTTCACTACCGCAGTCCAAGGTACAGGTTGAACTGTTAAAAAATTTAACAAGATACCGGAGGTCAGCTGTCAACCCCGGAAATGGACCTTAGTCTTTTGGGTAACGGTCACTTGCTAGTTTCGCGCAATATAGACAACAGAGCCTTGACCCGGTTCAAGATAGTAGAGCTGTCTTGAGAACAAGCCTAGGCTGAACACTGCCGTGGCATAGTGGCTATGTTGCCCATAGATAAGTAATGATAACGCAGTTTTTACGGTGCCTACTTCATCTAATCGCACAAAGTCTTATAGCTGTCTAATACATACATGGGCGTGACTATTCAAAATACGACGGTTCCATTTCATGAGAGGTCAGAGATCTTACCCCGAGTACATACGAGAAACGAAAAACACCATGCATCGTTGGATGCTCATGCATCTTACTTAACTAATGAGCGCTTAGGCAATATATTGGTCCTGTCATATGTTATGTAATAGGGCTGGGTACATAAGTTTTAACCTAAAGAACTGCACTTTTAGAGTGAAGCAAGAGAGAGAGGAAATATGTTGGTTTCCATTTGAGCTGACAAATCATCGCTCCCGCAAGTATGTTAAGGTACATAACAGATGACAACCAAGTACAAAGCTTTACACTTAATCTACGTGTCCTCCCGGGGTATGTTCTTGATTCCCTTATGACGATCGGTGTACCTTAAAGCCTAGCTAACTGCTTGGGCTAGGCTGTGTACTACTTGCGTTGGTACACCTCCTCCTCTGGTGCAAACCTGCAGGATGACAGCCTGTCAACTCATTACCCTGGCTGCCCCAAAGTGCACCAACACGCGCTCAGAAGTGACTAGTCCCCGGCCACACCTCCGCCGCCTTTTAAGCCTATTTAGGCACCAACCCCCTCGGTTCAACTCCTTTATTTTCCACACTCCAGTCTATGCTGTCTCATTGCACCTTCCTCATCCGTCTTTGCATCTGACCACGGTATACGTTGTAAGCGTTTATTTTTACACTAGTTCACCTAGAAAGTCATACTCTTCTCATTCCACAGCAGTGTGAGACCCCCAGATCTTAAGGTAGACGTGTTGAACGGTGATCTCAAGTTAGATTCTGCTTATCAAGAACGGTATTAGCCAGTTCTTATACCTCCTATAATGATAGGCATGTAGAAGGAAACTATAGTACCTGGTCTTGTTGACAGCTTTGGCCCTAACTCTAAATTGCTGGCCCCGGAAGGGGCAGGCTGGAGCACGTGGGTGAAAGCTGTCAAGATCATATTGCAACTCGAAGATGGAACCATTACAACATATTTCAAGAAAGTCAGCCTGAGTAGACCACTCACCTACCTCGAAGTGTAATGATCAATTCTGTCTACTTAACAGGGAGCACGTGGCACCATTGGGGCAGATGAGGCACATACGAAGCGGAACAGGCGTCATATATCTTTGTTTCAGGCCTTGTATCGCAACTAGCTGCATGAGAAACTTATGCAAATGACCCATATATACACTTCTACATATGTGCATTTGCGGAGATGAGCGATGATGTTCCTGGTTCACGTGAATGAGCAGCTGCTGTAGCTAAGTTGCACCTCACTACCATGCGCAAATCACCTTCAGAACAGTTCGAGTTCCACGTAACTATACATCTATGAAACGATCCCGTCGACAACACATGGAATCTTTCGTGACACGACTTCTGGGCATCGATGGCCTTGACAATCCCTTCGAGATTCACCTATTACTGGCTTGAAGACGATTCTGTTGAGCATGAGTCTGAAATCTTACTAACTCCAAATTGTTACTGAGTGTTAACACCCAGATAGTATGCGGAAATCAGCTATATAAATTTTATCCCTCATGTTTGTATTGCTGAAGTTCAGCGAGATACCGTGGCGCCTTGCTCCCCAACGCCTTCAAGCCGGCATGTACTGAAAGCACAAGAGTCCCGACAAATTACATATAGTGCAACATCTTATCAGGCTGAGGAACACCTGGCCTCTTCTTCTCGATCTTCAACACTGTTTCGATAAACTCCCTGTCAAGCGTAGGGCTCTTCTTGCGGGCAGCCAGCAATTGCGCAGTCTTCAGTACGTTCTTGATCTGACGACCATTGAGTTTCAGCTCGGCCAGCTCCGCAATGTCCCTATCCGTGAGCGAACTCTTCAGGCTTGAGCCTTTGAGAAAGTTTGACCAGATGGTACGACGCGAGACGGAGTTCAGGTCGGGGTACTCGATGCTGACGTGGATACGTGACTGGAACGCGGCATCAATGTCCTCGACACGATTGGTCGTCATGAACATGATGCCTTCGTAGTATTCGAGCGTGCGTAGGAAAATTGATACAATCTTGTTGCGCTCCAACTCGTGCGTGCTGCGTGCCTCGAGGAATACGTCGCACTCATCAAGCAACAGAATGGCATTCCAGCGGGCGACCAGTTCAAGAATGGAGGTCAGCTCACGCTCGACTACCCATGGATCCGAACCCAGTTCTCCCGAAGTAAGCATATGTAGCGGAACCCTGAGGTTCTCGGCGACAGCCTCTGCGGTCAGGGTCTTGCCCACGCCAGGGGGGCCTGACAACAAGCAGATAATGCCCTTGCCCTTGCCTGAGATGACGTCGTCAAATTTACTACCAGCGAGCTGAGACTCGGAAAAAGAAAGAATGAGCTCTTTCTGGTCGGGAGGAAGGACCAGCCTGTCGAAAGCGTGTTCATTCCACTCGATCTCGCTGATCTGATCGACGAAGAAGTCCACCCACTTCTTGTACTTGAGCGAGTATCCGCTCGTTCGTGGACGAGCAATCATCTGGTAGTAGGGAGGTAACACAAACTTATCGTCGGGCAAACCCTTCTCTGCTTTGTACTTGGTAAAGTTCTCTAGGTCGGCAGGAGTCCATTCGTTAACATAGCGCGCCCTAAACGGGCTGAACCGATTGAAGCTGTCAATATCGACAACAATGCGGCCGTTAATCTGGACTTCGACCTCGTTGCCCTCCCGATCCCATGTGATGGCCTTTCCAGTGTACTGCTTGTAATGGTGGCCAGCGAGCTTCTCAAAGATCTCGCCGCGTTTGATCAGTTCGGCTTTCAACCCCTCCTGCTTTTCATGGAAGTGAAGAGGGTAAACCTTGAGACCAGTGATCTTCTTGGTTCCCAAAAACTCGGGAATATTGATTGACTCCATGTAGCGGCCAAACTCCTTGCCATCGTACTCAACAGAGTCACACCGAACCTGCAAGAACTTGCCGCATTGATCCGACATGTACTCGGTTTCGAGCATCTCAAAACCACTTAATTTGCCGATGTGCTTGGACACGACAATCTGTCCTGGTTGGAAGATCATCCAGAGATCTTTGAAACTGACAACACCATTGCGCAGATAGTCCTGGAAGGCCCTGACCTTGTCCCCGATCTCGTAATCCAGGATGTTGTACAGAAGCTGCATGTGCTCCTTTGTCTTCTCGTCTAGGTCGGGTTTCTCAAGGTATTTGGTAAACTCGGTCCTGAGCAATCTGTAAGTAACATGTCCTTGCTTCGGCATATCTTCATACACAACACGAACCATCGGTGCACGAATGGCTTGAAGGGTGCCTCGAATTCGAGTCGAGACAGTTCGCAGACGACTCCGTGATAGCCATTTAAGATATCGGAAAGGGCCTTTCGGAGCCAGGGGCTCTGAATGATGATGCTGTGAGCCTCGAGACTCTTCCGGCTGTCATTACTCTTTTGCTTGCGGACGATGATGGCGAACTTAGCCGTCTCCTCGTTCTCAGCAGCTTCTTCCACATCGTCGGGGCACTTGTCTGACCAGGTCCAGTTGCCTTCTTCATCGGCTGGGCCCTTGTAGATGTTCTTGGCCTCGCAGACGGAGCCTACTGCCACCTTGCGCTTTTCCCCCTCCTTGTTCCCCTCCAACTCAACTTTGGCATCTTCTCCATCCTTCTTTAGATCCGAGTTGTCTTCCGTCGTCTTGTTGTCGTCGCTTTTCTTCTTCTTTGTTCGGCGACCCTTCCATTTCGTTTTCTTGGACTTTTGCGGCTTTGTATCGGCCTCGGGGCCGAGAGTGGACCCGGATGCGGAGGTAGTGCTGGACCCGCTGTCGGGAAGTTTCTCCGGATTGGTGGGGTCATTCTCCCGGTTCTTGAACAAGCGAGCCGAGAGGCCCGAGGGCCAGCAGAGGGGCATTTCGGGGTTTAGCAACGGCCGAAGCAGGCCGATTGAGGATAACACGCGCAGATTTAGACGAGAAAAGAATAAAGATTGCTACTTAAGTGCGACACAATTTGACGGCACGCGGCAACTGAGCAAAGACGAAATATTAGACGTTGACGGTAGGTTGTTGCCTCGAGAGTTGATGTAGAATCGTGGAGGTTTGGACGGCGAGAAGTTGTCCTTTTATCTGCGCACCAAACAGCCTCGGAGGCTCATGTCAAGCAAGTGTTCGGCGAGGCTGAGAGATGCAGGTAGAGCTAGGCAGCGCAGGCAGCCTAGGCAGCCCAGAAAGCTGACGGCCAAGGATCGCATGGAAGCTCCACAATCGGCCAGTGACCCAAAAGCCTTATTGGCTCCCTGCTATCACAATTTGAGCTGCTGCAGAAGCCACAAAAACTACTTCACACTACTGCCTGTATGGGCATGGTTTTGGGAGTTGTCCTCAATTTTCAGATTCGTCATAACTGGCGCTTTCCATGGGTGAGTATTCCAAAGCTTTAAGCAATCCCTCGTCTTCTCCACTGAAATCCTGTTCCCGGATGACTGCAGGTCCCCTGCGTGTGTGCTCTCACACCGACATCAATCACAGCATTTGGCTTGTCAGGGCCTTCCAGCCAGATGATGCCTGGTATCGCGGCTGGAGGCTGAGCTTTCCAGCCTGGATGGTGGATGTCAAGCCTCTATCTCTTCATCAAACCTGATGCTTGGCATGGCCTCATGAGCGAGGTCAAGATCGAGTCCTCACTGCGAATGGCTTTGTTCAACAGATCAAATGGTTTGGAATTGGAACAGGTAATGCAACGGAGATCAAAGATCCCAGTACTCCGCAGGCAAATGGACCTGACACGTCGTTTGTTGGTCAGATGTGACAACGTTCATCTCACATCAGCATCTGACTTTTGCGTCAATTGTCCGCTCACTCATTGAACGATGTTGGGTGCCACAGCTGTCAGCAGTAGACTCTTAACACTCTGCTGCCCATGGGAAGGAATATTGCCAATAAGGGTAGTTCATGAATTCATGAGCGCTACAAGTTCAGTTGAACCGAATCCGGTGAAATTTCTCCTGATCAAAAGTTTGGAGAAGGAGACTGGTATCCGGACGTGGCCTTAGAAAATTTATAGTAGAATTGAGACGGAATGAGTGCGGCAAGCCAACAACTCTTTGTTGAATGGTAAAGGCATCTCAAGAGAGATATGATGATTCTCGAAGTACCTAAGGATTGAACATAATTTCAAAAACCAGGAACTGTGTGAATCAAGCAAAATTACCAGCAAACTGCAGATGCTTCGAAGTTGTTCTTTGGCTCTTGTTCCTTGGGTGTGGCGATCCCCAGAGGCGCTGGAGATTGATCGTTTACCACCCCTCGTCAGGGTAAGGTACCCAAAAGACGTACCACGTGACAGAACGACGACGCGCCAACACCTCAGTTGCTCATACAGATTTCGTACCATTAGCAGAAGCAACAGCGTTTACCTAGCAACGAACTTCAGATTCTTTCCATACCAAAGGTTCAGGCGTCCGGCTATTCATCAAGCCAACTTGGAACTATGGTAGAGTTGGAGCCCGCCTTTTTGCTCCAGCCTGGTGACAGGAAATCCCGAGCACGAAATACATCCCCAGTACCGCAGAGCCAGTACAGTATCCCATTCATAGGAACTTTCAAATTCTCACTGTGGCCTCAACATTTCTGCCAAGAGGTCTGGACCGCCCGATTCTCCCTGGGTTGCGCTGGTTGCAATGCGATGGAGTAGACCCTCTCCACGTTCTCCATCTCGACGTCACAGTTGGAGCTGTGGCAGCACATAAGAGCAAATCCTCGCTCCCGCTTTTGAACCGTAGGGGATATTCGAAGACTTTTGCCTTTTGCTCGTACTCGACTTTTTTTTTTTTTAGGTCATTTGGTCATTCGGTTACTCTTACGCCCCTGGGTAGTTGGTAACAAGAAGCAAAATGGGCCCGCTATCTGCCGTTGATTTCGCAACCTTTTCCCCAAGGATGTCTTCCAACAAGCGGAAGCGCGACGATTCCAGCGGCGGCACAGCAGGCGCCATCCTACCTAGAAGTCTCACCTGTTGCCGCCCTGCCAGCGATGAAGATCATCTTCAGTCCTCCAAAAAGCCGAAGACGAGAAACAGAGGTCAATCCAATCAAACAGAGAAGCGGCTGCGCAGGTGGGGTTCACCACTTCTGGGTTGCCTATAGCGCTCATGATCCGCTAAAACCTTCTGGTCCAGATTCCGGCCACAGCCTCCTAAGTCCTTCGAAGATATCTACCAACGCGCTACCACCCAGCGTTTCTACGTTTTAACTCGCACTCGTCGAGGCACTCCTGAATGCCCGGAAGAGGTGATTGAACTGACAGGCTCGACGGGAAATATATACACCGTCGTGGTTGCGCGTCAACCGAGCTGCAACTGCCCGCATGCCTTAGCAGGAAATCAGTGCAAACATGTGGTTTATGTGTTGGCGCGTGTGTTGCGCGCCCGTTTCGACCTTGTGTACCAACTGGCGCTCCTGAGCGAGGAGCTGAAAGAGATATTCGAGAACGCACCCTCTCCTGTTGGAGAAGATGTCTGCAATGGGAGAGGGAAGAGGAAACCGGTTGAAGGTGACTGTCCGATCTGCTTCTCTAAGATGGAAGAAGGGCCGAACACGGAGCCCGTTGTTTGGTGTCGAGCAGCCTGTGGCCAAAACATTCACAAAGGGTGCTTCGAGACATGGTATGTACCCGCTATTGTTTCCTTCCTTGCCGGAAAAGCACGTTAGTACGCCATCGCAGACGCTTTAACATTAGGAAACAGGGCGGCAACCAAACGGCGACAAGGGGGGAATGCCCAGGTGACTTGTCCGTACTGTCGAAGCGTCTGGGACGGGGACTCAGACTCAATTAGGAAGATCGAGCGAAAAGGAGCACCTCTATCTGAGGGATATGTGAATGTCGCTGCCCAACTGGGTATCAGTTCCCAGAGAGGTGAGTGCTGCCAAGCACTATGCGTCTTGGAGCCTCCTGGCAGGCTGACTTGTCTCAGACTATAGTACATATTCAAGATGGTGGTCGGGTCACCCGAACAGTTATCGCCGCTGCCAATGAGCTGTACTTCGTGGATCATGTACGGGCTATCGGTACCACACGGCCTCTGGGATCTTGTCCCGTATAAAAGACGGATGCGCCAGCAGCAAGCAGATGCGCAAACCTTGCCTTGTGGGTTCAAATATTTATGAGGAGTTCATTTGAATCCCCCTCCCTTTCAATAATAGCTTAGAACCTGCGGCTTCACCCTCAAATCTCGTCATATCTTAGGTTGCAGACACTTGCGGGACAGACTCCGCACGACTCTAACTCACACAGCTGAGGCCTGTCTCATCCTGAAGAGCTTTTGAAAAGGAGGTAAGCGTACTCCACAGGGCCGCGACGTAAACCGGTAGCTTGTTCCTGAACGCTTATGGATCTGTGAACATTTGGTCTGCTACCTACCTGTCGTAGGCCTCACACCATTGAAACGCCACTTGACTTCTTGTATCTTCATATGCTGTCAGCACCTGTTATCGAATACATGAGCTACTAAACTGGCACCAGAAATATTCAAGCCATACCAAGTTTAGCAAATGTGTCGGTGCGGTTATAACCAGTGCCGAATGCATGCAGCGGGCTACCTTACAACGGCTTATGACGGAGGGGTTGTGATGTATGGAGGTGGTTGCTCGTCTCAAGCTTGCTGGAGCAAACAAAAAGTCTATTTCTAGTGCTCCAGGATCCCTTGCCCCCCACTCTGCCAGCATATTAAGTTTTGCAGCGGATTTCCGCAATTTTTAGGCCACCCGAACTTCCAACATTTGCTTGAGCCAAACATTCAGTGGTCGGACCCTTCTGTTACTTCCTTGCTAGCATTGATTGCGCTGTTGCCCCGCATTCATGCCAACTACATTTACAAGCCCAACGCGAACCCACTAGTAACAATCTTCCTGAAACCGACGCAACTTTAACCCCGTCTGTTTTACTTTCTACCTTCGCTTTTTCCTGAGCATCCCCTGTACTTACCAACCGCGTGCTAAGAAAATCTCAGCCCAGCTCTTCAACTTTTTGCAGTAAGATCCCTCGGGCTTTTGGTGAGCCGCCGTAACGTCAGCTACGGCGCTCATTACTGTATCTGGGGATCGAAGGCGGCGAAATGGCTGGACAGGTTAGTGTTTATCCGCTGCGTAGCACTTTGCTGTCTGTCATGTATGCCGCTAACTCACATGCGACTCCCACAAAAGTCTGATTTTGAAATTGTAAGGGATCACATCTATTTTACCCCTTCCGGCCCAGAGAGCTGGCACACCAAGCCAGAATTCCCCTCAGCCGAAGAAATCCTGGCACGAGAATCTGGCCGGGAGAGCTTGCCCGAAAACCATGTCGACACACCGTGGCCCTCGAAAGAGGATTATCTGAAGGCTCAGTATGAGATTCTGCGGCATGAGGCCGTTGAGGGCCTACGCTACTCCGTGGCCACGTACGCAGCTCAATGTCGCCGGAGCCGTCGCGGCGTGATGGAAGACAATGATACCTGTATTTATACCAGGGTAGGTTGCCCCATCGGTCTCATGGATTCCCTTTGGCCTAACAACCTCTTCTTCTGCTCCCTAGGTTCATGTTCGGAAATATTTGATGTGTAACCTTGGTGCGGTTTGTCGGGTCTCATTTTCGACTGAAAAGTCTCACTACCAGATCCCATGGCTACAGTCCAAACGTCTGCTCCCAGGCACTGTTGTTGCACTTTCACCGAGCACCGACAATTTTCAGACCATCTGCAAAATTGCAACGGTTGCTCAACGTCGGTACAAGGATGCCCTAGATCAGGACCCCCCTCTCGTGGACTTGCTTTGGGTCAACCCTCAAGATGCAGTCCTCGATCCTGACCTTGAAATGGTCATGATCGAGTCCAGGAATGGCTATTATGAAGCTGCCCGTCATTCATTGGTCGGTCTGCAACACGCTGCTCGTTGTGAGTAAGTGGCGACGGCGGTTTCGGTTGCGGAGAGCGCAGAAACTGACATAACACTGCTTAGCTCCCCCCTCGACAAGTACCTCATCGGCGCCTGCAAGAATGACGGTTTCCCGGAGTTCATGGCAGGAAACACCTTCATGGATTTGTCCTCACTTGTGCACCGACCACCCGAAGAAGAGTCTACTATCATTGACGACTTGAGGACTTACGACATCTCTCGGGGCCAGCCCAATCTAGGGGACATAACTTCGCTGGACGAGTCCCAGTTGAGGGGTCTCTTCCACATTATTTCAAAGGAGCTTGCGATTGTCCAAGGCCCACCTGGTACTGGCAAGACGTTCACCTCAGTCGAAGCCATCAAGGTTTTGGTTGCAAATCGTCGTCGTACTCGGGCCTCGCCCATCATAGTAGCCGCTCAAACCAATCATGCACTGGATCAAATTCTCATTCATTGTATAGCTGCAGGGACAAAAGTCCTTCGTGTTGGCTCAAGAACACAAAACGAGCTCGTCAAGGAACGCACTATTTGGGAGCTTCGCCAAAAGACCGATATCCAAGCAGAGCAGAAAGTCAGATCTATCGATAGAGAGCTCCACGCGAACGAAGCCAGGATTCGAGCTCTCGTGCATAAACTCTTTGGGGAGGGGCTCCTTAACCCTGATGACCTGGTGGAAGCCGGCATCATCAGCCAAGAACAGAAAGACTCTCTGCAGGATGATTCTTACGAGACAGAGGCAACCCTAGATGAGCGTGGCCCCTTCGCCCTTTGGCTCGGAGATAGTCTCATCCCAGCCGAGGCCATTAGGGATAGTCATATAACTCAAAAGGAGTTCGATGAAACGGATGAGAGGGCTCGCAAAGAGCTTCTCGGATTTGAATGCGAAGAGGAAGACTTGGAGAATATCGGAGATGCGGATGATGAAGAGTGGCAGCTCCGTGGTACGTGGATTCCCATCCAGCATGTCTGGTCGGCCAGGGCGCCAGACAACCTGGGTTCCACAAGACGTGCCGTTGAGAAAGCCCTCAGAGACAACCAAAATCTCTATGAGATCAAGCCGAAACTTCGAGGCGCGGTCTACCGCTACTTCCAAGCCAAGCTTCTCGAGTCCAAAACACCCGAGTTTTCCAGACTTTTGGCAGAGAGAGATGCCCTGTGCAAGGAGCGCAAGCAGTGGAAATTCCTCGGCAACGTGGAGCTAGTCCGCAATGGAAAGTTCGATATCATCGGTTGCACTACAACAGGTCTAACGAAGTACCGAGGTTTTCTGGCAGCCACCAAGCCAACCATTATGCTGATTGAGGAGGCTGCTGAGACTCGAGAAGCAAACATCGTATCAGCTCTCTACCCATCGATCCAGCAATTGATCCTGGTGGGTGACCATAAGCAGCTCGCGCCCAAGTGCGACATTATATACCTCTCAGAGTGGCCTTATAATATCAATGTTTCTCTCTTCCAGCGCATGGTTGATCTCAATATGCACTTTGAAATGCTCAACCAGCAGCGCAGAATGAAGCCGGAACTCCGATGTATCGTCAACCCCTTCTATGAGACTCTCCGCGATCACCCCTCCGTCCTGTCGCCCAAGAATCGACCTGATGTTCCTGGCATGGGTGGCCGCAATTGTTGGTGGTTTACTCATAACTGGCCCGAAGATACCAATCCGGATTTCAGCAAGTTCAACAACTGGGAAGCCGAGATGATTGCTAAGTTCTTCGCATATCTCGTCTACAACGGAACCAGTCCTGAGAAGATTACCATTCTCAGTTTCTACAAGGGCCAGCGGAAAACGCTGGTGAAACAGCTGCGCAATCACCCAGGTCTGGCTGGCATCCCGAAGTTCAATGTCTGCACTGTCGATGCTTATCAGGGTGAGGAAAACGATATCATTCTTCTTTCGATTGTTCGAAGCCCTAGGGACAATCGTTACTGCATGGGTTTCGTGGAGGATGCCCACCGCGCTGTCGTCTCCATAAGTCGTGCCCGTCGTGGGTTTTACATCTTTGGCAACATTGAAAATGCTCTTCATGCAAGCACCGGGTCCAGAGAGCTTTGGGGCAAGATTTACGAGGGTTTTCTTGACCAAGGGTGTGCTGATACCGGGCGTGGAATTCCCCTCGTGTGTGAGAAACATCGGCGCGAGATCTGGATAAAGGATATTGATGATTGGGTGGGTAATGCTGGAGGGTGTGACCTTCCATGCGGTGAGATCCGTCCTTGCGGCCACCCTTGCTCCCTCAATTGTCACCCGTAGGTTATCCCATTTTGTGTGATCGTGAGTTTTGTTGTCGCTTTTCACTAAGCTCTTGGCGATATCATTCTAGGGTTTCTCACAACAACCTCCCATGCGACAAGCCATGCCCGAAGTTACTAGGTTGTGGCCATGCATGCCAGAAAATGTGCAGCCTGCCTTGCCATTGCGACTGTGAAAATTTTAAAGCACTTGCGGCCCAAGACCAGTCGGTAAGGCACGAAATATCCTTAGAGGAGAAACTGCTTCTTATGGGCGCTGAGCCCAGTGAAATGTTGATGACGTCTCTCAGAGAACGCCAGGCTGCTCGGAGATCCTGTCTGCCAGCTACCGGAGTTAACCCTCCTCCTGGCATCAAGCCTGCGCCCACCAACACAGCCGTGCTTCCCACAGTTAACTGGCCTTCTTCCCGGGGTAACGAAGCAAACAATCAGCTCAACTCGTATCGTGACACCACCAGTTTGATTGCTACCCGAGCAGCTTCAACAGCCTCTAGGAGGGTGAGCTTTCAGACCAATATGGAAAGCGACAACAAAAACGAGACTGTAGCCCCAACGATTGCCAGACAACCAGTTGATGGATCTCTCTTTTTCAATGTCTCCCAGCGCACAACTGTGCAGGATGGGCAGAGAGTGAACCACGGCCACAGGTTTGCCGGGAGTGTTCAGAGGGGCAGTAACCAGAGGACCACCACGCGAGATGATATGGCATGGAGCAGTGTCGCAAGCTCAACTTCTTCTCCGATTCACGCCGGTGACTTCCCTCCTCTTGCATCTTCGGCTCCTCAAGGCACAAATAAGAAGGGGTCTGCGTCGAGCAAGAGGTCGAAGACATCCAAACGCAGCAATGGTCAGGGCAACACTAACCAACAACAATCTGCTACGCCCACCACTGCCACTTCGTCGCTTCTCGATGAGCCTCTTATCCCATTAAGTGGCTCATCTTCGAATGGATCGGTCCCTGCTGGACTTCGCGGCATGTCACAACTCTCTCTGGAGCCCCTGATTCCGTCTTCGAGGGGGATTACCGGTGATGGCAATACCAATACCAATCTGTCGAGCACCACACAATGGAAGCAGCCTGATGAAGAGGAGTGGCTGATTGACCTTTGATCTGATGTGTTCCTATTTGTACATGTTACCACATTTTCCATGCTGAAGTGCGACTTCGTTGTTCTTCATAAACGGCCATCAGTGCAAGAGATATTCAGTGCAAATGAAGTTTCAGCCTGACAAAGTTTCCATGGGAGTTGTCATTAATCAAGTAGTTCTTTACCCCCCCCCCCACTCTCCGCTTAGTTGATGTTAAGCAGTGTCAGGATATCGCTCGTGTCTCTCGAGGAAGACTCTGCATGCCTAAATCGTCCTTGGTGGTGAACCCCAGCAGGGGAATGTTTACATACTCAAGAAGTGTCCCTGAGCGCCGTAAACTTCGCCAAGACACGAACAAACTAAACCGTTGCATGTTGTGAAAACTGCCCTGATGGCTACTCTGCTTCTGCTGGTCATTTAGGTCCTAAACCACCTGGAAGGAAAGGATTACCCTATTTACACTCACTGGCCAAACCTGACTAAGGGTCCTTAGCCTAGCCAAGCCAAACGTGAGTTAGTAACTAGCAAAGCGAGAATCTAGCGCCCGTAAAAGTACTAAACGCAGTGTGGCGATCCAGCTAGCCTTCCTTAGGTGGGTTCGGGTTTGGTTCAAGACTTATGGATTTGAGAGACCAGAATTCTTGCGCAGATCCAGAAGCACTGCGGTCGCCAGTTGTTCTGGGCAACTGTATTGCTGACCGAGGAACTCTTTCTCCTCTTCCTACGAGGAATTAATCTACCTTGTATATTCAAGCCTTTCTTTATTTCTTAAGGGTCCTTTGGTACCTCGTCAGTATCTCTTGGCCAGACGGCCATTTGGGGCCGCACGAGACCTTTTTTGTTGGTCCTTTGTGCCCGGCTCCGCTTTTCCCGTGCGATATCCTTATTGATCGTAGCACGCTGGGGCTGGCTTTAAACCTACTGTTTTTAACTTATACGCGTTCCCCCTTCATAGATATAACCTATATTTTCGAAGATTCTAAGTATTTCTTCTGTTAGTAGTTACATAATATTGTTCTCTAAATCCTATTAGTGACGATCCACCAAGCCTTCCTGAGATGGGTTCGGATTGGGATCAAGGCTTATGGATCTGAAAGACAGGAAATCTCACGCAGATCCGCAAGCACTTTAGTCACCAACTTAATTTGCGCAACTGTTTATACTGCTGGCTGGGAGAGGCAAAGCGGCCATTAAGGCAGTTTTTAGAACCTGTCCTTATTCGCGAGATTATGCAGTATGGCATAGCGAGTACCCATTCAATTGACAGCTGCGTGCGTTTCGACGGTGCTGGGTCCAGATGGCGGAAAGTTAGGATGTTGTGCAGTTCCTCTTATCGGGGATAATTGGGCAAATATTGCTGTACGTGGCCTGTAGTCAATGGGGGAAAAGAAATCATTTAATGAGCAGTGTCCAACATGGAGACAGTGAAGCGACATGATTATGCATTGCTAGCAACCGAGTTGAGCGCAATTCCTCAAAATTTCTTTAGATGACCTTCACTCCGACGCCATGCCCTTAGGGTATTAGCTTAGCAACGCATTTCATGGGTATAACATTGCCTACCGTATCATGATGCAGTCAACTAGCACCTTCCTTTCCTTCAACCCGTCTGCGATCAAGCACAACCCAGGCCAGACAGAGAGGTAAAGGATCCTATACAAAATTAAAAACATAGCGACCGCATCACGGCACGAAGGCGTATAAACAGCCCCATATCAGTATTTCCTCCGTTCAACTCGTCATTCACACACTTATTTTGTGACGTGGATCTCGTACCCAATCATCACCTCTGTGCTGGTACCGGTCCATCCTCTCGTGCCGGCAATGGAGATCATGATTCTCGACGTCGGGTCAATGTACAGATCCGAGATGACGCCTGCCTTGGGTGGACCTGGGATAATGATAAACGGCACCTTGCTATGCTTGAACGCTGCATTCTCCCTCAGGTCGTACAACCGCAGGATATCATAGCTCGCGCACACCAGGTGTCGCCCGTTGACCATGGGCCGCACGCACGACACTGGGCCGCTGCCGTTGGGGAATTTGAGTGCGCGTGTGGGCTCCCAGGAGGAGGTTGCCTTGTGGATGCTGTATTCCTCAACTGTGCCATTGCGCCGGCCCGCGTAGATGAAGTTGCCGTCGATTGACCAGCATGCGCCCATGCACCAGGGGGGCACGCCACGCCGGTTGTTAATGCGTGCGACAGGGTTGGGCATGCGGCGGTCCCAGATGCGGATTGTGCCATCAATGGCGGCGCTGAGGAAGGTTGTAGAGGAGCACTGAGTGGGGTCGTTGTGCGGCGGGGGTTGGGGTGCTTCAACGATGAGGCTTGGCTGGGTTTGTGATTGTTGGTCTGCGGAGGACTGCTGCGGTTGCTGTTGCGTTTGTGCTGCATCGTTTGTGCTGGTGGTTTGAGTTTGTTGTCGGTCGTCAGTGACAGATGAAGAAGCCTGCTGCTGCGATTGCGAATCTGTAACTGTTAGGGCTTGACTATCTGATTGCCCCTGAACGGTCTGGCTGCTCATGGTGTCGCTATTAGAGACATGAGATTCCCCTCTGTTGGTACCAGTCCCCTTCTGCTGGGCTGATTGCCCGTCTTGTACAGTGGAAGACTCCAACTGCGTTGTTGACGGCCCGTTAACGTCAGTCATTGTGAAATCACCCGAGTGATCCAGTGTGTTGTTGTTTGAGCCCTCCCGAATTGCCATATCCATTGCCCTGGTAAAATCGTCGTCCTCGTCTCCAAAACCTCCGCCTCCACCCATGGTGTCATTATCGCCAAAAAGCGATCCGGCGGGGCTGCCAAAGATGGAATCGTGATCGTCCGAGCCGCCGGTTTCCCCGCCAGCTCCCGAAGTGCCGTTAGCGGTGTTGCCCCCAAAACTGTTGTCCTGCCCAAATAAGCCGGTAATCCGTGGCCTCGTATCACCGAAGAAAGTATCACTCTTTGTTGCGGGTTCGCCTGCTTCGGCGGGTATCGGAGCACCGCTCAGCGGACGCCACTCGATCGCGGAGATCTGACCAGCACTTCCCTCATAACGGCGAATAACGTTGCCATTGTTGAGGTCCCAGTCGAGAACAACCTTATCCCAGCCGCCACTCAATACACTCTTCTCGTCAGGAGCAAGCTTTAACACACTAACGGCGTTTGTATGTCCATCCTTGAGACAATGTATTCTTTTGCCTTCATCGTGACGAACACTCATCAGGTTGATTCCACCGCTCTCCAGGCCGCTAAGGAGCCATAACGCCCGACTATGAATGGCCAAACTGTAAACTGGAGACAGAATTCTATCCTCCGGACGTGCGTTCGGAGGGGCTGGCTCCTCATTTTCCCAGTAGCTCATGAGCACGCCGGCCTTGACGACGCTATCGACAAAGGGATGGCGCTGGGCGACTGTTAAAAGCTGCTTGCCGTTAATGGTTGCCATACCGTCGTACTTGCGTATATAGCCATCAGAGCCTCCGGTCATCCAATAGCGCAGGTCCGGGGTGATGGCCATAGCATTGATGCTGGTGGCTTGAGGAGCGGCAATAGTAGGCACGATATCGTAGAGAGGAGCGTCAATATACTCTTGGCGCAGGATGGGTCGCCATTGGCCAGCAGTCTTTGGCGGTGCTTGCGATGCTGACACACGCGTCGTGGCATCTTGAGTGGCACCGCCATCGGGAGCGGTAGGCTGCGCATCGTCTTCGGCTTCCGCGTCCACGTCGGGCTCTGCCTCGACTTCTGCTTCCTGCTCGTCCTGCTCATCCTGGTCTTCCTCCTCGTCCTCGTTTTCATCCTCGACTTCATTGTCTACCTCCATGTCATCACCAAACTCCAGCTCATCTTGCTCATTTTCGGAACTCCCATAGTCATCGTCCATGCTGGCGTTAGAGAGTTGCGCTGTTGTACTTTGAGTAACGAATCGCAAATCGTGCGTGGATATCTGGCGAACAGTTCAATATGCAGGACACTACCGGGTCTGGTTAGGAGCAAAAACAAGAGGGGAAAATAAAAATGCGGACGCTGTGAACAGGTTGCTCAAATCGATCTTCACAGAACGTCACTTCAGACGTTGTGGTCCGAAGAGAGAGGCGCGTGGGTGTGGGGGAGACTAACGCGCCTTGACCCTGGCACATGCATGTTACCTGGGTGCACGATTTACCCCACTGTCTTCTGATCCGTCATTCTGTCACGCATCAGGTGTTACAGTGAAGCATAATACACTGTAACTTACGACATGCCGTCGAGCTGACCTCGATTGGGACTTTGCATCAACGCAACGAAACAACAAAAATGGACTCCAGTTGATGCATCCAAGATAAAGCATGTGACACTGCAATAGATTGTCAGCAAACAAATGGCCGGAGGGACTAAACTAATGTTATTTATAGAGCAAATATTCTAATCTCATGTCCTTGGGCCCCAGATGCTTTTCAGGGGCTTAACTGCTATTCAGTTATTGCACCAAACATTGGCGAGCTCTCAAACTACCGAATTCAATACGACATAGATGGAATGGGTTAAGCTCGCCGTCGCTGGATAACTTTGGATAACCGGGAACCCCAAACTGCCAGGTCAATAGTCGACCGTTTACTGCTAGCCATACAACAGCCACCCTTCATGCAGTCTCGTAGATGAAGGCGTCCAGCCCATGTTTCCTCCTGCATCGTCCTCCGCCATCTTGGAGAAACCTCACGACAGAGGCTTGACAGCACTAATCATATACTGGGCTGATCGACGCATAAATTCTTCCATCCTCCGTTTGCCAGGGCTGTCTTCCAATATGTTTGAATGCATGCTCTGTGCGGAACGGTGGGAAGGGGTCGACTGGTCTGACGGTCTCTCATTTTCTTGGTAGTTGAGGACCAGAAAAGAGCAGGCAGAGCGAATGGGGCGATGAGGGTTTGCTGGCAACACCGATTTTTCTGTCTTCCCAACGACGAGAAAGTTGGGGCCACCTACTCTCTCCTGGAGGGGACCGCTAGCTTCAGGATTGAGAGTCGAAATACTTACTGCCTTCGTTAAGGCAGTTTCAGCAATGGCGACACCTTGAACAGGTGCTCGAGTAACAGGCAATCCAACAGGACCATCACCATTTGGGATGGAAGGTGGGTTCTCGACCATCTCCTAGTCGGTGTTATTGTTCGAGACGCCACCCCTCCAGAGCCCATAGTAACCCTCACAGTTCTTCCACATCTTGATAGTGCCATCTTCCGAGCCAGTTGCGTAAAGGTTGCCATCAGGGGAAAATGCAATCGACCAGATAGGGCCATGGTGGCCCTTGTGCACATCGAGCTCCTTGCCATCTTCCCAGTCGTAGACGCGGGCCCAAGTGCCTGGCTCTTCTCCAACAACAATCTTTCGATTCTTGAGGTCAACTCCAACGCTTGCGATGCCATGGGAAAGCTTCATCTGCTTAAGCTCCTCATCAGCTCGCATACCGCCCCAGAAATAAGCAGTCTTTCCCGCAGCAACGGCCAGGACGGGAAGGCCACCGCCGATGTCGGTCTGAGAGGTGTAGGAGGGCGCGAGAGACACGAGCTCGCAAGACTTGATCTCGCCGTCAAGTTTTGCCTCACGGATGCACTCCCGCTTAGGGATATCGAACCAGCGAAGTGTGTCGCCTGAGGCTGTGACGATGATGCTAGGATCCCGCGCCCAGACAATGAACTTGATGGCCTCTTTGTGAACACCCTCCCCGATCTCAAAGGCCTTGCTCGGCTCGATGGTAATGGGCTGGGCAATTCCCTGAGCATCGGTGGGCTGACCCTGTTTCCTTGCTTCCTGGAGATCGAAAATGCGGAGTTTCTTCTCAAAGCCGCCGGTCGCTATCAAATCCGATCGGTCGAAAGGATAAGCGACAGCACGAACGATATGTTCGTGCTGGAGAATAAACAGTAGCTCTCCAGTATGAGTGTCCCAAATCTTGGCTGTGAAGTCGGCAGATGCGGTTGCAGCAGTCGAGGCATCAGGGCTCAGTCTCGCCTGCCAGACAGCGCCTTTGTGCCCCAGAAAAGTTCCGATCCAGTCACCCGTTTGACCATCGCGAAGCATGGGATTGCCATCTGTAGAAGGTAGGTTTGTCAGTGGCCGGACGAGGACGACTTTTGAGGAAAGTCGGTCTGTACAAACCCTTGCAAGCAGAAATCATGTAATAAACATCGTCTTTCTCCAACGGTGAAAAGCTAAGGTGAGGAACCGGCCGCGAGTGGCCGTGGCATGTCAAAGGAACGTATTGACGCGGGGCTGTTTCGCCCATGATGATCTAGTAGATGGAGAGGTAGCTAGTCCCAAAAAGAGTGTGTAGTGGTAAGGAGCGGACTGCTGTTGCGCTGGTCGAAAAGTGGTTGAATCAGCGGATGAGGTCGGATGTTAAACAAGCTGACAGAGATGGGGAGCGACGACAGAAGTCTGAAATTCAGGCACGATCGCTTTCCGCGTTGTTGGTCGGTTGCCACGAAGACGCGGGGTGCAATGGTGGAGTTGGCCAAGTCCGTGGTTACTGGGGGCTTCTTGCGCGGTTGATTGGATGAAGCATGGAGGGGCTGTCCTGAAGCACCCCACGATGCCCCTGTTTCCGATTGTCACAAACCCTAAAAGCCTTGAAAGAGTACCAAGGTATCTGCGTACCCCGTTCCATTATTCGAGTCATCATACTCAGGCTCAGCCCTGATTTATAAGTTTATCCATAACCCGCGCATAAATGGCCAAAGGCCAAATACAATCATTGATTGTGTAGATGAAGGGCTGAAAACCCTCTGCATCGTTTGGAAGCAGAGTGATTTTTGCGGTACGTGTAAGGGCACCTGCTCCATTCTATGCGGGCAAGTAGGTGCCTTTTCGGTAATGCAATCCCGAGACCAGGCAGCCTCGAGTTACCACAGTACGCCCGCTTTGGTACATCAACGGTGTCCCATGATGGAAATGTTTCCATCCTCTCAACAATACGGCATCCCGTAATTCCAGATGATAGCAAAACACGCTCATTGAAGACAGTCCTTCCTCTTATGGTGCCAGTTCGTATTGAGCTGTATTAACTTGAAACCTGTAGGGCTCTGGCAAACCAACAAGGTGCTGAGGTCGGGCCCACGCAGCATGGAGAGCTTCCCTTGACACCAACCACCTACCCCACCATAACCTGCCGACTAACACCTCTGGGTCGCCCTATCTGGAGCATGAAACAGCGGCGCTTTTCCCCAACTTCAAGCTGTCTGCCCCGCCCTTCGTTCCGCTGTAAGAGCAAGCCTCCATCGACAAACAGTACTTCAAGTTTCCGACTCCTGTGTGCTCTTTGGGGATCCTGTATCTTCTAGAAAACACAACGGGAGCCTCACAAGGCTATATTTTCTTGCTGCAGACCAACATTCGAGGTCCGTGCTGACGGCAATCTCTCTGTGCCCCCATCGGCATCACCATCACCACCAGCACTCATCCCCTTTACCCCGCCCTACCCAACAGAAGCGCCCGACCAACTGCGAGATGCCGGATTTCAAGCTTTCGGCCCAGCTCAAGGGCCACGAGGGAGATGTACGTGTTTTAACCGCTCACATGCTATGTCGGGCGCTGACATTTTGTTTGCTCAGGTGCGCGCTGTCTGTTTCCCTAACGCTAACACCATCATATCTTCGTCGCGCGACCAAACAGTCCGGCTCTGGCGGAAGACAACGAACAAGCCACCAACCTTCGAGCACATCATAACCAGTCAAGGCCATGGCTACATCAATTCCGTTGCTTTCCTAAAGCCGAACAAGGCATGGTCTCAAGGACTCATTTTCTCGGCCGGCCACGAAGCTATCATCGAAGCAAAGCAGCCGAGCCTGACCGCAACCGACAATGCCGACAGGCTCCTGATTGGGCATGGACACAACGTGTGCGCTCTTGATGTGTCGCAGAGCGGTTCATACCTGGTATCAGGAAGCTGGGATGGGAAAGCAATCGTGTGGGGGACCGACAAGTGGCAGCCCGCTGTCTACCTCCTACATGCCGGCGGAGAGGTCAGAAGTGTTTGGGCCGTGCTGTTCTATGATGAACATACCGTTATCACCGGTAGCGCAGACACACACATCCGAATCTTTGACCTCCGGAAAACCAACCACACCGGCGAGCTTGAACCTCAACGCACTCTAACCACCAATTCAGTCGTGCGTGCGCTATGTAAGCTCCCTACCGGCCTCAAAGGCCATCCCAGTGGTGCCGACTTTGCCAGCGCCGGCAATGACGGTGTGATTGAGCTCTGGAAGTTGAACGGCACCAAGGTTGGCATTTTGCAAGGCCATGAAAGTTTCATCTACTCTCTAGCATGCTTGCCCACGAGCGAGATCGTGAGTTCCGGAGAGGACAGAACAGTCCGTATCTGGAGAGGTTCAGAGTGTATCCAGACCATTACACACCCTGCCATCTCCGTTTGGACCGTGGCTGTATGTCCGGAGAACGGCGATATTGTGTCTGGCGCTAGCGACAACGTTGTCCGTGTTTTCACCCGCAACCCTGACCGCATTGCTTCTCCTGAGACAATCGCCCAGTTCGAACAGTCAGTTCGCGAGTCCGCAATACCCCAACAACAGTTTGGCCCTTCTATCAATAAGGAGAAGCTAGACCCTCCAACCTGGCTCCAACAGAACGCAGGCAGAAAGGAAGGTGAAGTGAAGATGATCCGCGAGGAGGATGGGAGCATCGGGGCATATCAATGGTCCCTGAGTAAGTGATCACTCCTAGCAGCTTCCACCAGGGTCGTCACTAACCTGTCCACAGGTGAACAGCGTTGGATCCATGTTGGGACTGTTGTAGACTCGACAGCGAGTAGCGGTCGAAAAGTTGAGTATAATGGTAAAGAGTACGACTACGTTTTCGACGTCGATATCCAAGAGGGCGCTCCGCCTCTCAAATTGCCGTACAACCTTTCTGAGAATCCGTATGACGCAGCCACCCGCTTCCTTCAGAATAACGAGCTTCCAATGTCTTATCTCGACCAAGTTGGAAAGTTCATTATTGAAAATACCAAAGGCGCGACTATTGGGCAAACTTTTGAGGCATCGTCAAACGCCTACACATCTGACCAACCAACACAGTCAACACCCAAGTACTTGCCGCACACTGAGTACCTTACTCTCTCTCAAGCCAAGTGGGAGCCGGTTGCTAAGAAGATCAGAAGTCTCAACGAGAAGCTTTTGCTTGCCGGTCATAAGCACATCGCAATGAACCCCGATGGAGTTAACCGTCTAGAGAAAGCCCTGCAAGCAACTATGGGTGCCCAGGGCTCGAGGATGAAGGCTCCTGCAGGTCTCCAGGAAGCGCAGCGGAGTGTTTCCAACATCATTACAAATTGGCCTTATGGTGACCGCCTGCCGGGTCTCGATGCCCTTCGGTGCTTCGTCCTTTACCCAGGTGCCGCCTCCTTCAAAGATAGCGTCTATGGAAACCTGGTGGAGGTGGCACTGCGGGGTGCCTTGGTCTCCCAGGACCCAATTACCGAGCGTGACATGTCTCTGGATGAGCTCATCAGGACATTTGACGCGGGTCTAATCAATGTCAATAACGTGATGATGGCCTTGCGTACCGTGGTGAACCTCTTCTCCACGGAGGAAGGAAAGAGCCTCGTGGTGCCACAAGCCAGTTCTGTCATTTACCTCCTTGCTCGTCTCACCGGCGTAGAAGGCCCTCAGGGATATATTGGTCCTGAGAGCTCCCACCTTCAGATCGCTTTGACCTCAGCTTCATTCAATTTTGCTTGCCATGCTTTCAACAAACGCGATGCCATTGATCTCGAGCAGCTTATGCAACTGTGTCAGGTCGCCCAGGCGGTCATTAATTGCCAGAGTGATGCGGAAGTACTCTTCCGTGCTCTGATGACTATCGGAATGATCCTCTCCATCGGCGGGGACGCCCTGGAAATTGCAAAAACCCTTGAGGTTGGGGAGACGGCTAAGCAAGCCGCTAAGAAGACGGAAGATGCCAGAATCAAGACACTGGCGCAAGAGTGCTTGAGGTACCTCAAGCAGTAGAGATAACGCGAAGAAAAGGGGGTTGCTTATGAAAATGATAACAATCTACTCTAGCCCTTGCTGGACCGGGATCTAGGAGGGGCAGGCATTTTCTTCCTTTCCGCCTAGGTAGCAGGACGCGTTTCTCATGACGAAAAACGATTCTGCAGAACGTTGCTTCGTGAGTTAGCGATAGACGACCGTAATGAATGGAACCTCAGACTCCGATAAGCTGTGATATTGAGCCTCTTGACAATGCTATTACATGAGATATGTTGATCCCACAGGAACTTTGTCGCTCAGAGCCGCAAACCTCTGTTACTTTTCTTCACGAAGCGGGCGGTAAGCGACCTATTCGGCTCTTGAACCGCTCGGAGGTGTGATATACAAATGTGATGACAGTTTCGAAACGACATTGCCGCTTCTTGGTCGGCGCCAGGTGAGACACTTTGCCCAAAAGTCAGGAATTTCTTGGGTTCTGGGCAACTTATCAAGAGATGTCGCATGGAAACTCCTCATAACAAAAACCCATCTATCACACATACGACACACAACACATCACGCCTTAAAAATGAGGATAGAATATATGAGAGGATTTGATGCAGATATGCTCCCATTAAACCCCCGTTTTGGGAGACACAACAGCTGTAGAAGGCGAAAGACTACAGGGATCCAATGCCAGAGGATAGGTACAGATGCTCACATTCGATGACAAGGAGCATGAAGTTTCTTCTAAATTATTTTTTAAGTAGAGCAATGCAGTTCTCTGAAGACAAGAGTATCTCATCATTCCAGGAGTGAACAAAAAAACCTACGAGATGGACCGAGATGGAAAAACCTTCTTGCCCGGATATCTTGCGTTACCGTCACCGATCACCCGAAAAACGCCTAACAGACCGAAAAGGAAGAGACCCCCAAAAAATGGAACTGAAATGTACAGTGCGGTCTCTGGCCGCCTAATTCCCCTCGCAGTCACGAACTACTCCATCTCACACCTTCATAGCACCATCCAAGCTGCCAAGCCGACAAGCAATAGCGGCAGATGCCCAAGGAAGCGGTAGTTCTCAAGACTAGCGCCACTGGTCCTGGGAGCGTTAGGGTCTTCGCCCGATGCGCGCAGTGTCAGCGTGTAGATATCGGCGACACCAATGTCGGTGCTGTTGAAGCAGTTGGTTTCATTGACCTCGGGGATGCGCGGGTCACCCGGTTCGGCAAAGATAATATCAACGCACTAAAAAGCCAGAGTCAGCAGGCATAGTCTTATTCAACTTAAGAATGAGGGCATCCTACCGAGTAGAGAGCGGCACCGTGGACGGCCAACTCGACGATCTGGATTGTGGCTTTGTCGCCAGGCTTGACTGTCGTGTTGGCAGGCAGTGGAACCTGTGGCAAACAGACGGTGCCAGGATAAGGGTTCTTGTGAGGCCCAAGAATCTGGAAAGGAGGGATCATCGGGAAGGACATATTCTGAGGACCGCCATGAGGACCATCGGTGCCAAAGCCCATGTTGACATAGATGAAGGCTGTTAAATGGCCAGCGAACCAGCCTGGTTGGAAAGCTATGGCACCTCCCGTTGTCGGCCAATATGTCCGGTTATTTGTCACTTCAAGACCGCCGCCTTCACAATAGTGTCAATGCACGTGCGTTCATGACAGATGGAACAAGGTGAGTTGGGAAACTCACATGGATAAACCCATTGCATTCCATAAGGGAAGGATTCGTTTGTGATCAGGTTGTTGCCTCTCCAGCCCGGATATGTAATGACAACGTGGGCGGACGCAGTCGCTGCGGTCGCGACTGTAAGCAATGTTGATGCAAGCATGTTGAAGAGTGATATGTCGGTAGGATGCGATCGTCCCCGCAGAAACTCCTTCACTTTCTATGCTTTCCAGAGCAGATCCTCTTCCTCCTGTTCGAAATCGAGGCTCCTCGCAGTCCTTCCTCAGTTTCAGGGGAGCGGCGCCAGGCCGGATCCCGCGCTCGTCAACCGGTGATTGGGATGTAAGTGGCGGAGGCTTCGATGGAGGCTTTGACGTGGATTGAGTCTGCGGCGACAAGCAGCACAAACCCTAAAGTTGATGTCAAAGACAGGTCGCCGTGGCACGCATCCATAGAAGGAGCAAGAGAATAAGACCGCAAAGGCTGGACAGCGGGAGGGTAATATCTGGGAGGGTATCGCCCAGACGCAGAATGTGGCGGCCCCTCTCCAGCCGCTGTGATGGGTCACTTCAACCAGAGACTGCAGCTAGCCCGTCGCCCTCCCCTCTCTGCACGGCGACGGCAAGGAACCGGGCCATGGTCCGACTCTCGCATGCCGAAAGTCCCCAGTCTGGACGGCTTTTTGGCAGCAGCGCACCAGCAGGGCTGCCGGCCACTCAGAAGCGCTGAAAACGGCTGCAGGTGGTTGAGAGCTGCATGCCGACCCTCCCACTCCCTTGTCGCCTGAGCCCAAATGTGGCCAATGACAGGCCGCAAACGGCATGCTTGGCCGCAGGCGAGTCGCTCTGCCTTGAGGGGCGAGCGCAAGCCCATCACATCGACGATGGCCCTCATCCGCCGTGAGCAATTCCACACCTCCCGCCAATCGCAACGTTTCACTGCATTTTTCCCTTTGCTGACGGCCCAAATTGCGCAAAAACAGGAGTCGCAACGTCGCTCCCCTAGCGAGCGATCCGATGACCGTCAATAATGCTCTGGCGCTCTCATGTCTCTTGTGCAAAACATTCGCGGCGAATGTGCACAGCAACTGAGATGAAGACCCTTGCGATCTAAGAGGAAGCGAAGGACCGGAACGCCACGAGGGGACGGTCCGAGTTACACGGCGGGAAGAGGTTGGTAGTTAGTGGCACCGGGCCCGATTTCACAGTCACATAGGGTGCTCCTCTCCACCGGGCACTTGTCGACCAACCCTTTCACGAAGCTAAGCGCCCAGACACCCGATCGGGAAACCAATGGTTTGCTCGCATACCCGTGCCAGGAAGCTGGTGTGCTGGGCGTTTTGCTCTGGTGATCTGATCGGATCTGCCCGCAACGTCGTTCCTTTCCAGCGGAATTTCTTCCATCGGAATACGGAGTACGGATCCGTATCTCAGGGAGCTGACGGCACCGTTTAGTTTGGCATCACCATTGTTTCTGCCAGATGCTGCTCATATGTGTGTGTGCTAGGGTTTGCGTAACCGGACACGGTAGTGTACAAGCAAGTATCTGATCGTAATCGGCCCAGTTCCAACTCGCCAGAACTTTCCAAGCCACTGGTGATGTAGTACGGATTACAACTGTCAGCAACCTATAAGTGAATGTAATATCGAGATATTATCCTTCAGGCGAGGGACTTGTGACTTACCGAACCGTTATTCCATTTTGCTAGCGAGTAAATCATTTGGTTAAAAACCGACGGCACGGACTTGATAAATTTTTAGGAACGGCATTTATAGTCAAGGAAAGTCAAGATGCATTATGTCCTTATACTCCTTACCTACACTCCGTGGTCCAAGAGGTTTGTAAGTGAGCTCATGGCTTGGGGGCTCGATTTGTCAGCCAAGGCCACCTCGCGCAAGTTGACGCCGGAAAAGGAAGGCGGTGACTCCTACTAAGAAATTCATCTTATCATGGTGTACCTTATCGCCCCTCCTTACAACAATGTACCCCTCGATTTCATCCCATTTGCAGTTCACTCAAAACTCGACCGTTCTAAGTGGTTTGTTGTTCATCGGATTTGAGTCAGATTGCTACGATTTGATACTACTATTTTAAACAGTTGCAAGTCCTCTTTCCCTATTTTCGTCGTACCCTTCGAACCCATCGTCCACAATGGGGGCACAAGGAGAGTGGTGTCAGGTCAAACGCAAAAAAGGCCGTCTGCACACGATTACTCCTGAAGCCCAGAACGACTTGCGCCTACCAAATCCAAGCCCAGAGTTATCTGCTGATGATCTCCGACGGTATCATGGGAACATAGTGCATAAATGGCTCCAGTCCGAGTGGTGGAAAAAGGTTCTGGATACCTGGGAACAGGCTTTAAACAAGTCATCTCCCCCTGTCATTACCACAGCTGTTTGCTTAGGACCTGGCCCGTTTGAGCCAAAGAGTGGGAATTTGAAAATGAGATTGACTGCTCATATTCAAACGGCCGTCTTTTGCTCACTTGTTGATCACTTGAGTGGGACCCCCCAATCCTGATATGTCTATGCATAGACATGACTCTGGGTCACTGACATTTCCTAGGTCAACGAACTGGTCAACGGATCAGACGTGTGATCCAGGAGCCAATGTTTACGGATGTAGACAAGGAGTTCTGCTCCAGCCTTGGGATAGAGCCTGTAAACGATCCCGAAGCCTTCCATCTGGTGGATGAGAAGACATTATTATTTGCAATCCACATGGAACTGGAAACATACAATTCAGCCCTGGCCAAGCTCCCAGCAATCTATATCGGATCACACGTTGAGCAATTCAGGAACGTTGGGCGAAGCGAGGAAGATCTCTCTCGGCTTTCGGCGATGCATGATTCCTCCGATGCCTATGACTTCCCTGACCGCGACGTTGTCTTTCATAGCACGGTCATGTACCTGAGGAGAGGTGGGTCATAGAGGTCCGTCAATCACATGTCGTTAACTACTTCCATGGGGAAGAAACATATAAGAACTGACCTTGCCTAGGTGTTTGGGTTTCTGCTGGAGTGTCCGGTCCTCGATATGCATCCCTTCCAGATCGACATATCCATTTTACATCCTCCACAGCATGCCTTACGTTGAAAGCACCTCCCTATCTGTGCCACGATTTTGCTACCTCCTATCACCAAAAGCCGCCGATTGTGTTCCGCTTCTGTATATTGCGTCTTAACTGGGTTAGTCCCGCTTTATTGCAGTTTTTTTGGTTTTTCCAACCATTGAACACACGTAGGCATGCGTGCCACTTGCATAGGCAGCTTTTACAGCATGTCTGCATGCATACGTTAATACTTCTGCTGCACATATGGCACAGATTGCACGGTTTACAGAGAGGTAGGTTACGTAACTGAGGGCATGTTGTAGGTCATGTGGTTACTGAACAACCTCCAAGCAGCTTCATATGCCTAATCACGGTAGCTAATTGTATACATCTGGCTTTTTGCTCGCAAAGTTTGCAGAGTCCTCTTATCTCATTACGGCACTTATAACCCTGCTCGGAGTTTATCTTGCAGGGGACTTGCCCTTCCAAGAGCTACCGAGTGTTTCATTGTGTGGCCAACACAACATTGATGCAGCTCCCTTTCTTGCTGTTCTGCCCCTGTCCTGCAACTGAGCTGTTTTAGGCTTCCTGCAGACCATATCCCAATCATCCATGACCGATTTTATATAAGGTATTCTAGGTAGGCTCGATTCATGGTCATTGCAAATATCTTTTTACCTACTTCATGTGCTTAGACTGCACATGGAGGGCTTGATCTTTACACATTGACTTGTGTATCGTGCTTTTTGATATTACCATTAGTTTCACTTTCAACATCGCACTCGTGATACCAGACACAAAAGACAAAAACTACCCAACGAATACCACTGAGACTCCGAAGATTGACATTCTTCCGGCGTCTAACAGGCAATCGGTATGCCATTTGAAAAGAACCAGCCGTATTGTTAACGATGAGGAGGTCAGATCTAATAGTGCTGCTTCAACATTAGCCCCCAGTAGCCGATGACGATACGGATTCGATTTCTGACCTGAGTCATGCTACCAGCACCACTTCTCTCCGTGAAAGTATCTTCGAGTACCGCAAACGCTATGGTCGAACTTACCACCATGAGTATGGCGAGGCTCAGTCTTGGATCCCAAATGACGATAAGCACCGGGAGGGTATGGAACTCTTGTAAGTCACTTGAAACAAAGAGACACATAGTATCCATGCTCTGAAGAACAATGCTTATATCCTCTGCTAGGCATTATGCTACCATTGTACTACAGGGCGATAAACTCTTTTATAGCCCGCTGGATAAAGATTCAGTCAAGAAAGTTCTCGATGTTGGCACTGGAACAGGTCACTGGGCAATGTAAGTCTAAGATAAACCGTTTATCATGTTCAAGCTAGTCTTGATAATCGTTGATGCATTTGAGGCTAATGCCTAATTTCTGTTCTTGTAAAGGGATTTCTCTGACCAATTCCCCAATGCTCAAGTCACGGGGACAGATATTACACCAATTCAACCACTTTGGACCCCCCCAACCTTACGTTCGAGCTCGATGATGCAAACCAAGACTGGGCCTGGCCAGAAAATACGTTTGATTTTATTTATGTTCGGTTCTTGAATGGATGCATTCGCGATTGGGACAAGTTCTATCGCGAGGCCTTCCGTTGCCTCAAGCCCGATGGATGGTTTGAGCACCATAAGGTTGGTATTGGCTGGACCTGCGAGAAGGGCGGAATAACACCGGACAGCCCAATCGGTCAGTTTGTACAAGCCTTCTCGATAGCAGGAGAAAAAATAGGTCAGACCTTCCGCGTAGTTGAGGACGGACTACAAACAAAAGGCATGAAGGCAGCCGGGTTTGTCGACCTGGAAGAGAAAATCCTCAGGTGTCCTCTGGGTAGCTGGCCCACAGATCCACAGCTAAAGCAAGTTGGTCTCATGATGAATGAGGTTTTGCTTGGGGACCTTGAAGGTATGTAGCTTTGTCTCTCATTCGCTCCTCCCCCCCCCCTTCTCTCGCTATCTCTGGCTCAAATTTTGGTTGAGGGTCGACGCTGAGCTCTCTCCATAGGATACTGTCTCTTTCTCACGGGGCCTCTGGGTTGGAAAGAAGAAGAAACAAGAGTCATGATCGCCCACTTGAGTACCCACTTCCGCAGATCTGGTTTGCATCCGTATGTCCCTCGTCGGGTTGTTTGGGGTTAGAAACCTGCAGCTTGAGGGTTGCAGTTAGGTTGTATAGGTTGTGAGGACTGGCACCATGCAACAGCGGCAAAGTACTTCTATAGCAATGTGTTCTTCAACACCGGTTTCTTGTGTCTTTTTGATCAGAGATATCATCTGAACAACCCATCCACACTTCCACAGAGCAAATATCCTGGCCGTATACTCGGTAATTCCTTCTGGATGTTCTGCACCCCTGCTAGAAGCAATGGTTTCGCCAGGTTAAACCGTAATGCAACTTGGTCAACAGGATCGATCGCTGGTGAACTTCACTTTGCCCACTAATTCCCATGTGTCTGTCTCCAAGTTTATTTAATGGCAGGGCTGTCGATGTCACCTAGGAATGTCCCCATGCCCACATCTCGATCAATGGGCGCCGGGTCAAGCTTTCGCACATTTCTGATCTCGGCAAGGCGTGGTCTTGGCATAGGAGCATCAGCAGGCTGCCAGCGGAATTCACAGACCGAGAAAATGGACTGTAGCCTTCTTTGTCAGTTGGTCAGCTGTGGTGGGCTGGGCGTTGTGTGGCTGAAGTGACTGTGGGAGGGTCTTTCAGCTCGCCCTTGGCAAGCCGTGTTCCTCTCACTGACGTTGATACAAACACTCTGCGGAGTGTTCGAGATGTTATCCTGCATTTTCCGGTCTTTGCTGTCAACAATAATGCTGAGAAGCGAAGGGTCCACTTCGGCTTTATCCGCTTGATCTTGCGCCCCCGTTTGGTGTCACGATCGGTGCGAGGCATTGAGGTCAAAGCGTGCAGCAAGGCCATCGGTATCTCTGGGCTCTTCACGATCCATGTTTTTGGCGAAATTACAAAATTACGCCGACCGGGATTGAACTTCCATTCTGGACAGGCACCATCTGGAGTTGGGGCCTTGGCGATGCAATGTTTGGGGCTGGCCTTAGCAGGGTTGCAGGGAACCGGTGCTGCCGTCCTGCTGGTGGGATGTCTGCTTTCTGTCTGCTGGTGCCGTGTTTCTTCCTTTTTCCCCTTTCTCCTCTCAGCAGATGCCCTCTGGCGCTGGACATCGAGCATCGCGTCTTGCACGATTGAACGGGGACTCGCATAAGGGAAAGAAAGTTGGAACATCACCAGCATTCAGAGTTGAAATCCAGCGACATGGGCCCTCGGCTCTAACCGAATGATGGACCCGTCGAGCCCCCAGGGATCTGCGTCCCACCCGCCATACCCCAGAGACAGAGACCAGGGGCAGAAGATCATCAACTTCAGCAGCCCACAACGTGTTCGCTTCGCACCACAACCATCATCTCCTAACTCCAGCAGTGGACGACCCAGCTCAAGGCGAGGCAAAGCTTCACCTTTGCCGCCACCGCCAGGACCCTCAATATATTGGGACGACCGGAACAATGATACGACTGAAAACCTAGATCACTACACATTCTACCGGGAGGGGACACCTCCGCCCGAGGCAGAAGCTCAGGATAAAGAATCATCGCAGCAAAGAGGGGCTGTAAACCCGGTAGCTGAAGGCTCGGCAGCGGGAGGGGGCAACGCGAGCGATCGCGAGTATGGACAGCCTGAGCAGAGTGAGCTTGGCGCTTGGAGCGTAGCCGATAGCAATGTCACCAACCCGGCAAAGAGCAGACGGTTGCTATGGATCATTGTTGCTCTCGGCGTGCTGCTTCTTGTTGGAGTTGCTGTTGGAGTTGGGGTCGGATTGGGTATTGGACTGAAGAAGACGAGTGAATCCGGAGACTCTAAGTCAAGGTCAGTAATATCCAGATACTCTGGTCTAATGAACAGATAGTTGACCACGTATCTACAGCACATCACTGGAGCCCATAGTAGCTGACAACTCAACCACGGCCACGTTAACCATATCAACAGTTTTAGCAATACTTCCTCCTTCCACCTCAAACCCCTCCAGCACAACTTCTTTCGAAACCACCCAAACTGTCGACGTGACCGCGGGCTTCACTTCATCGAAGCCACGACCAAAGTACAACTCCGACTGTCCTGCCCTCAACAACACGGTCTACCACGTTCCTGGATCAACCCGAAGCTTCTTGCGCATCTGTGGCATCGACTACGGTAGCGAGGATGGCAACGCCATCGATCTAGGCAATGTTTATACGGCCAGCATGGCTGACTGCATGCACACGTGTGCCTCGTTCGATCAGTGCACTGGCTGCTCGTGGGGTTATATCGAGGGCGACGACGTGGGGGGCGAGCACCGGTGCTTTATGAAGAAGAATTTGAAGAAGCCTCATGTTGCCCATCCTGACTGGTGTTTTGCCATCCTAAGGGAGTGATTGTGAGTTTTGTGACAGTCAGGGGTTAGGGATTTGGTTATTTTCTGGATATGTTTTCCATAGACTCTTTGAGATACCCTTGCGCGCTGCTTATGAGTGTATTAATACCTAATGACCTGGTGATGTGGCGACTGGAAGCTGGTTTTGTGGGCAGCTGGATGAACGCAATTCCAAACATGATATGTCTCCACTTTTTGACAATGCAGTGAAGGATAAAACATGTAAATGAGTAGATGATTGTGTACAAGAAAGTCCTAGTATATCTATATTGACATGAGTTCTTGGAAGTGAAAAGCTAGGATCTCAGAATGTCCTCATATCCATTAATGAGCACCCCAAATAGTTCAACTTGAAAGTCTCAAGCGAACCTCCACCCCTCGTTAGCCCCGGTGATATTAACAAAGAGCGCAGATATCCGGGAAATAAGCAGCAGTGCATGTTACTAATGAATGAATTGCAAGAGCAATGATAAGTTTGTTTTTCAGGTTTGCTGCACGGTTATGGCATAAAGAAGGGCTGTCGTCGTGGTTCACATTTGCATGCATGCAGATGACAATCAATCTCATACGAGGAGGGGTAAAAGTTTTCTCATCCAGTAAGTGGATAAGGTGACCGTACTGCCAGGCTGACAGATATGCTTCTTGACTCTAACACCTGACTTTTGTAGTAACTCGCTAAAGGACCAACTCAGGCATACATTTTGCACCCTGGAAAGTTTGCATCAGTTGTTGGCGCCATCAAGCATTCAGGATATGCAATTCTTAAGCCGTCTTGATATGGCTATCAGTCAGTTTCTCTTTGTAGGTAACCAGCAGCCGAGTGCTCCTTATAACAATGAGACTTGGGGATGTGGTTTTTGTCCCTTCCACTTCTGTTCTACTCAAGAGTTTCCAGTGCAATTGATCGAAATTTTCCAAGTATTTCATCTGCGACAAAGAAGCCATGGCTCTTCTTGAACAGCATGTTTCTTTTTGGGAAAAGGGTCAAGGAACGCTGCTCTGGAACCAGATGTCTTCAGTCTCTTTCTCTACGGTTATATATCAAAAAGGTACTTGGAGGTTTCTTGACCGAAGTTTCAAAAACATAAGCAGGTCGAATGAGTTACAAATATTGGAGGATGATGATTTCAAATATGACCCTATCATCCACGTGGAAGCCCTCATAGGCAAAGCCAGCATTCAATGGACGACAAATACGATCCCGAAAGCTGCAAATGCAGTGAAGTAAAACGACACGAACCCAAAATTCAACATAACTCGATGGCCTGTGAAGCAGTGATTAGGAAACAACATCCAATTTGCATTGACCGAAGTGACCCGTTTAGCTCAAGGTGAATCCTGTTTGGTCGTGGTTGACAACACTAGGTTGATGTCCGACGGGGCCTGAATTCTAGCTTTTAGCAAGAACACTACAATTTATGATACGGGCTGGACTTTGAGAACTGGGGGGTCCATTTCAGATAATATATTCAGGTCAAATCGTGAGCAGGCTGCTAGCTCACCCCAGTATGCACCCGCAGAAGGCGTGACCTTCTATCTTTCAGTACAATCTAGCGCACAGCGCTTTCTTTCCTCAAGTCCAGAACAGGCCAAAAAGGCTTTTCCAGGAGCTTATTGGAATGACGGGGTTGGATTGGAAGCCTGGAACGGAGTAGCAAAGTGAAATACGGGCCCGAGTATCCTTTGTTGGGATCTGAGCATCCCAAACGGACAGGCAGGTACCTAATAGTTGCCAAGGTGCTTCTAATCCTCGGTATCATCTCTGTTCTAACAGTAATTGTGCGAATTATCGTCGGGCCTGCGAATCTTACTTTCTTGGACGGCCAGTACGTATATCTCATGACAAATATCAGAATCAATCGAGAGTTCAGCGAAAAGCTGGCAACTGACAAACATGTGGCACTTGTCAATTAAAACTTGCTATCTTACTGAGCTTTAGTCACATGTTATGGAACAAAGACTTAAGTAACTTCGAATCCGTCTGTTTAATGACATTGTGCCCACGATTTCAACTGTTTAATAGAGCCCGTGGGTTTTGCATTCAGCTTGTCGGATGTACACAGTTCGAATTGTCAGCACAGCGAAACACGTGTGTCCTCGAAAGATATTGAAAGCATTAAGGTCAAGCACTCGCGCTGTGGATCAAGTGGGTTCTGCCTCTTGCCAATATCTCGTGGCTATCCAACCGATAACTGTAGCCAATCTCGAGAGGCTATCTCTGTCATTAGGAGAGGTTAAATGGAGAACAGCTTCTAAGTTCCCAATAACACGATTTATCTCTGCGATCTGTTAAGTTGACTTCCCAGAAAGTGTTATAAAGACCTTCTTCTTCACAGAGAAGAAGCAATGAGGTTTGTTGGTCATTAATTGCGCACCTTTCAACAGGACACCTACTTTATATCTTGAAAGTATAAGGCCACGTAGAACCCCGAGGCTGCTGAGAGGAATTGGGTGTGTGCTGCAAGCTTGCACCAATTATTGCAACGCACGTACCCAAACACTTCATTTGTTAAGAATTAACTGTTTCCCCAAGGTGCCAATTAATGCAATGCTAGGCATGCTGTCATACCCCTGAAGGACGTAAACAAAGACTTTATGGGCTGGACAGGCAACCGCTGTGTGGAGGATTTGATATCGACACTTACTGTGCAACTTATTTGCATTCTCAATCTCTCCAATGGTTGCCCCCACTCTCGGGTAGCGTCCTTCCCCGCCTTCCCCCCCCCCCTTTCAAAAAAAAAAAAAAAACAAATAATTGTAAGTTACCGGATTGGCTGATGGATTGAAATTTCAAGAATCTCTGCCATTTCTGAGTCCTCAAGCAAATTCGCAACCTCCTACCTGTCTTTGGGCATTGGATCAGATACATTTAACAGAACTACAGTACATCGGAAGAGAACAACAGTCACATCTCACTGCCTGATTACCATTAACCTCACCTCATCCTCTCCCCCAACTGAAACTCTCCCTTTTCTCTCCCCCTTAGCACCCCGGACCCCCGGCATCCCACCACACGCCTGACGCGACCCAGTCCATCTTTTCGCGCACTCTCTCCCTGCCCGCGGCCTGCTGGGCCTTGATGCCGCGAGCGCGAAAACGCATGCACGCGTCGCACTTGTGAGCCTTGTTGGGTTTGCCGAAGCGGCCCTTGTCCAGCTTGCCGCACCACTTGTGTGGCACCTCGTCTGTCCACTCTAGGGGCGTGACGATGTTGGTCGCGCGGGCTTTGTTGTCGTGGGAGCGGGTCATTTTGGGGGTTTTGGGTTTGGGATTGATGGTGAACTTTAGCTTTGTGAAGTTTTGACTAGGAGGGTCGAGGATGATGCGGAGCTGAGGTGACGGGACTGGACTACAGCAACTGGGACTTGGGCAAAGTTTGGATGCAGTCCCGACAAAAAATCAATCCAGGCAAATGGCTGCGGCTGCCTTGAAATCGGAATGTTGAAGCAGCAGGTAGGCTCTCAAGAAATCACAGAAAACTGCAGGTCACTTTTGATGCATGTTGGCCCAAGACCGATGCGGCATGTCTGGTTCACATGTCAATTTGGGGGTTGTGAGATCAACCGGCTACGGGCCCAAGCGTTCCAAGGGCTTTGCCTCTGGTGTGGGGTTCGGGCCGAGCTCATGACGTCATTGATCAGATCTTTGGACCTCGGTGTAACCAGCTCCCGCACCGCCTGAGGTCAGACTGCTTAGGGAGACACTATCCTTGTTATATACTCTCTGAATCAACGTTTCTTTCCTTGCAGAATTCCATCTCGAGATTGTGCAAGGTGATATCGCATGTTTGCCAACGTTTTGTGCTCGGGATAATCCCCACATACTGTTTTCTACCCGCGACATGAACTGTGTTCCCCTCCAGGAATCCGTCCTGTTGGGACTCGGGAGACGGGAACATCGAGGTCCCCGAAGATTGAGCTGTCTGCTGTTTGAAGTTAGCGATATTTCTCAGCAGCTAACAGGTCTGCAGTGAAATGCCCGCCTCTTTAAGATATCACGACAGCATTGCCGCTGACTGCTGGGCCGCTGCCGTGATGCAGCTTAGTGGGCCTGGCCTCTATCGATAAGCGACCCAACCTCAACAATCAGCACCTGAAAGTTTCATGTCCTGGGCAGTGCCCTTGCATTATGACGTGTCTCCTCCCAATGCAAGTGCCGACGTAGCACACAGCACATCTGATGCCCAAAAGGACACAGAGGGTTCCTAGCCCAACATTGTGTGTCCCCTTTTTTTTTTTTCAGCCCTTGACACCACGACGTTCAACGTTCAGGTGGGGTACTTGAACGCGTTGCTTCTGCATAAGTCTTAAGAATTCATCTTGTCAGCATCCCTTCCATCCTAACCAACTCCCAGCCCCGCAATAGAGATCAAAATTCAAATGCATCTTAATCTAAACAAACTTACCGGAGGCGGTTCCCGCGGTAAATCAACCGCATCCCCTGCACTTTGCTCCCCGCCTGCCAACACGTGGCGCCCATCCGCTAACCCAGCAGACTCAGCGGGCGATTCATGTTCAGCCGCCAACTGCGAGGCCTCCTCATACGGAGGGGGCGAGGCAGAGTCTACGGGGTCGGGGTATCTCCTTTCCACCGACGAGAGCGACGGGCCCGGATAAGGCGGCAGATCCGGGTCCACGTCCGGGTCCAGCCACCAGCAGTAGGACAGCCAGGGGATATCGCTATCGCTTTCGCTGCTGTCGCGGCGACGAGGGGGGCGGCGCCGGTGCTGCTGGCGGGGGCGGGTCGGATGACGACCAGACTCGAGATCGTTGGGTCGCTGGTGCGCAGGGCCCCGCACCCACCACTGTCTGGGCCGGGGAAAGCCCGTGCCTGACGAGGACGGCGGCGGCGGCCCGACTCCGTAGCGGGAACCAGACGTAGGCGCACCGCCAGACCCATATCCCCGGGGAAGAAGGGAGCTCCATCCCCGCTGCCACGGGCCCGTCCTCTGCCCGGACTGCTCCCGGGACCGTGCACGTTCCTCCTCCCGAGCTCTCTGACGTTCTTGCTCGACCTGCTGCGCCAGAAACGCCGTGATGTCTGGGGAGATGGTTCCCCCCGGGTTGAGGCGTTCGGCGGCGGCGGCGGCGAAGGAGGCGTTGTACACGAGGACCGCCGTCCGCGAGCTGGGGTTGAAGCGGCCGTCGTGGATGCAGTGGCCGATGGCGGCCAGAACGAGCAGGAAGCCGAGGAAACCGAGGGTGAAGACGACGACCGCCGGTGCAGACTTGGAAGCCAAGTTAGTTTTCGGTGTTTGGGAAGAATGGGGAAAGGGGGCGATTGAGGGCGCCCACCATTTATCCAGGGTGGCTTTGAAGCCTGGAGCTTATGGTATGATATTGTTGACTATTTTCAGAAAGAAAATGAGGAAGAAAACCTTTTTTTTTCCCTGTTAACTATTTAGGCCTTTCGTCTCAAATTGGGGAGCACATGAACTGGCTGGGTTTCACAAGGTCCTGGTAAACCCAAAAAGGTCTAAGGGCATTGACAAATTCCTGCAGAATGAACAGATCCAACAACATGATGACGGCAATCCATTCGATCATTGTATGGTTGCGGCTCATCAATGGTTAGTATGTGCTTAGAACCACCTCTGCTCAAACAGTGCTAACCTGCGAGGTCTCAGAGCTGTCGTCGCTCGGATATGAACGAGTTCGGAAAGTTTCACTAGACAACAGTCCCAATCATTTGGGGGTTGCACGTCTTGTCACACAGAACCATCAACACTCAGCCCAGTATGATAAGCAATTATAATTGACTCAGCCAATTCAGTTCAGTCCCAAAAACATGTGTTTAGCAGCTGATCCCGGTATATTTGCCTTAGATCCTTGTACATCCGTGAGTTCATCCCATCTCGATCTCGAGAAATTCACATTCACTTTTTTTTTTTTTTGAAATGCAGAGACTCTTTCCCCAGAAAACCAATAGAAAAACAAACCCAAAACCAAACCCATGGTGTATCCCATCTGATAATTGTTCGCTCTTCAGCTTTAACAATTGTCAACTTCGTCCCCTGATATAATCCAATAAATAGAGAACCTCGAACCATTTCATGCTAGAACCCATCTCATCACCTCCTCTCTTCAGCTTTACCAGTCTCAGCCTCATCCTCTTCAATAATCACAACAACATACCGCCGAACAGTCGCAGTCTGCTCTAACTCCTCTTCCTCATCATCGTTCTGACTCAGGTTTTCCGTGACACACACAGAATGCCCCACGCTCTGGGCATCGGCACCCTCAACCATCTGAGCAGTGCCATCGATGGCATTGATAGCCACAACGTGATGCCGGTGCCGAGCCAGCAGCTCAGGTGGTGCGGTGCCCTCCTCAAACACGGCGACCTTCCTCTTCTTCTTGTTCTTCTTGGCCTCGCTGTCGGCCTTAACAGTAGAAGCGGCCGGATCACGTTCCTCGTCGATCACGTACAGGCTACCCTCAGCCAGCAGGGGGTCGGTAGTTGTTGTTTCTTCCTCGGCGGCCTCGCGCAGGACATAACGGCGTTCCGGGGCAGCAGCCGGTTTCTTGCTGTCGCAGGAATGAGTGCAGCGAGGGAGGCTAGGAATGGGGGTTTCGAGCGAGGCCTGGAAACGGACGGATGATGTGGTCGAGTCAATGCTGCCTGGGCCGGCACTGGTGGTGAGGGAGAAGTTATCGACGCTGAAATGGCGACGATGCTTGCGGCGTTTTTGCGTGTGCGGCGAGGACGATTCAGAATCTGATCGACGACTGCAATCGGCACCCTCCTGCTTGTGGGCTGCGAGTTTGCTGAACACGGCATTGCCGGAGCGTTCGCTTGCCAGGAGAGGAGCTGACTCCTCGTCGGAGCTGGATTCCGTGCGATGACTGCGAACCTCGGGTGCCGGGCTCCGGATCCAGCCCTGGAGGAAGAAGAGCGAGACCAAGCCGGCTGCAGCGCTAACCAGAGCCAGTGACCTATTCATGATCGCCCATCCCCAGAGCGAGGTGACGGCACCGGCAAACAGAGGGCCAACAAAGCTTCCCCACGAAGCTGCGAGGTTAGGGAGGGTCGTGACATGCGTTGTTGTGCTTCCGCTGGCGTTGAGGGCGTTGGTGAGTTCCTCGATCAAGGGGTCCCCCGCGAGCGCGATGGCGGAGGAGAGACCGGTGAGTGTCATGATGAAGGCGTGCAGCTTAAGTTTTGTGCTGCCGTCTAGCTGCCCGAGATAGACGAAGGCTGGAATACTGGCGGTGAAACCGAAGGCGGTGAGGTAGCGGGCAGATGTGGGAATGCGAGCCACTAAAGCACCAGAAAGAGGACCGATGAGGGCGGCGGGAGCTGACAAGGGAACAAAAATGAGACCGGCTGCAGACACAGGCCATTTGAATTGGCGCTGGACGAAGAGCGGAAGCACACTCTGCAGAGCGGAGGTGAGCAGCCCAATTACCAGATAACCAAAGAAGGCCACCAGAACCCGATGGCTCCAGGTGACATTGGAGTGGAACGTGGAAGGCTCCCTGTGGCTAGATCTGGGTGGGAACGATAGTGGGAACGATGCAGGCGAGATGGATCTCGAAGAAATTGGGGAAGAGCCGGACCGAGGAAAGCCAGAGTGGATTGTGCCATAGCCACGAGCCTGTGGTTCGACTGGACAGCTGTCGGGCCCCTCTGTGGGCTGATGACTCTGATTGGCCAGCGCTGCAATCAGCGTCAACAGCGCATTCGCCCCCACAAGGCCGTATGCAAGTTGGAAGACAACGTTGACGTTATAATAGTCGTGCAGAAGCCCAGCCGCGGCCGGAGCTATGGTCATGGCCATATTTTGGGTAACGGCCGGAGAAAGAGGAGTGGCCTGACGGCCAGCAGCACACGCGACTTTCGCGATAATGCCAGAAACCGCAGCCGTCAGCGCAGCAGCCGAGATACCCTGCAGAGCGCGCGCGAAAATGAGCGAGCAGACATCAGAATAAGACTGAAAAACCCTTAACGCAGCCGCTGCGCACACAAGGCCGGCGAAGAGCACGGCGAAGGGCCAGAGCCCTTTCTGGGGGAGATGAGAGACGAGAGCTGCATACGGGGCGCGTTAGAACGATGCATTACGGGGAGAAAGGGGGGCTCTCGAGGGCTTCGTACGAGAAATAACGGCAGAAGCGCCGCCGTAGGCCGATACAAGGACGGCAGTCCATATTTGGACTTGACGATCAAGCAAGTCAGCGAAGTGTGCATGGCAAGCAGGAAGAGTGGCTTACGTTGCCCCTGGGGAACATGACTCCTGCTTTCAAGGAGGAACGGAATTAGGGGAATAACCTTGGCCCAGTCAGCATGCCTTGATCACTCCACACCATCGAAGAGCACCATACAAGTCCAGCAAGGAAGACATCCTACAGCATCGAGCGGTCAGCATTGGTTCTTCCCCGGCGCAAAACGAAGCAGGAATATGGACTACTTACAGTGAAAGCGACGAGCCGTGCGAGCATTTTGAGCAAGCATTCGTCTGCTCGACATGTTTGGGCCAAGACCACCGGATGGGAAGGCTGTTGTTGTGGCTGTTCCGGCGTTGAGACCGCCGTTGAGATCCGGGAGATGGGGCCCATTTCGGGGCTCCGGCAAGGCTTGTATTGTGTTGGAGAGATTAGAGTGGTGTACGCGTCGATGCGTGATGCTGAACTTGACGAGCTCGCAGGAGCTGTCAAGGCAATGCCCGCACTGCTTTTATCACCTGAGGTCGAAGGTGTTTCTATTGCACCTTCGGTAGTCCCGGCGGGCGCGTCCAGCCCATGGGAGAGTGGCGGTGACTGTTGTTGTGATGCTTGCTGTTCCAGTTGCGTGGCTGTTGGGGCCGTCTGTGCCATTTGCAGGCTGTCAACCCGCTCAACCGGTCTGCTGTTGCTGTGGGAATGCTCCTGAGCCATGAACTGAAAACTGGGTGATCAAAAAATTGGCTGCTCTGCCCCCCTCGCGTGAAGCACACAGCAGGGAAAATAAGGGGGTCATTAAAGGCAGAAGACGATCGATCCGGACATCGAGCCTCGTTCACCGGCTCTTACTCGCCTGTTATCACCTGCGCCTTCGCATCGCAGACGGCTCCATCAATCCCCAGCATTTCCGAGTGGATCGTTGGCTTGCCCCACCACGGCCGGCTGATCTTGGCTGATCTAGTCGTCCAAACAGCCCCCCGCTCAGCGGTTCAAAACCCACTCGTTCGTCCGGCAAGCTCTACGATTGGTCCGATCTGTGCTAAACCCCACACGAGGTTGCACGGTTCCAGAAGCCCAAAGGCAGGAGGTCGCGGTCACGCTGCAAGCAACCACGCAGGGGAGTTTTTGGAACCAGCAATTGTTTGGATGGTGCAAATGCGGGGTGAAAGGCTCTCACAGAAACTGGGAAGCGCTCAGTTGCAGGTCAACTTCAACAACCCTCCTCTCATAGCGAACACCACAACTCCTGTTTCATCGGCCTTCCGGCTTTTCGCCCTATTGCTGCACGTCCGTCCTTCTTGATGTGACTGCTGCATCGTTGCCGGCAAGCCAGCTGCGTGGCATCTCCATCACTCGAACCACCCATCAGCCCACTGTCCGTGGAAGTCCAGGCGCCATGATAGACTCAGCAAGAATTGCGCCGGCCGGTTGAAAAATTTGAGCTCGAGAAGGATGCTCGAGAATCGTCAGCGTTCGATCATGAGTGGGTCGACCTGACGCCGACGAGACATGTTGCACGTGGTGACCGCCTTACCTCCCGATCTTTTCGAAAAAGAACAGCCGGATTGGAGATCGCACTTCTACACTATTGTACATGCACTAACCTAACCAGGGAGTTAGCCCCCTAGGGCTGAATGAGATAGCACTTTTCCTGGGATCCCTGTGAATCGACCGATTCATCCCGCGCTTATTTTATGATGGCATGCTGCTCCTCTCAACACCGTTAAGTTGCATACACTACGCATGGGCGCTAATTTTGTTTACTACTTGTCAGATGGCAGAAGCTGGCTGCCAATGATGTCATCTCAAATCGTCAACTCCTTCTGGTTTCCAGGACTTGTCCTAGATATCTGAAACCTAGATACCAATAGATGGACGTGCATGGGCACCATCAGAGCGGTCGCCGTTTCGCTGACTGGACGAGTGTTAAGCCGCATAAGGAAAATTTCGTGCTTTTTCTCCCGACAACTCTGACAACGGGCTGATTACACGAAACGAGACCCACCAATTGCTGCTTTAAGCTCCCAATCAGTCCCCCGGGGCCTCTTAGATTACAGAGGCGGCAAGCGTTGAGAAGTATTTAGTTAGTTTTAGCTCGCAGAATGGAAGAGGCATGGCTGAGCCGGAGAGAGCGAGCTTCAGATCACTGTCGACTTATTGCAGACTCGCTGGGCCTCTTGTAGCAGTCACCGAGTACAGAGCAATGAGCCAAGTACAGAAATACCAACACATCATTGATAACACATTCAAGAACGGTCTAGTCCATTCGAAGACGTGGTTGTATTAGCCACCGAACTAGCTTCTTCTCGCGATGGCTTTATCTTTATTCTGCCTGTAAAGGAAGTTTGACAGCTTCGTTTGCATGATACCTAATGAATATACGGAGAAGGGATAAAACATGATCCGGGTACCTGATCTGTCACTGGTCGAGTTCAAGAAGTTGGGCACGACGTTCGCTTCTCATTATCTATTATTCGGCTATAATAGTCTTGCAGCCTGTTATAATGTCGCCGTTGAAGCGTCTGACCGCTCATCAAAACTCTCCAACAAAAGAGCAGATAGCACACCGAGCACGGGGCACACAACGAACCATGGTTTGATCTCTTTCCTCAGAATCCTCCCCCTTTGCAAAGAAGCTTCCCCAACGCCACAGCTCATCACAAGTAGCTTGGTGCTCAGACATTTTGGCCCATTTGCTACCGTCTAGTGGTTGAATGGAAGAGACATTTACACGCGAGAAACAAGCATTCGTAAAGCATGGTCCAAGATTCTGGTGGAATGCAAACCTGATATTGGAAACAAGTCTTGTCTTGAGCTCAAATAACCCGAGGAGTAAGGGGTTGTTTACCGAACTGGGTACATAGCCACACAGATACAGAATGCAAATCTCAATGCTGTAACTTTGCTTTGGGAAATAGTAATTGAACTAAACCCTCTCCTCACCTCGGGGTGCTTATCTTCGACGTTGGGTCAATCCGTTATGCGCATGATCTAACAAGTAGAAACACGTTTAAACGATGCTAACCTGCAATATCCAGATCAGAAGTCGACACTAATATCGCGGCTGGAGGTAGCGGCCCTCTATTACTTTGTTGTCTGACGCTCGAGTTCCAGCCCGCAATTACTCTCTCCAATCATAATTCATGCATCAGTTGTCAGTGCTTTCAAGTCTCCCAGAGTATTGAGGTCAGAACATATCAACAACAAACTGTGGTGGGGGGCGATGAGAGCACAGAATCATGGGAATAGTATTGCTCATTGATTATTATTGTAAATTGGAAAACCATTATCGCCTCTACAAAATTCAGAGGTGATTGCGCAAAGTCCAAGTGACATGAACGTCTAAGTCCTGCAGAAGATGAAGGGTTTAATCACCAATTGAAGCTACCAACTGTCGAACTGCTGAGTAGAATCAACCGCAACATATCTTGCTCGGCACTGGACGGGAGATTCTGACATAGCTCAAGCCACCAAGTCGCCGCTACCAACAGGCCGTGTGGGGGATTGTTATCCTGAACACTCCTAGCAACAGTATGTGCGGTTTCGAGAAACACTCAAGGAGAGAGTTTGTAGTTGAAAGGCTGGGAGTACAGTAGTTTCGATGGGGCAGATACGTTTCTGTCTATGACCTAGTTGGGCGCTTTCTTCAAGGTTATTATCCAAAATTTCGGTGCCGACAAGTTGAATGCATTTACTTCCCACTTCGCATACGTTTATTAAGGGGTATGGGGTATATCGAACGAACCAGCCCAATGTTTTTTAAGCTTTACAGAGCCATCTGAATAACTCATGGGATCCATATCCAACCTCCATCCACATCGTCCTGATTCCCTTCCTAGGGTTCCTCCAGGGGACCTGCCACAGAATTTCCCCTTGTTTCCTGATCTAATCGCCCATTTGTTCACATCCCCTCCTATGAGAAGATTAACACCATCTCTAGTACCGCGGACCTGGACAGAAGTAACCGATCCAAGACGCTCCTCATAAGACCTTCCGAGACGAAGGTAATCAATAAATCGAAGTGAAGGGACAAACATATCCTTGCTCGTGGTCTCATTAGTCGCAAACCGCAAGCCGGAAGGAACTCTGTAATCCAAAGCCGACCGATAGTGTCTACACTCTTCCTACATCGTCATCATCCCGCCGATCCGAAATGCTGCTGATGCAAATCGGTTTGCCACCCTGGGCCCAAAGCCATAACGCTGGTAAATATCGAAGGATCAACGATCGTGCCTGCCGTGCTACTCCAGTCGTCAAAGACGGTGGGTGACAGAAGGAGGTCTTGCTGTTGATGTTGCAGCTGCGGTAGTTGGGGTGCCTGGTGATGGCCTTGTTGTGGTTGTTGAAATGGCTGCTGTGGTGGATGTGGGGATTGTTGTGGTTGCTGTTGTGGTTGCGATGTTGGCTGCTGCGTGTGTGAAAGGAGCTGTGTCGTGGAGAAGTCAAAGAAGCTTGTTGATTCCGTCGCAGGCGTTGACATCGTAGTGTCCAACATCGTTTGATCGAAAGGTGAGATCGGGGTCACGACGGCCGACGGCGACTGGGCTTGGTCAAAGATGCACGGCTGCAGGGGCGGCTTCTCCACGGAGCCAAAGGGCGTTTGAATCTTGGCCGGGGGCGAGTGGTTGCGCTGCTTTTTTGGTAGCGGCTCGTCGATGTAAACGGGAGGGTCGGGAGGGAGCGGGCGATCAGGCGAGGACAGGTGTTTCGTGGAAGTCTTCGGGACGGGGGTCTTTGGCTTCGCCGGCTCGGAAAAAGGCCTGGATGGAGATGAAGACGTCGCATTGGAGCTTGAGGCTGAGGAAGAGTCCTTTCGTAGTTGGTGTGGCCAAACCTTGATGGCACATTCGTCGGCCTTTTGAGCTAGAGCCTTCGGATCGTCACGGCCCGCGACGAAAAACTCGAGCAGATCCTGGAGGTTGCCTGGGCTCTCACCCTCCAAGAAGCCCTGAGCGTGACCGGTGGTTTTGGGGTCCCAACCTATCCGCGGTTGTTGATTCTTTGGCAGGTGGCCATACTTCTCGTCCTGAAGCTCGTCCCATGCTTGCTTGACATGGGGGTTATGGAGCAGGCCGTAAATAACCTTGGAGTGATTCCACTCTGACTTTTTGCAACCTTCTTCATAATGCCTGGCAACATGGTCGAAATAGCGATCACGAGAAGGGACAAAGGCGCCACAAAATCCGCAACCCCTGAATCTGGTTAATATACAACCTTCTCTCGAGAGACGAGCCACGTAGTTCCCGACGATCATCTGAATAAAGCAGGTCCAAGAGTGAGAAAGAGAACAACACATACCAGGCAGTCTTGCGGCGTGTATACTTAATCACCTTGTCAGCATGCGGGCAAGTGGTACAGCCATGGGCATTCTTGTGATGCTGGTTAAAGGTGTTGGCGCCCCAAAAGACCCGGTTGCAGTCGGGGCAGGGGTAGCGCTTGTAGCGCTCGTGAAATTCGTCTTCATGCCGTTTCCAATCAAACTTGCGCTGAAAGTCAACATTGCAGAACGTACACCAGTATGTGCCTGGTGTCTTGGATGCCCCGCGGTTGCTGCTCTTCACAGGTGGCGCGGGCGGCTTAGGTACAGGCGGCGGCGGCGGAGCAGGCGCAGCAGCAGCAGCAGAAGCAGCGACAGTAAACTCTTGCGTTCCCCCTACCTCTCCTATCCCACCACGTGATGACGCTGAGCTCATCGTTGTCGCGGTTGACATGATGCTTGACCTCCCGGATGACTTCGAGCTTGTTGTCGACACCGACAAGCGATCATTCGAAGCGGACAGGCCGATATGGCCGGCTGCGGCAAGGTTGCTCTGAACTTGCTGCCATGATTGTTGCAACGCGAACTCTGGAAAGAACATTCTAAGTGTGCCGCTCAAGCGCTAAAAGGGTACATCCTCATCCTTACCATTACACTTCTCGAGTACTGCTGTCAACAGCAGCTGGGGTGATAACCCATCGTCTACAAGTTCCTGGACCTTGGCTCGGGCCTTCTCCGCCAGCGGATCAGCCTGAGAATTGCGAAAGGGATGCATAGGAAGCAACAAGGACTGCAAAACAAAAAAAACCCTCGATATTTATGTGAATATAGCGTAAACAAGAATTGGAATCGGAAGGCTCGACGAAGCAAAACGGCGAAGTTGGAACAGGGCGTCGTTAATGCGCCATAGTGACAATGCGACGCTGGGGTATCAGATTGGAGATGGGAAAAGTGAGAAGGGGAAGCAAAGAAGACCTGTCAGCGGGGCACGGCCGCGCTGTGGGTGACGGGTGACGGGACGAATATAAGACGAGCTCTGTTTTTGTCAAAGCCAAGCACCCTGCAAGGGTGATTGGGCAATTGATGGACAAGGGGACGAAGGAGTCTATGTATGTATGTATGGATGGATGGATGGACGGATGTGAGGGAGCGGCGAAGACACGGGGGCTGAGAACGGAGAAACCAAACAGCCAGAATATGGAAAAGGGTAGCCCAAGACAGCATAGAACCACATATGACATACGCCATGGGCAGAAGAGAGCTGCAGTCCCGAGCAGAAGGACAACCAGCAGCGAGCTATAAACGGCCGATTCGAGCCATATCTGCTGCAACTCTCCCATTTTTCCTTTTCGTTTCTACATTCGTCCATTCAGCGCTGGGGACGGCCGAGGCGCAGCACTGCAGCCCAACGGAACGTCCCAAAAAGCCCACGGCCCAGGTCGAGGCAAGCGAAGAGGATGCCGACAAGGGGGCGACAGATCGCGAGCCTTCCCACCAGCACGACACCACGGGAGAGAGTTCCTCTCCTCGATGCAATTGGCGGATTCAGTGTCGCCCGCTCAGCGGGCACTGCCGGCCTCGGCAGGACCCCTGTTGCATCTGAAACACAGCCCAAGATGAGGCAAGTCCAGCGCCCTATCAGCCCTTTATTGTGGTTCTGGCGTTTCGAAACAACGCGGGAGACAGGGGGTTCTGTCCAATCAGCGCTGCGAGCCCAAAGTGAGAGGACCGCTTGCTGGGTGCTGGCTGGCCCCCTGATCCCGGCTCTTGTTTCTTGCTTTGTTTCTTAGTATGTTTGTTCATCTCATCATCTTTAGATGCTTCCATGTGGATGGGACGCCGCGTGGGGATCGAAACATGATCGAACGAAACATGTGTTCACTTGCCTCGGCACCAACTGCCCGAAGCAGAGGCAGGTGACGTATCCTTGCTAAGACCAGCTATCTGACGACTTTATATTGTGTGCTCTGATCGGGAGCGTGGTGAAGTGTACATTTCAGGGGCAAGTCTTTGTTGTCTGTTGTTGTTGTGATGAGTGAAGTACACCCAGAAACAGGACTGATCCCCGCCGTTGCATTGAACAGGCTGATCAAGCCAATCTTCTCAAAATATATATATATATATATATATATATATGTGTGTGTGTGTGTGTGTGTGTGTGTGTGCCTTCTGACTTACTGGCATTCTGGTTTTGTTTCGATAGGCGCCGCTGGCGGCAACTTGCACAGCTCAGGATATGAATTGCTTTATACTTGTAACCCCTGTGCCACCTCCCTTTCCATTTGTATAGATATATATGGGCGACCCTTCTTGGGCCCATTCTTGAGGGCTTGAACAAGCAGAATGGGCTTTCATCCCAATAGCGGTCGGAAGCACGGAGAAGAAAGCCGACTTGTGCAACCGGGACCCCTGTGTATGCTGTAAGCAAGGCCATAAGCACAACACGGGATGAGGTTCAACGGCCCGAGTCATTCCCCAGAAGCCTCGGTTGGCCCCGCATCATTGAGTCCAGGAACCTTGCAGATATGAACAACACTTCCGGTAAGCAGGGTCTCATCACCAGTTCTATCTTTGTGCCCTTTTTCTTCGCCGAGCGTCTGCATGGCATGACTATTGATAAGGAAGTGATGCTCTTCTTGTAGATTCAACTCTTTCGGCTGAAGTGCAAACCATGCCAAAATCAGGTAATTAACCCAGACGAATTGGCCTGGTCAGGGACTCAAAGATGGAAAAGCCACGGCCAACAAGACGTCTTGGAACTGGTGCACTTCAAAGCATGGCTTTCGCTGGAGGAGTTCAAGCACGAAAATGATAATCCACTTCCATTCAATGTCCTCAACTCCATGCGCCGGATGCCTTTATGCAGGTTGCTCCCTTGGTTCCGTTACAACACCTTCTCTTTTATCCAATGCACAGAGTGAGAGAGAGAAGACAGAATTACATCTGATGCCGATCCAACTACTCTTCTTACCCCTTTATCAACAGTTCCTTTCTCTATGCCCGTAACTTCCTAAACACGATGGATTGAGGGCTCCATTCCACCTATGGCAGAAAAAGCAATGGCTGGTTACGGGGCAGGGATGTCAGAGCAAGGCAAATCCGGCCTCCTCCAACTCACGTCCGGACGGCAATATCGGGCGTCCTTGCATTGGGAATGGCCAAAACAGTGGGTTTTCCGCCGCCACCGCATCAGCCACAGCGGCGATGAGCTTCTCTTCCTGCTTCTCAATCTCGTCTTTCAAGTCGCCACTGCCCTGACGATGCCGGTTCTCTACGTCGGCAGTAGCGGCAGCAGTCACGGTAGTCTCGGCACCCCATTCACAGTTGAAGTCCCTCTCTGAAAAGTCTGTCGCGAAGAAGTTCAGGCTCGTTGTCACCGGCCTGGTAAAGCCGAGCTGTTGATATCCCGGTTCTTGCTTGGGGAGAATGACAGAAACGTTGATGTTCCATCTTTTCGCCAGGTACCGCAGAATGTTGAGGGCCTGCTCGGCGAAGTTATGACAAGGGATCATCTCGGTGAGATCTGCGATGCCACGAGCCAGATACTCCATAATCCGTTCACGTAACGGTTTCTGATCCGGATGGTGTGGGTCAGAGCTAGAGTGTCCGCAATGCCTTGAGGTGTGTGTATCGGTGCTAGAGTCAGGGGTGGTTGCTGCAATGGCAAGATGCATGATAGAGGACGTAAGGACAAAATAAGGAACAAAGGATGGTGTGCGGCGAAGCGTATAAAGCCGTGAATAGGAACGTAGCAAGCCCGATATGGCATCGGCTGCTTGCAAGCAGACATCACGAGGGACGATACTTGAGCCGATGATACGCAGCTTGATGAGCGGTCGGAACATAAGGAGTATTGCGAAGTGGTAATACATGCTGCATCTAAGTCAGACTCCATGCGTACACCAAACTTTGCTTTGTGGTGCCTAAGGCTTGTGAAACGTACTGGGCAAACAGCACGGCCGGGGTAAAATTGTGACCCAACCGGAGAACCTCCGGAATTTTGTCATACCAGTTCAGGTACTGGGTGTACGTGTGTAACAGCGCCCTGCTGGTCAGGGGCCGATCCGGAGAATGCATAACGTAGAGAGACTGGTGCACAAGCTCGCTGAGCTCGCAGAAACATTTGTACACAGACCGAACATTCGACGGTTGCTTGCAGGACTGAACTGGGATGTCTGATGACCGTTAGCAGCTTGTTCTTTATCTCAATCAGCGAGGGCAGCCGTTTGCTACCATCGTCATCCGTATATGGAATCCAGAGGGACGATTCGATGTCACTGATTATGGGAGGCTTCGGCGGTAGTTGAGCAAAGCGGGAATACTGAGGCAGAGTCCCTGTTGCAAGCGACCATGCGCTGGACGACAAGGTCAGATGGTGCTTGATTCCAACACATCATGAAGGTGTATGAAGAACAAGGCTTACTGGTCCAGAGCAAAAGCACCCCAGAAGGTCGCGGCTTGAACCTGGGCTTCATCGTCATGTTCATCGCCCTCTGGTATATGGTGCAGTCCCATTTCCATGGCGATCCGGATGCTCTGACCAGCATAATACCAACTTTCTGAATCCCTGCCACAGCTCGCCTCCCTGATAGACATGATGCCCAGGGCTTGGATAGTGGTGAGTTTGTGATGGTTGTCTTCGGCATCGTACAGCCGTACACATTCTTGGAAGAAGTGGTCTCCTGAGGTTCGTGGGTCGTTAGGGTTTGCGCGGGTGTTTGGCTTTGTTGAGAATCGACAGCCTAATGCCAGAAGCGCGTTGACGAGCATAGGCGAGCAGAAGCGATGGCGACCCTCTAGAAAGTCCTTAACAAAATGCTCCTTGCTCAGCGAAGCGAAGGTCGGATATTCCCAGCAAAAGTACAGAGCCAGTAAATGCCGAATAAGTCCTGAGTCATTGGTGATGTTTGTCCACGCTCCTGGAGGAACTTGCATCTCGCCAATCTCACCGAACAGTATATCTTCTGCAGGATGAGGCTCCGGACCGACAGAGTACCTGCCCTGGCTCTCAACCCACAAATCAACACGCGACTCTTGACCCCCTACCCCTTCGACATGCCAACTCACCGAGGACGGATGGGAGCCACTCTCCATGCTTTGGAAAGAAAACTGGCGACCCCTGGAGCTTTGCAAGTCTGCATCGTGCGGAGCAGCATGCGACACCTGCCCGGGCACAGAACCGTATCCCGCGAAGCCGGGGACAGAAACAACTTCTACTGAGCCACTACCCAGCCGGCCAGGCGGAGGCATTGCCCCTCCTCCTGAGGGAAGCGTCCCCTCAAGCCATTCGCAAATGGAGTCGATACTCTCGCCCTTGCGCAGGCGCGTGAGAACCTCTTCCCAGGCAGGAGAACGGACAAGGGCATCAAGCACCTTCGTGTGTTTGCTCTGCTGACGTCGGAGTTGTTCGATCTCGCTGCGGAGGGTGTCTTTCGACTGTCGAACAGGCACCTCGTAGATACACGTCGCGTGGTGCTGTTTGCATCGGCCGCACGGTTTCTGGCCGTCACACTAAAGGGGCGAAGCGCATGTGAGCACCGTCCTTCTTCATGAAGGGAGAAAGGGCAGAAACATGGAGACTGCGGCAGCCATCCACCAACCTTGGATCGCTTCTTCCGGCATTCAGTGCACGCATTGGGCGTTACCACTCCATAGCCTCTCCTTCTCTTGGACGGGACAACGGGCGGAACGGATGCCGAAGACGCAGAGGACGCTGCAGCAGGTGCAGCAGACGTGTTCGAAGCGGTCGTTGGATCCTTCGCGCTGGGCGTAGTGGGCGGGACGGGCTGCCGGGGCTGCGTGCTCACACCGGGAGTGTCTTCGTCCATTGCGCCTTGATGTCCACTTAGATGTCAGACGTCTTCCAAACAGGGCATTTGAAGGACCGGCTGGCAGGCGATCAGTATCATGGTTGGCACGAACAAGATCGGTCGAGGCCGGCGAACTTGACACTTGGGCGCGTAGGCGCTTGCGAAGCAACAAACCAGGGGCGGATAGTCAGGCTGAACGCGGCGTTGACACAGCTGGAAGGTGAATAAGGCATGACCCCTGTATAAATCGTATGGCTTAGCTCCAACGGATACTCCCCACGCAGGGGTGCCGGGGGGGGGGGGAGAAGGGGGAATTTTCAATGGGCTCATAGGTGCAGAGATGCTGAATCATTTTCCAAAGCTTGCATCTGCAATGCCGCCTAAAGTAACTAGCGTACTTATACAGACGTCCTTCAATGTGGAGTCACGCAACTGCTAGACACGGCTTTGCGATGAGTTTGGTAGGTAGGTACCTTAGGGGTTAAAAAAGATAGGACGGCTGCCCAGGATTGCTCCCTACCCATGGAGTATATCAACAGCCAACTCGAGTTTCTTCCTGCTAGACAGGCAGAGTATACTTTTTTTTGAACATCGCATGCTGCAAGATATTTAGTCATGTTTGAAAAAACGGGGACCAAGCAACTGAAACGAGGGCATGGACGGTATACGGACGACTTGCTGATACCCATCTGTATTGTACGTACGCTCGTACGTCCTTGTAAGTTACTTGCATGGTTTTTGACTGCCCCAGCTGTCCAGCGCTCCCACCCCGCTTTTTGGTTGGGAGCGGAGTGGAAGCGTTGAGCTTCCAAGCTTGGGCCACATCAACCGCTGGGGTATTCTATCCTAGTCGACTTCGTGTCCGCATCTCCGTCTCTTTAGGCCAGAAACATGCCCTGTTGTCATGTTGACCAAAGAGTGCTGGAAATTTGGCAAAATTTTACCCCGATGATGAGCGGCAGACTGTGTGTAAGATTGCGCTCTTGGCTACGGAAGAACCACGGATCCGTACCAAGGATGAGGTGAATTTTACATCTGCAGACCTCTCAGGCCAATGCTACTTCTACCATACCATACAATCCCCACAATGCTGGGAGAAGCATACTTTTGCTGGTCCGAATCTGTATTGACGCAAGAAATTGTCAAGTGAACGCACTCGCCAAAAAGTCTTCCAGATGTTGTCCCGATACCAAAACGCCATTTTCACCAACTTTCTGCGCGGGCCAACCCGTCGCCCTCACGCGAGAGGATCCAAAAATGCATATTCTACAGGCAGAGACAGAATGAGAATGAAGAGAGTTACACGATTATGAAACCCAATCCAAATCACTTCTTAACTTAGCTTGCCCAAGTGATACCCTTGACGGGACTCCTTGCCCTTGAGCCCTTAGACGGACTCCGTCCTCTTTCAAATTTGCTTGGACTTCTCCTGATCGACGGGGTCTGTGGCAGAGCCATGGGAGACTTGAAATCGGGAGAATTTTCGGTGTCGCTAACATCGTTCGCGAACAATGCCTTACGAACACTCTTGGGGGTCTGGCCGATAGGGGCGAAGATGTATGCTTGTTGAGGGTTATGCATCGCTGCCGGGCCAAGCACGGAGGCAACTGTTGCCGCTGGTGGGGATTGCACAGGGGCGGCAGGCTGAACGGTGGGTTGAGGAATCGCCGACTCGCGCAGGAAGCCAAAGCCAACATTGCTAGCGATGACAGCGGCCAGGAAGAGCGACATGATAAATCCCTGCAAAATTAGTCAGGGAGACGAAAGCGTTACAATTGGTAGCCACGGAATCGCTTACCCAAGCCTTAAATGACAAAACCCCTACAAACTCATTCACGATCTCGGCCACATTCTTGGCGGAGATTTGGACCATCATGACCGCCGAGGCGTCTTGGTTCATGCAAGCTTCCCATTCGTTACACGGCCCATCAAGAGCAGGCGGTCGGCTCGCTTTCGGTGAGCATCCATTCTTGATGTAATTCTCGCTGCAAATGGCCATCTCGTTGACAATCGCGGCTCGAGCCTTTTCACTCGCATGCGACAGATCGTTGCGGACTTGAACAAGGATCCAAAAGATGATGAAAAGCACAAGGCCAAGCAACACCATGTTAACTCCCAGTTGGAGCCATTTGGATAAGATCGCAGGCGCAGTCGGGTTGGCGCTGATTGCGGAGAGGAAGCTGTTCAACCATCCCTGAGGAGTAGGTTCTTTTTTCTTGGAGTGCTTAGACCCGGAACGGGAGCCATTCTCCTCCTCGTAGTAGCTGTCGGACTCATCCGAGTCTTGGGGCAGACGGGGGCGAGCGCTACCCACATCTTTGTCGCCCAGCAACCGCTTCCTCTTTCGAACCTTATCTCGGAGTCCCGAAGCATGATTCCGTAATAATGTTCTGGCGAAAAGTGATTTGCTCGGAGATGACTTGATCGGAGATGGCGTGAAGAACAGCTCCGTGCTATCTCTGACGTGCTCTGTTTCTGGTGTCTCGGCAGGCATCGGGGAGTTGTCGGTCATGGCGGGACTCGAATCTGGGGAGAACATATCATCGACGCGCTTCTGTGGCGTAGCAAAAGCCGGATTGCGGAACGCAGGCCCCGTCGGCTTGTTTTGAAGCTGGGGATTGAAGAACTCGGAGTGCGGAGGGCGAGGCTGTCCCTGAACCTTGAACGGCGAGTTCATTGGAGTATTGTTGGGAGCGAACGGATTGGAGCCGACCGACCGAAGCTTCGAAGGAGAGTCGAAGGAGGCTGTAGAGGAAGAAGGGCGATCAGTAAACTCCGGGGTCCCGACCGACAGTTGCGCTGCCTCTTCACTTTGGTTCTCGGTGGACGTCATGGTTGGAAGCGGGCTACAGGAGGGCGAGTGTGAGGAGAAGGCTGAAAAGGAAATCCAAGTCTCCTCCGTGCAGGATGCAGTATAAAAGACTGCGTTGGTAGCCATAGGCGATTGATCTGAAAACTTACAAGTCGGCGACTTCTGAGATAATTTTGCAAAAGGACTTGACTCGTCCATGGGCAGCTGGCTCTGGGGCTCCCAGTCCATATGCCCTTCAAATGTTCGGCGCTCCATCAGGTAGCAAGTCAATATGGTCGGAATCTATCAAAGAAGGGACATGCAGCTGTTGGGCAAGGCCTACGTGGCCGACGTTATGTGAGTCGGATGCGCGGTGATGGGTCTGATGGAGGTTGCGACAACTGGAAGCTTGGTCGTTGGTGGCAACCAATTCCGCAAAGTAAACACGACAACAGAACATACCAATTTTCAGACCTGCCCCACCACTCAGGAGAACGCGACCCATAATGAGTCCGCCGTCGGAATATTATCGGCTAAACAGGTACGCGATGGCCCTCCCCCAAAGCCGAGACGGGATCCGTGGGGCTGTGGGTCGCTCCCGACGCGTTCCAGCGCGTGCACGGGCCATTGATGCAAGCCAGCCTGGGCTTCCCAAAAGACAGCAAGACAGCCTTCAAGAGCAGCAACCTGAGCGTTTTCATTCTCCAAACTCAACCATATGTTCCATTTTCAACCGCAAAAAGAGACAAATATCTAATCGACGCTTGCCGATCGTGGGCAATCTATTCCTTGTTGATTTCACATACTTTCTGCAGCCTGCGTCATTCTGCTAGTTGACCTCGCCACAACCCATCTTAAATCATGTCCGAAGCCATCGACCATATTGAGGATGATCGCCGCGATACCGAGACGCCTGCCGCTGCTTCGAATGATGATGATGCAGTCAATACTGCTCATAGCGCCGACGGCGCTGCTGACGGCCATGAGTCCGATAAGGATTCCGACCTCCTTTCCGAGGTCGACGAAGAGCAGTTCGACGATTACGATCCCAATCTCGAAGAGAGGCCCGTGGAAATTGATGAAAATATTGCCAAATCGTTGAAAGCCGCCAAGCGCAAGAAGACCGACGGACAAACGACAAAGAAGCCGAAGGAAGGGCGTAGGCCAAAGAAACGCGCAAGACCGGCCGAGGATGATGGCGGCGAGGTTGACGCCCGTGATCGCCGTCCTCGGAAAGCGCGCGCTACTGGCAGCGAGCGGCAGAAAAGGGATTCATCAGATGAGGAGGAGGTCAACGAAGAAAACCTCACCCCAGAGGAACGCCGCCGTCGCGCCATCCAACGGGCCGTGGATGATGCGCTCAAGAACCCCTCGAAGGGGAAGCGCAAAACTGGTCTTGTAGGTTTTTTTTAACGTGCTACTTGGGTTCGTCACATATCTAACAGGTGTGATTTAGGACTTGGAAACCGAGATTGACGAACAGATCGCCAATCTCAAGGTCGCGATGGAGAAAGCTTGCATGGCAGACAACGAAGCCCGCGAAAAGGGACAGGCTGCCACCCACAAACTCAAGCTTCTCCCGCAAGTTACCGCCATGCTTAACAGGACATCGGTCCAAGAATACGTCCTCGACCCCGATACCAACTTCCTGCAGTCAGTCAAGTTTTTCCTCGAACCGCTCAATGACGGTAGCCTGCCCGCCTACAACATCCAACGCGACATCTTCAATGCACTCACTCGGCTTCCTATTACCAAGGAAGCTCTTCTGAGCAGCGGCATTGGCAAAGTTGTCTACTTCTACACGCGCAGCAAGCGCCCGGAGCCCAGCATCAAGCGCATTGCCGAGCGCCTGGTGGGTGAATGGAGCCGTCCGATCCTGAAGAGGACGGATGACTATAAGAAACGGCAGGTCGAAACCCGCGATTTCGACGTTACGTACGTACCATGCCTTATTTCTCTCCCCTTATATCTGGCATGCAACTAACACTCTTCCTACCAGTGCTGCACAACTCGCCCAGCGCCAAGAAGCCGCGGTGGTTGGCCCACAGACGCTGACCTTGACACAGCGGCCCGCGGGCAAGACTCGCTACGAACTCGAGCGCGAGCGCCTGCTCGCTCCCGAGGTCAACCCCAACCGCGCCCAGCCGCCCGGTCTGCCTGCAAGCTACACGATCGCGCCGCGCAGCACCTTCGACCCGTCGCGTGCGGCTGCGATTGCAGGGCACCGCCCGATCGGTCTTGCGGGCTTAGATGCATTCAGGAAGATGACATCTAAGGGGAAGAAGAACAATCGCTGAGCGCCTTTGCCATGAGTTGGTTGATCAGTTGGCTTTCTTCACATCGCCCTGAAGTTCGGCTCTTTGCTGCAGATTGGCCGACTTTGGTGGGACGGGTGGGTTAAGCTGCCACAGGGGGCTTTATTGGTCCTACGCAAATCGGCTTGTGGGATGTTTTGCCCCTTTTTGACGTCTCCTTTGCTAAGTAGTGGGCAGTTTCTCACCTCAACCGTGTAACTATTTTATCAACGACATAGTGATGTGAATCCGGGAATGCAGGAATGGGGATGATGAGGGTTTCATATGTAATAATATTTTGTTCTCGGCGTCTAGTGATGACTTCCATGCGGTGAATATCTATGTAGTCCAGCGAGTCACCAATGAGATAAATGTCACCCCCATAATCAGCAAATCCACTCAGCAGCAACAGCGTCTCGTATAGACAATCAGCCAGGTAGCTAAGGTATGTAAGGCATTACACAAACATAGATACAAGTCTAGAACATAAGAGAAATCAGTTCAAATCATACCCACATCATACGTAAATATACCAATATATATCAGTTCAGTTATAACCTTTCAACCGACCGTCAAAAGGAAGCAAAGCAAACGGCCAACCACCTAAGAGGAGACCATTCTCACAGAGGAAGACGGGCAATAGAAAAACGAAGACAGATCGAGATATTGGGTTTTTTGGGGGAGGGAGGGGGGAATGGATTGCAGACGAAAAGGGGACAACTAGCAGGTGTATATCCCATCGCAGATCACTTCACTTATGACGTCCAAAAACAGTCCATGATAACAATGTCAAAGCAAGGACAAAAATAATTCACATGAAAACAACAACAGTCAATAAATTGCCACCGGCCAGAGACACCTCTACCCAATGGAGAAGCACAAATATTAGCTTGAGGCCAGGGGAGGGGGCCAGCATCCAACGTCCGTCAGAGTTTTCGCAGGTAGGAGGATTGCCTAGTGTCAAGACAAAAAAAGAAACAAGACCCTATTTCTTCATAATTCGCTCAATGACTGGACTGTGTTACCCCCATATCATCCATCTCTTCACCAGCTGCAATGAGACGGGGGAAGCATAACCACACCTTGCTCACTCAGCCCCTTCTCTCTTCGGTTCACCACCAAAACAAGACCATGGTGCTTCTTCCATAATCCGGCTGGCCAAAACCCCATCCAACAAAAAGTGGCGCGCTGTAAAAAAAAAGACAAGACAATCCCAGACCTGCTGCCACAGAGCCTCCACACACTGTATACCATATCAACCAACCCCTCCCCAACAACTTTGTGTTTTCCCTGGAACTTTCCCTTCTACTTATCTCCTCCGACTCTCACACGCCCACCCTTCTATACCTTCACCACGACTGCCAGGTTGGACACCGGGGACCTTAACGCCCTCCATACCGGGAGTATCGTCGAGCCAGCTATGTCCAGCCATACCGCCGGCATTAGCGCGCTTCTCTGGGACAAGCTCGAGCATAGGATGGAGGAAATCCGCGATGCGCTTCGCTTCTTCTTCCTTAAAGTGGTACTTCTCGCGGAGCACGTCAGGCAAGGACCAGTGCCGTAATCTATGGATGTTGCGGAGCTCGCCCTTCCGGTTGAAGATCTCTTGTGACCATTTGCCCGACAGGCACATGGACTTCGGAAAGGGTCCCAAGAGCTCAATGATCTGGGCGATGTGATCGTCGTCCTTACCGTACTTCGTCCCAGACTGAGGGTCGAAGAGGTAGTCGCCCGTTATGAGCTCGAAGACCTAGGTTTAAAAAAAAATAAAACGTCAGAACTGGGATAGAAACGATGGAGAAGAGATCAGCAAACATACCATTGCAGCCATACTCCAAACATCGGTACTAGCTCCCCACTTAGCGCCGAGAATGACTTCAGGGGACCGGTATTGGCGTGTCTGGATATCGTTGGTGAAGTGATGGTTAACCCAGCAAGCGTTGCCGAGATCAGCGATCTTGACCTTGATGATCTCACAGCCTTGCATGTCGTTGGCCTTGCGCTTCTCGTTGTTATTCTTGTCAAGCGAGATGCCAGAAACCTCTTTTGACAGGAGATCAGCAGACTTTTCGCGCTCCTTTTGGGCATCCTTATCTCCCTCGGCGTCGTCTTTCGACTTGGAGCCTACAAGGGACGGTCAGCACAGACGAACCACATGATCACCCAAACCCCCCAACGGGCCTGGCTTACCTTCATGCAGTACTTGCCCAAGACTCTGTGACGGCGACGGGAAGATGTCCTTGAAATTCGTGCTAAGGGGCGAAGGCAAGGGCTGGCTGCCGGTGACCAACGTCCTTCGCCTCCGACGACCGTTTCGCTTGTTCTCGCCTTCCGGAGGTGGGTCTTTGACCACACGCTTCACGATCGATTCGACATCTCCAATCTCGATCAAGACATTCTCTGGCTTCAAGTCTGTGTGGATGATGCCGCACTCCCGGTGGAGGTAATCCAGACCCAAGAGCACCTGCTTCGTGATCTGCTTGACCAGCGGCATAGGGATACCCCTGTGGTTCCACCTCTTGATTAGGCCCAGGAGGTTTTCGCCGAGCACCTCGAAGACCATACACACATGGGTGCCGTTGGGACCTTTGTGCTCAAATGAGTCTAGTAGACTGACAACATATTGGCGACCAGGATGGTTCGGGTTGGCCTGAACAATCCTATTGAGGAGCTTGATCTCGTCGATGGCGGTTTCGGTGTAGTGAGCGGCGGAGCGGACAACCTTGAGCGCGACGTGCTTGCCGGTGTGGTTGTCTTTTGATAGCCAGACCGTCGAGAAATGGCCCCAACCAAGCTTTCGGATGACCGTGTATCGCCCGTCCTTGAACTTTTCGCCGATGGTCACGGGGTGGTATCCTCCCTTGCAGTAGTCCTCAGAATCCTCCTCCTCAGCGGTGTTCTCTTCGGCTTCCTCAGGGTCGGACGACGAGGTCGGGGAGTTGGTCATGACGGATGTCAAATGAGCGGCCCTGTTTCACGCAAAATAAGTGTAAGCAGGGAGTATGTCATCCAACGCTTCGTCAACAATCGGGCAACGGGCGACAGGCAGCACTGTGATGAACGGGGGGGAAGATGGGTTGATGCAAGGTTGGATCGCGGTGGCGGGGTTTGGGTTGCGACAGGGCTTTGCGCACGGTGCCGCGCGAACTTTCGAGCGGGCCGATACGTGGGGAGGGGGGACCAGATCGGTTTTGCTCTTTTTAAAATATGAAAAAGCGGGACCTTGACTTGAGAATCGCCTTCATCTTTGGCAGCTGTGTTTGCGAATATCGATAACGCGCACAACTCGGAATGCGAATGCAGCAGTGCAGGCGGGACAAGCGTGGCCAGACAGCTGCGTTGGGGAAACCAGGTTTTGGTCTTGATCCCTCTCCTTTCAAGCCTGCGGGGACTCGGGCAGCCAACCAAGCAGCCAGGTCATCAATGCCAGCGGGGAGTTTGGGCTTATGTTTTTTGGAGGTCGCAGTGCGACAATACAAACAGAACAGAGTATGTGTCGGCCCAGAACTCACTCGAGCCACCAGGAACGACAAACCGGTTGCCTGGCTGGCTGACTTTCAAATTTTGCTGGCTGCTTGGGCCCCTCAGGCTGAGAACCGCTGCGCAGGACGTCCAGTATAGTGTCGCATCAACGACCATTCATTCATTCCATATGTGCGGCGCTAGACAGCGGACGCCGTTTCCCCCTCCGTCGTCCCAATCGTCCCAACGTCACAATGCCCCAAAGGCCAACCCGGTCGCACCCCGCCACATTCCAGGGCGGCCTGCTTCGAGTGGTAATGTGTTCCCTTCCGATGTGTACAGCTGACAGTCCAAACAAATGACAGTACCAGCCGTACCAGCCTGGAAGCTGGCAATCCCTGGTGCAAGAATGCAGACAGTCGGCGGGGTGGTTCTAGCAGCGCAACCCGGCGGTGGGAGAAGGGGAAGACCTGAGAAAGGGACGACGCAAAACAGAACAACATTAAAGCCAGGTTCAAGCAGCCACAGCTGCGGGCCTGAAACAGAAGCAGAAAAATTCACGTACCCAGAACCAGTGCCTTCATTCGTGATGATGGGCTTTAGGCCATCCTTCCTCCTCTTGTTGAACAGGCTGGAGGTGCCGTTGCTGGCAGTCGTTGGGGGCGCTAGCGCCGGCGCGCCCTGCGAAGCTTTTTGTGCTGCCGACTCTTTTGTTTGCTGAGAACCGTTCATCTTGCGCAGCGAGACAGGGAAGCCGGCACTCAGGCTGCGATGCAAATCGAGACACAGTCGAACGATTAACGCTGGAGGATAGGTATGTGCGCGCGTGCAAGCCTGTTGGCCCGCAATAGATGGGTTAGGTGATCGGTTGGATGCGCAGCGATGCCGATGGAGACAGTGGAGAAGGCGAGGGGCTGAGCGATGTTGAGCAGCGATTTGGAAGCAGATGAGGAAATGTCAAGCCCTGAATGCCAGCACTCTCGATGTCAGTATTTTTGTTTTCCCTCACGCTTCTGTGCTTGAGAGCATGCCGGGTTGATGAGAGGTATTAATGCAGAGACGCTTAATTCGACGCTGTTCTGTGCTGAAGCCGCCAGCAGGAGAGGGAAGAGCCCGAGTGGCTAAGGTCAGCGAGATGCTCGCGCGTCCGCTCGACTGCTTGGACCACTCAACACAACCTCTCTCTCGCCGGCCGACAGGGCAGGGTAATATGCGGGTCGATTCGATGCAGACTGTTCCTACTGCTTCTGCTTCTGGGCAACACTTACAGCTCAGCTCGTCAAAATGGTACCAGACATCGAAATGCCCAATACAAAGGCAGCTTTGCGTGGAGACGTGGGGGTTTTAGCACAGGCTTGAGAAGTGAGTTAGAGAGATTTGCAGGTGCAAAATCGCACGTCAAGAACGTCACAGGTCGACGCTGTCTTCTAGTTCGCGGATCGAACGGCCTGAGGCCTTCCCAGCGCGGGCTGGGCACGGTGTTCTGGAAGCGGGTTGGACGAACGAGGGGTGGAGAGGTACGCTGACCCGGGCGTTCACCAATTCAAAGGGCCGTCCAGTTACCCAGGCTTACCTGGAAGCGGTTTGGTAGGTAACTCTCTGGCCGTAGCTGCCTACCCGTGTACTGTGTACCCTGATTGGCGCTCTTCTCAAGATCATAAGTCCCAATGTAGTATGTGAATGTTGTGAATGTTGCATTGTTGGCGAGAGTAGCATATCAGATACAGCAGATGTCTAGAAGATTTTTTTTTGGTGGAAACGAGCCTTTTTGGCAAGATATCTTCCAAATCTACTTCCAATATAAATGTCTGATTCTGATATGCTATGTATTTAGGGTACTGTGTGGACTGTGTCTTAACTCGTCTCTGCGGGAAGGCTTGTCGCAGCAATACCCCGTTAGACTCGGCGCAGCATGGAAGAAGCATTGGTGCAAGCATCTGGAACCCTTGAATGAACTGTGGCAAATCTTACACTGAGAAGTTTTTGTTCCCGAGGGTCGATCCCTATAGGCAAAGAGCCCGAGAATGCAACCTTTGCATAATCTGTCAACATCAAACTGTGAGGGAGCTGGATATGGGTTTGTTTGAGGCCGAGCAGTGATGGCCAGTTAATTTCAACCGAACTCCCGTGAACTGATGTCTGTGACACTCGGCCTTGGACCGCCTTGTGCGTCAGGGGAAACGGTGGGGACAAAGAGATCCTGCTGTGAGCGGATGATGCGCTTGAATTCTTGTTGGCTGCTTCGGAGCACTGCTGATTGGAAACCAGCGTCAGATCCTGTGGCGGGGAGCAGGCGACCTTCTGTCGGCAGTTGAGAGTCCTTCTACTCGGCCCGTATCGAACCAAACAGTTCCTATCTTGTCAAATTGTTGGCCTCCGGGTTGTTGGCATCTCCTCAAGCATGAGAGATCGCTTGCATGGAGCACCCAATAAGGCTTCCACTTGCGTCTGTTTGTCAGTTTGATTTCGTTTTTTGGGCTCATCCCAACAACCAGGTACACCTTGTGGCTGCCTGCTGCTTTTGCCGCAATGTCGGGCCGCATGTGGTTTATAAGGTGTTTCATTTTTCATGGCTAAGTTCATACTTCACTCTGATACATCTCGCCATTGGTTTTCCTGCCCAGTTCCAGGAAACCTGTATCTCCTTGCTGTATGTACTACCCAACGTAGGTACATATGGGAACAAAACTCCATATACAGAACCCTAACCCTAAGAGACGGAATCCCCCTGCGGCATCAGGCCTTCTGTGTGAACTCTTGGTAGCAACTCAAGGCGCCAATCAGTGGCACAGGCCACAACTCCCCATATCTAAATCAGTCGTATCTTCATTGCAAGCCCCAACAACACAAAGAATGATATGGAAAATGAGCGGTTCATGTAATCTCTTCTTTCGGGCTCTTAGCAGTCCACCGTCTTCTTACTGACAGCGTAGTCATTTGCTGCACTCAATCCTTTACGGAACCAAGCCAACCAACCCCTGGTTCGTCATAGAAACACCGAACTTGACTTCTTAACAGCTTTTTTTCCAACCTACCGCTCCCATAGCTATACGAATTATACCATCTCCCACTTTAGCTTTGTTGTTTAGCTGGATACTATGGGCAACTATTATAATGTTTTGTTATGTGGACTGTGTAACTCAGATGTTCACCCATGTCGATAGTCAAGCCAGGAGCTTGTTGATCAGCTGTAGAGGGTCTCAGTGGTTAACATTTTCAACTGCAGCTCACCCGGCACTTTAAACCTAGACTGTCTTTCAAAATTGACTTTCGTTGGACTACTTTAAAGCGTCCTTGAATTGGCAGATAAGCCGTTGTCTCAACATCCAGCACTGAATCTTTGGATTTTAGACTTTGTTCTAAATATATCTATATAATGTGATTGCCATTAGCAGCATGTCACATCTCAAAGAGGATCCCGTCCGCACCTCCTAAGAAAGCTGCCTTCTCAGTAGGGACTTATATTACGGGCCTATGCCAATAGAGCGTAAAACACTGAATTTTCCCAGCCACTTGCAGAACTACCACGTGGCATAAGACATCTTCGAGAGAGACAACTGCTAACGGCTACTGTTTGCCGAGAAGTTGAGAGAGGGCAACAAGTCCGCTCGAAGTGTGTGAGGTTACCACATACACCAAAACAACACAGTTCGAGTCTAGCTGCTGACAAAGCACCCAGCCCGGTAAATTGAATAGGCTCCGATTACCTATGAGGATGGGTCTGCTTCCTGTTTGCCATTGTCCGTTCGCAAATGGCACTAGCGGCTGTTCAAGGAGGATACTGATGCTGTTAGCTAAGACAACAGAAAAATACGGTGTTCTGGCCAAAAAAAAAAAAAAAAAGAGAGAGAGAGAGAGAGAGAGAGAGAGAGAG